TGGAGAGAGGCAGATAGTGCAGTGCGAGAGACACCAAGAGAGCTGCTAATCTTCTCATCAGTCCAACCAGCATAGTGCTTAAGGGTATACGCAATATCACGCTCGCGAACAGAGAGCCGTGTTCCTGGCTGTCGAAGGACGGGATAACAAAGCAGAGGAGGGGGATGGTGGCCACGGTTCCGGCGTACAAGATTCGGCATTTTTAGGATACAAGATACAAGGATCTCTTGTTGTTTTATATGATGATCTAGCTATTCTGGTTGATTCTACATATTTGTAATACGAACAGCTATGCTTCATACGGCTAAAGCAGCCCCAGCGCTAGCAGGGAGCGCTGCTGGCCCGCTCATGTTACCCCCTTGTAGTAGCATTCTTAGTAGGATTACAGTCGAGCAGGTGGTCAATCCAATAGGCACACGCGTATCGTGCTGGGGATAGCGGGTCTAAATTAGGTTGCTTGACTTGTTCAATAGGAAATCCGGGAGCAGCTGTAAATATCACGTCGTAGTTTCTTGGACATGACCTGTAGCGATCGAGAGAAGACGTCGTGATGTATACATTCTATCCTAGAAGGATAGATCTCGTTGGAAGCCTTTTCGACCAAAAAGTCCTTCGCTGACTGATGAACAAAAGAGATAGTGTGTTCTCGGAGCGTTAGAAAAGAGCCACAAAGCCCTACAATCTCTGATAGAGCTTCGTAATTGCCAGAACTTCGAGAAGGCATATCGACGAAAGATGCCAATTCATCCAAAGTAATGGGCCGGCGTACAATCAAGACAACGGCTAGTATACTTTTGCAGAGTTTAGCGTACTTTGAACTGCAGATCTGGTTCAGCATCCGCCTGTACAAGAGATTAAGCCCTGGTGGAAATGCCTTCAACATTTCTTCAGCATCCCATCCAGAGATATTAGCCAGTTCTTGGCAGACCAAGGCCACCCAGAGGAACGTGCCGTTTGCATTAAGCGACAAGTAGCGCTGGACAGTGTCTTGAGTATTACTGCCGTATCTGTTTCGCTTCGCAAGCCAATCCACCTTAAACTTAATAAATGTCGCAACAGCAGCAGAGACGGATTGTTCATTAAGCTCAAGACACAGTCTTAGCCTCTGAGTAGCAGTGTCAAGGTTCTTTTCGATACTTGGCCAGTTGCGGCTGGAGACAATCCACTTAATACAAGGACATACATGCGACGTTTGCACGATAAAGTCCAATAATTTCGGCAAGTCCACCACACATTCGTCGAGCGCATCGACAATTAAGTATGTGCTATTCAAGCTCGGGTCTTGCAGGATGTTCGTGAAGATCTCGGACAAAGCTACCCAGGAATTTGCATCCTCGAAGAGCGTTTTGCCGGTTTGTTCGTACTTCTTCTGTGCATGCGAAATAAGGGATGGCTGTTGGTCGACAAGCAGATAAATTAGACCTCGTAGCACAGCCGTGGCGTTGTTAATGCGGGTATCAGTAGCTTGGCAGAGAAAGTAAGAGAGAAGATCCGACTTGGCCATTGACTTCTTTAGTTCATTGATAATGCCGCACAGCAGCATCGTCTTGCCCTTGCCGGGATCGCCCTTAATCCAAAGCAACCGGCTCTGGTGGGTGTTGCTCCATTCTTGGAAGTCAGAGTTTTTAAGGATCCAGTGGTATGAGCCCTCTAGCAAGCCACCCTTGGTGTCCTCAATACGCTTCTTATCATTGCGGGGATCGGTGAGGTGTAAGTCTCGGATACATTTCTGCGCCTTGTCGAATTCGTTCCGGAGCCGAGCGAACGCGCTCGCCGTTCCTTCGCCATAGATAGGAAGTAGGTAGACGCCGAAAATGCCTAGTAACGAGTATGCTTTATCTTCGTCCAGCTTGGTCTGGCGGTGTTCGATCCACTGCAAGCGCTCCTCGAGGCTAAACTTAGATAAATACGCTCCTTGAAGCGCAGAGTGAGGAATATTCGTGATCTCATAAATTTGTTGCCTTAGTGAACTCCTGTCACCAAGTCGCTTGCGTTCCCGAGAGAAGAATTCAACTGAAGCCGAGGCAAGGAGCTCTTGGAGCGTCCAGCCACGGGTGAACCATCTGCTTCCCCGGAAATCCGATTCCCACGGTTGCGGATTGTACGCATCGTTGGACCTCGGACTGGACTCCTCGTTAGTGTCCGAGGGAGCGCTGGAGACACCCGAGAGATAGACGGAGCGTTGAGTTACGTTGTGATACCAGCGAAATATCAATTTGACGACTAGGGACATCCAAAACCAAGTAAACCATCTGATGTTCCAGAAGTTCAATTCCCACGACCGCGGATTGGACTCCACATTAGTGTCCAAAGGAGGGCTAGAGACATCTGACAAATAGACGTAGCATCGAGTTGCATTGCGGTACCAGCGAAACATGGAGTTGATAGAGCGTGAGAGTTCGGCGTCGTTTTTCTTGTCAATACAGCACGTGTCAATCCAGAAGTATTGCAGACCATCCTGTTTCGCCTGTTCTCCAGAATCGGATCTTCTCATATCCAGCTTTTTTTCCGCCTGTGCCATTTGTCATGTCCTTGAAGGTAACCTCCTCGTTATCTGGTCCCCATGTGTGCGAAAGTATTGCATAGGGAGGGATCGGATCGTCGCCGACCAAGTCCTTAGTGAGACTAAATTCGCCAGTCTCGCTACATAGAAGACGCATGGCTGGGTGCGGAGCCTGGTGCTAGCAAGTGGAAGGAACCGGGGTTGGTAGGGCTCAAGGCAGTAGGGTGAGGCGGGCATCGGGAAGAATTCCGCAGCGTAGCTATCGATGTTAGCAAGTGTAGAAGCAAAGCGAGGGCAAATATGCACTATACCCAAATCTTGCAATCTGTTTCTAGAGGCGACACTGGTCGTAAGAAGCTGATTTGGACTGCTTCGCTGGAGCCTAAGGGTCTGGCTGCACAGCCCAGATTTTGGCGAAGCGGGGCTGTACTTTGTCAGGTGATATGCCAAGACCTTTGGAGCGTGTCCATGTGCAGTCACGTGTCCTCTGGGCCTGCCATCTAGTGCGACCTCTCACTCGTTCCCTCCCATCACCTTCACCATCGCAGAAATGGATCGCGCCAGTGAAGTGCTCTCAGAGGGCCTTGATCCGGCAGAGCCCAGAACATATATTGCCCTATCAGAACGGGGCAACGTCCCTCGCTCTACCCTATGGCATCGTGCACACGGACGACCCTCGAAAGAAGAGAAGGCGATAGGCCAACAGTACCTCACACCATCAGAAGAGAAAGCCCTCCTTAATTATTTATTACGAATGGCTAATAATGGGTACCCTATTCCAATTAAACACCTACGCTCGCTAGCATTTATCATCGCGCGTCGGCGCTCCTCCACCAACGGAGCAATCAACCCTCCCGGCAAAAAAAGGCCTCAGGCCTTCCATAATCGCCATCTAGAGGTCAAATCGAAATGGGTCAAGGCGCTAGACTGGAGCCGTCACGACAATAATATATATGATAAGATTGTACTCTGGTTTGTGGTAATTGGAAAGGAACTACACGGCCCAGTTATTATGCCGGAGAATGTCTATAATATGGATGAAACTGGAGTTATGTTAAGTATGCTCAGCTCTATCAAAGTCCTTGTAGGTAAGGATGACCCGCGAACTTATAGAGGCGCGGGTGTCAAGCGAACAATGGTAACTGCAATTGAGTGTATATCTGCAGATGGTAGGTCCATCCTCCCATTGATTATTTGGCCGTCCTCAACCCATCGGAGCAACTGGACCACATACCCCACTCCTGGATGGCATTACGCATGCTCTGAATCTGGATACACCGACTCGAAGATTAGCCTGGACTGGCTCACACGTGTATTTGATCCCCAGACTAAAGCACGGGCGCTTCAGAAACCACGGATTTTAATTTCCGACGGCTTCGAAACGCACGAGTCGCTCGAGATCCTAGAGTATTGTTTTGAAAACAACATCATCCTATGCCGTATCCCTTCACACACCTCCCATAAGCTCCAGCCCTGTGATATTGGAGTGTTTAGCCCATTGAAGGCAGCCTATCGCGACCAAGTTGAACGATTATATCGAGGAGGTGCAAATACAGTGGGCAAGGAGCATTTCACGTCTCTCTACTGCCCTGCACGGCAAGCTGCGCTCACCTCTCGAAACATCAAATCAGGGTGGAGTAAAGCCGGTTTATATCCGTTCAACCCAGACAGGGTACTTAGAGATATGGCAGCTGGCGTAGGAAGGGCAAAGAATCAGTGAAGGAAGCATGAGTTGTATTGAACGAGGGACTATATAGAGTAACGAGACTCCCTTGACAGCAAGGGACAGCAAGGGAGCAACACAACTTCGTAAGGGAGGTAGTGCAACTCCGTAAGGAGGAGAAAGGGAGAGAAACGAGGGAGAATAGAGGCGTGTTACTGGCTGCCAAGATATCCAGAAGCCACTCGCTGAAATATCCATTCCAAAAGCCGATAAGGGGAACGTACGGCCTTGTTCGCAAGACGACGAAGTACTCTAGACGCCTGTGACAGCAGAGGCTCTTACGTCCCTACGTAGCCAAATCGAACAGGATGCTCATACACTTGACGAGATGAGCAGACAGCGCCTACAGAAGCTGGCTAACGCCGCCCAAATATCCTTTACCGAATGTGCCCTCCTTCACGATGAAAATCGACTCATATTCCAACAGAATAACGAAAGCAAATGTCGCAAGTTAACCAAGTCAACGGTAGTAGGGAAGGCGAAAGTGATGAGCTATGAGGATATTGTTGAGGCACAAGCCAAACGTGCTGCAAAGGATACTGCAAAAGAAGCTATCAAAGGAAAACGTGGTCGGAAGCGCAAAAACCCTGCGCCAGCGGGAACAAAGGCTAAAAAGGCACGGAAAAGCGAAGCAGAGGTTGCGGCGGATGAGATTGCCGCATCAGGGATGGAGAGTCACTGCTCTGTTTTAGAGGCAGGAATAAAGTCTTTTACTGGCACTGAGATTAATGATTACGGTGATGATGATAGTGGCGGTTATGAGATTGATTACGTTAGTGAAATTCAGTTAGTTATCATGTTGGCAACCTTCCATCAAGGCGAACGAAATAGGGGTCAGCCCAGTCCCGGTTCTGCACGCAGGGAATTCTGCATGGCATGGGAGAAGTTAGACTGGCGCAAAGCGATAGGAGATTGATAGTGGTGTTGTGGCGACGAAAATCTGTCGCACCATGAAAGACCATCAAAGTGCACGTTGCGAAAATCAGGCAATAACACGGCCACGCCAGTGTAATGTTTGGGTAGGATGTTTAGGAGTCGCTATAGCGCAAAGTTCATATAGAATTATAGAAATATCAATGTGTGTGCAGGTTCTACATTGCTTTGAAGTTGAAGTACCTTGGCTTTTGCCCGGCACGAAGGGATGCCCGGCACGCAGGGGGGGAGGTTATAGGTGTATCCTGTGGCCAAGTGGAAGCATACCTCATTTGTGGAGTTGTGTCCACGAGCTGGATCGGTTCTCTGCCGTTCTTTCTAATCAGATAAAGCTCTCGCGCTTCTCGCCATTGCCTTCTGAATTTTGCCTCTTCACCCTGGCGCCGTTCCTCCTGAAGCTCCTTAAGTCGTTCCTGTCTCCTCTTCTCCCGTTTCTCAGTCTCCTCTTTGGATTTGTAGCTAGGGGTTATGTTTGTCCGGGTTCTGTGAGGATGATAGATTACGAATGGCTTGTGTTTGAGCCCATACTGCTCTTCGAGGTCTCTGACGCGGAGGAGTCCATCCCTCTCATCACTCCGGTCGTTTCGATCTTTGAGCAGGTTTTGGTTGTCCGCTTCGAGTTCTTTGATTTGTAACATTAAACTCGACATGTCGACGCCGTCGTAGTCATTCTTGCACTTTACAAGCTCTTTCTCCAGCGCCCTTTTCTCTTTCTTAAGCTTGTCGAAGCTTTCATTGTCAGTCTTAGACCTGTTATTAAAGACTTCAGCCCAGTCTTTGTACTGATCGCATTCTCTCTGCCTTGCTTCAAGATCGACTCTGCGAGCCTCACACGTTGCAGTGAGTTGCTCATTAAGAATCGCGGTCTCTTCTTGAGAGTGCGTCCGCTCCTTTAACTCCGCGTATACTTTGACAAGCTCTGCCTTACCCTCCGAAGTGAATTTCTCAAGCCCATCGATTTTCTTCTCATATCTTGCGATCTTTTCTCTAAGATCTTCGTTCGTGGCCTTCAGGTCCTCGATTCCTTGATTACGCTTCACGACTGCACTATTCGCTCGCTGGAAGGCTTCTGCAAACGCCGCGACTCGGATTCGCATTTCCTTGCTTGACTTTGTCATCCCCATCAGCTGGTCATTCGTCCTGGCCTCACGGGCACCGAAATGCCGGTACCTCTCCTCAACCTTCCTCCAGTTCTCAAGCGTGAACTCATTTTCCACATTTTCCACGACAGCAGCAGCCTCGATTTTGTCTACCAGGTCCTTGTTAAAATCTTCCAATAACTTGATCACATCCTCTCGTTCGGACGCTTCGGTTTTTATAATTTCCGTTACTTCCAGCTCGCATTTGTCTTCTGCTAATTGCTCCTTGAGCTCGTCAATCTCCTTCAGCAGATCTCTTACCTTCTTTTCGCAATCGCCCAAGCCAGTCCCTTTCTTCGCCAATGCAATCTCCTTCTCCTTTTCTTCGAGCTCGTCAGTCAGTGATTGAAGCTGTTTTGTGCACTCTATAGCCAGGGTCTGGTTTTCCACAACGACCTTTTTCGAGTCCTCAAGCTCTCGTTTCGCCTTGCAGAGTTCTACGTTTAGCCTTACGGTATCTTCAGCCAATGCCTTATTGCTCGCCTTCTCGAGTGCGTTCTCAACCACCTTTGCTTCTAGTTCAGCTTCCAAAGTTTTGACTTTCTCCGCCGCGGCTTCATAATCCTCGGCCTTCGGTTCGAGGTCTTCCTCCCTTAGTTTAGCTGTCCATAGCTGCCCTTTAGCTATTGATAGCTCGTCTTTAGCAGTCGCTAGCTCATCCTTTTTCTTTTTTAGATCTTCTTCCATACCAGCCAATGCCGTCACCAACCTTCCAACTTTGTCCTTCTCGTCCAAAACCTTGTTCTTCTCAGCCAAAACCCTTCCGCGGAAAGCCGCGTACATAATCGCATTGTGTTCATTCGCTTCAGTGAATCTTGTTAGAGCCTCTCTGAACTTATCTCCCTGCCCAGGACGCAGAAGTTCTTGTCCCATGATCTCGATGTATGCTTGCTGCCATGCCGAACGTCCATGTATGTCGTGGAGATGCATTCCATTAAGGAGACCGGCGACGGTGCTCTTATCTCGTTCATCCCTTAATTCAGAGAGTGACTTCGTGCGGTATATTGCGTTGATTGCCGCTTGTCCCTCTTTCTCTTTTTTTGACGCTTCAATGTGACGCTTACTTTTGCTTCGATATCGGAGACGGTATTCTTCTGCGTGGCGCTCATACTTTTTGAACCTGCGCTCGCGGTTATCCTGGTCTTCCTGCTCATGGTCTTCTTGGCTGCCCTCGAATTCCGTTAGCGGGGTATAGGATGGGCCTTCAGACGGCGAGCTAGGTGCCGACTGCACAGTATCTTCTCCATCATCACCGACAGACGGCTGCTGTCCTGTATACGGCACCAAGGCGGTCGACTCATCGTCCCCTGCGAAAATACCATCAAACCCCTGGAAAAGGTTCTGGTCGATCTCCACATACTCCTCTTTCTGTTCTTTCGTGAAGACCTGACTCAAGGGACTGTTCATCCTTCCAGAGCCAAACGATGGTCGGAAACGCACGCTGACTCCTCGATACGGATTAGAACGCCGTTTCTCCTTCGGAAGCGGGATTATCTCTGTCGACAGCGGCCCAGAATCCGAAAGCCCTCTGTGTCGGAAGAGGTGGAGGAGGGGGTCGTAGGTGTCGATATCTTCCTCGCCCAGGTCCATCGCCCAGGTAGGTTTGGACCGAGCGGACTGCCTTGCGAGCGATTGTCGACGCTTTTCGTCGAGTGACTTGAGGAAGACGGCGTTAGCGTCTAGCACGGGCTCCTCTTCTGTCTGCGGAGTGCTCTTACTACGTTTGGTGGATGGACCGATATCACGTTCGTCCTCCTGTGCTTCCTGGGACGTCGGACCCTCGTGTTCCTCGTTCTTCGGCGATGCTGGGCTCTCCGGATCGGCCATGATGGGGCTGCTCTCACCAGTCTCGGCAGGGGGAGTGACAGTGCCATCACTCTCTTGTGAATATATCGACATCGGGCTCTCGGGATCCTCCTCATAATTTCTACGACGACTCTCCCGGCCAGAACTAGGGCGATTCTCGATCGGGGGAGAAATATCACCATCAGACTCCTGTGAATAAATCGACGTCGGGCTCTCCGGATCGACCTCAGTATAGCCAAGACCACTCTCCGGGCCAGAGATGGCGCGATTCTCTTCTTCGGCGCCGTGAGGAAGGGCGACGGGTTCCTCGGTTTCTGCTTGCGGCTCTGATGGGTCTGTGACTGCGATTGCTTCATCACTAACTGGTTCATAAGTGTCGTTAAGCCCCGGGCTTTCCCTCCTTTGCCTATCTAACTCGTCGTCTTCGGACTGTGTCGGTGATCTACGGATTCGGGGTGTATTTACCGTAGCTTCGGGATGATGCTCCTGGTTGTTGGTCGGGGATAAATGTGGATCTTTGCATATGTTTGCTCCGTTAGAGACGTCGTTCGATGCGTCGGAAGGGCCCTCTTGGTTGTCGTTCAGGCCCTCCGGATTTGAGGGTACGCCTTCATCGTCAGGACCGTCTTCGAATAGATAGTCGAAACTACCGTCGTCTTGCTCTTCAATGGGTTCTTCGTGAGTGTGTGGTGAGTCCGCCATCTCGGGATCTGGGCAGGCAGGTCTAATGCTGCTAGATCAAGTGAAGTGCCTTTATGGCTATGAGTGTCTATGTGTGGATCAATGTGCGATATATACACGTCGCGATATAGTAGTACGTATATGGTATGGTATACTGAGTTGGTATTTGCAAAACTGAAATGCAAGTGGATCGACGTGAACGTTATGAAATTAGAGCTGTGCAATATGCAATTCGATCGACTGTAGCCAAAATATCGTCAGGGAATGGAAGAATTGTGATACTTCGCCTCTATTGTCAAACTACCCTTTGTTCCTTTGTCCATTTTTTCCAAACTTCCTTGTCCGATTGTTGATACGATACCATGTTTCTTCCCGTTATCCACAGGTGAAGTCCTTTCAGGGCTATCGCCACGAACAAGGACCTCAGAGCTAACAACAGGCAACAAGAACACGTTCTTTCATCGCCGCGTGAATTGAAGAACAATCGCCTTGTTGTCCATGGGCAGATTAGTCTATTCCTGATGGGCGGCCTCGAAGCCGAGAGCGATACTTCATCATTCCTCCAGGACATACAGACTGCAGAGCCTAGCTGTAGTACGGGAGTATGACTGTCAACACTCTTCTGACATTTCTGGGGGGTTGAGTATATCATTACGTTCTCAAATCGCGAAAAGAGGTGATTCCATCTTTCTGACCCACCTGTTAGGACCTAGTGCTGCATTTGGTGATGCTTGCGAGGCCAAGATAACACCTCATGAATCTTGTTCGTAGAAGCATGACGATAACCCCGGTGAGCAGTAGAATGCTCGGGAAGCCGTTTTCTTACCACTTGAGTCACAGAAACTGGTGAAGATGATGTTCGTCGGTGAGAATAAAGAACGCCACTAGTCCCAAAGTATACACGGAGAACGCGGCCCGCCACTCCACGAAAACCACCACCTGCTCCTCGCCTTACTAATGAGGCATTTCGCTCCTGCGCTACGACATCACTAGCCGGCAGCACATCGGCCTCCACTCCTCCACGCCTTTTAGCTCGGCCAAGAGAGTCCAAGCAAGCACACGGACAAAGTTTTTCTGGGGTTCCGATCGATCTCCTGCTACGCCAGGAACCAAGGGCCATGAGTCAAACCCCGCGCTGACCAACTGCTCCTCGTGTGGAGAACTGTGCAGCCTCGGAATTGTATATAAAGATACTGTAGAGCTGCTTTGCTACGTCATTGCATTCTTCAAGTTGAGCTTCTTTTACATTTCCAATTGAGAATCTATTGAGGTCATCTGCAATTGCCTCCAGCTGTCTTCTTCTTTTCCTATCCTGCCATGATCTCCCGCTCCCATCACAATGGCGGTTCTTCTACCGCCGTAATTGAGCAGTTAGAGCTCGCAGACGTGTCGAACTTCCTCTCTGAGACGGGGAGCAAGCCATCTCAACCTCAAAGCATCCACAGTCTCCGCATCAGCGAGGCTGATAGGAACCGAACGTGCGATGATCCGGTTGAGAATCTTCCTTCCCCAACAACACAGGCATCAGAGAAGCTGCAGAGATGGAATCACCCGCGAGGAAATCTATTTCGGACGATGGCTGCGTTCTGGGGATTCGTGGTCATGGGCATGAATGATGCTGCCTATGGAGTATGCTCGTCTACCACTCAGAAAAGAATCATGCTAACATTGGTCTTAGGCTTTGATCCCTTATGTATGACCATTATCATCTTAGAATACCTCCTTTACTAATCACTCCACAGCTAGAAGAATACTACAACCTCTCTTACACCGTTGTCTCCCTAATCTTCCTCTCCCCCTTAGCAGGTTACACCGCCTCGGCGCTCCTCAACAACGCCATCCACCTGAAATTCGGGCAACGCGGCGTCGCCTTCATCTCGCCCGGCTGTCACCTCCTCGCCTACATCGTCATCGCCGTGCACCCGCCCTACCCCGTCCTTGTTGTCATCTTCATGGTTGCCGGTTTCGGCAATGGCCTCGAGGATGCAGCCTGGAACGCATGGGTGGGTAACATGGCAAACCCGAACGAAATCCTCGGATTCCTGCATGCGTTCTACGGATTGGGCGCCACCTTAAGTCCATTGATTGCAACAACGATGATTACGAAGGGGAAGGGGTTGCCGTGGTTCTACTTCTACTACGTTATGGTACGTCCCCCCTCCCCTATACATCTCAACCCCTGACACCCTTATATTAACAACCTCACCAGATCGCCGCCGCAGCAATCGAGCTCCTCACCTCCGTCTCCGCCTTCTGGGGCGCTACCGGCGCCGTCTTCCGCGCCGCCAACCCGCGCTCCACCAACACCAAAGACAGCCGTATGAAAGAAGCCCTCTTCCGCCGGCCCTCGGCGCGCGTCACCTGGCTCTGCGCGCTGTTCCTGCTCGGCTACGTCGGCATCGAGGTCGCGCTGGGCGGCTGGATCGTCGTCTTCATGATCAACGTGCGGCACGGCGCGCGCTTCGCGTCCGGCATGGCTGCGACGGGATTTTGGCTGGGGATCACGGTGGGTCGGATAGTGCTGGGGTTTGTGACGCCGAAGTTGGGGGAGAAGCTGGCGATTTCGGTGAGTGCTGTTTTTACTCTCAGTATTCCCATTACGCCCACCCCCTCTAAACCCCCCCTAACCCCGCCCACAGATCTACCTCCCCATCGCCATGGCCTTCGAGCTCCTCTTCTGGCTGGTGCCGCAATTCTACGTCTCGGCCGTCGTCGTGTCCCTGCAAGGCTTCTTCCTCGGCCCCATGTTCCCCGCCGCCGTCGTCGCCGCCACCAAGCTGCTGCCGCGCCATCTGCACGTCAGCGCCATCGGCTTCGCGGCCGCGTTTGGCGGGTCGGGCGCCGCCATCTTCCCCTTCGCCGTCGGCGCGATCGCCGAGGCGCGCGGCGTCAAGGTGCTGCAGCCGATCATTCTGGCGCTGCTGGGCGCGATTCTGGTGGTGTGGGTCGGGTTGCCGCGGTTTCAGCGGAAGGCGGAGTAGGAGGAGGGGGGCGAGGGAGGTGGGTTGGTGGGAGAGGAGAGGTGGGGGGTTGGCGAGGGATGTTGGGGGGTGGATGGGGCGTGCAAAAGGACAAGTAGGTGTGTGGAACCGTGGAATCTAGGTTCGAGGTGGTGGCCTAGAAACGCCTTACCGATTCTCCAAAGCCATCGAGTTGTGCTTTACTGGAAGCCTTGAAAGCGAGTTGAGGTGCCCCAGGACCGGTTAGCACGAAAAAGTGTGTAAACCCCTCTACCGAGAACTTTTTCGCTCATGACTTCTGGAATGTGAGCGCCTGGAGAGCAAAAAACGACCCTTCGTCACGTTTTTTCCATCGTCTCTCCGTCTACCATGCTTTTTACGAAGCAAGCGCCCACCCACTTCTCCCTCCAGAACCACTCTTCCGCGTGGCCCATTTCCGCATCGTAGAAGCTCCTCCCCATGCCGCTTGCCGTCCCGCCTCCTCGCATCAGCGCGGCAAGCGGGCCCGTGGACGGGAGACGAAGACATGGATCCAGAACGAGGGCGGGGCGTCGCCAAAGACCAGGCGTACCTACCCAACAATGCTAGGTCCTAACGACCACATGCGTGCCCGGCCCCGCCGCGCTGGTTCTAGACACACATGATCCAGATCGCGCCGGCGCTTCGCCCACGCGGAAACTGATACCTCATGGATGAAGCCATGCCCCTGAACCGGCGGCTGGGGCTCCGCGCGCCGACCGTCGGCGGAGAGCGCTGGACAGTCGAACGGCGACAGTTTAGTGGTATACCCCCGGGCGGCTGCAGATCGACTCCCCGAAATCGCGCTCCAGACGCGGTTGACGAAGCGGGGCGCATAGCTGGGGACAGCGGCGGTGGGTGTGGAAGAGGGGAGTGTGGAGAGAGAGAGAGAGAGAGAGAGAGAGAGAGAGAGAGAGGAGGCAGGCGTGGCGCTGAAGACGAACAGCAGCGATGTTGTCAACTGTTAGCATGGCACTGTCTGGATAAGGGCTAGGGAGCTCGAATCGTTGATGGATGGCGTGATGATGAGTTCGCGATGGGAGGCAGCACGGTTTCACGTATGGCTTTTCTTTGGAAAGGGGGGGTTTCTTTGGCTTATCGGCGTTTTTTTCTTTTTTTATTCTAGTCTATATTACGGAATACCGTTCTGATGCGGCGGTCTTGCCGTCCGTCGTTATGGGGACTTTCGGTCCTGGAGGTGCTTTGAGGAAAAATCCTCTTTCATGAAGGGTCATCTATGAGCGGCTAATGAACGAATGGTTGGAAAGGGCGAGGCGATGAAAATGTAAGAGGGGGACCGGCGAAAGGCAATTGTGGGGTATGGAGTGAGATCAAACCAGTACTCTTCATCAAAGACAGAAATGGAGAAAAGCTTGGGAATGTAGGTACTTGTCCGTTGTACGTATGCACATACAGGACGTATTACGTGTTTTATATACTAATTAGATTAAGCAATTAGCTCCCTCCAGAACTACACCCCCACCCCCACTACAGTCGACTCTACAGAGGGTATTTAAGAACCAACGTCGCCATGACCCGAACGTCCTATATTTTTCCCAGAGGACTTGTGTGAGTTCGTCCCCATCCTGGCCCAAGAATTCCCGCCTGGTGGTTTGACTCCTCATCGAGTTTACTCCGTTTCCCTAGTTCCCTAGTCATAACCTTGTTTGCCCAACGCCTTCACACTACTCTTTCTTCAACGGCTCTTAATCAGGGGGTCCTCAACAAGCCCGTCAAATATGTCCACGAGAACGACATGTCGCTTCAGCCATCCATCCACCTTACACGGGGGAAGGACATAGTCACCGAAGTCGACTAAACCGCGGTGGGTCTGGCATCGCGCCGGAATCGCCAGAAGCTGCAAGCGCGAGAGGGCCTTATCCGCGATATAATCCAGATGTGACAGGAGGACAGGAGAGCTGTTCCGGGGACGATGAGGGTCCTCGGTACCCATCAATGATGTTTCGAGCTGTGGTGTTCATTGCCCGCGGCGGGAGGCGGCGGATTCGATCTCCTATCCACTCACTGTGGGTCCTCGGTGCACCGGTCGGGCGAAACTACGCGCGTCCCCCGTCTACGCGTCGAGTTTGTGAAGGGAAACGCCGCTGCTTCGATCGAGAAGCAGCAAAGTGTGGCCCAGCCGTATTCGAGCACCGCCGTTCTCGCGCCGAAGTTCCAGAAAAGCCATCTTCTCTCGTCCAAATGGAAATTTCCATCTTTCACCACGGACTATCCTCATAACTCTCGATAAGCATATACTTCTCATACGGCATCCCCCGCGGCACGCGCGCCTTCCGATCCTTCCCCTCAAACTTCTGCGCAACCTGGCTCTTCTTCTCCTCATCATCCCCCGCCTTCGCCAGCTCAAGCCGCTCCTGCTCTTCCACCGTCATGTAGAACTCTGGCTCGAAGCTGACCGAGCGCCACGCTGCGAACAGTTTGCGCCAGTAGCACGCCTGCGCAGCGGGCGTAAGGTAGCGGTCCCGGAACACCCTAACGCTATTATCCGCAATCCGCCGCGCCTCGTCGGGATGCGCGAGATAGTGCTCGATCTTCTGCTGCAGATCCGAGAAGTCGCGCTCGACCTGGATGTAGTTCTGCTGCGGGCCCTCGGCGACGAGCAGGTGGTGGAAGTTCTCCTCCCACTGCAGCTTGTGCACGACGGACACGGAGTGGCAGTTGAGGATATATTTGAGGCGGCCCGAGTAGGTGCGGCCCTCGGTATGCACAGGGAACAGGTACTTGCACAGCTGGGCGATGGAGATCCAGTTGCTGGGGCCGTCTTTGCCCTGGCTCCAGTCGAAGAAGTCGATGTCGGCCCATTTCTGGTCGTGGGCCGTGTCGATGAGGCTTTTGCGGAGGTCCTGGGGCTCCTTCTCTACTAGCACGCCTCCGCGCCAGACCGCGCGGGGGTCCTTTTTGTCGAAGGGGATCTCGTCGTCTTTGATGGCTTTGCGGAGCGCGTTGTAGTCGCCCGTCGCTCCCCATACGTAGAAACCGAAGTCGGCCATCAGCCAGAGATTGTCATAGAGGGGCTCGTCCTTGCGTGTAAGGGACCATGTCACAGGTGGGTTTTCGTTTGAGACGCCTTGTTCGTATGCGCCGTCGTCGATAGTGAAGGTGAACTCGATGTTTGGAATGGGGCCGGGCCACGATACAACTGCGCGCCAGATGGACTGTAAAATTGCGAGTGAGCGCTCTCGGAAGTCACGACGGTGGCATCCCTTGGCTTCTATGATGTACAGCTACAAGGATGTGTTAGTGATTTGTGAAGCGGCGAGGGAGTAGGAAGACGCACTTGGTTGTCGTATATCATAGCGTGCACAATTCCGTCGCTTCTCCAGCCAGTATTCACATCCTCGGGCTTGATATTCCCGATCTCCTTGCGGTGAGCGACTGAGCGTTCAATGGCGTGTCCGAGGGCGGGAAAGGAAGCGTCGCATTGCCCAGGCGAGAGACCGTAGTTCTTGGCGTCGCGAGGTGCTTGGAAAGTCCACGACTGGGAAGAGTTGCTGGTAGGGTTCCAAGTCGGAGCGTGCTGGCCATTCTTCGAGCTAGATCCAAAGTGTAGGACGTCGAAGGTTTTCAGAGGGAGGATGGTGATACTGAGGACCAAGAAGAGGAACATGGCCACGCAGGCCAGTCCGACGGCGCGCTGGTATTGGAAGATCATGACTGGATGGTTGAGGAATGAGTTTGAAACAGTATTGACGACGTGGAATGTTTTGAGAGTGCAATGCAGATCCCCGCTTTCACAAGCACAGCGGCAAACGATTGAGTGAACTGTCAGTCCTCCCAAAGAGCTCTGGGTGGGTTTTCAGTGACACAAACGACAGGTCGCTCTGCAGCAGCGGGCAAAGGGTGCAATACCAGCAGGCCTCGTCATGACGGGCAGGACGTTGCGCGGCACAGTCGTGGCACAGGGGGAGGCGGCTCTTTTGTCAGTGTGCACCAGCGATCCTGGCTGGTGTGCACGTTGAGCAGCTCCTTTTCCCGCCTGGACGCGGACGCGGATCCGCTGTCGCCATGGAACGCCTCGTCCATCAGTGCGGCTGCGAAAAGCAAGGATTGCATCCATGGTGCATGCAACACCGGGTCATCGCCACAGCTGCTCCTGTCAGAGCCATGCACTCTACGCCAGGGACGCCGCGAAGTAGCCCGTCGCGGTCCAGTTGCCTGCAAATATTACCCAGAAATATCACCAGGCCGCGATAAGAGCGCTCTTTCCTGCATCTGCCCACGCGCCTCGCCGTGTGTGGCCGGCGGTCCCATCTCCGTGTGCTCCACGCGATGCCCATCAGTGCCATGGCATTTCGTGACGGCTTTCGTACGCCCTGCCTGAATCAGCATCCCGAATCGACGCCACACGACCAGTCCAGCCCGTCGTGCCCGTGCGCCTCGAAACAAGCTTCTGGTGAGTGAGACAGGCCAAGGAGCGAGCGCAAGTGCCGACCCCCAGGGACATCGACAGTCCGTCCTGCCGTCTGTTGTCGATGCCATCTCCCCATGTATAGCACTGAAACAGACAAGCAGGCGTACAAATATTACCGGCCGGGCGGCCATAGAGTGCTGGTAGATTAATTATGGGCATTTCCTAAAATAGGCGGGCAATCAAATAGTTCCTTGCTGCCCGTGGTACGCAACCCTCTCCTGGCAGCCATAGCTTCAAGGCTCGTGCGCCGCGGTCAAGCTTCGGCCAAGTGGTCCCAGCTCCAGCACTGGCGACGACAGACGACTGTCGTGCTGTTGGTTGAGCATCATTGGAACACCTTTGGGATGTAGTAGTTGCCGAACCACGCGTTCCGCCCGATTGCGTAGCCTCGAGTCACTGTCGACTTGTCCAGCATGCTACGAATCCAGTCGCGGAATGCCGCCTCTGATTCCAGCGCCGTCCATGCCTGTCCGAGCGGGAAAAGGAAAAAGAGCGCACTGTCGCGGCTGTGGCTGGCATCGCGCATCTGGAACTCAAACGTGAGGCAGATCTCGATGGCTGGGTCGCGGAGACTATGCACCTGATGTGGCAGGAGAATCGGTCCCCGAGGGCGAGTTTCTGAAACTGGACTGAGGGGAAACGAGGCGAACGGATCAAGGCGCCAGAGAAGCCCGAGGAGCCACATGAGTACGGCGTTATAGAGAGAGATCTCGCTAGCGAGGACGTGGCTGGAGAAATGAAGAGTTTTGTCTACTGCTCGAGGAGCAATTGCGGGCGACGGAGATGGGCACACCTCCCAGACTGCGCCTGTGTTCGCAGCGTCCCATGCCCATCGCCAGCTGTAAAGATTCGCTAGTTGGGTTCTGACTCTGTCTAGCAGGCTTTGCTTCACTTCAGGATCCTCGATGTGTCGCAGTTTAGCGTCATCCTCGAGGAAGCCTGGGACAGTGACTAGTATATCTACTAGGTGGTTCTGTTGACTCTTTGACGCGGCATCTAGAGCCCATGGTATCGAGCACCATCCTTCTTGCTCCAGGAAGGTACGTTGTCGCGCGATGAGTGCGGTGGTAACCTTCTCCCATTAGTAGACTTCACAAGTACGTAAGAATACACTCACCAGCGTCGCTCGACACGACTCAAAGGCACTTCTCAGAGGTTCCCGCTGGAACTTCTTAGGTCCACACACATGTAGCAGCGTTGCCAAACCTTTCAAATGAGCAATAGACGCCGCTCGATCCTCTTGAAATGACTTCCCAGAGTCAGCACCCATCAACCGCTAAGCGATACGGGAACACCTACCGCATGCATCAACATAATCATCACCGGTACAATCAAAGCCTCCACGCCAGGTCTCATCGGATCCGAAAGTCCAGGAATCAGCCCCTTGAGCGTCTTCCCATATCTTACCGATCCCTCCACCAGAATGTCTCGCTGGTGATGCGTGACGCCAAAGTGGGTCCATGAAAGCGCTTGACAGGCCTCAAGCGCCAGCGGGTTCAGCTTACCAGCCGCTGCCATCTGCAGCCACGGAGTGCCGTAGGTTCGCCATACGAAGTTGTCGAAGAGGAAGGAGACGCAGAAATCGCCTTTGAATGCTACGAAGCTGAGCTCGTTGGGTGCTGGGGTCCGCATCCGAGGTACAACAGTGGCTGGCATAGTTGACGTCGATTCCTGTAGCCTTTTGGGGGTAGTGACAACATCCTCCATTGAAGGAAAGGGTGCAGTCGATGCATGGACGAAGTGGAGCGGGTGGCCGTAGCCGGTGCAGAGGTACCCAGACTTCTGACATCGTTGGCAGATGGGTTTGCTCTCGTCTCATCCACTCAGTATGACGCAAAGAGAAAGCTAGACAGCTAGAATTGCCTCACCGCATTTAATCCTCCGCTTCTTGCAGGTATGACAGCCTTGAGAGCATTAGGAAGGGGTTCCGAAAGCTAGCAATGAGCAGGCTGACCTTTGCTGAGCCCTGGTACACCGACCATTGTCGTACCGACATGTAGCTCGTTAGATATGCCTGTTTCGAGACTTGGTTTCAGCCAGCATGTTTGGTGTTGAAGTGCCCCGGCGCGAGTGCTGAGATGGAGAGAGCAAGGATCTTGCGAGCCAAGCTTCGACTAGTTATTCGATATTCTACCGATTGGGGCTTAGGATTGGCTTGGATGGTTTTCTTGGTCTTTGGGCGATTTAGGAAATAGGACAGCAGGAGGAACTCTACCACATGGATTGATAATAAGGTTTCTAGAAGTCATGGACGGCCGTAGGATTTCTAGGTTTAGCAACACGAGCCAGAGAGTTTCATGGGAGCTAGGAGCCAAGTCTAGACGTTGCAAATCAGGTCAAGGGTTGATAGTTGGTTTTGGTGTGTTAAGATGTATAACTGAAAGCCAGTCCGCGCGATTTGCACTCCTTTTGACATGTTGAGGTCGAAATGCCTTGAATCAGATCTAGATCAATAGGTGTATTGAGGAAGGACGGCGTTGTTGGTCGTGCTTTAGCGTGTTGTTAAATCTTAAGATCACATGTCAAAGGTTGGAATGTGTAAATTGGGCCGATTTGCGATGTGATTTCGATGACACTCCAATTTGAACTACAAGATCAGAGTAACGTTGGCATACATCAACAGTAGCAAGTCCAATCCAACACAACCCTATCCCTATCCCAATTCAAGACAAACACATAATCACATTTCCGACTTGCCCTAAACTCAATCATCCTGACATGCTGTTATCATCCATACCATTGATCATTCCAGCATCGCACATATGTACACAATGCTCCAAACCCAACCAACCATTCGAAACACCAAGAAAGCGTAGATGCAACATTAGATGTGCTCGCAACGATGAAAGAGCCTCGGAAACACAAACGGGGTGGGGTATCTATTCTGAACGCGAAAAGAAAGGAGAAATTAGATTATTAGAGAGGATCAGCTTCATACTAGAGCGGGTTTTGGGAATGATTTGGTCGAGCTAGTAGGTTTAGATGCGATACGTAGAAATTTTTTTAGGTGATCTGGTCGGTGGGGGTCTCGGTGGAAGTAGAACTGTACTTCGGTAGGGGTGCCTAGAAGCAGGGAGGCCGAAGTATGGCGTATAGTCGAAGCTACGAGCGTAGGGACTCGGGAAGTTGAGGCGATGGATGAGAAGCATCGGATCTCAAGGCTGGTGCTATTGAAACACAAGGGCATTGACGACGTCCTTCTCGCGCCAGCCCTGCGATGCCAGAGTCTCGTGGTCGTGCAGGATCTTGCCCATATACGCGATCTTGAGGCGAGTGTGTGGTTCAATCTACGCAATGTTAGAAGATGGAGACAAATAGTGCAATCGAGGGCTACTCACGTCCGCAACATCCCTAATCCTCCTTACTAACAACCCCACCCGCTCCTCACTCCCAATCTTTATGGCAACATCCGTCCCGCGGTCACTTAGCCTCGCCTTCACCTTCACTATATTCCCTTTATCCGCTACCACGACCCCGGGCACCTCATCGCCTTCCACCGCCCTCCCCTTCCCCTTGTCTACTTTCTCCACGACCGCATCCTCCTCGTCAAACTCATCATCGGTCCCACTCCGACTATCCTTCCCATCCTCCCTCTCCTCAACCAAGCCTGACGGCTCCACAACCACCCACTCGGGCACTTTATAAAACTCCCCCCGTTCGTCAAACACCCCCCGCCACACCTCCCCTGTTGGACATGTGCAGGCCCCCGCGTCCAGCACGCCCTGCGCTTCTCGCACCTGCCCCGCCCGTATCAACTGCACCACCGTCCGCACCAGGGCCCATATCTCAGGGTTCCCTGTGACCCTAGTGTCAAAGAAGTCGCGGCGTTCGCGCTCTAGCCTTGTGCGGGTCCAGCGTGTTGAAGTGGACGAGGTCAATGGGGTAGGTCTGGTAGGATGACGCCCATTGCTCTGGTCGATTAGAGCTTGCTCCTGGCCGAGGGAGGCAGGGAGGTCGCAGCGTTGGCCGGCAGTTAGAGGGCGCAGAGGTTGGTTCGGCGCTACAGACTTGGTCGCTGTGGAAGGAGGTGTATGGTGGTGGTGGTGTGAGGCATGGGAGGCGCGCGGTGTGGTGTTCGCGTGTGAGAGGAGAGAGGCGGGGTGAGGGGGCGACGAAACGGTGATGTTGCGGTCCGAGGCGTCTGGCGCTGTGGCTGCGGTAGGAGGAGTATACGGCGAGTTTGCGGGAGATCGGTCGGAGGAGAAGCAGCAGCCCTGAAGTTGAGGCCCTTTGTTAGTGGTGACCTGATCTATTTCAAAGGCGTGAGAGCTGCTGGTGGCGCATTGAGGGGATCGCATGATGATTGTAGACAGTTCAAGACAGTCGATGCATAGGCTGGATCCCATAGTAGAATACTCACCATGATTGCTATGAAATGCCCGATTCACTGTGCATTCGCAGCGTAATCACGACCGAACGACAAGGGCCCCGTAAAGTCAGGCACATCAAGCTTTTGCGGGGTGGAGACGCGGGGACAAGCACCGAGACACGCTTGGCAAGAAGCATAGACAGACACGCAGGAGAGAAGAACAAGTTGCACAAACGAAAGGACACAACGCAGGGGCGAGGTGGTGTGTTGGCAGGGCGCTGGTGTAGTAGGAGTGCGGGCACGACACAGCGCGAAGTGGTGATGCAGTGGACCTGTCGAGTCAAGGCGCGCGAGGAAAACTGGAGACGAACCGCCCCCTGCACGCCTGCGAAATAGTCCTGTTCCAGGCTTCGCGACGCCCATACGATCCGTTCATCAAGCGTCAAATGCAGCCCGAGAAGCGGCACAGCGTTTAGCCTCGTAGGTGCCGGCTGAGTCGCCGGCTCCGCGAGTCAATTCGAAGAAGCACTACCTTTGCATCTTCTCTTCTTATCCTGGTCCCCACCATGTGTCACAATGTGTGCGCAACACTAGTTGGTGCTCCCCAAGACACTTCTCACATCACACAATCACAGCAAAAGTGTTAGAGCCAAATGAAAACCGCATTTTCTATTAGATATTATTAACGGGTTTGGTGTGGTGCCCTAGTGGCCGCTTGTACAATATCCTAATAAGGCAGTACGCAGGGTATCAGGGGGTATTCGCAGAGGTAAGACAAACAAAAATTCCAAAAACGAGAGCCAGTCGATGACAAGCAACGCAAAGTGATATCTCAAAAGCAAAAACTAGGGGTGCAACAGTGGTATCAATCTAGACGCGGACGTCCGACATAAAAACAAGAGCAATAAAAACAGCGCAGGGGCGGCTGGAGGCCACCAAGCATGCGCGATGCAACGCGAGACGTAAAAAACCCACGGGTATATCCTTTTTTGTTGTGGATGAGCGAGCGGCAGAGGGTTGGTGATGCGGTTCGAAATGATGGTGTGTACGGGTATATGAGTAGTGAGAGGCTTGTGTGTAATCCAAGTCTAGCTCTGCATCGGGAAGATATCAGAGCCGTATCCTAGATTCGGTGCATAGTCGCTGGGTGGTCCGTCCGGTCAAACAAGAGACATGCGTTTCCGCTTTTCCGTCATTCCATCATGGCTGTCGTCGACGTATGAAGGGTCTTCCCACCATACTTTATGCAGTAGCTGAGACCTCGGTCGTGCTCTTGGGGGCCTGCCCTACTGTAACCGCATCTGGAACGACGTCGCCGATGGACTGAGGCTCTGTCTGGGACTCGGCAGCAGGGGTGGTCTCGGCAGCGGTAGCGGGCTCCTCAACCTTCTCCTCCTCAACCTTGGCCGGGGTGGCAGGCTCCTTCTCCTTCTTGGCGAGCGGCTTGACCGACTTGCTGGCGCTGCGGAACAGACCAGTAAGCTTGTTCTCCTTCTTAGGCTCAGCAGTCTCGCTGTCAGTAGACTTCTCCTTCTTGGCGCTGTTGGTGAGGTTGCCGAAGATGGAACCACGCTTGGCCTTGTGGGCGGCAGGGGTGGCCTCCTCCTTGGCGACGGCGGGCTCCTCTGCCTTGGGCTCGACAACAGCAGGAGCCGCCTCGGTTTCGGCCGGAGCAACGGCAGGTGTTTCCTCAATCTTCGGAGCCTCGTTCTCAGTCTTCACGGCAGGGGCAGTCTCAGTGGACGGGGACTTGGCCTTGTCGCTCTTCAAGAATTTGCTGAACGAGAAGTGCTCCTTCTCCTTGGCGGGAGTGGTGATAGCGGGAGTCTCGGTCTTGGGTGCCTCTTCGACCTTGGGCGCCTCGGCAGTCTCAGCGGCGACAACAGGTTCAACCGGCTCCGCGATCTGGGGCGCCTCAGCAGAGACAGGCTCCTCCTTGGCGGGAACGGGGGGAGCGAATTCTGGCTCCTTCTTCTCAGTGGTCGGGCTCCTTAGCTTCTCAACGAAGTTGCCGAAGATGGAGCCACGCTTGGTGGGCTTGGGCTTGGCCTCGGTGGTCTCGGCGACGGGAGCAACCTCCTCGGTCTTAGGGGCCTCAGTGGCCTCTGCAACAGCAGGGGCGGGAGTCTCTTCGGTGGTGGCTTCGGCAACGGGAGCTGTGGCATGTTAGTAAAATCCATTGCTATGGTATAGACAGTACTCACCAGCAGCGACGGGCTCGACTGCAGCGGCAGTAGATGGCTCACCCTCCTCGGCAGCCTTTTCTTCCTTCTTTTCCTCTTTCTTTTCTTCCTTCTTCTCCTCGAGCTTCTCTTTCTTGCCCAGAAGGGTGCCGAAGACGCTGGCGCGCTTGCCGCGGGAAACGGAACGGCTCTTGCTCTTGGAAGCCTTCTTCTTCTTCTTTTCCTCGTTGTCAGAGCTGCTGCTGCTCGAGGACGAGCCCGTGCGAGCAGCGGCGGGCTCGGTCGGCTTGACCTCGGTGCTCTTCTTGGGGGCGGTCTCCTTAGCGGCAGACGCGGAGGCGACGGCTAGCGTGGCGGGCTTGCCTGAACACGCGAGTAAGTATGCAGAACGGGAACAAGCGAGATATGCAACAATAAATTATTCCTGGGGGCTTGTCGCATGCCACTTACCAAGCTTCTCGAGCTGCTCCTTGTACCCAGCAGACTCGATGAGGTCCTTCTTCGCCTCCTTGGCCTCTGCGATGGCCGTCTCGAAGGAGACATACCATCCGTTGCGCTCGGGGGCGGTGCTGGTCTCGAAGGCGTGCTTGTGGCCGTGGATCTTGAGGTGGAAAGCAACGACGCCATCCTTGGTGAGCTCGGTGGCATCAGCCTGTTAGGCAGACGTTAGTAAAGCTTTGTGATGCAGAGGTTTTCGCTTCGAGGCCTACCAAGTTTAGAACCCCAGCCGGGGTGGCCTTCTGGTCGGCGTGCTTGACAAAGTATAGCAGTCCCTTGCCGGTCTGGGTGGACCAGGCGACGGTTGGCTGCGCAACCTCGGGCTTCTCGCCGCGGAGGTAGGTGCTGAGGCTCTGCGCGGAGACAGGCTCGTCGCCGAACCAGAAGTACTTCTTAGAGTAGCGGAAGGCGCTGAGGCAGAAAGTCAGCGGATGCCTCGTGAAAGACGGAGATGGAGCAGAGCTTACTTCTTCAGGCCGGGAGCCTTGTAGCCCAAGGCACCAGAGGTGATGGGCTCGACGGGCTTCTCAGCCTTCGTGACCTTCTCCTCGGCGGCGGGAGCAGCCTCCGCAGGTGTCTCAGCCGTGGCGGGTGTCTCGGTGGCGGGCTCGGTAGCAGCTGGTTCCTCCGCCTTTGTCTCAACGGCGGGTGTCTCTGCGGGCGCCGGCGTGGGCTCGACGATGGCTGGTGTCTCAGCAGCGAGAGGTTTCTGTTCTTCGGCCATTGTGACTGCGAGTGTGGTGTCTAGAGGATGCTAGAGGGAGTTGTAGAGGATGGCGGTGTGGTGTCGTGGCGGACGGGCAAAGATAAGAACGTGACCGAGACAAGCTCGAGACAACGTGATATTACAAGCTGTAGCAAAGAAAGGCGCGAGCTGCAAGGGCAGACGAGAGTGGCTCGCGTGGATGGGAGAATGGGAGAGTGCTTGGTGGTGGAGTGATGTGGAGTGGAGGAAACAAGAGGGATGGGCTGCGAGCACAGGGGCAGCTTTCTTGTAGTCGCTGGCTCAGTCGGGTTGCCTGGGAGAGCACCGCAATTTCGCGACTAGCTAGCGCCCGACTCTGGAAGGGCTCGCAGCGCGCCAGATGCCCCAGCAGCCGGCCCCGCTGTGTCACTGACCTGGCCAGCGGGCAAATGAAACCGCCCGGGCATGCATTCGACGCCAGGCCCGCTGAAACACAGCGCTGCCAGCCGTGAGGCCAACTGCGACTCCAAATGCGACTGCCACTGCGCCTGCCAGCTGCGACAGAGTGGCAAGAGCACCGCACGCACGCTGAGAACCTGGGAAGCATCTGACGGCGCGACGCGGAAACTATTACATACGCACTACTGTCCAGACTCACGCAGCGATAGCATCGACTGCCGGCCAGACTATGGTCATGCGACTACTGGCGATCGTCCTACCTCACGAGAGCAAGGAAGGCGGCGCTGTCGGAGGGGCAAAGCACGCACGCAATGCAGCCTTCCACGCGGGCCATAACGTGCTGCGAGCCGTCACATGGCAGCCAGCTTATCATCGTCGCCTCTGCCTTGCGGTATTCGCTGCCGGCACTGACTGCCCTCGTCCTTCCTGCGGTACCGTCTGCTGCTCCCGGCCATCGCTGGTCGCGGCCTGACAGCGCAACGCCAGCGTACAGCCCGCGCAAACGACGGGCGCCAAGCAAGATTGATGGAGCAAACTCGACAGCCGCGGGCCTGGGGGTGCAAATTGGCCACACGTCCAGCCATGCGCCTGTGGTTGTATCAATTTGCACCTAGCCAGCCCGCGGCCTCAGCGCCGGCGGTCCAAAGCCCAGCAAATGGACGGCCGCGGTTGCGCATGCTCGCTGCTGATCGCCGTTGTGCCCTAGCATGCTGCGTGCTGCACGCGTTCTTGGCCGGAAGCCAGCCGAGGGCAGTTTCAGGGAAAAACGCGGAACCTGAGCAAGTGGAGGCGCAGTGGGAAAAATAACCGGCTGGACCCTCGTTGGACCCTCGCGCGCCAGGCCGATTCGACCTCGTGCCATTGCGATCTGTTCACCGCCAAAGCAGCTAGCCTGGGGCCGTCCTGATGTGGCGCTGGCGTGTCTCCGCTCTCTCAACCTTCGCCGAAGAGTGGATCACGCATAACCTTGGATCCGCCCTAGCGCTCACGCAAAATTGAACGTCGACTCATCGGAGCCTGCCCATCTGCACCGCAACGATCAGTGCGCAGGACCCCATCGATGGGGTTCTGTCCAGCTCCCCGACGAAAGCTCTGAGGTATTGCCACTGTGCGAATGCCAAGTGGCTGGTAATGAACAGCTGTGATTTCGATGAGAGGGTTCTTTGCTGAATCCTGGCTGAATCCTGATGGTCATCCGTGAAGGGCAGTCTGCGAGTAATGGTAACCACAAAGAAACACTACGAACGGCAAGGGACGACCTCAAAATCTCATGCCATGATCCCTTATGTAATGCCACACGGGCACCGCCGTCCGTCACAGAACCTGCATCAAGCCACCATCCAGCCATCAAATTGTGAAAGGGGCATACTCACCTACCACTTAATTGCAACACTAATTCCCCTAAACCTCTCCCAGCACACTAGGGCCATAGGAAAGCACTCGCCAAAATCCTATTCCATTCCAATCCCCATAGCCAGGTCCTTCCACCCGGCATCTCTAGACAGGACTCCCTAGATCAGGTGTCTGCCCCGCACACACACATCTTGTACAGAATGAGTGGCATTTCCAGCACTCAACGGGTGTCCGCTCCGAGGATCACTTCGAATAGCGGTGTGGTTCTCCATCCTCCAATCTACCTAGCACTAATCGCAGACGTCCGCTGCTTCTGATATACATGCCCGACAAATGGAAAGGATCCCAAGATCGTGGAATCGTCATTGCCACTGGCCCCGGACGTTGGGCCGGCAGATCTGACACCCAACACTCAACGCTCAACACCCATCAGCCTCCCTTGCCAATAAAAATCCCTACGATTCCATACAATCACTAGCTTCCCCCGTCCACATCAACCTCACGTGAGTGACAATAACACGAGAAAGTTTCTCCGTACCGTCCACCATCGCGATACCGTCCAACCTTGAAAAAATAATAAAAACATCCTTGTGAGGTGACCGGAGCACCTACAGTATATAGCTACCAGATAGGATGTAGATACATCCTTTCCAATTTATGCAGCCTGCCTGCGCAGGCGTATAGCCTGCGAGGCCTTTGCGAGTCACGTGCTCGCTTAGGCCGGGGTATACATAAGCCCCAGGCCATGCATCACGATTCCTCAAGGATTCGTCTCTCAATACACGAAATCGGCAAATTCCATCTACGAGCTCCCTGCCGTGCACTCTTCCTTTACAATCCTTATGCAGTAGAGTAGAGCGTGCAAACTAATTTATACCGTTTACGTTCACTTCTCCACCACACCCTCGTTGCGCCCGTCTATTCCGTCATACAAATAATTGCCAATTTTGTTAAAAGCGTCGTTGTGAGACACGTGACGTCCGATATCGCCGTTTCAACAATCGTCTACAGCGTTCAAAACCATCTATGCGTAGCCTAGGTGAACGCTACAGAACAAAGCTCGAAAGAGAGATGGAACGGTCTTGAGTAACCCATTCCGCAACGCTAGCTAGATGCCACAAAAGCCCGCCCAAGAACCCTTTCCCTTCCCTCCGACCTTCCTTTCCAGACGCGAACGTCTTTTTCATCGTTCTCACCCGGGGGGTGTGGGGGGAAGTTTTTTCCATCCTTTCGTGATGCGATACCGTACACAACGCCTTCCCGCTTCCTACCCACCCGCCCAATATCTACATAAACGCAGAATCATGCACGCAAAAAACCGCCCCAGCCCATCCTTTTAGCACTTTTATCGAACTGTGTACGCGTATAAAGAACACTTTAGAATAGGAAACACTACTCCCATCCACCACCACCAAATCCTCTTCGTGCTCTTCGTGACCCAACTATGACGCCGTCACGAGGACATAACTGTGTATGTGTTAGGAAACCGTTCGGGTAGAGTGGCGGAAGAGATCAAAAACTCACGAGGTAATCGCATCCATCCTCTCCTTCGTCAGCTTCAAGCTCATCTTAAGCAGCTCATTCGCAACCTGCGGCTCCTTGCTCTCCAGCTCATTAAACTTCTCCCGTGTCAGCAACCACGCCACGGAATCGTTCTCCGCCGCCACCGTCCCCGTCCGATCTGTCTCGCTGAAGAACGGTAGCTCGCCGCATGTAGTCCCCGGCAGGATGACCTCGTAGAAGTTGCCCTGCTCGAGGTCGTACTCGGCGCGCAGGCGGCCTTGCTCGAGGATGTAGAAGCCATCCGGGTCGTCGCCTCGCGAGTACAGCACCACGCCCGCTGCATAGCTACGCTGCTGAAAGAACGGCGCGGCGCGGTGCCAGAAGTCCTCGTTCTTGTCGCTGACGTCCTCGAACGTCTGCAGCATGATCTTGATTGGCTGCGCGAAATGCTTCCACTTCGAGGGGATCATCGTATCGTTCTCGTTGATCATGGTGTCGCCATTTTCTCGGAGGGTCGTGTCGGCAGCATGGATTTGCGCTTCGCGACGAGGGGACTGGAAGGCCGGGTCGATGGAGGTGGCATTGGAGTTGTAGGATTCCGCAGCTAGGGTGTTCTTGAGAATGTGCTGGGGGACGGCGCGGTGGTTGGGGATCTGGTCTGCAGCTTTTCGGAGTTAGCAAATGGCATGTGTTCAATATCAAGGGTTCCTTACAGATTGACATGGGAGGCGTCCCCTTGCGGCCGATCCTGTTGCGGTGTTTGTAGAAGGCGGTGAGAAGATGGTTCTCGCACGCTTCCAACGCCATATTCAAATCCTCGAATACTTCTGGCGGCGGGCAATCCGCGTCGGCCTTCTCCAGACTAAGTAGGCCCACGTTGTCGAGCGACTTGCCAACGTCGCTGGCGAAAGAGACACCCGAGAGCACCATCTTGACGTGCTTGCGACAGAGGATTCGGTTGATTCGTTGGAATCCTTCGGCCGCGGAGAAATCCAGTCCCGTCACATGGTTGAAGTCGACAATGATGAAGCTGACTGGGCGCATCTTGAAAGCTTCGTCTTCTATTAATGCGCGCAGGTGCTTTTCAACAGCGACAATGGTACCAAAGAAGAGCATACCAGAGAGCTTCTCAACACGTATTTGGCGACAGACTTGGTTCAAGTATCGTCGATCCGTTCGCGGTCGTCGGACGGTCGACTCGGCTACCTCGCCACTGTATGAGGCGCGGATTGCTGGGGTTCGAGAGCTTTGCACAACATAGCTGAGGCAGGCCAACACGATTCCAACCACAATTCCGACAACGAAGTCGTAGACGCCCATGATGAGGACAATAGCGATGATCTTGTTTCGTGTTAGTTGCTTGTTTCAAGACTGCTGATAGTCACTCACAGTGAGATATTCGAGCCGATGAAGCTTTCCATAGGTGTCCCATACAGCCTCTTCGAGCAGCTCAATGCCAAGCATGAATATCAAGGCACCGACGATGCAGACCGGGATGAAGCCGATCATTGCTGGCCCAGCCATCCAGACTGCAGTGGTTGCAGCAGCCAATGTCAGGCCGGCGCCTCGACTGTCGCCACCGTTCTCAATGAACAGAATGCTATTTGCGTAGACCAAATAATTCTGAAGATCGGTTTAGCAACCTAAATTCCACAGCTAATGATAGATTCGCCTACCTGAATACTTCCGATGCATCCGGACAATGTGTTCGATATACCATGGGCAATCAACTCCCGGTTCACACTAACGTTGTCCTCCTTGACAGCGACACCGAGGGCAGGAACATTGATCGGAACATGAATGATGCCAAAGAATGACAGCGCGAACATGGCAGGGATAGTGCTTGCTAGAGCGGGGAAATCCACTAAACGGAAATCTGTATTTGATTAGCTAATGATAAGTAGAGTCGATTATCGAATATACTTACTGAAGTACGAATAGAAGTGGTAGAAGGGTACTCCAGACGGAGGTTTAGCAAAGACCCATCCTGAGCTTCGGGCGTTGTCTAGGTTGATTCGCGCAGACGCAACTATGATGTAAAAGACTGCAGTAATGGCTATGAAGAAGCCGGGCAGAACGAAAGGACTCTTAAATCGTCGTCGGAGTACCAGTACTAGGATAGCCAGAGCGAGTGGAGTGATCCAGAGAGGGAAGGTATCGCCTTGGAATAGCTTCTTGAGGGTAGCCAGATCATAGTTGACACTGGTCCCAAGACGTGCGGACACTTCTACGCCAGTTACGGCGAGGAAGAACCCGACACCGCCAATGCAACCAATGAGGATGTTTCGAGGAAAGAAGCTGACCAGGTTCCCGAGCTTGAAACAACCCAGTGCTAAAAAGATTAGGCCAGTGACGATAGAACTCAAGCTGTAGGCTGTGATCACGGTAGCCATGATCGCCTGAGGGCTTTCGCCTTTCATTCTGTTAATAATAGAATATGCCATTTTGTGAAAGAATGGTACAACTTCAATCTGTGAACATTAGCGAGATTTTTTTTAGTACGTCATTGTATCGGCTCACCATCTCAGATCCCACTCCACCCTTGAATATTGACAATCCGAGAGAGTAACACAGCTGTGAAACTATGCAGCTGACGAAGAAGATAGAGATGCCATCTGCTTCGGTACCCTTGAAGATCTCCTCGCCTAGAGGAAACAAGATCATACCTGTGAAGTGTTAGCTTGAAATCTTACTACGCCTCACGCGTTACGTACCATACGACAGCCCATCTAAGACATTTAGCAACAACCCCAGAAATACCGCAGAAAGCATATTGAGGCCTCCAATAATGCTCGCGGTCACTGCCTTCTTGGTGTAGTTCTTGGGGTTTGCTACCTCACGGAAAGCGTTTATCACGTTCTGGCGTCCAGCGGACACCACTTGGGTGAAGAGCCTCTCATGTTTTGGAGCGGTTGCATAGCTTTCCCCCGTGGAGATAGATGCACCCTTCTGATGAGGGTCTGTCCGAGACAGTCTTGCTTTGGGCAGTAACGGGGTTGTTTCGCTATTATCTTGGGCCTCCGAGTCGTCAATCACCACCGAGGGTACAGAGCGCAGTGGCGGTACTCTGATCCGCGAATTCGGGTTGTTCCCATTGCTACTAACATGGCGATGCTCTTGTGCCTCCTCGTCGAAGAAACCAGGCTGTGGCGATTGTGGTGTGAATGGACTCGGCTCCCTCTGATTAGTCCCAATGACCGTCAATGGGGACTCGAGCTCCGGGTCTTCCTCAATTGCGTGGGAGAGGGTGGTGTCCATGCTGTCCCTCCCTTCGCTTGGCTCGGTGTCGCGGTGATGGGTGGAGCGCATGCCACTGCCGGTGGAGGAGCTGGTGTAGCTTCGGGGACGGTTTTGACCGCCAACGAAACTGTCGGAATCTAGTGCATACGCAGCCAGAGCTTGTGTTCTTTCACGTACTCCATGCGAGGAGTACTGGGGCGTGTCTGTGGGCCGGGTTAACGAATGGAGCGAGAGGTGAATGTATAGACAGCTTCACCTGCAGACGAGTAACTCGCATGATGGAAGAACGACCTCGCCGGGGTCCTCTGCGTGTACGATGTCGACAGGGCAGTTGAAGATGCCGAGGAGGGGGAAGCAATGTTTAGAGCATCGCTCGCCGCGGGCCCCTCTCCGCTGAACTCGGCGTCGTCCACGGCTTCCCCAGTGAACGGTAGCTGCTGCTGGACGGAGGTTGACGACTCCCCGGAGCGTTTGGGGTGCCGCGAAGGCATCTCGAGAGCCTCGTTAGCTAGTCAATTGCACGTTGCATTCGACCAGCAAACCGTCCAGTCCGATATCAGCAGAGACTGGCAGCGATTGCGGAGACGGCCAAGGATCCGAAAGCGGGTTGAGAGAGGAGACACCAATGGGATCACTCGGCGTAGTGTGGGAGGGAAGAAGCTGGCATGATGGGACGGGAGGAATTGGGGCGGTGCAAAGGCAGGACGAGGGCCCTCCCGACAGCCAAAAGGTCGGCCTGTAGGCAAGCTTCAGCGGGCGGATGATGGCACGGTGGTAGCGCGCTGCGGGAACTACGAGGCCTGAAAATTTCCACCCCACCGCGGGATCGAGCTTCATTCGCCACCACCTGATGACCAGAGCGTTATCCTAGGCCGACCTGGTGCCCGTGTGTGGAAGACCGGCCGCAAAGAGGGGAATGTAGACGGAGAAGCACCATGCAGGCCTCAATGGCATCAACATGGCATCAACGAGGGCGGACATGACACCACGAGAGCTTCAGAGATTTGACGACATCGCAAGACGAGCCAGGGAGCACTGCAGCTAAGCTTTCAGCCCCGCCAGGTGCTCCCGTTGAAGGATTTAGCGACATGCATCCGCAGCGCCTCACGCTCCCAGCAAATCAAACCCGCTCGTGACGGCCGAACACACATTTTGGGACGCCGTGCCCCTCTTGTGGGCGCTTATATTGCTTTTGACCCCCATCGCGCTCCACTCCACCGGTTCCCTTCTCCGCACATTAAACGGCCCACCATGCCGCGACTGGCATCCTGCAGAGTCATGGGACGGGCAAAACTATATGCCAAGTCGCCTGCCTTACTCGACAGCGGCGTCGGAGTGGAGGCCGCATGCGAAGAGACTTCCATCAGATTTCCCTTGGGCATGTGTGGGAGCATCGTGTCTCCCAGCCCCGGGAGATGAGGGTGCACAGGAGCAAGCCCTCGTGTCCTTGGTTTCTTCGACTGCCATCCCATCAACTCAGCTTTTGGAGGTACCCTTGAGCGATGAGCCGCTCGACATCCCCCTGTCGGACGTAGAACTGGCTGTTCTTGGTCAAAGTAATAGCCCTAGAGGCGGTGAGTATGGCGAATAGCCAGGCCGCTGGAATGGGCGCATACCCGTATTCCGTTTGAATCTCCCCTGCATCCTTCAGCACCCGAACGTCGATGAACAGGTCCCGCGGCGGCTCGAGGCTTCCCGTGAGATCAATGTCTGTCCACTGCCCTTTATACGCCGCCAGCAGGTCGCTGTACTGCCGCACGTATTCCTCCTCCTCCGGACTGAGACTGCTCATGTTGCCCACCTCCGCGCCCAGCGACCCAGCGCTCTCTCCAGCCTTGCCCGCTTGCTGTTGTCTCTCGAGCACATCGATGCCGCTCCAGCACATCTCCTCCAGCTTGTCTGACCGCACGCGATGGTAGGCCAACATGCATCGTTTGTTCCGTCGCTGGCAGAGGTGGTTAACGAGCAGTGCACACGCGGTCGCGGGGTCTGTAGAGGGGTCGAAAGAGCCAGCTAGTGACTCCAATGTAGAAGCGCGGTCCTTTTCGAGGTCGCGGACTTCGCGTGTTACGGCGCGTACCATTTCCGCTTGGTATGGCGGGAGATGGGCTAGAGATTGCGTGCGTTTCGCATGTTGGACCTGGAGAACAATCAGCTCAGTCTTCTACAAATGCGCGCATAACCCACCAGCTTGTTGCCGAGCTCGCCGTACATGTCTGCTGTGAAGGTGGAAGATCCGCGATCACAAGCGCATCAGCAAATGCACCCTGGGTATGGCGTCAGTAGAGGAGAGTGTCTGTCAGTGCAGACGACAATTCGACGCGTCTTTATACGAGCAATTGACGTGTTATATGCGTTCTATGAACCAGAATGAACATTCCAGGGTCGTCGTCGTTGATGGAGGTGGCAGGGTGGGGGTTTACCACGAGCCTAAGAAAACGGGCCGCGAGGGTCGATCTTGCCTAACCACCTTTGTGGGGCTAAAACTCGAGGAAAGTGTCATGACTGCCAGCGCTATTTTGACCTCACACGGCGAACGTCTACTTATGCAACACCTGCAAACGGGCTTCTTCTTTTGCGAAACTCAAACGTGTTACTACTTTGTGATGTGCCTTCCTTGCAAGCCCTGCCGCGCCTGCGTCTGCGCTGACAATACAATGCCTTTGTTCTCCTTACATGTTCTCTAAAGCAGCAACCCCGTTGTTGTCCACGACATTCACCCAGAAAGCGCACTGTCTTATTGGATTCATCATGAAAGAAAGCAGGTTCAGGTAAATAGAATGATATATTGCTCTAAATTCGACAAATCGCCACCCAAGCTTATCCCAACTCCCTCTGTGCCCAGGTGGGTATCTCCGTCTAACTTTTCAGCCTCACGCCGGAACTCCAGGACATGCAGAAAACGAAACGGTGCAGGAACGAGATGTATGATACACAACTTTGTACTGTTGGAAAGACATGAGTGCGTTGCGACTCCGAAAATTGTGCTTCTTCCTCTGCTAATCTACCCTCCTTCCAGCAAAGCACCATCATCACGGATCTAGGAGAAAGCGCGAACTGACACTAACTAGCGTGATGATCGTCCATCCACTTATCAAACTCGGAACCCTGCTCCATTTGCAGAACAGTCGGATCAACCTGCCAGGCCTCGGGGTGGTATTCGCCCTGTCCCGAATCGCCAGCAAGAAGGCTGTGCACGCTGTCTTGATCAAGCTCTCGCTCTATCATTCCGTAATGACCATTGCTGAACTTGAAATCGGAGTTGTGGTCCAGAAGGGTGCCCCCGTCGACCAAGTGGCCAGTTTGACCGCCCAGGCCACGATCATCATAGGCAAGCAACATTGGATCGACCTGGGGCTCATTCAAAGGTGTGCCGGCATGTGAATGCAATTGTTGTAACCAGTCGCTAGTCTGACCTCCAGGCAAACCAATAAGCGACGGGTCTTGGGAGAATTGCATGGATGATCCAGGAGTACCCATCTTCCGCATATGCACATCCTCCATGCCTGGGACTGTCATATTCTGGTGTATGGTCGTCTGGTAGTACTGGCCATACAGATCACCCTGACCCATGGGCACCGGTAGCGGTTTGCCTTCGTTGTTGGCTTCCCAGCTCGACCTGTTCAGGCCACCGTTGGGTCCGAAATAGCGGTTGTTATTGAGACCGCTCGTCAAGTCGCTGTTGGATGGATACCCAGCTTCCTTCCCCGGCCTACGTGGTTTTGGTCTCGACCTACGATGGCCAGGTGGACCCCAGTCCGCATCAGGGTCATCAAGGTCGCTAGGCTCATCGTCGTCATCTGAGTATTCGCCCTTCCGCTTCCGCGCCGTGGTCGCTGCTTTGCTTGGAGAGAACTTGTAGGTCGGGTGCGCGTTCTGGTGATTGATTCTTTCAATCTTCGCATAGTCATTGTAGAGTTCTCGGACCTCTGGAGGCTCCATTGGCCAGCTCTCTCCAGAGACCGAAGATACGACTTGATGGTTGTTTTGCAAGCACCACTGTTTTGTTCTCTCGGCATACGCAGACCGGTACAACATGAAGGAGTTCATGGGTCTTGTCACGTATCCGTTTCTTTTCTCCACTTCTTTCCGACGCACTTCAGGTGGCCTATTCACCCATTCTTCCATGTTCCGAACCGGGATATGGTCATAGTCTTTGGTCAAGATGCTCAAGGGCGCAGTCAGCTTTGGCGTTTTCGGTTTGTCTGCCTTCGGTGCTTTTGCTTTCTTTGGCTTGGGTGATGGTTTGGGTCGAGATTTGCTGACGCGAGGCGACCCGGACCGCGCGATGGAGCGTCCACTTCTGGTGTGCCTTCCTGCGTCGCTATAGTCGGTCGTTGATCTCGGGGTTGGCGGTGAACCTGAAAGCATACCATGTTGAGAATACTAATACAGCACAAGTCAGCATTCATCTTACGATCTTCCGTTCTACATATTCAATCACTCTTACTTGTATTCCATTGTATTGGCCGTCATGTTGATAATACCCCGGCTGTGCTCCGTAATTGTCCTTCTGTGCCATCAGTCTCTTTCCTTTGCGTCTTTTCCGATAAACAGGTGTGAAACTTACATAATGTATTCCCAGTCCCATGTCGTTGCCATGAGGTTCGGGATAACCTCCGGTGTCGAAATGCTGATTCTGGATATGATCGCCGGAATTTTGGGAGCTGAGATCATGGAACATTGGAGCAGGCGAATCGTAATGTGATCCTGGACGACTGAGGTACTGGGCTTCCTGTCCGTCATACTGGAGGTTCCATCCTGCGTTATGCTGTATGAGGTGGTGTAGTCCGTACTGGAGTTCGGCACTGCCATTAGGCGGTGTGGGAGGTTGCTGCACCATTGTGGCGGCTCTCATAACGGTAGATCCTTGGATTGAATGCGAACACGCTGGTTTTCAACTTGCTGACGTATCAAGACAGAATTACAAAGATGGCTTCTACCACAATACGCTTGCGATGCACAATATGTTCGAGGATTTTCTTTGGGTTCGCACGAGCGGATGGATCATCGGCTGCTCCAGATTACGGAGGCAATGTATCAATCGTGATTGCGATCTGTGGTACTCTACGATGCGCCTGCGTTGGTAACTGTCGCTCGCAATTATCCACCCCGCAATGAGATGGATCTGGTGGAATGACGTTATCACAGGGCGTGGCCGTGCTCTCCTATGAGCGCGCGGAGAGCTTTCTTCTATCGAACTTCTGGAAGGTGTTTCTGGAACAAGTATCAGCTTCTGAGGTAAGTAGGAATCTACCTGGCCTCAGTGTGTCAGTGGTAAGGCTGACCCGCAATGTTGCAGTAAATGGGTTTGCCATCCACCGCTTTGATGCAGGTAGATCAGAAAGAGCTTGGGTACGAACCTGTCGCAGATATCCGTTCCTCGCATAAACGCTTCTTTGATGCTCGAGCAATCAATCGGTCTGTGTTACTGAACAAGGCCCCGTACACAGACAGAGCGTGGTGTTTCTGAGTTGTTGTGGTCTCAGGGGAGATTCTTTGTCGAGGGGGTTGTCGGTCGGGCAGACGTTGGGAGGCGAAAAGTCCGACAGCAGTTCTTTGTCTGATCCGGTGAGTACCCGGAGAGGTATTTGTAGCAACCGCCGCCCTCGAGGACGACTGCTCACGTTGGTCGCAGGCGACCTGGATGCTGAAGACGGACAAAGAGCACCGGATCCGTGATAGGGTCGAAAGATTGCCACATCAGGAAACGGGCCACTGCTTTTGGACGCGGTGCTCGCTGGATACGAAGAGGAGCGAAAGCTACAGACTCTATACTGCTCGCAATAGACGCTACTCTCCGCAGAGTTGTAGTTGTTGCTCGAGAGCCGCCAGGATCAGAAGCGGCCATGGACAACGCTATTGCAGGGGCCGTAGCGTACCGGCGCCACGATTTGCCCGCTGGGCTCGCCATCCCCGAAGCGATCATGACGGCTTCGTCTTGCCGCTGTCAGCCCTCCCCCGGGCCGATGGTCAAACGCATGTGTGGCTGTCGATCTCCAGGCCCACCAGTTCGCCCGGCAATGAGCAGTCAGGCCATACGGCAGGACTACCCTTCAGAGCGACGTGCAGGGGTGCGAGGCCTAGCAGCCGTTGGTGATGTGGTTGGAAAGGCACCGCGTTCCACAGACTTCGAGGCCCACATTCCTCGCGCCAATACGCATCGCAAGAACCCACACCTGGCGCCCACGGCAGGGCAGGTGAGCGGCCGCCCGCAGTTTCAAGCTGGCCTCAATTTCGGCGAGTCGAAAGCAGCATGTCTCTCCACCTGCGGCTTCTTGGGCGGGGCGACGTGGCCGATACCTATCTTACAGCGGATAGCTGCATAGCACCCAGATCACCACCCCCCAGCGCGACCGGGGCCCGCGTCTATCACAGTAACGGCGTCGTTCTTTGCGGAGGGTCCTTCATCAAGTCACGGTCTCACCAGAACGTGCATGGATCGCCAGGGCACTGTGCCTTCAGGCTCCGCTGGGCGAATCTGCAGGTCCCGCGGGGTGGCCAGGATCCGAGACCAGGCTCTGGGGTGTCACAGAGGGAGAGAGTCTCCAATATTAGCGACGGGCCAAGTCACTGCTGTCTCTGATGGACTGCACGGTGCAGAGCTGGCAGGCAGACGCCGCTCGAGCCAAGCGCCGGTGCGAGCGACAGAATCCTCCGTTCTGGCTCGTCGCCGCGTCCATCAACACCATGGCCTCCCATGCAACTCTACGCCATGGCATGAGCCGCGCTTAGGGCTATACGCAAGCACTCAGCTCGAGCTAGGCGTGTCGCAAGCAGCTAGCTAGCACGCTCGGTTGCTTCCGGCCGATCGCTTGGGGTCGCCCGTCGCCGCCGGCGGTGTGTGTGGAATGCGCACTAATCTGCAGCCGAACGTTTGGTCTTGTGTAACCATCCGCCTGCAGCGAGCAGGCCTGATTGGCATGAGCAAGCGCACGCAGTCCATCCCGTGCTCGGCGTGGGAGTTAGGGTCGTTGAGCGTTTGGATCAGGGGTCTTTCCAGGGAAGAAAAGCGAGTGTGGGGATATGCCAAAGCAACTCTGGTTGACACGATTTAATTGACAGGTGGAGACCTTGCTCCCTTGGTATACTAACAACCGCACACCATTGGCCATTGGCATCGCTGCGTTGCATCCCACGCCTGGCCAGCCTACTGTCGCCCTACTCGATTCGTCCCAATCCCATCGAATCACGGCGCCCGCAGCATCGCGGGTATCTGGCTCTCGGGATATTGGAAAACCACCCGGCATGCGCGATGAGGGGTGGTCGGCCGCGAATATGCCACCTTCACATTTGGGTTTAGCAGAGGCATCCACCAGGCAACTTTTGCCTATTTTTTGCCTTTTAGTGTACCCGGGTGCCAGAGTTGCGAAGAGCGATACCATAGGTGGAGCAAGAGGGTCTCCGCGCGATGCTTGGCTCAACGTCGTCTTCTCCGCATTTTGAGAGAGCGGCACGCTATTGACTAGCTGGCGCGGCGACGGCCGCTCCGCTCCGGCGTTGGGCCGAACGCGAACCCGAGATTGAGGCTGCAGAGAAGGGGGGTCTGGATGGAGGTGGTGACTTGGTGCTTGGGTCCTGCGGGTTGGCTGATACCTGCGAAGATGGTTATCTGGGTGTGGTCAGGCTAGCTGTTCGGAGGGTTTGTGATGCGAGGGCTGCGTGTATGAGGTGGAGAGGTGGGAGAACTATTTGTCCGACGCGGATGAAGTGGGTTCCGGGATGGGGAGAAGATTGCGGCACAGTCCTCGGTGTGATGGATTGAGGGGCGGAGGAAGGGGCGGAGGAAGGGGCGGAGGTGAGTGTTTCTTTCGGAGTTTTGTGGTGATAGATGAACTTGAGCATCAAAATTAGAGAGGACTTGGAGGACTTGGCCGATTGTTAAAAACGACGAATCATGAACTGATTACTATACGCAGGGTAGGCTACCTGACAAAGTCCGACAACTGTGTAGTAATACGGATCCTCGACTGATTAGTATATATAGGATGTACTTCAAGATAAGTGCAGTACAGTTCACAATACAACGACCGATCCTCTACTATTCGTTTGGGTAGTATCTGTTCTCCCTCCTTACTGAGCTCATAATGGCGGAACGGCAGTATAGAACATTTACTATCACACCAGTCCGCTCAAGCCAGCACGCCCTCCGGGTGACATTCTCCAGTCCATCCATCAACCTCATCGGAGTAGACCTACTCAGCGATCTTCACGAATTCCTCACTAGCTTACCGAGAACGCACCAAAAGTCGTCGTATTCTCCAGCAGCGACGAAAAGATATGGCTCTCTCATTGGATCTCCACCTGGTTAGTGCTCAATACCCTCCCCCGGAAGATGTCGATAGCCAAGCAGCCCTTCGGTTGCTGGGCGAAACGATCCACCCCCTGAACAGCATTCCCATCATCTTCATCGCCGATATCAACGGTCTTGCGGTGGGTGGCGGAAACGAATTCGCTGTGAACATGGACATGCGCTTTGCTGGTCCCGATGCGCGTTCCGGCATCCCAGAGGTAGCTGGCGGCGTTGTCCACGGTGGCGGTCTGCACAGGTTGGCGCAGCTTATAGGGCCGGCGCGGGCACTGGAATGGAATCTTTCTGCGCGAGCCATCGACAGTAAAGAAGCATCGAGAATTGGCTGGGTTAATTCCGCGTTTGAGAGTAGGGAGCTGTTGAGAGAATATATGGATGACTTTGCGGAGAGGGTTCCCAAGCTCCCGCGAGGCGGGATAGAAGCCACGAAGAAGGGAATTCAGGAGACTCTCGCTGGGGTCGGAGGCATGGAAAAACGATATGAAGAGGCTCGTTCAGTTGGCACATACTCAGGAGGCACAGGGTGCTATCAGTAACCTTATTGAGCTTGGAGATGATCAGATACACGGAAGCTTTGAGCTGGAGCTGCCTGATACAAGTTCGAGAGTGTGGGAGTAACATGGTATAGAGAGTGGTTAACGCAGGTAGTGTCGAGGGCGTTGTATGTGTTCTTTCTCGCTTGTAGTATTTATTATTGCACCGGCGATACCACATTTCGCACAACTGTCATTACTCGCTTCTCGGTTACCCTTGCAGCTGTTGGTACGTTATTTCTGCTACTTAACGAAGCTTGCTGATATCGTCTTAGTCATCAAAACTGCCGGTGTCCTATTGGACGAAACTAGGACAATATCATTGGTTGGTGTGACCTGCAGAAGCAATTCTCGGCGGTGGCTATGCAGCACCCTCAGCCTTCTCACGGTGCCTCAATATCCACGTTGACTTCAATTTGACGTCCTCCTGCTACTAGTTTACCTATCGTCGAATTTGAAGCGAGTGCTGGAACATGGCTGAATCACCCGGACACAAGAAGCACACCAAGCGGTCATTTACAGACTGGCTGAAGAGGCTGCCGAAACGAGAGCCTCAGAGCCTTTCTTCCCTCTACGAACCACTTCAAGGCCGCCAGATACGAGTTCTACGCATCGAACCTGCGAAAACGCTGTCCAGTGACATTGAATGTTCACTCTTCACAGTCTCCCTTGACAACAATCCTACCTACAATGCCCTATCCTATCTTTGGGGTGCTCCCGACATCACCAAGCCATTAACCGTGAATGGAGTTGAGATACAGGTCACTGTGAATCTCCATGCGGCTTTGAGGAGAATTCGAAAGAAGAAGAAGAGAGTCGTCTTCTGGATCGACGCCGTATGCATCAACCAGCAGGATCTTCAGGAACGAAGCAGCCAGGTCTCATTCATGGGAGAGATATACTCGAATGCGGAGCTAGTTCTCGCTTGGCTGGGCGAGGAAGATGAAGATACGAGACCAGCCTTCGAGCTTATGAAGATATGGACGAAGGATTTGGATGAGTCGGTTCAGAACGCTCGAAATTTAACGACAACTTACCATAACGAGCATCGGGAAACCCTCCAGCTCTACGCTAATAAACTCTATGAGAGAGCTGTCAATGACCCTACCTATATGCAGAAGTTATTCGATGACGAGCGGTTTCCATCCATCCGAGCGGTTTTTGACAAACCGTACTGGAAGCGGGTCTGGGTTCAACAAGAGCTTTTCCTTGCCCCTCTGGCTATTCTTTTGTGTGGTGATCAACAGATCTCGTTGAATACGTTGTTTACTTTCGTGAGAACACGGACAAGTATTTTCTACAACTTCTTAGATCAAGGACAACTAGACACGATCCCTCCATTGCAAAGGGATCTCGGCGTCCCAGTGATCGCACAACTGATCGTAGCGCCCAGAGGGAATATACAAGACTTACTTCATACTACACGATCATGTAAATCATCAGATCCCCGGGACAAATTATACGGCATGCTAGGATTGCACATCGAGCAAGGGATCTGTATCAAGATAGACTACCAGAAGTCCGTGGAAAGAGTCTACGCAGAGCTCGTACATGTGCTGGCTGCATCTACCGGCTACCTCTTCGTCGACGGCTCCAACGGCATCGGTGTGTTCAGGATGGAGGCCGTCCCTGAAGCTCTTCCCTCATGGGTGCCTGACCTCACAGAAGACAGCGGGTCTATAGCAAAAGTTCTGGGTGTGGGCGAAGGATGGACCGGAGCTGTAGGGAACAAGAGAGCTGAAATACACGATTCCGGGAGTTTGGCCATTCTGAAGGCGTCTGGTCTACTACTCGATCGTACGTCAACTACTACCGCCATAACCGGAGGCTATAATTTCGACACAAAGTCCTTTGATTCCATGTGGAACGTTGTGAGTGCAAGTGCTGACAAGCCCCATCCTACGGGAATACCATTGCTGCAGGCTTTATACAGGACCTTACTCCTGCTCGGGGAAAGAACCGCACTGGAAGACGAAAACAACGCACGCCTCGCATTCGGCTTTATGGCATGCGTGGTTAACCGCTCGAGATCGGGGCCTCACCCCAAGTTTTTAGCCTTCTGCGAACGTTTTGGACTACTACATCTGCTCAAAGAAGATTCTCCTCATCTCGGTATCCGCTACCTCGAGGCTACCGGGGAAGTTGACTATCTATCGGAGAGACTGGAACGGCGCAGCGATGCCGAACGTCTGATATCTCCTACCGAAAGAGAGCTTTTATCGGGATTCTGGGGCAGTGAGGACATTACACTAAGCACTCCTGAGCTGGAGTCGAATATTCTGAATGCTGATTTTCTAATGATAAGTTTTGAAGAGCGGGCGTGGATATGGATGCACCACCATTCTATTTTCCTTACCAGTACAGGCTACGTAGGACTAGGTCCATTTGGTATCTGCGAAGGGGACCAAATTTGCATCTTACTTGGAGCCAAGCTCCCACTAGTCATCCGCTCGGCCGGGGATACCTATCAGGTCGTCGGGCCGTGCTTCATATACGGCATGATGGATGGGGAGATGATGGAGAAACTTGACAAAGGGGAACTTGCTCTCCAAGAGCTTACATTCAAGTAATCAAGTATGAAACGTCTCATCGGAGATCTTCGTACACTTTCTTACGACCATGTTGGGTGCCCTGGCCCGCTTTCGTTCATGTTAATAAGACAGAAAGCAAGATTCTCGAACAATCGGCCAGGATAGGAAGAGCACCACAATCAGTGTGCTCCTTGTTATTGCGATAGATCTTTCACGGAATCCCTTCAAGCCTACTCTAGAAGATGTGCTGCCTGCGCCGCCGGGATAGAGATCCCCCGATACTCTCTCCTCGCATGTACAGTCCACCACAGCGCCACCAAGAGCGTTAGGCTGCCCCAAATGAGGCACGAATAGTTCATCGACGCCGCCGAAACCGGTCTGCTGTACGGAAAGCAGTAGACGACGAACGTCATGAGCATAAACCCACACGCAAGGAAGTTCAAAAGGAAGCCGAGTCCGCCGCGCAAGCGAAAGACACTAAATTCGATCCCCTTTCTCCCTCGCAGCGCGAGTGGAAGCAGAGACGCGATGTAGGATGATGATGATAGGAGTACGAAGCTGCCCACGAATGTGTTGAATGCGGCGCTGCTCCCGACATATATGCAGCCCATGGCGGTCATGATGCCGCAGCAGATGAGCGTCGCGTTGACGGGGAGGTCGAGTTTGAGGTTGACGTGGCTGATCACAGCGGGTAGGGGTGTGGCGCCGTCGCGCGATAGCGCCCAGAGAGCGCGTCCGCATGTCATGTACAGCGCGATGACGCAGATGAAGGTGGGTAGCAGAAGCAAGAAGAGCAGGCCGATTGTTCCAGCGGTGCTGTTCGTGGCCTGGTGGTAGATCTCAGCGATTGGGAACGCAGAGACGAGGAGTGCATCGTAGTCGTTGATGGCGTACAGAATCGTGATGAGGTAGGCGAGGCCAGAGACGAAGCTGGTGATATATTGCATGGCAATCGCTTTGGGTATGTTGTTAGATAAGGAGGGGATCTCCTCGGCGAGATGGCTGGTGGAATCGGGCGTGCCCATGGCGTAGGAACCGTTCAGCATGCCTGCGACGAAAACGAAACCATTGGGATAGCCAATATCGGCAGTCCAGTCGATCCAGACTGTGGCGTTGCTAGCATGACCCGGTTGTCCAGACTGAGACGGACAGACAGCGCAGATAATGATAGTGATGAGGACGCCACAGACAGTGACGAAAATGCCAATCTGATTCAGTAAGGGCTTTTGCTTGTTGAATAGGCACACGATTGAGCAGGCGATCCAGGTGATGAGGAGATATGTCACGAAGACGTGCCAGGGCTGTACCGAGAACGAGGGATGGGAGAAGGCGTACATCTGAACGATGAGATTGCTTGCAGTGGATCAGCACCTCGAATGATTTGAAGGCTTCGAATACTTACCACATATAGCACTCATCGATGCCGCTGCGAGAATCCAGGCAAGTGTACTCCACCAACCAGCAAAGAAGCCAATGGCACGGCCATAACTCTTCCCCGGGGTCACTGATGCCCAGAGATATGGCCCGGCCGAAGATGGCATCGCGGACGCAAGCTCTGCCAGAGAAGCGGCGACCGTGAAGTAGAAGAGTGAGGCGACAATAAACTCGTAGAGAACGCCGGGAGGCCCACCATTGTAGATGGTGGTGAGAATAGATCCCCCCAACGCAGGCCATACGTTGCCGACAAGAATGACCATAAGCTGAAGCTCCTTTCGAGTTCCTGGACATAGCCTGTTTCGTTTATGATCTGGCTTTCGGTAGTGGAGACTGCATCTTGCGGAGGAGCGGATAATGCTTCCTTCTTTGGAGACGCTTCCAAGTCATGCATTCTTGCGGTATGAATACCTCGGTATAATACTTGAGGCATGACTTCAAGCGAACTCGAGGATACTCTGAACGCACGTTTCACGAACTTATCCTCACCAATTTATACACGAGGAGCTCCCTCGTTGCTCTACGTTTGGACGGCCCATAATTGATAAGAGTTCAATGAAATGGATCAGGCGGCCGTCTAGTAAAAGCATGTCAATGACCAATCACACTTACAAATCCGATGACCATCGCAAAGATAAATTCAAAGAAGGAGAGGTTGAATGGTCAAGCTAGTATAGTGAGGGACCCAGGTAGGATCGGGAAATACTAAGAGCCCGGGAGCTCATATACCGGCCTACGCTAAGCCTGGTGAGGAAAGACCATACGCCGCTACTATGATAGCCTCACCCCTTCTGACACCTTCGATTATCATGGAATATCTCGGACACAGTTGTGTTTCCGACTCCAGTAATTGTAAGACCAATCTAGATCCAGAACAGTAGCCTACTATCGTAGGTTCGCCAGTCAGCACTAGACTCACGTTCTCCTGAGTAGTCTACCCACCGGCATGATATTGGCTAAGGATAGGACTGAGAAAGATGGTCCTTGCGTTTGCTGCTCGGGAGTTGAACCATGCACTCCCAAGATACAAATATGGCGTGTGTCCAGGAGGGCATTGAATCTGAAGAGAACAAGTCCTTTGCTCCGAGTCTTGCCGACATGTACACCATATTCCTTCAGGCTCTTACAGCCTGTGCCTTTCTTCCATGTGTCTTTGCTGCTCCTACTCAAGATAGCTACCAGAAGAATCTCGCAGCTCCGAACGAGCACCCCGATGATGTCTACGATCTTGAACCCACAGCCAACTTCGCTTTCGCGCAACTCCCACAATCACAGTGCCTGACGGAGAGCGGATCTATTGGCGACATTCTGATCCTTGGGTTCCCCTTTGACACCGCAACCTCATATCGGACGGGTACGCGATTTGGCCCTAACGCCATCCGCCAGGGCTCGCGTGCTGCTTCTCTCGCGTTGGTGTCCCTTAGATGCTTGGATGACTGTGAACTGACTTGAGTTGTAGTGGCCACTACAACTACCGCCAATTCATCAATCCGTTCGCCCAGAACATATCAATCGTCGATTGTGGCGATCTTCCCATCTCGCCATTCGACAACACCCTGGCATTTGCTCAGATGGAAGAATGGTACAAGCGTATTCTATGGCGCGAAGTCAAGTCTACCGATGAGGGAGGAGTAAAGTCTCTCAAGGTTCGTCGTACCGGAAGCGAGCTCTAAAGGCAAGATAGCTGAGATCTCCAAGACTGGCAGAGCTCATTCTCAGATCATATCTCTCGGGGGCGACCACAGCATCTCGCTTCCAATCCTCCGTGCCCTCAACACAGTCTACGGCAAAGTATCTGCCATCCACACCGATGCGCATATTGACACTTGGTCTCCAAAGGTCTTCGCTGGTGCAGAAGCTGGAAGCAAGCAAGCCGAGTTTGCTGATGGAACTCCCTACTACTGGGCAGGAATGGAAGGCCTCTTGACAACGAAGAACGTCCACGCCGGCATCAGAAGCAGTCTAGACTCGGAGAAAGACTTGGAGCTCGACGCTGAGATGGGCTTCACTATAATCCCTGCTTCCGATATGCTCAAACGAGATGGTGTTTGGGGCGTAATCGATAAAATCCGGGCCGTTGTCCCACATGACGAGCCCGTTTACGTGTCACTGGATGTAGATAGTCTAGATCCCGCGTTTGCTCCAGGAACCGCCGGCCCTGCATCCGGGGGCTGGACCCCAAGAGAAGTCATCCAAATCATCATCGACGGACTAGAAGGCTTGAATATTGTTGGAGTTGATATTGTCGAAGTGCTCCCAAGTTATGATAATGCAGAGATTACTGGCATAGCTGCTGCGGAGTTCACAATTGAGGTAAGTCGACCTACGAAGCCTGTTCTTGAACTTAACTAATGCCGGAAAGTTGATCACTAGGCTCGTGAAGAACAGGCTTGAGACTTGAGTGCAACCAGAGGTTGCTATCGTGCAATGAAGAACCGAATCGAGTAGACAGTCCCATGTCATTGCAAGGGTCGACGAAAGTGGTAGAATTGCTTTCTAGACATCGTCCGCTTGTTCTCTTCGACATCTCGGAGAGAGTGAACCCTGCATCAATACTTTGAAGTAGAACATTGCCGCGAAGCAAAAACCTATACATTGGTTTCAATTTGAACGAGTACACCGACGCAAAATTTCTTCCTTTTGGGATATTTATCCATAACCGTAATAAAGACGGATTCCTCAGTATGGGAGAACGTCAAAGTGATCATCTATAATGTCAGCCTAAAACGTCCAAGAGGAGGCCATCAAACGCACCTTGTAGCGCCTCGGAGGTTGCAAATAATGTTGTATTTAAAGCTGCATCTTGCCGCTTACACAGATTTTCCAGAATCTCCTTGGAGGCGATGACGTTGCCCATCCCAAAATTGATCCACAAGAGTTTCAACAGGCGTCGAACCGCCTGTCGATCAGATGTCGGAGCACAAGCAACCTGCCACGAAGAGCGGAGGAAGCGCGGCAACTCCTGGGCACGGGCTGGCGTAGTACGTCATTGAGTAGAGACATGCTAATATCCTTTGCCTGCTATCTTCAACAGTGTGATAAGGAACGGAAAGAGAGCCCCGAAGGTAGATCTGAAGTATTGCCATACGGTGGTAAGCCTCATCCAGCAGGAACAGGTCCTTGCGGGTACACTGTGCTAGGCTGCCGTAACTGACGCTGCTAGGAAGTGTTCGTTTCGCCATTAGCACCCGTACTCGGTCAAATATCAGATGACTCTTATGTTCAAGCAATGAGTTGCAAGAGAAATGTAGGGAACCCGGAGCTTCTTCGCATACGAACTGTGACTCATAAGATTCCAGCGTCTTGTCCAAGGCACTGATGCCCTGGAAAACTGGCAACAAGTCTCTTGAGTATCCCGCGAGGTCGTCGATCTTGGCTTGGTCATCGCCTGTACCAACGAGAAGAAAGGATCGGTCCAAGGGACTCTTGCCACAGGCCAGAGCAATGGCTTGAAGAGCCTGATACTTTCTTGCAAGAAAAATGACTGTTGTGGAGTTGGAGGGGTGATTGCCGTTATGGTGGAGTTTTTCAATCAAGGCTGAAGCTCCTTGAAGATGCATTCTCCAAGATGTCTTCCCAGTGCTAGACAGGGTGATTTCAGCCATACATAAAATAATAGTGGTAGCGAGCATCTGCTCGTAGTCGACCACAGTCGAAGAACTCAAAGCAATGCCAAGTAACCTGAGGCTGTTGCATCGCATAGTCTCCAGCTGTCCGCCCACTACATCAAGACCTGTAGATTGGCGGTGTGCAGCAGCAAGGGTGAGCACCGCCGAGAGAAGATGGGAAACTTTCAGAGCCATCGGCACGAACGTAGAACAAAGCCCTTCTTGTATGCCTTGATGGTAAGAGATTGACTTTGTCATTCTATGCACGAAATAGTCAAGGAGAGGACGCGAGTGAGGTAGGACGGTTGGCGTCAAGCTGAGAGCGCGAGGCATTGTAGTGACATCGAAAAGCGAAGTCACTTCCTCGGTTGCATCTTCTTCGACTACCTCGTACGCCTCGCCTATTCCCGGATCACATACAGCGAGTTCCAGGACGCCACTGGGAACAGAGACGTCCCCTATCTTTGGAACAGCAGCGGTGGGATCGGCTTCTAACCGCACGTTGATAGGTGAGAACTGAGAAGGAGTGCCATAGACAAAACCGGCTGGCGTTGAAGTATCTACATTCGGTAAGCATCCCGGTCATGATGCTTTGAAGTCATGGATACTCACTTGCCGAGCTTGTGACGTTGATTGCCGTGGCCCCGGCGTCAAGACATTTTCCAAACCGGGACTTATTGAAAGGCTGACCGCCCCAATAGAGTGCTGCGTATAAACGCAAGGCCGTCCCACGCCGGCGCAATAGGCACAAGTGGGTTTGGCTTCGTTGCGGGACCGTCGGGTTTCGGAACACGCTTGACTTCTCGATTCTAGCATACTCTACAATTGGGTTGTAAGTAGAATAACCTGTTCGGAGTTCAGGGGCAATGTAGGTGGAGTTCCGGGATTTGAGAAGGCCCCTGACTTCGACGAGCTTAGTGCATGTTCCTCAATTTGGGCCGGTGCAATACGTAAGGACAAGATTGATTTCTCATCTATTTGACGAAGTTGGTGGTTGAAGCAGGATGTTCCGACTGGGTCTGTAGGCTTTTTCATTGAGGCGAGTCAAGAAGCTAGGTGGCTAGCTGATCAGATAGGATACTCATTCCCCTTTGGGTTTAGATCCCTAGCCGACTTTCTGCAGTAACACGCCGCTCTACATACTTCCTTGTACTTCACTATTACCCACACATCGTTAAATTCGTAAACAACAGCTCTGACCCTACATTGCTAAACCGGCCTGAACGTCTTAATACCAAACCCAAAACTCTATAAGATTCATAAGCAAGATTCTACCTTTCACCATTGCCCCCAACTGTGTTGCAAAACCATACAGTATGGCATTACTCTGCTGGGCCATAGAGTGCTGCATAGCAGATGCAGCCTGCATCTGCGCATAATTGTTCATCTGATTCATGCGTATCTGATTCATGCGCATCTGATTCATGCGCATCTGATGCATGTGCTGCTGTTGCATGGCCATATGGTGCCTCGTAAACGCGAGCCGTTCTTCAGACTCCTTCAGTGTCTCTTTATCTCGCAGCGCCGTTGCGTCATCCCCTTGCTTTGATTGCATGCCAGTAGTAGAGGAAGGGGCACCAGAAGAAGAAGATGCGGTCGTACGGCGTGGAGGAGCTGATGACTGCGCTGCCTCCAAATCACGCAAATATTTCTCTGCTCTGGCCGCCATATTACCGCGGATTTTCATTTTCGCTGGTTCGGAAGGTGTCTTCGTTGTCGATTTGTTTTCTTTGTCCAGCTTCAAAAGTTCCGTCTTCACCTGCAGACTTTCCGTGTTCTCCATAACCTTTGGAGTCGAGAACTCGTTCCAGTAATTGACTATTATCGTCCGTGCTTCTAACCATTCCTCGGTCGCCCCATCTTGGAACTCAACCATATCAGTGCGGACCTGAGGCAAACATTCGCTCGGAATGCACTTGTACGTGAACTCTTCTCCAGTGGTAGGGTCAATGAGGTTCTTTTGGGCAAGAAAAGTGTTCAGTGATTCCAGCGTCGCTTCGGGAGCGGTGCAAAGTTGCAGCATGATCCAAAGGCTGAAGCTAGGCGCAGAAAGTAGAGGCCTGCGAAAGCTTGCCTTCGAGTCATCCACAGTGTATTTCAAACCGATTATGGTGTAGTATTTTCTTGCAAGTTTGTTGATTGGCTGCGCTGGCAGTTTGGCTGCGCCAGGGCCGAAGTTTGGACGGGCAAAGGCCTGGAGTATGGAGTTGAAGCTGTGGGGATGGATGACTTCGGTACCATCTCCTTGTTTGTAGTAGTTGAATATTGCTGCGATCAGGCATGCCATTTTAGGTGACGGCATCTCACCATCTTCGGAGAGTTTCTTGCCCCAATAGGTAGCTGCAGGGTCTTGGAATAGATTGCCCATGAAGGATGTGAATGCGGAGAAGGCCATTATCGCGCTTGTTTTCGATTGTAAAAGATAGGGAGAGATTAAACCGGAGAAATTGTAGCTTGTAAGTACTTGTTTAAGATTGTTAAGGTTTTGAGTTTCGACAACACGAGGTGCTGCGCATTATCAATAATTGGGCTTTTTCAATAGCGCGAAGGCTGGTCTAGACTGGGCGTGTTGGCGAGAACACTCCCAAAAGTCGTTAACACTTGCTCAATCCGTGTCAAGGCGTTCTGAATCTGGGACAACCGGCTTGCCCAGGCTGCCAAGCGCAGCTCAGGATTGCACAGCCACGACCTCAGGTCACCCAGGCACTGCTCGGTTTCACATCCTTGTATGCTCAGATTCGAAAGCGGATAAATGGACTTTGGTGAGGTCAGGTTTCCCCTGAGAGTATATCGCTTAATCAGCGAAGATAGGATAACTTACCCATTCTCCTTTGGGTTTAAATCCTTGACAGAACTTCATGCAGTTACGCACCCATCCACTTCCTCGTTAACTCACTCATGGCAACATGTAGGCGAAGTGCTGAAGATGATCTCGGGCGTAGGGTCAACTTTACAGCTAATTATGGAGTTGTACAAAGACTCAAAGGGTCGAGCGACCCAGCGAGTCGAAGAATTAGGAAGTGCTGTTGTCTCTGGTACCTATTCCAGCAAACTCTTCATTTTTTCCACCTTCTCTTATATCGGTGTTACAGCGTCTATTTCTTTGAATAAAAATGGCATCCCTGTCCATCGATGAACGCACTTCTCTCCTCCCGGTGTCCCAGAGCTCCTCTGAGGTGGAACCGGCATGCAGCTCTCTACTGCAAGAGCTGCAAACTATAACGAAGAAAACGATACCTATCTGTGTCTCCTTTGCACCTCAGAACATAGTACAAGCCTGCAGCGTCGTCATTGCGGGAACACTTGGCCCATCTCCGATGGCAATCGCATCCTACGGGTTCATGTTCTTCTCCTGTACTAGCACCATAGTCGCGATTAGAGGTGCCACTGCTCTCGATACACTATGCGGCCAAGCTCTCACATCAGTACACAACCCAAGCATACTTGGATTGTTCCTTCAGCAATGCATAATCATTCTCCTCTTCATATTCGGGATGCTCATCACACCCATCTGGTTGCTTTCCGGCCGGCTCTTCATTGCACTCGGCCAGGAGGAGCAATTCGGTCTCGGAACCGGCCGATTCATGTGCATGATGCTGCCCGCCGGCTTCTTACAAGTGCTCAGCGAATGCTTGAAAAAGTTCCTTCAGGCTCAAGAAACGAGCAACCGAGTCGGCGTCGTCATGTTCGGGACGAGCGCAGCAGGCATTCTGATCAGCTTTGCTCTGGTCAAATGGACAGATTTAGGACTGTGGGCCATCCCACTTGCGTTCTCCATATACCAGCTCTCGACTGCCATCTTGCTGCTTTACACCATCTACGTCACGCCCATAGCTAGGGAGAGTTTCCGTGCGTCAACAACAGGAGTGCTCGGGGGCTTGCCTCGTGTACTGTATTACGCGATCACGGGCATTCTGACGATTGCAACAGAATGGTGGAGGTGAGCGCGCTTCAAAGGACGCTTTCTTTTACTGCTAACACTCTTCAGCTTCGAGATCCTCGCCATGATGGCAGCACGACTAGACAAAGTCTCAATCGGGGCCCAGAGCGTACGTCCACCGAACCTAGCATCATACCATCACTTAAAAGAAAGAAGCTAACACCTACCCAGATCCTAATGTCCTCAGACCTCTTCCTCACAACCATCTCCCTCGGCATCAGCGTCGCAGCCAGCCATCGCATAGACGGCTTACTCGGCGCCAACCGCGGCTCCCTAGCACCCAAAGCCATCACCGCCTCCTACCTCCTCTCCTTCATATTCGGCGTCCTCGAATTCGCAGCCATCATGCTCGCGCGAAGCCAGTACGGCTATCTCTTCACCAGCTCCCCCTCCGTCGTTCAGAAAACGGCCCAAGTCCTACCTCTAATGGCGGCCTTCCAGGTCCTCGATCTCTCGAATGGCGGCGCGGGTGGCGTTCTCCGTGGCGCCGGCAAGAATCACCTCTCAGGGGCGTGTAACTTTGTGGCGTACTACGGCGTAGGTTTGACGACGGGGTACTATCTCTGTTTCCAGAGGGACTACGGGCTGTTTGGGTTGTGGGCGGGCATCATCGCGGGGAGCGGCGCGCTCTTGATGCTCCAGACCGCATGCATCACGAGGATTTCTTGGGACGAGCTGGGGAGGGAAGTTTCTAAGCGGCATCGACAGTAAGGGGGGTAAGTCGGGACTGCTCCTATTCTTAACGGCGGACTGGAGCCCTGCGAATTTTGGATATAGCTATAATGCAGAGACACGTGACCTGAATCGTTACATTCCGGTCGCTACATAGCGTCTTAGGACAGTTGATCTGAGATCTGAGGTTGGCTGGAAGCCTCTCTTTCCCACGATTGTACCCTATCAGAGAGCGAGGGAGGACTAGAGTATGAGTATATAGACTAGTGGTTTCCAACGTCAGAGTTTGTAAATATATCATATCATTACTGGCAGCATCTAAGCGTTCGAGTCATCTAGCTCCGAACCCATCTCAACCCCCCACCAATCCTAATTATCCACCACGCCCCAGCTCTAGAAGATTCCTGACCTTCGAAAATCCAACTCCAACCAGGGGGTATTGGTACCGGCGTTGGTGGCGGCGGCTCATCTCGCATCCAGCCCGTCACTCTCCCTCTAAAATAGAATAGAAAAATAACTTGCGCCTCCATGCATGCCAATGCTACGCGAGAAATGAAAATCTGGCGGCTGTCGGCTATTAAGATCATGAGGCTAGGATCACGGATGGGCTGGGATGGTTAGCTGGAGATTTCTGGGGGAGGAGGAGTGTGCTTACCCAGCCAAAACAGCCTCGTCAGCGATTGATTGCGCATTTGTGACCATCATGTATGTCTCTCCTCCGAGGCCCTGCGGCACGACACACGCACCGTTTGTGAGGTCGCTGAACTGGGTGCCGGTTCTTGGACAACCGTTAGCATCTTATCTCCATGCGAAGCGACTAAGAGCGACTTACGGGCCAATAAATGCGCAATTTGTTGCGCCAGCAGGCTGGGAGGCATCTGCAAGCACCAAGCTCTGTCCAGCGACGGCGTTCATAGGGTTCTGGAGCGCGATTGAAGGGAAGGCTTGGATGGCGAGGTTAGAGCCAGCAGGGCAGGAGGTGATGAATTGCGCGGCGAGAGTGAAGACTGCGCGTGGGCCGAGAGGCGTGTCGAAGGCGGCAGGGACGGGGTCAGCGCTAGATGCAACTCGGATGAAGGTCTGATGGCGGGCTTCCACGGTTGCGATGGTAGCTGCGACGCTGAGGATGGCGGAGGAGTTGATGAGAGGAGCAGCTCCAAGGTAGCTATCATGGGACGTTAGTTACAGTTCATGCTCTCATATCAATGCTGCAACTTACGCAGAAAGACCGACGGCTTCAAGAATGCGTGCAGTGGCCACCATTCCGGCGGCGTCGGTGAAGCCGAAGTTGTACACGCAAGGCTCGACAGGCTCGAACCCAGCCGTTGCAATTGCGGAAAGCAGTGTCGAGACGTGCGTAGCTTCTGACTGTCCAACGGCGAGGAGAGCTGTTATGCTGGCGTCGCTCAGTCCTAGAGCCTGGAAATCGCTGGCCGGAAACTTGGCAAAACCCTGGCGGTAAAATGTTGCTTCAAGATGCTCAGCAGTCAACGCACTGATGGTGGTTAGTAGAAGGATCATGATAGTATGCGTGGTCTCGTGAATTTACAATTGAAGAATGTCGACATCGTTCAAACCCTGCGAGGCAGCCTGTCTTACATCCAAGCGTGCTCTCGGATATGGCTTCAACACTGACCCAGGCTTTGGCACAGGCGCGGGCAAGGCGCTGACAACGGGGCCCAGGGCGAAGAGATACTTGAGAATCTTGCGTAGGCTAGGCATGTTGGGAGATTAAGATGAACTATTCTTGATTTGTTGAATGATTGAATGACTGGATGCTAGCAAAAGCTTGCAGAGTAAAGTGTGCAGAGTCAAAGTCCAACCAGGGACAGGACGAGAATTGAAATGAAGGAACGTGGGTAGAATATTACGAGTGAAGGACGAGATGGGTGAACGTGATGTCTCTCTGCCAGCAATGATGCACCAGAAAACGCTAGGAGAAACCGAGTGGGCGACCGCATCTACCTTATAATCGGATATGCGACTCTCTTGGCTGCATCTGAGACGCCATGTCAAATCCCGAGGACCTGCGTGCGACGGGACAGGACTGCACAGGGCGGGCGGGTGCAGCCCCCGTTCTAGTCTGCCACATCGGGGGGTGTTCAAGCTCCCGTGCTTGGCAAAACAAGGCCTGCAGGGCGGCGGACTGCCTGGAAGGGTAGTGAAGCGCCCTGACTTTGGTGCGAGGTTGGTGATAGCTGAGGTGCTAGAGTCGCCCAGTGCAGGTGTTGTGTCAGACCGGGGGGTTGAGACGGGAAGCGTGCGCCATGAAACTCCAAAAGCATCACCACCACTGCTCGGAGACCGCAGAGCCGCCTGCATTGCCAGCGCCTTGATAATACTACTAAGAAGGCTGGCTGGGCTCATTTCCAGCAATGGCGGCAGGGCGTCTTTCCGGTCGCATGCTGAGGCGCTACTTCAGTGAAGCCCATGCCGTGCTGATCGTGAGCAGTCGTTTCTGTGTGCGAGCGCTGATGATGGCGACGGGTGCTCGTTGCAACTATCAAAATAGCCTTTAGGGCTTCGAAGATATGAATAGACAAGCCTACTACAAGGTGCGGCTGCTCTCGCGCGCTGCTCGCAGGCAGAGGCTCCAGGCCAATACGCTGGTGTTGGTGGATGCGGAGTGCGGCCTCGCGGCGGTTGCAAGGAGGTCCATGATGGAACCCGCCAAGCGCCCCTAAACACAGTTTATCTCCCTTAAGCTCACCCAGATGTGCGTTACGCCCACAGGGGACAAGCCGAGACAGGGGAGCGAGGGGCTAGGGACTGCTGGAGGTCGCAGCCTCGAAACCTCGATCCAAGCAGGCTGCTCGGATATTCACTCGCCGTCCAAGCTGTTAAGACACGTTGATATGCACCATCGGATCGCGGCAGCACGAGTGCGCAAGCTTATATTCAATTTGGAATGGTGCTATGGTCATACTAACAACAAGAACAGGGACTCTAATGGGGCTTTCCACTCCTACATATTAATATCTCGTCGTCTGTCCGACTGATTAAACTTGTTGCCCTAATCTCCCCCAAGGGCCTCTCTCGGCCGTATACCATCAATGTCTCAATCCACTATCCTCCATGCTTTTCCTCCGTCCAAATTCCCATGCCGTCCTCCTCGCACGAACTCCAATCTTCCATGCCTCTAAAGAGTAATGCAAATGATTGGTCAAGTAAAGAATGTGGGTGGGTGTTGTTTGACGGCACTTCCAAGCCTGAGCATGCGCATATGCTGCACAGGTTGGCGTGGAAGATGCGCTGACTTTTCATCAATCGGCCCGAATGAGTGTAGGGTCGATTGGTCGCTGTGGAGGGACTAGGTCCCTCTGGTAAAAGTTGAAATGAAGCAGTCGGTTGATCGCTCACAAAGCATAGGGGTTCAGAGAGCGGATCGTCAGACACCTGCAACGAAATGAGTCAGTACCATCATTAATCCGTACGAATGTGCGTTTACTTACGGTGGGCTCTTTGTCAGATCTGTTTTCAAGATCACGGGCACTCGGGTCATCTCTCGCACATCCTGGATGTAGTCTCCGTTCTCCTCTCTCAGCGTGAACCACTTGAGATACTTTTCCTTGTTTGTCAACTTCGCCTCGGGCACCTCGCTGGCAGTCTGATTAAGTTTCGAATCCGATTTGACCCGGTGGGGTGTTTGGCTGGAAGATAGACCATTCCTCGTCGGCGAAGGTGGCATGCTTTGAGTCGGTCGGTCAGCACCGGCTGGGTTGAGGGAAACACCCGCCGTCATGCCAGCCAGGTCTTCCATATCGTCCTCGTCATCATCGAAGAGAGCGTCGACGTCGTCCGTGGAAATGGTACCAGTATCCATCTTCTTGCGCTGGGCTTCTTCGAGTTCTTTAGCGCGTTGCTTGGCAACCTCTGCGTCACGAGCAGCGGCAGCAGCGTTGGCAGCACGCAGAGAGCCGTGTTTCGGACGCTCATCCTCGGGGATGTAGGTGGATGAGGGAACACCCTTTTCCCAGTAGAGCTCGAGCAGCCTTTTGTTCTTATCGAATTCGGCCTTCTTCAGTGGCAGTTGATCGCAGTGCACGCGCTTTTCGAATCCATATTCTGGAATGAGGACATCGAAGGCTGATTCGTAAACGCAGAGGATGATGCCTTCGCTGATGAGATCGCCGCCCAAGTCCAGGCGTTTCTTGTCCATCTTTCTGCAGGATTCAATATGCACGCTCTGCTCTTGTGCGGCATGAGCTGAGTCCTTCTTTGTGTTGCACATTTCGGCCATCTTGACAAGAGCTTCAATGTCGTCCGCGAATTCGATGGCGCCGTTGGACAAAACGGCCTCGAGCTGACGGTGAACAACGATGTCTGCATACCTTCGAGACGGGTTGGTGAAATGCGTGTAGACGGGCAAGTTTAGGGCGTAATGCGGGTGCTGATCTTCTGGCACCTTGCCGGCCACGCTGTACTTGGCACGCTGCATAGATTTAATCATGAGGGTTTCCATGCCCTTTCGGATGTCGTCGTCGTCAACCTTGAACAAGCTATTCTGCAAGGTGCCGCTGCTGGTAGTGTCGATGTCGTAGCCAATAGCGTTCATTCTGTCAGCAATGGTTTCGAGACGACGGGGATTCGGCGAGGGATGGCGTCTGAGCAGGGCCTTCTCCGGAAGCCCGGCAAGGATCTTCTTGGCCACGAATGCATTCGTCTTATGGCTGAGCTCCTCGATAAGTTCATGTGCGGGGGTCGAATCGAAAATGTTCTCCTCTACGGGCACGTTCTCGTCATCAAGCTGATACATCAGACGAAGAGGCGGGATATCAGTCGACCGGTCTCCAAATCTCGCCTGGCGGAAACGTTGTGTGATGTGACGGAGCATCTTGATCTCGTTGCTGAACTCGGCATCTCCGCGACCACTGATGACGGAGTCGACCTCTTCGTAGGAAACCTTTCCAGAGCTCTTGATAACTGATTTGCCGACCCAAGTGTCGTCCTCGAGAACGAGACCAGATTCCGGGTCAACTTTGAAGATGACACTGACGGTGTAACGATCCTCTCCAGGGTTCAGGCAGCAGATGTCCGACGACAAACGGGAGGGGAGCATGTTGACGGTGCGGTTCATGAGGTACACAGCCGTACCTCGTTTCTTTGCCTCGCGGTCCACAAGCGAGTTGGCCTTGATGAAGTGGGCCACATCTGCGACGTGGATACCAATCTCAACGTGGCCATCCTCGAGAGCCTTGAAGTGAATTGCGTCATCCAGCTCCTTGGTGCCATTAGGATCAATGGTGAAGGTCTTCTCGCCTCGGAAATCGCGACGGTTCTCCAAAGCAGCCTCTCCATCGTTGGCAACAGACCAATCTTCGAAACCGACATTCTTCAAAACGGCATCGGAGAAATCGTCGGGGCCGAAATTGTTGTCACGGAGAAGGGCATCAGTCTCCACTTTAAGATCTCCCATCTCGCCAAGTTGCTCGACGAGGGTGCCGAAAGGATGAAGAGAAGTGATAGGCCAACGCTTGATGCAAGCTACGAAGATTCGGTTGGCGTAGTCTTGGTGCCTTTCTACAAAGTCGCGCGGTGCCTGCTCGGTTGGAATAGCGATCAAAGGAACGCGTTTGTCGGTTGGCTTGAACCAGACGATCTTTGGCTTGTCTTGTTGACGTTCTGGCTGGTGACGTCCAGAGTTGCCCTCACGAGCTTGACGCTCAGCCTCTTGCTTTTCCTTCGTTGCCTGGCTACTAGGGCGTAGGAGGCCAAGAGTTCTGTGTTGAGTTAGTCGTGTGCTCTAAGATCATGACAATTAATTTACACTTACCCAGAAAACATTTGGCCCGCGACGCGCTCGATGACAGCAACAATGTGTCCAGCGTAGAGTGGCTTCTGCTCATCGTTGATCTCTTCCTCCTCCATGAGGAGCAGGCTCTGTCCCTCAACCTCCACGTCGTCATTCTTCTTCTGAGTCGGGCGCTGTCTCAAGCTGCCACGGCGACGAATACCGCCGTCTGTGCCTGACTGGCTAGTCTCGGGCTGTGTGGTTGCATCATTGACTGCGATGCTGCCGCCTCTCGGGTCAGAGCTGTCCTTCCTCTTCTTCTTTTCTTCCTTCTCTCGCTTCTGACCCCATACTTCATCAACGTCCAAGAGTTCGACAGCGACAAGGTCACCTTCTAGCGCACGGTTCCTGTCTTTGCTTCCACAAATGAAGATGTCTGCATCGAGATCGGTAGTGGTAACATAGGCATCACTCCGATTCTTCTTGTTGACACGCAGGATGCCGGCGACGAGCTGACCGTCGCCAAGGAGTGCGGGAAGGGTTGCCTGGGGCAAGTAAGGAGTGAAAAGAGTCTTGCGCTGCTGCTGTTGTTGCTGCATCGTCATCTGGGGCTGAGCGTGTTGGCTGGTTTGTAGTCCTCCCATTCCTTGACCATTCATCTGAGCAGCTTGGAGAGCCTGTAGATGTGCGATCTGCAGTGGGTTGAGGCCTTGGCCGCCGCCTGGAAACATTTGAGGCTGCACAAGAACTTGCCCCTGAGGAAGCTGAACGAGCTGAGGTTGACCTGGGTACTGGAAATTACCTAGGGAGCCGACCGACTGATTGACAGACCCTCGTGCGCGATGACCCGGCTGGAAGGGGGCTGCACCAGCGGTCTGGTTCATGTTGAAATTGCCCATGTTCTGGGATTGGGGATCCTGGGTAGGCTGCTGCTGTTGCTGGTTATTATTGTTGGGCTGTCGCCAGTTGCCTTCGAAATTCCTGGATCCAGTCCTGCCATGTCCCTGGCTTCCACGTCGTTGGAAATCCGACTGGCCGCCGTGGTTGCCGGCTCCGGCACCGGCATCGGCCGTCGCCTGCGGGGGAGGGAATTGGAAGTTACCTCCTCCGCGACCGGCTGGGCCGCCGCCGCGTCCACCGACTGCCATGCTCTGACTGCGACCATGTGCACCACGACCAGCACCCAGACGGCCAGGTGTGCTTTGGTCCCCGGATTGAGACCCGCCGTTGCCGCTGGGGCTCGAATCACGGTTGGAACTGGAGCTCGAGGGGGCGGCACCAGGAATTGGGAATTGGAACCCAGAGGTCTTTCGTTTTTGCTCTGCCAACTCGGCAGCTTTCTTAGCTTCTGGAAGCGCGAGTGAATGACGACGGGCATGCCCGGCGCCAGCAGCACCGCCGCCACGGCCTCGGGGGTTGACATTCTCCCTACCCTGATTGCCTTGCTGGGCATATTCTCCAAATCCAGAAGTCCCCGAAGATGGAGCCGGCGGTGGGCCCATTCCAACGTTTGGGAGAGCAGACTGGTTCCGACGGTGGGCCGAGGGCTGTGAGGGGGCATTCATTGGTACAGCAAGATGCTGTTGAGGCATCTGCTGAGGGAATTGGAAGTTGTTGGCGTGTGGGGAGACGTTGGGCATCTGCCCCTGCATTGGGAAGTTGGCGCCTGGCAGGTGCTGCTGAGGTTGAATCATGCCCATGTTGACATACTGCTGGTGGGTAGCGGCAATCTGCTGCTGCTGTTGTTGGAGGACTTCGATCTGCTGTGCGATAGCTAGTTGTTCCACTGTAATATGAGATTAGCCTCCCGTAACGATACAGGATAGTCAGGGATGGCCTACTCATCAGGGGCGTCAACTCAGACGGGCTGCGTCGATGAGCGATGTGCAGGCGACGGCCCGCAGGTCCCATGGGACCGGGATTGCCTTGCTGATCCATGTGTGGTAATTTGTAGTCCAAAAGCGGTGTACAGTAGCGCTATGTACTCGAATTGGGATATTCGACGGGGGTGAAAGGTGGGTGAAGCAAGTAGTCTTGAGAACAGTACTCGAAAACTCTAGACAGGAGATCTGGGATCGTCAGCGAAAGGAGCTCGGATGGCACAGCAAAGGATGAAACACAACAGCTCCAGGTGAAGTGGACAGATGGATGGACTCGACAGCAGGCCCTGATGGCAGCTATGACGGCGGTGGGGATGGGGCCGGCGGACTTACGTTGTGGAAGAGTGCTGGGGGATGCAGGATACGCCTTCAAGTGTATGGGGAATAAGAGCCTGGGGCGACTGCTAGAAACCAGCGTAGTTCTGCAAAGTGATTGACTGGAAAGCAGCTCGATGGTGTTGGAAGGATTGCGATGCTCGGGGGCGAGGGCCAAAGTCGAGGAGGCGGTGGTGGCTGCTTTCCCTTCCTGGGCACACAGGCAGGGCAGGACGAACGGTGCGAGGGAGCGATGGGAAGGAGCGATGGAGAGAGAGCGTGCGTTGCAGACTGGAGCCGCGCGAGGATGGAGGGCCAAGGGTATTGGAATAAGGAGGGTGAGGGTGGAGTGTGGAGTTGATGGAGGACGCCTAGCACGAGATGGCGATGGCAGCACTGAAGTGGCTTTACCCCCTCCGCCTAGCAACCTTGTAGCAGCACCCGCAAACGAACGTCACTGATAGCCCTGGCGACGCGACGCCCAGCAGCACGAGCACCAGCAGCACCAGCACGCAGTTTCCCGACCGTCCCGGGCACGCTTGGGGAGAGGCGAGGCTGTGCAGCGGCGGCCCGAAGCCAGTTGCTGTATCCTCAATTGCTGCCGCGCGAATCACGCAGGTGTTTCTGGTCAGTTTCATCTGCTCAGTTTCACGGGCACAGGGCAGCAGCATCGCATCTAGACGGCCAGCTTACACAGCGGAGCCGGCAGCGGGGAAGCGAGCCAGCGGAAACACTCGCGGCGAGGGCTGGGGCGACCAGAGCACAAAGCTACTTCAGGGCGCTCGAGGCGGAAGTCAAAGGCCATCTCGACGGGTTGGAACAATACCTACAAAGGTAGCAAGCCCCGTGGCTGCCAGCGCCTTATTGTCACGTCACGGTGTATCTGGGCCTATGTGCCGATATTGTGGGCTGTTATCTCGTCACCCTTGTGTTGAGCGAACGCAGCGATATCAATTCACGTCCAGGGAGCGATTGCGGGATGATCACGTGATGTAGCCAGGGTATAGTGAGGTTGAGGTTGTACGTCCCAATCCTCACTTTTTATTGTCTGAACTAGCATGGCATGTAAACGGATGTGTGGAATTGAGTCAGTGGGAGCTATATCAGTGTTCATACATGGCCTTTACTCTCTGGTGATGTGGTGGTGGTACAGTGGCAGATCCAAGACAAGCCGATGGCGCAAAATGGCGCAGCAAATGCACACGGGAGACTCGCAATCAGGATAGGCACAGGCTTGAGCTATCTAGAGAGATTGGGATCCTGTATCGAGATCTGGTTATTGCAGACTGTCCCAGAGTCCTCCACACTGCTTCCGCTGTTCACAAATTACTCGGTCGTGTCACCACTTCTATCAAGCCCTGCTTTCCGGCTATTCTTGTACAGATTAAGACGAGCCTACGACAAAGTAGCTTCTTGCCTCCGACAGAAGGAGTTCAAGCCCCTTGTCAGTGAATGATGGAAGCAGTGAGGAAACCCTGTGCACACGGTGGCCTGCCGAGCGTAGCGAATTCAGGCCCAATTTACGGTCAGATCGTTATCAGTATCGAATTCGGCGAAAGGCGTTGTCTCGATGAGTGAAATCAACCCTCCGCCTGTTTTTTGACGTCGCACGTCTAATTTCGAAACCTCATCGACTTCTGCCAAGAGCGCACGGACCACAGTTTCGCGAGCGCGCCAAGGTTCACGACCGCTTCACTTGCAAATGGGCGGTGGCTGGTACCAACCACTCCAATTTATACGTCGCCCTGCAAATTTTTCTTTCTCTTCTCCTCAATCCTCCGCTCCTCCTGCGGCTTCCCTTCCACCTTCTCACCAACGCCACCCACACTGCGAGCTCGCTGCGGACTACATTCCAGCAGCAGCACGCGTCCGTCTCACGACCTACAATCCCATCCTTCCCGACCGGCACGATGCCCGCCACTCCAGCCCACTCCTCCGGCAGCATGGAGTCTGCATACTCGCCACCCTCCAGCACTTCATCCCAGTCCCCTACCCGATACACCTACGACAGTCCCACCCGCCAGATATATGCGGAGACCAATCGACGCCGTCGCCGCTCGAACCAGCGTGCCCTGGAAATGATTGACAGCCCGTCCCGACAACTCATCCACGAATTCGGCCAGATGCTCCTCCACAAGGAGGCCAATCACAATATGCGCCTCGACGTTGCTTCTGCCAACTATGCCAAGTCACAAGAAGAAGTTCTGGCCGCTGCCGCGGATGAGCATGCTCGTATTCTCAAATATGCAGAGGCCGAACTCCGGATCGAGCTCATGGAGCTAGAGAGACAACGAATTGCCGCAGAGATTGAGCAATCCCGTCGCGACGAGGCAAAGCGAATCGAACTTCTACGCATCAAGCGCCAGGAGGAGGACGAAGCATATGAGAAGAAACGAAGGGAGGCTGCCGAACAGGCAGAACGAGAGCTACGCGAGAAGAAGCAGAAGGAGGATGAAGAGAAGGAAGCCCGGCGCAAAGCCGAAATCGAAGCTGAGCAGAAGAGACAAGCCGCCCAAGCCGAAGCCGAAGCCGATAGACAAGCTAAGGCTGCAGCAGATGCAGAAGCCGCAGAGAAAGCTAGGCAGGCTACTCTACAGGCCCAGCAAGCCCAACAGTCCTTCCAACCGCCGACTGCAGCCCAATCTTCTGCAACTCCGCAGCATCCACAGCTGTCTCCGTCCACTCTGACTGCAACTCTCCTGGAGCGCAAGACTGCGGAACTTGCTGCTCGTGAAGCCGAACATAAGCGCTATCTTGATCTTCACAAGGCACTGAAGACGTTCAGGGAGGACGTGGAGGCTCATCACAAGAGGCAATCCACAGACCGCGATGCTCTAGGCAATATCCGACGACGAGTGACAGCCGAGATGGGCAAGGTCAGCGCCAACAAGCAATCCAACGCGAAAGCTGTAAGTACTCGCTCACTCGGTACAGCAAAGGCTTTAGCTAACGCAGTAATTCTCGCAGGCCGCTTCAGTTCGTGGAATTCTCCGAGACGGAGTCTCATCCAAATTCTCCTATATGTCAACGGTTGATATACGCAAATACATTGTCCAACCTATTCCGGCGATTTCCCAGGACTCAGAAGCACAATATCCCACAATGCTCTTATATCTACTCAACATCTTCGCCAAGCGCATTGTGGCCCAGTTCATTTCAGAGGGAATCAAGGACTTCAATCCCATCGACCCGATTGGACTCATGGCCGTTTCCATCTTCTCAGATGACGAGTTCAAATGGAAGGGCGTCTCCATGTTCGATCTGATGCTTGCTAAGCTGCATGCACAATGCCCTGTCCTCTACGGAATCTACGGCCGTGAGAACACCGAGCGGGGCCGAGAACGCCTTGGTTGGCACCGCGAGGGAGGCGAATGGGACGACACGACTGTTCACATGGATAAGATGCTAGCTCTTGGTGCCGGATTTGCCTCTATGACTCTACGTCAATTCAACAAGAAAATTCCCCCGATCCAGGCGAATGAGTTCTGGCGCGCTTTGGAGTGCATCGTCAATGTCTCGTCGGAAGAAGTTACTGCCAGCCACTACTACGCTCTGCAGGGTATGCTAAAGGGCTTTGTGGAGAAGTTCCTGGTTCAGTTTGGGCCAGAGGCGGTAGTAGCCCTGAAAATGGCAGTGATCGATTTCCCGAAGAGGGTCACCGACAAGACGCCCAACGCGGAGTCAGTACGCACTGCAGCTCGCACTGTCGACGTTCTCGCAGCAGTCTGGAAGCGTGATCTCGGCTTGACGTTGACATGATCTGGCGCCGGCGCTTTGGATAACAAGCTAGCATTTGGTGGAGTTTACAGAGTACGATCACCAGCGTCACCCAGGCGGCCATGTTGTATGTCACGGCGGTTTTGATAACTACTTTAGCGATATCAATTCAGTACTCACATACCGAGTACAAAAGTTCACGACGTAGCATGAGATACAAATGATAAAAAAAAATGCATATACTTACATACAATATCCTGTGCCAAAGCTTGTGTTTGCGTCTGCTAGTTAATTAGTTGCCTATACCCTCCCTTTCCATGCCATCTTCCGTGCACAGTAATCTTGATTTCTAGAAATCCTTCACAGCAATAGGCTCCCACTCCTCAATCTTCTTGTCCGTCTCCACCAATACGACTCGTCCTCCAACCCACCCACCCATCTCTCCCTTCCCTTCCAAATCTACCCCTGCATCCTCAACTACTCGTTCCATCTCCCTCAACTCATCATCCGAGACCTCGATCGCCGAGCTAAAGCCAGTTAGCACGTTATCATGTACAATGCATTAGGAAAAGACAAACTCACTAAAGCAAGCTCAGATGCGGCAAATAAGCCTCCTCTGCCCACTTCTCCGCCTCCCCATCTCCCGCTTCAACCACCCCCCGTGCCGTCTCCGCTAACCCCCTCACTCCGTCCTTGCGTACGCGTACAGTAATCTTCTTAACGAAGATACTGCCAACCTCTAGCTTCTCGAACTGCACGGAGACGTCTGCAGCGGGCGGGAAGTTCTTCGCCAGCTCGTCCAGCCATGCTTGTGGGTCAGAGCTGTAGGCTGAGGAGGGGATGTCGGAGGTCAGGGTCACGTGGGGAAGGAATGTGTAGGGAGAGTTGAAGCGCGCGTTTGTTTTGGAGATGAGGGAGGTTAGGAGGAGGTTGAGGGGGTGGGAGGAGGGTGGGAGGAGCCAGAGGGATGAGCCTGGCATGATTATAACTGAGATATACCAATCTCAAGATCGTTGAATTCCAAATTTGACATGGAGAGAGAAAGCAGTTGGAGCATCCAGAGCGGGCACATCCACATGTAATACGCCACACTGTGGCTAGAACAGTGGCGCTTTCACATGTGTTCGCGAACCATGGAACCGCTTTCATCATCCCTCACACGTCTCAAAGGCCGAGCGAGCCATGTGCACCCATTTTTCCCAAAGCCACCATATCCCCGAATGCCAGCGGCGAATCAGCCATGTTTCTTGCTTCGTCTGATGGGCAGCTCCCGGCATCATCATGCTACTAGACAGCACCAGGGTTTACGCCGTGCTCAGGTTGGTATTTAACTGCGTGATTGACGTTGCGTTCTTCTGGCAGCTGGTACGTTTTGCTCCCACATCGTGTGGCTTGTGATTTACATGTGCTGCTGTTCTTGTCCGAGTATTGTTGGTGCTATACACACGGCCTATTAACACGATGTTGCAGAGGCTGTACTCCTGGTGGACGCGAAAGTCCACTCAGGATATCCTACTCGAGACCGTTGCAGAAGCGCGGCTGTTCGAAGAATGGGAGGCTTCCGCGTTCCAGCTCGATGAGGTGCTAGGCTATGATCTATGGTATGCTACCCATCGCGACCTCCAAGAAACCGTGAGCTAATGCCGGAGTTCACAGGCGCCAGAATCCAACGAGTAAATTCTACGATTACCGCCTCATCTATGAACGCCTCCAAGCCATCATCGAAGCCCGAGAAGAAGACGATATATTAGGCCTCGTGAACCTCCTGCGGTCGGGTCTAGTGCGCAATCTGGGAAACATAACGGCCCCGCGGCTGTTCAATCGCGCGTATGCAGGCACGAAGCTGCTGATTGAGGACTACATCACACAGGTCGCGCTCGCGATCGAATATATGACTTCATATCCCACTTCTCCGGGCTCGGAAAGTGGTCTTACGAACCAGGCGAAGCTGGATGTGCTGCACGATACCCGGCAGGCGTTTGGGAGGTCGGTGCTCGTGCTGCAAGGAGGGGCGATATTTGGCCTTTGCCATCTTGGAGTCGTGAAGGCGCTTCATCTTCGTGGACTGCTGCCTCGTATCATCTCGGGAACGGCTACTGGGGCGTTGATTGCTGCGCTGGTCGGCGTTCATACTGAGGACGAGCTTCTGGGTTTCCTTACTGGTGATGGGATTGATCTGACTGCGTTTGCGAAGAGTGCGGGAGCCGTTGGTAAAGATGGCGAGGTAGGGTTCAGTAGAGGGCAGAGCGGGTGGTTTGCCACTTTGAGTAGACGTGTTAAGAGATTCATTCGCGAGGGCTATTTCCTGGATGTGGGGATTTTGGAGCAGGTTGTAAGAGCAAATGTTGAGGACTTGACATTCGAGGAGGCATATGCCAAAACGAAACGGGTGCTGAATATCACTGTCTCAACGACTGGAGGCGGAGTTCCAAATCTACTAAACTACCTCACAGCTCCGAATGTGGTACGTTACTCTCTGAAGATATCCTTCCATCCTCATCATAGCTAACGTCTCTATAGCTGATCTGGTCAGCTGCACTCGCCTCCAACGCCTCTTCCAGTACGCTCTACCACCCCGTCACCCTCATGTGCAAAGATGAAACTGGTGCTACCGTCCCCTGGACCTCCGCCGAAGGAACGACCTTCAAACCCTGGACACACGCCAGCTATTCTGACCGCGAATCTCCCCTAACCCGCATCGCCGAACTTTTCAACGTCAACCACTTCATCGTCTCCCAAGCACGGCCTTACCTCGCCCCCTTCCTCCGCTCAGACCTGCACCATCCGAACCCACGGCAGGATGGCAAATGGAGTCTCTCAATGCCTATTCTACGGCTCATCGTCATGGAAATCCAGCACCGTCTTAATCAGCTTGATGAGATAGGGTGGTTGCCCATTAACATTAGGCGCTTCCTTCTAGACGAGAACGTACCAGGGGCGAGCTTGACCTTAGTGCCAGAACTCACGCCGGGTGATTTCATCAAGTTGCTCGAGAACCCTACGCGCGAGAGCCTGGAGTATTGGATCCATCGCGGTGAGCGCAGCGTCTGGCCTGCGGTAGGTGCACTTAAGGTTAGATGTGCCATAGAGGTGGAGTTGGATCGCGGATATCAACTGGTCCGGCGCCGGAAGCCATTTGATCCTGTTCAAGGCACGGGATTAAGAAAGAGCGGGAGTACGGGCATGAAGAGGAGAGAAAGGGCGAATAGTTTTGGGGGAGTGGGGTAAAAACTTGACGGATTACGAAATGTGAAATATGAGTATATCATGCCTCCACCGCTTATTGATCTATACCACCAATAGCCGTGGGAAAATGGCCGAAAAAAGGCCACTCACCTTAGCTAGGAAAATATCACAACCACATATAGAACTAATTATAGACATCCTAGAAGTCCGCATGCATCCCCGCATCATGTACCGCCAAACCCAGTCCCTCCACCAGCACCTAAACGGCATCGCATCCGACAAACCACTCCGCTCAAACCATCGCCAGGGCAACAACAGTTACTCGCAAATCGATATAATCGCGTCAGTCATCGCATCGATCTCCCAGGTGAGGTGTCGGTTGCAAGAATCCTTACTCTATACCCCGCATTCGTTTATTCTTCCACGACTTGGAATTGACGGATGTAGAACTACCGCCGCCGGCATGGTACCTAGGTAGCTTCATCGTCATGCCACCAGCGATATCCCCACCTTTGTTGCGGAAGATATCGCAGGAGGTGCCGCTCGGGGGAGCTGTTTGCGAGAGGGGAGAGTGGCGAGATTGTGGGAGATGGCGAGTGTTGGGGTTTGGTATATATATTGGTTCTTGCCCCCCCTTTTAACTTGATGTGTTTCTGTTACGGCTTCTCTCTGCGTTGTGCTTTTGTCAATTGAAGTCGATTCCTTACATGACTCAGGATGAAGCTCGTTATACATCTTCTGGGCGCTGTCGTCCTTGTGTGCTTTGCTGTTCAGACATGTGCGCGCGCGATTGGGGGGACGCCGAAGCTGTGGATCAAGGACTCTACTCAGAAGCCTCTGCAAGATATTGTTTGTAGCGCTATTACGTTTACAGATGGATGAAGGCTAACATCGGCGAAGGTCACATGGGACGAGAACTCGCTCTTCGTACGAGGAGAGCGTATCTTCTTTTTTAGTGGAGAGGTTTGTTATTTCCGGTCACTTGATTCGACCGTATCTTTAGTTCATATTCCATATACTAATATTGGTCTGATAGTTCCACCCATTCAGGCAAGTGAAATATGAATCGAGATGAATGTTACAGAGCTCATAAGTCGACTTCAGGTTACCGGTGCCGAGTCTCTATCTAGACGTATTCCAGAAGATCAAAGCTCTAGGATTCAATGGTGTTTCTTTCTACATCCACTGGGCGCTCTTGGAGGGAAAGCCAGGTGAGTTCAGCGCCGAAGGAGTCTTTTCGCTGGAACCTTTCTTCGAAGCGGCCACAAAGGCCGGGATCTATCTATTGGCTGTGAGTGCACTAGCCAGCGTTTCGTGGCAAAAAGCTAATTTGATAGCGACCTGGCCCATATATCAACGCTGAAGTCTCTGGCGGAGGATTCCCGGGCTGGCTCCAAAGAGTGAACGGCACTCTTCGAACCCGCGATCCGGAATATCTGCATGCCACAGATTTGTACGCGAAATCAGTAGGAGAGATCATAGCCAAAGCCCAGATCACGAACGGAGGCCCGATCATCCTTGTCCAACCCGAAAATGAGTACACCGGCGCGACCTCTGATATACACCCATTCCCGGATCCGGTTTACATGCAATATGTGGAAGATCAGTTGAAGGACGCTGGTATCATTGTGCCCTTGATCAGCAACGACGCATCTGCATCCGGTGATAACGCTCCAGGTCAGCCCGCTGCTGTAGACATCTACGGACACGATGGATACCCCCTAGGATTCGATTGTGCCAATCCGTACACTTGGCCAGATGGGGACCTACCAACTACGTGGAGATCCCTTCATCTTCAGCAAAGCCCAAATACTCCCTACTCCATTGTGGAGTTTCAGGGGGGCAGCTTTGATCCCTGGGGTGGCCTAGGCTTTGAACAGTGCTCGGTGCTTCTGAATAACGAGTTTGAGAGAGTATTTTACAAGAACGACTACAGCTTTGGTGTGGCAATATTCAACATCTACATGATTTTTGGAGGCACAAATTGGGGAAACCTCGGCCACCCAGGTGGTTACACCTCATACGACTATGGCTCATCTATCACGGAAGAGCGCCTCGTAACTCGAGAGAAATACAGTGAGTTGAAGCTGGAAGCAAACTTCTTCAAGGTATCACCGGCATATCTAGTGGCAGAGCGAGGCTATGCATCCAATTCCACATGGACCAGCTCGACTGCACTCACTGTCACGCCTGCGTTTGCGAATAGCACTGCGTTCTACTTCGTAAGACATGCGGCTTACAACTCGCTGGAATCGACGAGCTATAAGTTGAATGTACAAACTTCGCGGGGGAACTTCTCGGTTCCACAGCTAGGGGGTAGCCTGACGTTGAATGGACGCGACTCTAAGATACACGTCAGTGATTATGATGTTGGTGGGCTGAACATACTTTACTCCACAGCGGAAGTCTTCACATGGTATGATGGCACTAGTTGCTTGTATGACTGATAGATTATCACTAACCGCCGCCTATAGGAAGAAGTATGATTCCAAAACAATCCTTATTGTATATGGAGGACCCAGCGAGACGCACGAAATCGCTTTCCAGGGCTCCACCGCCACACTTGTTGAAGGCTCTGGACCTAAAATCTCTAAGAAGAAAGACTACACCATTGTCAACTGGGAGGTGTCTTCAGATCGCAAGATTGTCAAAGTCAACTCCGATGTCTTTATCTATTTACTTGGTAAACAAAACTCAGCTCTCAAGAAGGAAGAATACTACTGACAGTAGCATAGATCGAAACTCTGCTTATGACTACTGGGTGGTAGATCAAGCTCTTCACAATGCTTCCAATTCCGTTATCGTCAACGCAGGCTATCTCGTAAGATCCGCCACAGTCAAAGGAAATACACTAGCTCTCGTAGGAGACTTCAACGCAACGACAACCATTGAGGTCATCGGAGGTGCGCCCAAATCATTGGCCAAACTTACAATCAACGGACATTCTACGCCCTTCAGAAAGGACAAACTCGGGGTATACACTGCCATTGTAACTATTGAAAAGCCAAACATCAACATCCCAGACCTCAGCAAATTAAAGTGGAAATACCTCGACAGCCTCCCCGAGCTCCAATCAACCTACTCCGACGCCTCGTGGACCTCCGCAGACCTCAAAACCACCTACAACACCCACCGCCCCCTAACCACCCCCACAAGCCTCTACAGTAGCGACTACGGCTACCACACCGGCACGCTCCTCTACCGCGGCCACTTCACCGCCACCGGCGCTGAGGATACCCTCTTCCTCTGGACCCAAGGCGGCTCCGCCTCCGGCACGTCCGCCTTCCTCAACTCGACCTTCCTCGGCTCCTGGGCCGGCACCGACGTCGCCACAAACGCAAACAGCACCTTCACGCTGCCGAACCTAGTCGCCGGCAAACCCTACGTCCTCACCGTCGTCATCGACAACATGGGCCTCGACGAGGACTGGACTGTCGGCACCGAGTTGATGAAGAACCCGCGCGGGATCCTGAACTACGCGGTCTCCGGCCGCGAGCAGTCCGCCATCGCGTGGAAACTGACGGGCAATCTCGGCGGCGAGGACTACGCGGACCGCTCGCGGGGCCCGTTGAACGAGGGCGGTACGTTCGCGGAGCGGCAGGGGTTCCACCTCCCCGGCGCTCCCTTCGAGGCGTGGGAAGACAGCGCGGGACCGACGGCTGGGATTGCCGCTGCGGGGATTGGATTCTTTGCTACGGCGTTTGAGTTGGATTTGCCTGCTGGCTACGATATTCCGCTGTCTTTTGCGTTTACGAACTCGAGCGATGATGCGAGTGGGCGGGCGACGGCGTATCGGGCGCAGTTGTTTGTGAATGGGTGGCAGTATGGGAAGTATGTGCATAATGTTGGGCCGCAGACGAGGTTTCCGGTGCCGGAGGGGATTCTGGATTATAAGGGGACGAATTATGTGGCGGTGAGCTTGTGGGCATTGGAGGAGGGGGGAGCAAAGGTTGAGGGACTGGAGTTGGTGGTGGATGCGGTGGTGGAGACGGGGTACGGAGGGGTGGAGACGGTGAAGGGGGATACGTGGACGAAAAGGAAGGGGGCATATTGAGGGGCTCGGCATGGGAAAGCTGCCATGTAGGACAGGGGCAAAAGTATGATTTGTACATTTGTGCAGGTTCTTGAATATGGTTAAAGCTACTCAAGCAGAGACAAAGAGGTGCACACATGGCACACGGAGTTATCACTGCCTGGCTTCAATTGAAGAGTAGCCCGGAGAGTAAGAAGTCAGTCAGTTAAGAGGCAGTCTACTTTACGCTACTTAAAACTTGACATTGTGCCTGGATTTTTGAAAATCTACGGAGGTACCTTAAGCAGTGCACAGACTTATGACACTAACTTTATTCCACGGTTGGTTCCAACGGACAGTCTGAACACCTAAGATGACAACAAGATTGACAATGCCGAACTACGACACCCATCGGTCCATCGTGACACATACACTGAAATTAGTCAGGTATGTAATCATTTACACAGCTATCTCTTTGTTCAGCTTACACAGTACCACACGTCGCCTCCGTCCATCAAAGGCACACCCGATACACGTATTGGAGCCTCATGCCAGTCATAAGGCTGTGGATCGGCACGGGGCGGGTTGCATCCAGGGACGATTAATTCCCTTCCCAGTAGGCACCGAGTGAGGATTTGAGGTGACTGCGGGCAGCGCATGAATAGGACTGATCGTTCGAGTACTTGGGGCGTCATACCTGCCCAGATTCCAAGTGCATCGATGCTGGAGCTTGGGAGATATTGATTCCGCCCTCAAGAGTCGACTCCATAAGGCGCGGTAGGGTTGATCTATAGCCGAATCAACAAAAGCTTGGGGAGAGCTGCAGACGCAACGACGACATGCACTGACCACGCCATAACAGTTATCTGCATGTCTGATGCGGCGGACGCCCGCTAGTCTGCCTTGTTGCCTGCAGCTTTAGACGAGCGAATCGGATCAATGCATGTTGCTGTTGGGCAGAGTCGGGCACAAACCTGCGGGTTCCGCCTCACAGTCCACCAGCGGCTTTAGAAAGGTATCGAATGAAAGATGCAGGCATTGTGCCGTCCAGTCGTAGTCTGCAACAGCAAGCGAGGATGGTCAAAGATATGCGTCGCAGCCTTTCGAGGCAGTGCAGGGCGTAAAGGAAGTTATGATCCCTTCAGCAATAAATCTGTCCATTTCCCAGTGCTATTTCTTGGTTTCTATCTCGTCACCGCTCGTCGTTCATGGGGTCTCAATTCTCAACGCCAGTCGCGAACAATCTACCTCCTCATCCGTGGCAGCAATATACATATCGCAACGAAGGTGGTCATCATGCCGAAGACGGTGCCGGTCGACTATTTCGATCACAAAATGTGGCCAGCAGGCATGTAATTGATGGATTCATCACACACCGCAGCCATGAACTAGAAAGGCCGATTCCCCGAAGATACCAAATCGTAAAAGATTTTCTAAGTGAGGCCGTTTCTCCTTCAAGTCGGTCATCGTCTCATTCTGTCGAACACGATATCGCCATGTCAAGTCTTGATCGCGATTTTGCTCTTGTGGACGATCGCTGCAACGCCACTGGACACTCTGATGCAGGGAGACGGTGGGAAGGAGACAAATACAAAGGTGAGGTTGCTATATCGGAGAAACGAAGCATCCCTCATCTCCACGAACACCTGAAAGCGAACGTAAGTTTTACGATACTACGATCAAACGAGGATGTTCCTAGGTCTAACTGATATGTTTTCATCGTAGAGACTGGCCCGTCGTGCCGAGAAAAGATTGGTGTAGGTCACTTGCTTTATGTTCCATCCAGATTGGACACTGCCTAACAACAGCAGATTCATTCCCAACCCAACCCCCGCAGCGGCGTTGGCGTTAGTGTCTACTGTACCAAGTCGAACCGCCATCTATTTGAGAAGCTTTCTTTGTCGGTATCTACGGAGAGAAAACCTTTTTGGCCTTACCACAATGGTGTGTACCAACTACCCAGCTATCGTCAACAACAACGTTGAAGCTAAAAATCTGGATAGACTGGGCTATTCATATTGGAATTTCACATTCCCTACTATGCAATTCGACATGATAAAGATATCAAAGATCCCCGTCAATTGCGCGGAAAGCATCTGCGAGAATCGGTCGAATTACCTCTTCGCTCTCGCTCCCGTCATCAGGAGCAGGTGTTCTATCACGAGTCACAGATTTCTGGCCTTTTCGTCGGCCCCGACGAATGGGTATGGACTACCTATTTTCTCCTTGACACCTTTTTCGGAAGCGAAGACCTCATGGAAAAGTATCTCGCAAATTGCCCTCTGGGCGAAGGGTTTGATCCTCCCCTTAGCGGAGGTGTGAGGATGGACAACCCACATTACAATCCCCGGGAATACCTGCTCGCAATTCTCGATCGTCGCATCTGGCAAATAAAAGCAGAGTGGTCTCCTTTGATCGAGACGTTCGACGAACGCATGGAAGCATATGTAAGTACAGTGATAGGTCATAAGTCTGTGCACACGCGGTTACCACTGCTTGGGGTACCCCATGGAATTTCAAAACACCTAGGCGCAATGTCAGGTTTGACATAATGCAAGTTAGACTGCCTCTTGACTAACTGGCTGCTTACTAGCTGGGCTGTTCCCCACAGTGGTGTCGAGTAAGCAAGACTTGAGCTAAGTAGTGATACTTTCATGTGCCGGACTTATGACCCAGTACTTCAATCGTAGACTCTCAAGGAAACTTGCTAACCTGTAGGAGGCCATAGAACTGTCCGGAGTTTTCGAAGATGACCCAGAGCGGACGCATACCCGGACTCTTAACGGGGTCATCCGAACTATTCAGCGCTTTATGAGTGTCTTGAACGCAACTGTAGATTCCTGGAGATCCTTCAAGGAGAGTCGAATACCGTATTTCACAAGCAATGGAAACTTACCTACCAAATGGCAAGGCCACTTTGAAAGGATAGAAGTCAGCATCATCGAGCTTGGCAGACTTTGCAAGGGACTTTCCACTAAACTTGATCTCTTCAGAGAGATACAAGCGGGGGTAAAACAACATCCACTCACTGAAGCCCCAAAGCTGATTTGTATCAGCTTTCACGAGCATCCAGCCTTAAAGAAAGTGCTGCTGCTACCCAGACAGCAAGATCGGCGCTTGTGCAAGGCGAGAACATAAGACTACTCACACGAATGACCGTGGTACGTAGAAATAGAGACCACGTCCATATAATCTTATTGAAGCGAAACAGTATATATACCTTCCCGTAATGTTTACATTGGCATTTTTCAGCATGCCGTTTGCACGTCTCGCGCATCCCTGGACCTGGCCGCTCTTCTTTCTCACCCTTCTAGTCGCCATCATGATAAATTATGTCATTGCAAGTAATCGCTGCTGTGTGAGAAGGGCACTCCGTCAGAGACTAGGATCGCCAATTTTCACCTCAACTGTATGATTTTAAATGACCTGTCAACATTACCAATGTCTCGTCATACCAGACTTGTGACCTAGTGCAGCATCCTGCTGCAAATTTGGCGATACTGCAAACTGAAGGTTTATATGCTTAGATCATGAGCGCTCGTCCTCTATTTTGTATTGGAAATATATGGACAGGCATGATGTGCCGCTAGGTTACGGGGAGCGGTATTATTGCATTGCATGATAGTCATTTGAATGAAAATTGACTCTATTGCTTGCGTTTCCTTGGGGACCGCAACTATGAGCCAGCCTTCTTAGTTCTCCGTGACCCGGCTTTCTTGCCATCGCTCCCGCTAGTAGCAGCAGAGGCATCTGTTTTGCTTCCGCCCATCTTCTCCGCGTCGGTTTTCAACTCTTTCTCCTTCTTTTCCTTTGCTCTTCTCAAGGCAGCCTCCTTTTCCAAAGCTTGGATAGTGTTCTCACTGAGTTCCCACAGCTTCTTCTGCACTTCCTCGTTCTCAATTTCAGGTTTGACAAATTTGACTTCCCTGCACTCTTTCAGGAATCGCCCGCCTTCTCCCCTTCCGTAGTGCTCGTCCATGGCCGCATACAAAAAGGTCTGTGCCCCATGCTCTGGACCTTTCAATACTAGCCACCAGAACGGCCACATAACGAGGTACAGAGCCAAGCCCCATAAGCTCCCGAATGTAAGGTATCTTCGCATTCCCGGTGTTCGCGTCCAGCCCGGATCAACCATGATTACTCTGGAGTTCATTGGCTTCTTGTCTGGACGCGCGTAGGCGGCAAGATGCTTCTGGAAAGTGGAGGCGAATGTCATTACGGCGAGTTTGGAGGTAGCGTAGGCGGATGAAGGGGTGAAAGGTGTTTGTTTTGGAGCCGCTGCAGCCTGCTGCTTCGACTTTGATTTGGACTTCGAATTTGCGCCTTTCTCCGTACTTTCTTCGGAAAGGCCAAGATCTGGTAATGTTCCGCCCATGTAAGAGCTGCATGTGCCGAACACTATGCGCACGTCTCGGTCCGGGGGTTGTGCGCGTAGGGCTGGACTCAGGATGCTCAATAGGTGGAAGTTGGCAAGGTAGTTCAAACCCCAGCTTGACTCAAGTCCGTCTTCTGTTATTGATGCCTTCCCACCTGGCGGCGTTCGAGTATCCGCACATAGGATGATCGTGTCTATCCGACGTGGAGGGGCATTGTCAACCCATTTCGTAGCGAAAAGTCGTATACTATGGAGTGAAGACAAATCGACGGATTCCGCGGTTATAAGCTCGTTATTTGTTTGGCTCCTCATGTCCATTATGAAGTCCACGAGGAAAGGATCGGAGAGCGGTTGCTGGGTAAGGAGGACGATTTGGGCGCCGCGTGTGGCTAGGCCTCGAGCTACTTCAGCTCCGATACCTGATGTACCACCCTAGAATTCATGATTAGCCTAGATTAGACACGTTTTGGCCTCTTATCTTACGGTTATCATGACCACCTTCGAGTGCATCACCCGTTCGGATGTGTTCGAGGCGCCATTGAAGTATCTTTTCAGCAGCACGAGTACGGCAATCCATATTACAGCTTTGACAGCAGTCCAGCCAAAGGGAATAGCGGATATGCCATTGAATAAGCCTGCAGCGGCAAACGGGATAGGCATAATTGCCCTTCACGCAGATGTCGTTCAGAAAGCCACGCGGAACTGAGGTGCCAAGAATCATGAAACTACCCATGGAACAACTTTGCCGCGGCCCGGCTTGGCTAGCGTCATTTTTGGACTACCTAACGCGGATCATACCAAGGTATCAAGTAGGCCTCAACTGATTTCGTTCGTTGAACTAAAACTCTCAACTCAAAGACCATCTACTTTCATCGTCTTATGTAAACCAACTTGCGCCTATCTCCTAAAAGCAAATTTGAGTATATTGATTGATCCTCGTGAAGTCCCATAAAGTCTTAACCATGTACTGGGAGGAACCTTAGGGTGGCAATAATATCAAGTGAGTCAGAAGCATCCGCTTTTTTGAGACATTATGCAAGTTTACTATGTATGGACTGCTTCTTCTCAATTTAAAGTCTGCCGCTGTGAGTCACAAGAGCTCCAGACTCCAGACTCCCAGTCAGCCTTGTCTTTCCGGTGAAGGCAGCCATCTGTATCAATGCGGGGTATGCTATCATTCAGACTCTGTGAGACATCTTGATATCATCTGTGACATCCCAAAAAGTGACATCTTTTGAATGGATCCCAATGGCTTTCTAGAGTCTTGAATCTGCGTTTATTGGAACATTAATCAGAGTCACGGCAGGATCAGCCCGCCCTACAAAGGACTATCCGCCCCATCTCAACTCTGTTCCATGGGTGGGCTCAAAGGACCATCATCCTGGCACCTGTGCCGCACAAGGCAGCAGCGTAATTATGCTGGCATGCCTGACTATATAGCTCACCTCCATGCCTTTGTACTTTTATCCAATTCGATCTGATCTTATCTTTGAGTGCATTATTTTACCGCACTCAGTCAACTCTTATTCACGCGATGTCTGCATCCGAAACCAACATGGGAGCTGCCGCAGCTGATCAAACCAAGGAGATGGAAAGCAACGGCGAGCTTGTCCCTGCTGGCATGAAGTGCCATCTTCGGAACCTCTACGAGGGCGAGCCTGATCGCCGTGGCCGTACCTCCTGGACCACCAAATACCCGGCTGATCTAGACGAGCCCCCAGAGAATGCTGAATCGGCACAGTATGCGCTGGTCGCCCGCAACAAGAAATGCTACGATGGCAGAAGGAAGTTGCGTGTTGAGTCTATCGTCATCCAGAGCCCTCTCCTGAAGAAGGTTCTTGGTGTTGTTCTTGTGGGGTACCCTGGAATCACTACGAGTCTAGAGAGACTGGAATTCTCTTCCCCATTCGAGCCATTCGTCCATCGCTGGGAATAATTCGTAGAGGCGAAGGAGACTGCCAGTGACCCGGAAACAAATGAACATCTGGATCTTCTATGGGAAGTGCTCGAGGAAGAATTGAGAGATACGATTCGTGAGAAGAAGGACCTCATCGCCAACGGTGTGGTTACCTTCGATAGCATTTGGACGATCTTTGAGCCGGGTAGCTTAGTATACACGAAAGAAGAAGGCCACGACAGGATCTTCAAATTGAGGAAAGGGACATACGGTTCCAACCAATGTGGCCGCTTCTACGCTCTCAACGTGAGCTACATCGATTTCGACGGCGAGAACTTCGGACACGGTACGCAAACCTTGAAAATTGGAGCATTTGCGGGGACTGGGCCAATCCGTCGTCTGTCTGCCTTTCCACTGGCATACCATCCTGACGCGGGATCTATTAAAAAGACCTTGATCGCTAGGGGTGAGGTATTTGAAGCTTATAAGGGCTACCACTTCAAAGCCTATCAAGGCATTGCCATGGGTCAAGGCGCCTGGGGTCCTATCCGGTTTAGTGTCGACAGCCGTATTATCATTGATACTTACGCCTACAATCGCTTCAATCCGAACCGGAAAATCTCTCTTGAATACCTCAAACCCGAGGGCGAGGGCGAAGACGAAGACGACGATTGCGACGAATGTGACTCTGACATGAGCTTCATCGATGGTATTACCACACCGTCGAATAGAAGTACTCCCTTGAGCGAAGACCAGCTCATGCTCTGCACGCCAAAGTTGAGGGGATACTCGTTGAAGGACAAGAAGTGGCTGATATTCTTTCTCCATTCTGTCAAAGACATCGTGTGGAACGACCAGGCCTTTGACTCTCTCGTTGCGCCTCCCGAGCAAAAGGAACTGATCCTCGCATTTGCACAGGTAAGTGGAGTATCCGTTCCTTAGATAGATGTCTGGCTAACAAGCGTCGCAGTCTCAAGCGATGAACAAGCAGTTCTTCGACGATTTCATCCAAGGAAAAGGCCGCGGCATCATCATGTTGCTCTCGGGCCCTCCTGGAGTTGGAAAAACGTTGACTGCAGAGTCCGTGGCTGAGACGATGAAGGTTCCACTCTATATGATGAGCGCTGGAGATCTTGGAGATGATCCTTCTGACGTGGAAAGCTCGCTTTCTAACATACTGGAGATGAACACAAAGTGGAATGCAGTGCTCCTTCTTGACGAGGCAGATGTCTTCCTAGAAGCTCGGAGTGCGCACGATCTGGAAAGGAACAAGCTTGTTTCGATCTTCCTTCGACTTCTGGAGTATTACGAAGGGATCCTGTTCCTGACCACTAACCGGGTCGACAACATCGATGCTGCTTTCGAATCGAGAATCCACCTCTCTCTTCAGTATGACGACCTAGATCAAGCTTCGCGCCATCACGTCTGGTCCACTTTCCTGTCCCGTTCAAGCAATGTCGGCAATTTCACGAGTCAGGAGGTAGACAAGCTGGCCGCGGTACCGCTGAATGGAAGACAAATCAAGAACATCCTAAAGACAGCGCAATTGCTTGCGAGTAAACAGGGGGGGGATTTGAGATACTCCCATGTCGATACGGTGATGAGATTGCGCGCTGCGAACGCCAGGAAGGCTTGATATGATTCTGAAAGGGCACATCTTCTGGCCTGAGGTCCTACACTGGTTCTGGAAGGGGTTTCATCTGGATTTCCATTTGAATGTAGTGTTTTGAATTGATTTTCTTGTAATGACTGGATGCTTGATATGAACGATGAACAACGCCTCGTCATCAATCTGTGTACAGTCACCTGCTGCTGCCGAGATACACGTGGTCCAATGTTGAAACCCTAAAGTTCATTGTTTTGAATAATCAGAGAATCCGCCCCGTCACCGCAAATGGCGGCTAAGGGGTGTATTCTAAACGGCTGGACGTGTCAACTATCATTCCATGGTTCTATGGATTTGTGGGAGCAACTTTAAGCAGTGGAAGAGGAGAGCACACATGGGTCATTAATAAGGCACTGTCTGTAACGACGGGTGGGATCGGTGAATGAACGGCCAAGGGGCCACGCTGGGCGTGAAAAAAGTAGCACACTCATCAAGCACTCTGTCTCGCGTGTATGCCTGTTTGCCACTGCCTGGTGTGCTTCAATGAGTTTCCACATAGTCCAAGGCGAAGGGGTATTATCTTGGGACGAGCTTAATTACCACCCCCCTTTTCTTTTGCTATAACCCCCCCTAGATTTAGCTTAGCTCCGGCCCGCCACAACTTTGTCCCACTAATTTGAAGCTTTAAATCTGCAACACTACGAGAGTGAATTAATAGCTATATGCCAGCCTGCCACCTACCATTATATTTAACACAGAACGTGCCTAGATAGCTAAGCATTTAGCCTAAATAGCTTGCTTTTATGCCGGGCCCTTAACTATAAACTACCTCCTTCTTAGGAGTAGATAGAGGTCCTTTCTAGAAAGATAGTAGACCTTATGCTCTCCTCTATAAATGCGTGGCAGTCCTAGTGGCATAGGGCTAGAAGGGTATAGTAGGTGGTGAGGTCATGCGGGTTAACGTAGATTCCGTATTAAAGCTTAGTGGTTCTGCTTCTAATTGGTGAGATAAAGTTGTTACAGGCCGGAGCTAAGCTAAATCTAGGGGGGGTTATAGCAAGAGAAAAGGGGGGTGATACGGAGAGAAAAGGGGGGTGGTAATTAAGCTCGTCCTTATCTTGTTCAGATTCCTGAAAATGCATTGAAGCACTTCAAGCAGTGGCAGAGTGCCACCTTTTCTAGAGGCAATAAAAGACGGCGTCGGATCGGAGAAACAAATATCCGCTGTCAATCTTGGCATCTTTTAAATCGACGCCTACGTCAACAAGTCGCCTCTAGCACTCAACACTAACACTCTCACCCAACAACATGGCGGACAGCGACGAAGAGTCTTCTGCAGTCCCCCTCGTTGACCAGCGCGTCTTCGGCGCCGGACTCAAGCGCACAAAAATCAAGTTCGTTGCCGAGTCGACCCCTACCAAGAAGACCGATGCACCCCCCACTAAGCCTACGTTCGCAGAGCTATACCGCTCTATCGTCTTCAAGAACTTTCCAGAGAGCAGCTCGGCTTCATCTCCTGCTCCAGCAAAGACTGAGTCCGTCTGCGACGTCTGCAAGCTTCCAATCACTAACGACGATCTTCTCGCCCATCAGACAAGCGTACTCCACATAATGTCCAGGCCGCTTCAGCATCCTCCTTCTCATATCGATCGCACGCGTAAGGGCCTCTCATACCTCGAATCGTATGGCTATGACCCGGATAGTCGGACAGGATTAGGCGCGAAGGGAGATGGCATTCTGCATCCGATTAAGGCCAAAGAGAAGAGAGACACCGTTGGTTTGGGAATGAAACTCAAGTCTTCCAAGGATGGCAAACCTCATGTGCAGAAGAGACCGATCAATTTGGATGCTAGCAAAATCCGAAAGATGCATGATGAGGACAAGAAGAAGCACAAGAAGCTGGTGAAGCTGTTCTACGGGAACGACGACGTGGAGAAGTATCTTGGACAGCTGCGCTAGGACACGAATACGGCTGGGTTCTTTCTGACTGAAAGCATAGCGATGGCGTTTGGTCGAGATCATGTAAGCATTTGCAGGATAGCGTTCTGGAGACCACGAATTATCCTAGGAAGCAATGCAACATCCATCACATCGCCATAGGTTCCCGTGCTTTGTTTCCCTATTCCTGGTGGGTGTTCGAGAAATCGTGAGCGCTAACAAGTCAGAGCACCACAGCCGTCGCTAGGAGCCATTAGCTTGATTTACACTATGTCCCCAACGCCTTGCTCTAAACCACCGACCTCATCCATGACGCTGCTCTATCACCTTGCTCTATCGCCTCACTCTAACCATTCTACTCGCTTCACACTATTCCAGCGCAGCTTTCAGATCACTCACCCAACCCAGTCTCCCTTCCGCAAAGATCTCCCCGCCCGCGCCCCATTTCGGCCCATCTTCCAAAAGCAGCGTCCTCACCACAACCACGTCCGGGGCCACATCCTGCACATGATATATGTGGCTCGTGCACTCCCTGCAGAAGAAACAATGTACCTTCTTCCCGCTGGCACCGGTGTACGCGTACTCCGCTGGCGAGCCTCGCGTTATCGTTAGATCCCCCTGCGGGATGATGGTGTTGCAGGTGTACGGCGAGCCGGAGAGAAGCTGGCACGTGCGGCAGTGACATAGCACATGCAAAGGCTGTGGGTACGTGTCCAGCGCGGCGGTGAAGGCGAGGTTGCCGCAGTGGCAGGAGCCGCTATGCGTGGTCTTGGAGGTGAGTGGGGCGGGCAAGTCGCCGAACAGTTTGCCGGGAGTGATGTCCACTACTAGTGAGTCTTCGCTGTTGGTTCAAGAAGAGTTAGAAATCGCTCGCTCGCTTTGCTTGGAGGAGTTCAAGGGAAGGAATGGGGAGTGTCACATCAATGGCTTCGCGGCTTTTGAGAACGCTGCGTGGACTGGATCTTTTGTGAGATAGTAGTCTAGATCATCCTGGCTTGCGAATTCGAGGACGAAGCCGTGGGTCATGCCTTTGTTGAGGGCTTCCCGGGATCGGTTGTTGCCCATTCGCATGCTGAGCATGTAGGGCTTGCCGGTGGATGGGTGGACGCATTGCGTCTGCAGAGCCCTGAAAACGGAGAAATGTGCTTCGAGGTCCGTCCAAGTGATGTCTGGGCGGTACTTGAAGACGACGATGTGGGTTATTGCTGTCGAGGATGAGGGGCCCTGGAATGAGCTGGTCATGGAGGAGGTGGGCGTGTGAGCCATCTTGGAGGATTTATGAGGATCGGTCAATATGCTAGGTATATATTGTATGAGTTGAAATAAGTTCAATGAAGCAATCTGGCGCTTTTCTGGGGAGGAAGTGTGATTTTATGAGCGTTGACAGATACAATGGTGAAGAGATTGAGAGTTGAGAACATATTTGCGGGGAAAGCAACAGCTTAATAGCAGCTCACCTACCCCAGACTTCAGTACCGGGCCACCCACTACTGCGAATTACTTGAATGGAAATAAGTAGACACGATGTGGAGAGGACCTGCATGAAGCCTCGGGATTAGTTGCCTTTCGCGCGGGCTGACATGCCTCATTGGGACTCTAACACTTCATGTCCGGGGGCCGCTCGTCGGTATTTCGAGGTCCTCTTTACATAGCAATAAGTACTTGACAGACATGAATTCTGAATTTATAGGGAAAATTTTGCCTGTAAATCAGGAAGGATTCACGGGAGAGAATGGCCAATGGACCGTGCTTTGATTTCTCTGTCGTCTTGTTCCAGTCGTGGCGTGTTCATATTGTTCATCCTCTTCAAACAGTCTTGTCTTCGCCTCATAAAAGTCGACATCGCCAATGGCGGCGGTAATCAAGAGACGGTGGTACGAAGTATTGCTAGCCGGGATGAGGAACCAAGCAAATCCAAACCCGAGCCCCCAATTTAGGCAGCCGTCAACTCAAGAGCCTGATTTCAGCCTCCACTATCCTCTGGCTGTTCATCTAAACACCATTTTCTTACCTTTTACCGGACACAGTGTCGAGTTTTCTAGTGCTTCGCCTTCAACTTATCAAACTCTAGAGTGGTGTTTCGCTCTGATCCAAGGTTCCCAGCATGGATTCTCCATCTTTCACTGCTCTACACGTCCCCAAGAGAGCCAATCCCTCGCCAAAGGAAGAAGTAAACAGAGGACAAGAAGTTAAAGGAGAGACTCTCCCGCTCGCCGAGTACTTCCAATTAGCTCATCCAGCTTCTCTGACTCGTGGCCTTTCACTTGCTCGGGATGCGTCTTTTCTAAAACCCGAACAAGGCCTACCCCTTGAGCTGCTGGAAGGATCGCTTTTGTCCCATGACGTCGATGATACCAACTACTTAAACTTTCCTACCTCCAATAATCATGTATCCGAAGTACGCAAGAATGGCCCCGCGGCTGCAGTGCCCCAATTAGCACCTTCTCCAGTGCAAACGGATGGGCTGGAAGCCTATCAGTACAAGACACTGGAGAATCCGGAAACCATCCGACTCATTGTTCTCGCTCCTAAAGTATACTCGGATGAGATTCGTTGCACGCTGAAGCACGTCTCCTTGTCAGACCGCCCCGTCTTCGAGGCCCTCTCCTATGCGTGGGGGGACTCCACTAAGCCAAGAATGCTTATCTGCGAAGGAAAGGCCATACAGATTACGGAAAGTCTTTTCAGTGCTCTCAATCATCTCCGGCGCGATCTCGAGACACGAACAATTTGGGTTGACGCGGTTTGTATTGACCAAGAATCACATTCGGACAAAAATCACCAACTGGCTTTAATGAGAAGGATATATTCCGAGGCCGAGCAGACGATCGCTTGGATAGGAGAAGATAATTGCAACAAGGCGGACATAGCATTCGATTACATTACCGAACTCTACTCCTACATAGATCCCGACGATCAGAGCTGGATGCCGCTTTGGAGAAGGTTACGTGATGCCACTCAGGAATTCGGAAGACCCATCAGTGACTGGGCACTCGAAACAATAGAATTTACTTCCCCAATATTCGAAAAGCAGTGGTTCAATCGACTATGGGTCGTACAGGAGGTAGTTCTTACGAAGCGGGCCCTGCTGCAGTTTGGCACAAAAACAATCCGTATGGAGCACTTCCTTAGAGTGATGCCACTGATGAGTAACGTGGATGAGCTTGGCGCAAATCAGCAAAAGTTCAACTGGAATGCGTTACTCAACCTTGCTAAATTTGACTCAATTCGAAGTTGGGCCAATAGTCCGTCTCGATACCCACATCTCCTAGAATTCCTTCGCTTAACATCCAATTTCGAGCATTCAAAGCCAGTCGACAGGTTATACGCTCTCCTAGGTCTTACCACCCAGATTGAACTCCGAGCAGACTACACCCTAAGCGTTGAAGACGTGTTCAAAAACTTCGCAATCTGGATACTCAGCGTGTCTCCAGATCTTGGGATCTTTTCCTACGCTCGCGGAATTTCAGGGACATTGAACGTTCCATCATGGGCGCCATGTCCTGACATGGATAGCTTACCTATTCCCCTTTTGCATGCGACACACTTCAAAGCGTCTGGAGAGGAAAACAACGATACCTGGAGACTTGGTAAAGGTCACGCCCTCCACTTAAGGGGCAGAGTCATAGACACTGTGTTCAGCAAGGTGGATATGCTGGTAAATGCAGCGACTGAGGACGGGAAACGAAAATCTCTGCTCCAATGTGCCCATATTGCTCGAGGCGCTAGCGACAGCGATAGTGATATCACGCTGAACGATGAGAGATACGGGAAGTTCTGCGCCGCGATGACCTTTCAATTGACTCTACAGGCCGAAAAGGCACTAATCAAGTATGCTGAGTGGTTCAAAATCTACTTTGAAGCAATGACTAAACATTCAGGCCAGCGAAGGCGCGACCCGCGAGTGGGAACAGGTACGTTAGTCAACGTGTTGATTAACAGTTGGCCTCAGCATCGTCGTTTCTGCTTGACGAGTAACGATCGCTTCGCATGGATTCCACGGCTAGCAAAAATGGACGACAAGATATGCATCATCCGCGGCGCTCGTGTACCACTTGTTCTACGTCCGCGTCCGGATGGAAGATTCTCTTTGGTTGGCGAATGCTGGATTCAAGGGCTTATGGAAGGGGAAGCACTCAATCTTCCTGGATTTGAGTGGGAAGATCTCTGCTTAATCTAAACCCGGGCATGGACAGACAAAAAGTCTTGTTTAGATGCGGCATATTGCTCTCTCATCAACTGTAATCTACGCTCCGGTCTACGACGAGAATCATAGTCTGTCTAAAACAGTATCTGCGTAAGTGTCGGTCGGCTCATCGATACCAAATCGGCTTTGCATTCATCCGCGAGGAGCCCCGAGTACTCGCTCACAATATCAGGATGCGTTCGGAGCCGTGCCAGTTCGAGGAACCCGAACACGACGGGACGGATTCTTGGGCCTATGCTAAGCTGGACCGGCCGACCACGCTACTGGGGGCCATGTTTGGTAGGACCGTTGTTGCTATATTCAGCCCACGTGGGCACCGAGGGCTGCAACGTTGGACCAGGCGGGGTGGCACCTTGCTAACCAGTACGACCGGTTCGAGTTCGAAAATGCGGAGAGCTGTGACATTTTTGGTGGAGTCGTGAGTTATAGTCCAGGCGACTTCACATAGTGAAACTAATGGCATGAGGATAGCTGGGGAAGAAGGCGTGGGGTGGCATATTTCCTATATGATGGGACTGGTTGAGGTATATCGTGGAGATATCACGATGGGCTCTCGCTGCAAGCCGGATATGAAGGTATCACTGATGATACCCATGGGAAAATACTTGGGAGATTTTCTTGTCCAGTGGTAGGTCGGCTTCTTTTTCCCGCTCCTAATGATTGCGCACATAGACGCAAATGACGCCTCATGATTGAATGGCATGTGAAATGAAGCCTATCAAGAACAATGATGCTGTGATAACCGAATGTCTAGAGTGCATGTTTAGAGTGAAGTGGCATCAAACTCGTCATGGAAGCAGAAGATGAGAACCGCAAGTAGCTGCAGCGAGCTGCGAGATCAGATGATACGCTACCTAGTCTGTGAGAGGCACGGCGAGAGTATAAAAGCTGTGCAAATTTGCACAGTTATTGCTAATGCATATGAGGTTGTGCGACTGATCCATTAATATGACAGGGCTCATAGGAGGATCTTCCGATCGTGATACTCTAAGAATGGAACGCGACCGGGGATTTGCATGGAACCGTACCTGCAGCTCGATATCCGACGACGGTTTACCGACTGCGAGAGAAAATACTGTTGGGTTGGGACGCTCCGATCGGTGCTTCTGCTGCATTGAAGCGGTGTGCTGGGGACAGTCCTGCAGGTTGCCATTGGGTTACACACGGCGCTGCTGGGATTGTTGCCATGCTGTGATTCCTGTTAGATTTGTGACTGCCGACAACTCAGCAGCACGGCTACTGGGTTGTTGGTACGATGCTGACGGCATGTCAGTATCAGGGAAATACTTTCAGCGCGCTAGAGGAGAGTTGATTGATACGGGCTTTGCTAGGAGAGATCAGCACCATGAAGCAGGAGAATTATCGAGCAGCCGGGACTGATCCGAAATGGTGTAACCCTATATTGTATCATATGTTGTCAGGGTCTCGGGTGGCAATCGGGGATGCCTGCAGATTGGACGTTGAAGACATACTGTACATTTTACGCTTCTTCTCATATATCTCTTGAATGGGGAGTATTCTCAATCTAAGAAAGAGGATGGGACGTCGAAAGGACTGCTTGAGGCATTCATATGCCAAACCTGGGACATGCTGCCGGCGATTGAGTGCTGTCGTGGAGTTGTGGAGTCGTACCAAGGCAGCCTCGCTCGCGGCCCTTGCAGCGGGCGGCGCGTAGAATTTACTGGGGCGCCCGCAGAAATACAGGGACTCCCAGTTATCTCAGGGGCTAAATGGCGCCCCCAGACGCCCAAAATGTCGGCGCTGTCCCCGCTTCCTCAACCACAGTGCCACTGCCTGAGAGCCTCCACCACCGCGCAGCGGCAAACAACAAATGACATCGGACAGAGCATTGGGGGCTTCTGGCAGGGGCCTCGCAGACACAAACGACCCGTCCTCCTGACATGGATGGAGCGGCAAGCAGCGGAGCTGAGCAATGTTCGTCACCGACCTGAGCTTGATGAGAGTAGCAACTGAGGGGCGTATCCGGCCTGCTTTCGAAGGTGCCACTCGAACAATGAATGAGGAGCCGAGGCCACAGCCGGGGGACCATCCCATCTCCTGGGGGGAGTCGTGGATCCCTTGGCATTGAGTGCGTGCGAAGCCCAGCGGTAGCACGAGATGTGGGTTGAGCGTATAGTCATGTGTGCTTTCTTTCAATCCATAGCCTAGCTTGGTTCTAGGAACTTTTCGTATTTTTCTCTCCCCGATAGTACCTAGGTAGGTGCGGCAGTCAGCTTTCGATATCAATACGTATTCATCTTTCGCTCTCGTTGTGCGCCCACCAAACCCGAGGAACGGATAGTAGCAGCCACGCACGAGTTCTGCACGCATCATGGCTAGCGACACGTTCACCCGAGTTTGAATCACCTGTGACACGTCTGCATGCTCGCTCGGACTTTGAAGGCATGGTCGTGGATAAAACTTCCTCCGCCGTTCTCCTGCCGCTGGGCCACTGCGCTGCCCACGTCATCGCACAATTCAGCGCTTCTGCTATTCACCTCGCATTTCACTTTCGTCATCCAGCTATCGTTATTGGTGAGGCTGAACCCCGTCAGAGCGCCTCAAAGCTGGGGGAGCTTGTCGTGGGCATCGAGCCTTCTTCGTTGAGCATCCTTTCACCACAGTCGCCGCCCATATCATTGCCAATACCTATTCCTTCCCGGCTACCTCTCCGCTCGTACCTCCTTTCCATATTACACAATCTATCCTTCGCTCTGTTATCCACAACCCCTCTGCCACCGCCATTCGGCTATTCCGCTCTTTCCTACCCACCACCTACATCAACTCGAATCCCCTAGGATCCTTACTACGGTGCCTCATCCGTTGACCGCCAACAATGGGGCAGAAATTCTTCCAAGACTGGGCATTATGGGAGAAGATGACTTTTGTAAGATTCCCATTCGCATACTGCTAGACGAGTGACTGACACATGAATGCATAATAGGTCCTAGCGTGCGGCATCGTATGGCACCCTTCATCCTTTCCACCTCACCTGCTGACTGTATAGGTGGGCACCATCTTTGCTGGATTTTGCAAACTAACGTACGACAACTGGCGGCTGCGCAAATACGTTCAGGCCGACACTGCTAGGGCCCTTCAAACTCTGGAGTTATTGGAGGCACAGACCTCGGAGGAGGAACTGACGAAAGACGAAAAGGAGGACGTTCCATTTGGAATCCGTGCGATTGAGAGTGGTATTGAGATCGACGGCGTCTGGATTTCGCGAGGCAACACACCGATTGGGAGTGTCGCATCATCTTTCGACGAATCGAGAGGCTCTGGATCATCCGCACAACTAGAGATCCCGCAGCGGGTCTATGGAAGCTCTAGTCGATCAAGCTCTAAGGCTCCGAGCTCTGCGTTTGAGCGAGCAGTCTCTGCTGAGCGCATTCTGTCGTCACGCAGCGCTTCGTCAAGCTCGGCAAGCTCGACGTACAGTCTCCAGAACGCAAATACTTCACAATCGGACATTCATGACGCTACCATACTTCGGGATTCGTCCACCTTGCTGGCCTTGGAAGGTCTCAATTCGCGCAAAACCCCTTGTAAGTTGACCGTGTCGTTCGATATTCAGCTGGGAGCTTTGCTATCTAACACTCTTCAATAGCACTCATTGAACCAAAATCAAGCAAAAATAGTACTTCGTCAGCTACCTCTTCCCATGGCAGCGACGAGGTTGACTACATGGCCATATCGATACCTCGACTTCAAATCAGGCGGCCCTACGAACCCGCCTATATTAAGCCGTCCACATCGCCGGTTCTTGCTGTAGATTCGAGGTGGAATCTCGATCTGCTTCAGAGCCATCGTCTCTCTCATGTCGCGGAGACAGGCCAGCTGACACCTCGTATTCGTCGGCCGGAATGCAGTGGCGAATGGTCTAGCATCGTCGTTCCTACAAGACCTCACGAAGCCGTCCAGCCACCTGTGGAACATTTCACACCACACCGGAAGCCTTCTTTGCTGCCACTTCCTCCTAGTCTTGACATGTTTCCTATACCGCCTCAGCGCGCATCTGTACCGCCTCTCACCAAAGACGTCCAACCATTCTACCCGACTAGCAAGATCGTATCACTACCAGACACCTACCGACCGCGTGGAGATCAGGGCGAACCGGAGACTAATGGCCTCCCGTCCGCACTCCCTGGCGCCAGCCAAACAGGTGGCTCCCAATACGTGCAGCACACCTACCAGCCCTACGGGAACCCTATCAGACTCGAAGACACCGAGCAACAGCTGACTTTCACGGCCGAGCAGAACCGGCGTGATTCCCAGGTCTTGCGGAAAGTTAACTCTGGTTTCGAGATCCTCCGCCCTGGCACTCTTACCTTCGCAAATGAACCAGCTCTTCATGATACCGGCTCGTCCTCCGGCGAGAAGCGACAGTCCCGGCGTCTCAGAAAGAAGCGGCCGGGATCTGTCGACTACGGAGCGTCGCCCTTCGCAGACAACGTCTAGACACAATAGCCTCGCGGGGCGCAAATCTTTTTTTGTTCCATACAATACATCGAGACACTATTTCGATTGCTCTTGGCTATCCAACGCGTCAAGCAAAGTCTTTGGGCTAGCGAAGAATACGTTGTGGGGGCGCCAAACGCGTATGTACATACAACGTCAGGACTTGTTGCATCGATTAGGCGAACCAGGGACTTGGGTTTTTCATTAGGGGCTATTTGGCTTGGTTGTCTCTATCAAAATTGGGGAGTTTAGGTAAGGCAGTGGGGACCTGATATGCATGGGATTTCTGCCGTCAGATGTTTGCTTCCGGCCTAGATGGTCTTGGCTTCTTCTTTTATGAACATGAGTTGATGGACCGTATACTGTATATCATTGCGCTAAAGTCTACATACTGAGAAAGATTACCCCAATAAATATAAGAAAGTTCTGAATGACTTCACGATACTGGTTGAAGAATGCTCCCATTGCGGTTAGTCAGAAGGCAGCACTTTGATGATGCTTTCCTATTTATGGCATGCTACTAGCTCATACGTGATTCTATTCTGAATGCTGGCAATAGCATTCGCTTTGGTCGCTGTATGTTGCTGCGGCGGTGAATGAGTTTGGCGAGATGGATTCTCACATGACTTGGCGTTCTCGGAACGCGTCGCGGTTTTTCTTCCAAACCAACCTTATCTCGTCACCTCCCCGAGCATCAACCGCCAGACAATCCACCCCCACCATCGTTTTCTCTCCGGATCCATCGTCTTGCCTGCCAACACTCGTCCGATATGAGTGCCGAAGAAGAACAACTCGACGATGCCGGCGTCGGAGGACCTGGTGCCCCAACGCCACTGAGCGCGCTCGAAGTGATTATGCCCAAAACTCCTCTAGAGACAACTAGACTAACATCATTTCTAGGGCGTCAATGGCTTGACTGCTCGAGACATCAAGCTGATTATCGATGGCGGCTACCATACCGTGGAATCGGTGGCTTACACGTTCGTATACCCCTCGACTTGCCTTCGAAGGTTCTAATACCTAAACCAGGCCGCGTCGCGCATTGGAGCAGATCAAGGGTATATCAGAGCAGAAGGCATCCAAAGTGCTGGCAGAAGGTATGCTCTACTATCCTTTTAGTGTGCCCCTTATCTGACTCTTATAGCATCCAAGTTAGTTCCAATGGGCTTCACAACGGCAACGGAAATGCACCAGCGACGAAGCGAACTGATATCAATTACTACGGGCTCGAAACAACTGGACACTTTGCTTGCGGGAGGCGTTGAGACTGGTTCGATAACAGAGATCTTTGGCGAGTTCAGAACCGGAAAGAGTCAGATTTGTCATACTCTTGCGGTGACCTGCCAGCTTCCCTTCGATATGGGCGGAGGCGAAGGCAAATGCCTCTACATTGACACCGAAGGCACGTTCAGGTAAGCCAGCTGGACTGTATGTGGTACGCTGAGAACTGATTTGATGTAGACCAGTCCGATGTCTGGCTGTGGCAAACCGCTATGGTCTATCTGGCGAAGAAGTGCTCGACAACGTTGCGTACGCTCGTGCCTACAACTCTGACCATCAGTTGTCACTCCTGAATCAAGCGGCCCAGATGATGACGGAAACACGGTTCTCCCTCCTCATCGTCGACTCTGCTACCTCGCTCTATCGTACCGACTTCTCAGGCCGCGGAGAACTATCAAACCGGCAGGTACATCTAGCGAAATTCATGCGCACCCTCCAGAGACTCGCAGATGAGTTTGGCATTGCCGTTGTCATTACCAACCAAGTTGTGGCTCAGGTAGACGGTGGGCCAAGCGCTATGTTCAACCCCGACCCGAAGAAACCCATCGGAGGCAACATTATCGCACACGCCAGCACCACGCGGCTCAGCTTGAAGAAGGGACGAGGAGAGACGAGGATATGCAAGATCTATGACAGTCCCTGTCTCCCGGAGAGCGACTGCATGTTTGCAATCAATGAAGACGGGATTGGCGATCCTAGCCCGAAGGACCTTGACAAGGACTAAGGCGGAGGAGGGAGAGGCACAGACGAGGAACGAGGCATCTGATGTTATGAGCGTAAAGTTTATATGTGTATCTTCCTTGCATGGAATGGCGTGTGAATGGCGACGGGACTGGCGTTATGTACCCATTATGGCTTACCTTTAAAGATATCTTCCTGCTGTTAGGCGAACTAATAGATGAATCAAGTTTATCAAGCCAGCAAAACTGTGAAAACGTGTAGAGTGTTGGATTTGATAAGTGAAGGATTTGAGCATATATGTGCTTTTTAGACCAAGCTGCCGCGCCTGTCTAGCTGTATTGCATATCACGAATGAGAGATAGTAGACCTTGATCGCGTTGTTACCACAAAATTAGCTGCATTCAAACCTTATTGTGAATGAGGTGGGACTGGAGAGGCTGGTGAAGCAGCCCCAGATCTACGGCGCCACATCCTTGCTCGCATCGTCCAAAGTTTTGGTGTTTGCAGCGCGACGGGACCTTCAACACCACCTCTTGCGCGCGCCTCTCCACATCGTCGCAATACCTCGAACCCTCATTTATGGACCAGCCATGGCCAACACCGAAGTCACTTACCTCTACAAGGAGGCGCGACTGAATCTCGAGCCGGCATTCCCAGGATCCACCATCCACCTCACCCTCCCCAGCTTGACTGCACCCACCTTCGGATCGCGCCCACAACCAAAGCGAACCATCGTCCATGAGAAATACACCGATCAGGATGAGGATGCATTTGCACGGAAATACCTGGCCAGCGAGGCTTCAATATATTTCCGGCGAAGGCAGAAATACCCGCGAAGCTTCCTGTGGAGAATCCTCGACGATCGCAAGGTGCTGGAGATACAATCGATAGACTTCGATCAGGATATAGACAATCAGACCGAGGCGAATCTGACGCTTCGTCTTCAATTCCCCTCGCCAATTCGGCCTTTCGGCATAGCGTTCGACGAACCAGATGATCAGGATGCGTTGACTGCCTTTGTTGTGACGGCATCCAAGGAGCTGTACACCCTCAATTTACACCGCGATTTCTTCATGCGGGAGACTGCGACAGAATTGGACGTTGGAGCTTGGTGCAAGATTTATGCGCCTAGTGCATTTCGCATTCGAGACCCGTACCGAATTGTTGCTGTGAGCGATCGGGACCTGCTCATTTCCATGCAAGATGGAGGGATCCAGCGCATGACGAGAGGACCGGGGCATGATGGTAGGACTACCGGGAGCCAATACTGTTGACATGGAGCTAACGTTTGGGTAGGTTCGACATGGAGCGAAATTGGGTTCAAGAAAGACAACTGGTCTCTGAAGAGTCTCGTTACCTGGAAAGGAAGCAATTCTGTCAGATTCAACAACACCGATCTGGACGGCTCTGCAGCAGCTGCCATCGCCCTGTCACCGGAAAGCGATTATATCTTTACGGTCTGTTTAGACCACGTCCTTCGAGTCTGGAATGCAAACACCGGGAAGCTCCCCTTGCAAGAGGACCTGCTGAGAGACAGTGATGCAATTTCGGACAAGTCATCTCAATACTTCATTGGACCATCGCAGCCAATGCTCATGCAGATGATCAATATTCCGGGATACGGCATGGACGGTGTGGAATACCATCTGGTAACATATTCTCCAAAGAAGCATCAGTTCAAGTTCTGGGGAATCAGAAATCCCGAAGATTCTGTGAACGGCATCAAGGATATTCAGAGTGGATTCGCCTTCATTCCACCCGTCGACGAGTTGATGAACACCACAGTTTGGAATCTGGAAGAATTCTATATCAAAGCAACACCGGGATGGAGAGGAACCGAGCTCTGGATACGGGCTAGATCAGGCCCCAGCAGCAAGATTTATTCTCTCAAATTCAGTCTGGACGACAGTGATGAGAGACTGGCCAGTGTTTGGAAGCATGACTGGGTATCTATAGACTCTGGGCCGTTGACCGTGGAAGGATTGAAGTCTAATCCGACGAACCCAGGCGAGCTTGAATCTTTGATCCCAATCATTCATAACCCGAGCGTAACGGAGCAATGGCTTGACTTTTTGCTGTTCCCGGGAAGGTTTACGACAGCGACATTGGAGACGGCACTTCTCGTATACAGGAAAGGAGTTGAGCAGAGACAGACACCCAGCAACTCGAGCAAAGCTCCGTTCAAGGAGAGGCTATGCGCAACAGTTGCTTCTTCCGTCGCCCTGAGCAGGCAAAATTTCACGAAGGTCGACTACGAGGAGCACGAGACTAGCCTAATGGCCCAATGGCAGATGTTCTATGGCCTTGTCCGGGACCTTCACAAGCGTAGAGGCGAAGTGCTGTCTTTGGTCTTCGATTACGACCACGATATGCCATGGCTACTACTATCAGACTACGCTTCAGCGATTCGAAAAGGCTGCGAAGTAGATATCCTGCGCTCCAACCAGCACATTCTCGGGACTACAGAACACCTGCCTCGGCCACTGCGATCCGCGCTCCAGGACGAAGAATCGCAAGATGTTGCCAGATTGCTGGCCGCTGCCAGCCAATTCCGAAAGGGCTTTGGGGCAACCTTCAAGCACCAATTTCGGGCCATTATCACGAACGAGATGTTACAGAGCTCATTACTGGCTATACCTTCCCGAATTGAGGCTATTGACCAGACGTGCAAACTCTGCGAACATGTCTCCGATGAAGACTTAGCGAAGCTCGGCGAAGCTCTCGGACCTATGGACTTTGTAGATCTGGACAATAGTCTTATCATCAAAGCACTTGAAACACTCATTCAAGCGGAGGCTGGTCGAGGGATACCAAAGAAGCAGATAACTCAATATGGACTGCGAGCTATCTCTCGAATAGCGCAGGAGACCCTTGAGATTACAGTCGATGTGCTCTTGGATCTCATGGTGCTGATCATTTTCCTGCACATCGACATCGACCCCGCAGACCGTTCGGACGAGTTCAATGCCCCAGAACTTTTCACAGCGATAATGGACCAACTGAAAGATAACTCGGTGCTGATATGGATGGGTAGCACACTGTGGTCGCATCCAGTACCGACAGGCGCAAGCTCAACCAAAACCCTGAGCTTGCTGGCTGAAGATTCCAGGTCCTCTGGCGGATTGCCCTCGATCTCTCAGACTGTCCTTGAAGGAGTTGCTGGTAGCCGCACGTTTAGTTTTCCTATCCCAAAGTTGCCTCTATCTGAGGTCCTTACTTACTGGGCTCGTATGTGGACGTCCGAACCATTCCGGAATCAGGAGTATGATCATCTCGTCAATGACGTCCTAAACATATTGATACAAGAGAAGGAGATTGAGCTAGCTTCGGATTTTTTGAGATTCGTACCACAGAACAACTGGTCGACGTATCTAAATGCTCGCTTGTGTCTTTTGAAAGGGGAATACACTTTGGCAGCTATCTACTTTAAGAAGGCGTCGTTCACTCTCGGTAAGTTTAGTTATGATTATACAGAATTCCACAAGACTAACAGCTGTACAGCTATCGGAATTTTCAGTATCGATGACAGTGATGACGGCAACTTCATCAGGGTCGATGAACGAGAACTCTTCTCTGATGGCCTACCAAACTACTACCTACATTGTATCAGTCTGTTTGAGAAGGCCAAGGCACACGCGTTCGTTGCGGAGTTTGCGAAGCTGGGATTGCAGTCACTGATTGGGGACGAGCCAGACGCTACAAAGACAGAACTGCTCTCGCGACTGTTCAACGCCTCTATACAGACTTCCCGATTCGAGGAGGCCTATACCGCATTATCCCGCCACACGGATACCGCAATGTAAGTGCTTCACCGTCATGCTACTGCAACATCTACTAACTGTTTTAAAGGCGAAAAGCAGGTCTGCACAAGTTGATCACTTCCATGGTCACCCGGTCTCAAGGCCCTGCACTTCTCAAATTCCCCTTTGCTAGCCTCTACAATGACGTCGACAGCATTCTTGAATCGCTTTGCCAGAACACACTCAATATCTCCACAGGTCCGCCATACCACAAGATCCTCTATTCCTTCCGCATCTCCCGTAATGACTTCCGCGGCGCGGCTTCCATTCTCTATCAACGACTGCAACGGCTACAAACAACGTCATCGAAATACCACGATCCCGAGGATGGCTCACTAACGCAAGCGTATCTAATGCTCATCAACACCCTATCATCAGTTTCTCCGGATCAAGCATGGATTCTCGCGGAGCCGCGCGTGGACGAGAGCGTTGCGTCGTGGGGCATTGGGAGGGCCAAGGGTGTATTGCAGCGCAGGGTCATCACTCTGCCTGATCTGAGGAAGGAGTATCAGGCGGAGCTGGACCGGGCGGCGGCGATGGAAAATGGACAGTTTGCATTTGCGGGCGGGGACGAAATGGATGTTTTGTGAGCTAAAAGCAAGGGGCTTTGGGATTCTTAGCGCGGCGTTTGAGGGATGTAAGACTACAACGGGGCGGCAGGATGAATGGTGGGCATTGGAATAATATTTAGTGAACTCCAGAGTCTCTGAAAGCCATCGATCACTCGTTTGTCACGTGCAATCGAACTATCTGCCATTAAACGCGAAAGTGGTGCGTCGCAAAAACTGTGTAGTGCCGAGATAGAGCGTTTTTGGTGAAGTTCATCAACGCGCATAGCAACCAACAAAGACTCCACCACCACCCCAACTTCTTCAACGTCACTGCTGGATCTTTGACAACACAATCCTACATGCGCACTCGAGTGTAGACCTGTTCCCTAAAGCCATTGCAGGCCACCAACCATGGTTAGTCCACCCCACCACCACCTTGTCCGCACTCCAAACCTCACCCGGCGCGTGCAATACCAGCAAACCATATACTCACCAACACTTCCACCAACAGAACTCCAAATCCCTCCGCCGCCTCGCGACCGACCACGCCTCCCTCCACACCGCCGGCCTGCCCCCAAACTACCTCTTCCCGCCCTCAAACTCCTCCGCCGACCCCACCGCCGACCTCACCCACCTCGACGTCCTCCTCGCGGGGCCCCCAGGCACCCCGTTCGCCGCCGGCCTCTTCGCCCTCCACCTTTCCATCCCGCCCACCTACCCCGTGCACCCGCCGACGGCGACGTTCCGCACGCGCATCTTCCACCCGAATGTCGACGAAGCGACCGGCGCCGTGTGTGTCGAGACGCTGAAGCGGGACTGGAGCGAGAAATTGAGGCTGCGGGATGTGCTTGTCACGATTAGTTGTCTGCTGATCCAGCCGAATCCGGAGAGCGCGTTGAATGCTGAGGCGGGGCGGCTGTGTGCGGAGGACTGGTGCGGCTTTGAGCGGAGGGTGAAGGTATGGGTGGGGATTCACGCGGGGGTGCCGAAGGGGCTGGTTGCAGCGGTTGAGGAGGCGAGGGAGAGGGGGGAGGAGAAGAAGAAGGCGGGGCTGAAGGAGGGGGGGAAGTTGGAAGATTTGACGGCGGGGAATGGGGCGGAGGTTAATGGGGTGGGGAAGGGGAAGGGGAAGGAGAGGCAGAAAGAGGGGGTTGTGGAGACGCCGATGGTGAAGAGGAAGAGATTAGGGCAGGTTGTTGGAGTGGAAGAGGAGGAGAATCGCGCGCGGAGGGAGGCTACGGTCGAGCTCGAGCGGGAGTCTGATTCTGGAAGCGACTGGATTCCGGGGCCTGTGAAGGCGCCTGGGCCGTTTGAATCTGGACGGGATAATATCCTTGGGATTCGCATGGGCGCTGGCGATCCTATGGACGTTGATGAGGCTGGACCGTCTGCGAATGAGATTGAACAGATCAAGGACGCCTTTCGCCCTCCACTTTTCAAAATGGGGGGCTCGAGTCACTCAGAGATCCTAGCAATGCCAGCACCGAAACCAGCGCAGCAGGCGATCAATACGCCACTGAAGTTCGCCCACCCCAACCTCTTCGCGCCTATCCAGTCCTCGGCGCACCCATTACCTAACTCCCTTGTCACCGAGTTCTCGCTTTCCTGGGCGGATTCAGAGGTCCTCCACGACACCGGCTCTATCCAAGACGCACCTTCAAAGGCCGAGGTGCTCAAGCGCCTACGAGAGCCCGAAGAAACTCAGAGAGCCTCGTGGGAGCGGAAGCGATTCAAGGCCGCGGGCGGAAACCTAGCTGCCTACAACCGTGGGTTCTGGGGCGCTAGGGTAGGCCTGAACAGGCTATAGGAACTGCAGGGCTTCATGGCATAGCGATGGTGTTTGGGAGGTCTTGGGATGTGGATGCATAGCGCGGATGGGATTGCCTCCCATATAGCGGAGACGGCGTTTGGAACTGGCTAGGGGTTTTTGCTATTGATATATCATTCGAGGAGAGCTTGGTTGGGGAGTTTGGCTGATTGAGAGCTTGTCTTTCTACCTATAGTTTGGGGTTGGCGTTGCGTCGTGGTGGTATACCCCTATTACTTCTTTACTCCTCCTACTTTCAATTCGAGTATTTTTTTTTCTAGGGTCTGACGTGCTGGGTGATTGCTTGATGTTTACACGTGAGTCTGACTTTTTGGAGGGTTAGGCTGACATGCTCAAGTTCGTATGATTACTTAATACAGTATTACATCGTAACTTTGCGTACAGCTGGGCATCACTGTCTGAAGTCCCCCTATACATCATCAAGAATATGAACGAAACCGACCCCTGGCCACCCACCTCCTACTTTTCCGCAAGCCTCAAGACGCTCCGACCCCACCTACACGATTGAAGTTCGTGAAGTCAGAAGGCATGGGAGTGTACTTGCTTCAGCTCGCTGAGGTGCATAGGAGACCTTCCCAAGCACCGGCGATGGGGTGTACACAGACTCTGCCCTGGCAAAGTACTGTATGCGTAAGACTGTGTCAAGGGTCACATCACATGAATAGTGGGAATTATTGGGGTAATTTGAGTTCATTCGGTACCTATGTATCTAGGTACTAGCAGTAGGCAAGTGAGATTTCGCCAGCATGATAGCCAGTTCATTGAGAAGAGTATCCTCCCAGTGAGTCATCCATTGTCGTATGCCCAGATCAACGGCTGACGAGATTCGTGTTCAGGCCTGAGGTCCTCAGGAGACATTTATACCTCGGGCTCGGGATTTCCATCGTTCTCGGGGTCTTCGGCAGTTCCATCGTCCGGATTTCCTATCTTGCGATCAGGGTAATTCTTCCACCTATCGTACTCCATCTCCTTTCGAGCATTCCTGGAGTCGTAGATGTTGCCGAACGCACTCCAGCGTATCAGAATCTTGCAGCTCGAGGGCAAACGAGCTCGTAGGAAGTTGCGTACCTCATTCACAACCTTGATTGCCCGAAGACCGCTCAGCACGAACTTCATGAACCGGAGGTCTCGTCCCTGGTACTTCGGGTGCAGTACGTCGAACATGTTCACGGATGTCATATTGACATGGAATGTCATCGTTACCTGCTTGAGGTACGGCAAGTGCTTCAGGCGTAGCAATTCGCGCATCAAAGGGGTGCTCAACGGCTCTCCATGCAGCAGGAAATTCTTCAGGTTGTCCTGCTCTCCAACGAACATGTCTGTGAAGCTGAGTAACATAATTAGAGCTTCGAGCTTCTCGCACTCCTGCAGCAGCTGCATTGTAAGGGTGAGCGCCGTCTAGCTTCGCTATTTCTTGGGTAATTACTTTGAGAAAAAACACCTTATATTACTTCTCGAGTCGTGTCACGGGATCTGCACGTGTATTAGCTGAGCTTGGGAATGTATACAATGCTAGACTGCCGTCTCCCCTTTGGTGCACTACTGGTCGTCACCTAGATACCCGGTGATCTCTCATGTGCATATCTGCTTTCTCCTTATCGCTGGGCTGGGTATAAAAGCTGGCTTGGTGATCCGAAGCATTTTGATCTCCATGGAGGATTGGTGGTGGATGAGAACAAGGAACATGAGGAGCTGATGTGGGGTCCCTGGGCTGGATCAAATCGGGGGCAACTTAGACTTTTATGTGGTCGTGTAGATCCGTTGGTGGATCAAATTGCGAAAGGAGGATATCTCATGTGGCTCCGGGCGTGTTTTGGGAGCCGAGGGGAATTCTTCAACGTCGCTGGGGATGCTCATCTTCATCTTTCAATACTGGTGTTGATCTGCGAGTGGTTAGAGGTAAGTACGAGGATATCTGATTACCGAGAAATTGCATCGTCAGCTTCAAATAGTGGGCAGTATCATCGAGAAGTTGTTACCCTCCTCTAACTCCGCAAACATTGAGAGTTTTGCCATCGTGGTTTGAACTCCCACCTTCCACCACCGCAACATGAATCCGTAAACAGGTCAGTGTTGAACACACCAAAGAGAGCCATCATCGCAAAGTTCCATCGATTTTAAAGAATCTCTCCTTGCTCCTCTTCCATGCATACCAGCAGAAGCTCAGAAGAAGTTTTTATATCCCATCATAACTTTCATCACGTGCTGTGCGGCCGAATCCCGTGTGCGAGCCAATCCAGACAGCATCGAGTTTCGACTTCAGATTGGTAGAAGAGAGGAATCGCTTATGATACGATGGCGAAGGCGAGTACAAAGCCTCTCACCCTCGCCTCAGTCTCTTCTCATCGCGGTCTTGCACGGAAACTTGCCACTGCTGAATAAGCCTTCAAGTTGGTCAATTCGAACACGGATAACTGATTGATTGATTGAAGGGCAGCTCTGACATTGTCTAGGGAAGAGGAAACCAGTGACTCGTTCGCAGGCAAACGTCATAGGAGCAGTGATGGCTAGGTGAGATGTGATCCCGACGTCATTTCTCGTTATCTGTAACCGTGACCTTTCCCGAGCCTACCTATATAACCCAAGTAAAATTAGAAGCCCTCATCCACTAACTTGCCCAGCAGCTCGGTTGGTAATCGGCCACATCGTGTGTAAGCCCGCGGCCGGATCCCAGGCATTATACCTCGCGAGGTAGCGTTTCACTACCGTCGACAACCTCACCTGGGTCTTGAGTTCGATTCTCGATTCGACCTTTCGGTGTTAAAAAGTCGAGTTGACTTCGGGCGGCCTGGTTAGTAGAGAGGCTTGGAAGCCTGGTAAAGAGGACGTATGTAGTTGGTGCGTGAGGCTGAGAGTGGCCGGTGAAGATGACGGATTGAAAATACCGCAGGCGGGCGGATAGAGAAACCCCTCCGGGGTGGCTACACCCTCGAAAGAGGGTGGTGTTTTGCTCCTTAGATATTCTTTTTTTTCGCTCTAGATAGATAGGGCGAGATGAGGAGATGCGGAAGAAATCTCTCTTGACCGGGGGCAATTGCTCCAGGCTCGTAACTTGTTAAGAAGTCAGACACGTGATGTTTAAACTAAGCTGGGCTTGAGAACTAGAACTCGAGCCTCGAGCCACGAGACCTAATGATGGAATGCTACTTCCTATTCCCTCTAAACACACGATCTTGAACATCCAGAACCCTCCCTGGTCATGTTGCGTAAAATCCAGTCTGTCGAAGTGAACTACTTATCAACACCGGAGCCGGTTGGCAAAGATTAGTGTAAACAATGCTCACTGAAAGCCGTGGTTTAGCGATTCACATGCTACCCCCTCCATCCCCCACGTGCCTAGTCACACTAGATGAACGGCGGCATCCATCTTCTTTTCCCAGCCCCCTCTTAAAGAGTTAGTTAAGGCATTCAGAAACATGTACACCAGCTTCCCACACCAGAAGGCACACCCCCCACACCACCATGCCAACATCTTTAACCAACCAACCAACCTCATAAACCAACCCAATGGCCTCTCCTCAAGTACAAAAAGAGGACGAGAAATCCCCCTCCTGCCCCATCTGCAAACAACCCTTCGTCACATCCCTTCAAGACGTCCGTAATGCAATCGGCCAGGCGATGTCCCAAGGCACCGCGGCCACCGCCAGCTGGGAGTTCGACGTCGCATTCAGGCTTGGCTGCGGGCACGTAATGGGAGCCATGTGCCTCTATCGCTGGCAGCAAGACTACCATTTTACATGCCCGTACTACACAAAAGATCTGCGCGTGCCGAGCAAGGAAGCGCCGGAGGAGAGATGGGGCATCCCATGTGATCTCGTGGAGTGGTGGGTCGAGCAAGGGATCGAGGTGTGGGAAGACGGGCGGCGCAAGGAGTACCATTTCAGTATGATGGCTCGGGGTTCGTGGACTCCGGGGGAGAAGCTGCGGCGGGAGCGGGAGAGAGCTCGGGCGAGAGAGCTTGCGCGGCTGGCGGAGGAGATGAAGGCGCTCGAGCGAAGGATCATCTTTAATCGCGCGATGACTGCCGCGTTTGGTATTGCGGTGTTTGGGGTGCTGGTGGTGGGCGTGACGAAAGAGATGGTCGGGACGCATGACCTGCTGGGGATGATGGTGGCGTTGTGGTGTGCACCGTTCGCGATGTGGATTCGGTCGAAGTTGCCCTGAACGTGTTCCGGCACCACTCCATGCAATGACGGAGAGAGGGCGGGATAGACCAAGCTAAGATTGCTAGAGGCTATTGGCGGTGATAGTAGATCATTGGGCCCGGTTTTCTCGAGAGGTTTGGAGTTAATACGTGATCCGATATTCTTATCATGCGGAGAATTGGAAACTACCTTCGGGTTTGACCCGATGTCGTTGCTGTATACTTAATTAGATGTGAATCGCTGTATTTTGATGACCAGGGAACTCCGGCTGTTACCTTAATTCTTCTTCGCTTCTAGATGGACATACATTCGAAACCAACTGAAAGCGACAAGCGGTGTCGATTTCTCAAGGAGTATCACCTGCTAAGAGCGCCCGTCATCGTGATCAAAGCAGAGGACGAGGAACTCCACCCCGCAAACCCATGGAGCCCCTCTAAAGTTTCGATACGAGTCGGACATATGCCTTCTATAGACATGGCAGGTCTACCTCGACTGTTCTATTATGGCGTCGTACAATCGGAAGGTTTAGATGATATAGCCACTCCTCCGCACAACGACGAGGGACGTCAGTTGGTCATAGCTGTGATCGAGCACTTCACAGTGAAACACGAAGATGCGCTTATCTTCACGTGGCGCAGTGGAGTACAAGATACTCCTTTGGGGACGAGTTGCCCAGTAAGTTCGTCTGGTGGGCGAACAAGAACTTGAAATGGCTAAAGGGCCAAAATAGCAGAAAAAGACACGAGGTTGATGAAGAAGAGGTTGAAGAAGTGTTAGGACTTGAGAGAAAGACTCGGTATCAAATATTCGAGAGGAATTACTCTGAAGGCTTAGTACATCTGAGTCAGCCCGAGGACAGAAAGAAGGGAAAGTAGGAAGAAAGTTAGGTAGTATGCAACACACGCTTTTCTGGATAATCACAATTGTCTATTTTGCGGAACCACTACTTCATGAAACATTCCCATGGTATCGTTGTCATCAGGACTTTGGCTTGACACTCCTCCATTCGAGCCCAAAAGTGAAGACAAACGCCACTGCCGCAGCAGCAGTGGCGATATAGAATGCTGAGACAATGCCGTGGTTGTATGCTCCTATAACCGCAGATAGCTGGGCCTCAGTTACGATTTTCCTGACTGATGAAGTGCCAGCGGACAGAATTTTATCGATTTCTGCTCTGCCGATCCCCACACTACCCAGCTTTGAGAGCGAGCTAGTAAGCTGATTGGTGAAGAGTGCTTGCGAAATCGATAAGAAAACTGAACCTCCGAGGAATTGGAATAGCTGCACCAAAGATGTCCCGACCGGGATATCATCGCCCTTGAGGACTGTCTGTGTCGCCATGTAGGGCATAGAAAGCGTCATTCCTGCGCCGAGACCTTGCAAGACCTGATACGGAATCCAGCGTTGATGGCTAGTAGTAGGCGTGAAAGTGGTGATCAATCCGGTGCCGATAGACATAAGTGCTGTCCCAGTAAATATAAATGGGTTCGCGTAGCCTAGGAATGAGACTCCCATGCCCGCTCCGATGGCTGATATGATCTCTGATATAGCTAATGGCAAATACATGACTCCAGATTTGGTAGGTGAAACCCCTTTTATGACTTGAAACCATTCGGGCAGATAGTAAATGGACGTGTAAACGGCACCCATGGCGAAGAAATTGATAAAACAGGCCGTGAAGATGGTGCGCTGTGTGATGAGCCTGGGTGGGATCATAGCATTGTCGCCTTTGTGGACTTGCCATGATGCGAAGACAGTAAGGAGGCCAGCACCACCTAGAATCAGGCCGATGATTGTCACGCTCTTCCACGCATGCCGAGTACCTCCCCATTGTAGAGCGAGGAGGATTATGATGATTGAAGGTATGAAGAGGAATGCACCAATTAAGTCGAGTTTGGCGAGCTTCTGGAGGACCGTGACGTTGTCGGAATTGCGTGCAGGCGGATGGAAGAATAAGGTGAGGAAGGTGAATGTGACTGCCCCGATCGGGAGGTTGATATAGAAGCACCATCGCCACGACGCATGTTGCGTCAAAACGCCGCCTAGAAGTGGCCCTAAAATGGTTGCAACGCCGTACGTGGAATGAAGGATGCCGATAAAAGTCCCTCGTTTCTATAGAGGCATCGAGGTGGCAACGATTGACATTGCCCCTGTCGCTATCCCAGCGCCTCCAAGTCCCGCTACGGCTCGTCCAACGACAAGCATTGGGCTGTTGACAGCAGTTGCGCAGATGAGGGAGCCGAACTCAAAGACAGCCATGGTGGAGAGAAACACGATCTGTTACTATTAGCAAAGCCCAGGTATACATGCGTCAGAACAACCTACTTTCATCGAAAAATTCGCATAAAGCTTCCCTGCTATCGGTTGGAAGGAGCACATGGCGAGAGAGTATGCGCTTCCATACCATCCGATGTCGTCGATGCTGCCGAACTGAGATGTGATGCGTGGAATGGCGGTGGAGATGATGGACCCATCTATAGATGAGAGGAAAATTGCTAGAGCCAGCCCGATCATGACAAGCAGGAGCTTGGAGCCGGCTAGTTCGAAGACCGCGGTCTCTTCTTGAGAACCTTCTTTGTCGATGCTCGTAGACTTGATATCCTCGATGCTCTCATGGCCGTTTTCGTCGGCCATCGTGTCGGTCATCGTGTTGGCCATGGTTGAGGGAGTCGGGCGTTGCAGTGTAAGGGAAACAGATGAGGCATGGGTTTGACTTTGGAAAGACAGGCCCTTTAAAGCAGTCACAGCAGTCTAGGAAAACAGCAAAAGAAAGGAGTACAACAGTCACCGAGATTGTGTGACTACATTGGCTTCGATATGTGTATTTTAGGACAGTGACTTGTGAAGAAAACGTTGGCACTCGAGCATCTGCATCACAGCAGCCAATGAAGATGGGCGCCAAGGTTGACGCGAGGATGAGTCGAAATGTGTCGCCTTGTCCACCGCGGTACCTTTGTAGCACGAGCCACCGAGTGAGGCTGTACGAAGTACGGACTCCGTACCGTTGCAGTATCACTGCTGCGGTATATATGCATCGCTCCTGTCGCATTACCAGAAATCGAATGAGTCACAGAGCTGGACATAAGACTTTCTTTCTACTCATCGACTTTGCAGCATCGGAGTCTATGGGATCAGGGATTTCACGTAAACCTTCGCTCGGGACCTTGAAGAATAGGTAGACCCAGGGCGCCTGCACACAACCTGAGGGCGCGAGACGTCCATTTGATATGAGGCCGCTGTGAGCATGAGCTGCCATCTAAGATGCTCCGCTGGGTTCGAGATGAGGAGACGAATATCGAGACTGTGATGGTTGAGGAAGGCATGTTCAAGTCGCGTCCAAGCTTAGAATAGTGGACGTGCTTCGATCACCTGGTCGCAGATTCCGAGACGTCACTGCTCTCCCTCCCCACGACTTCAAACTTCTCCAGCTCAACGAACTCGTCAAACACCGTCTTACGAAGACTTGACTGCAAAGGCTGCCGCCATTGCCATAATACAGCATCAATGGTGCTCCAGGACGCCACCGGCCCGCCCAACAATGGCTCTCTTAGCGACGACCCGTTCCCCTCCGACGGCGGCGATCCATACTCCACTGCCTCCTCTTCTGCCAGCAGCGTCGATTTCAGCAACTTGCCTCGGCCGGTGCCCATAATCGGTGGCCTTGTTGGGTACAGCAATCGCCGGATACAGGCAAACACAAAGCAAGCTCTGAGAGAAGCAGAGAAGGTGATGAAGCGGCCTATGACATATGAGGAGGCAACAGCACTATCGTATATCTGGGCAAAGAAGTCATCTATTGCATCGTATGGGGCAGCTCTAGGGGCTGGCGGAGCCTTGTATCAAGCCTACCGAACCCGCACCGCCTTTCGATATCCCTTCTGGACTCCGAATCCCGAGAAATTCAACCCAAATGAATTCTTCTTCGTGAAAGGCACTTTGGCACGACGCTTGTTCCACACTACCAGGGTCATACCGTATTTCATACTGGGGAGGATTGTAGGAAGCTTTTTCGGGGAATCGTGGGGTACATTCTATGCTATTACCCAAACAAAGACAGATGCAGCGCTGAAGGAGTTCCATGAGGCCATGGTGCAGCGCGCAAGCCAGGTCAGAGGCCCTCCGAGACAATCGGCTCCCGGCCAATCAAGCCCAGATGGAAGCGCATGGCCAAAGCAGCCTTCGAGACCAACGCATATTCCGACACCGGCTCAAAAGAACACCACAAATGACGACGATATGTCTCCAACCGCAGGCAACGACGCCTGGTCCAATTCCTTCGACAGCAGCTCTGATCTGAGTGACACATCCGCGGGGCAATCCCCCACACCGGACACAGCTTACGGTAAAGAGGCCTACAACCGCCCAACCAGGGCACCTGAACGTTCTACGGCTCGCGATGAGACATCTCCGTCGTCAAGTGGGATGTTCCCAGGGGAGACGGAGCAAGAAAAAGCAAGCACGGGATCGTCATGGGAGCGTATTCGCAGGAGTTCGGCAAGTCAAGCATCGTCTCCCCCGCAAAAAAGCAGACCGCTCCAAGAAACTCAGAGGGAGGGATCCACACTTGGGGACAGCTTCAGCTTTTCTAGCACAGATGAGGAGCGACAGTTAGCTAAGGCTGAAGCTCAGCGCGAGTTTGACGCCAGAGTCGAGCGAGAGAGAAAAGGCGATGATTTCGAGGACCGAAAGAAAAGATGGTAAGGCTGGGCATGGGCGCGTATCAGTGATCGTTGACGATCTGTACTTAAAAAATGTATATCAGCTTGTGTAGGTATGGCATGTTGCTAGAAGCTTGCTATGGTCACTGCTTTCATGGTAATCTTGTCATTTATTGGTTCATTGTCTCTTTTCCTGACTTATCGCAAGAATTGCTAAAACACATACTGAAGGCATGAAATACCCTAAGTTTCTATGAAAGGTAGCTATAGTTTCCAGTGAGATTACATCGGTAGGAGCATCCTGTCGACATTCCGACCGACCGGGAGCGGTTCCGCGACAGCGCTGGAAGAACATACGTGGCGAAGTGAAGTCGTTTTTCTTTTATTCGAATTTCATATACCGGCGGCTTCATCATATTTATCAGCGGCTCCCATGGCAATCACCAGCATCGATTACCTAGGTGAAGCAAGCACTCCGCTCCGGTACGAGGTGAACGCACTCTGAGTGAAAAATCGAGCTCCGTGAATTCTGACTTGGCATTTCTTGGCAGCCGCTTCCCAGCAGAAAACCGCAAGTCAACCGGACTTCACTCTGTCTCCTTCACCATCGAGTCGCCTCACCCACCGCTGCCGTTTCCCAGTCACCAGCACGCTGCTGACTAACGCACCTCGACCGGTCGCTAATCTTGGCTTGAGTAAAGTAGGACAGCTTCATCAAACCGCCTCACCACTACTTCTTCCACACTCGAGCACCGCTACAGGTATGGCTCCTCCTCGTTTTTCTACCATACGCTTCAAGCACCCAAACCCCCCCAAACACCCCAAACATCCCAAACGCAAGAGGCCCGATGCGAGCTCTTCTGACGAAGGTCCTTTAGACGTGTCCCCGCCGAACAGCAAGCGCGCGCGACAGACGGCGAATACGAGCAATCCCGATACCACCGACGACATGGAATTCCTTGTTGAGAATGTGGGCGAAGTACTTGAGCGTATGACTGAGCTTGAGCGGGTTGAGACGCTGGAAGTGTTGCAGGGCGAAACGAGCAACCAAGGCGGAGGCAGATCGCGAGACAACACGGCAGGCTACGGCACTGTTACCCACGAGAACTTGCTTGAACTCGAAGGCTTGTCCTCTCTACGGAACTCCATCGCCTGGCTCCAACGCGTCAATGCGATGAACCTTTCACCCGGGAGCCAGCTTCGAGCTGGCGATAGGGACTTAAGTATCCACGGCGCGGCTGGATCCTCTAGCTCTCAATCATCGCTGCATCCGAGCACCGCCTCATTCCGACCGAATACAGCGCCAGGCCAAATTTCGCTCCCTGTGTCCATCATCGATACTCTCGACCCAGTCCGCCGTCTCGACGAAGCCCGCCGTCTCGACGAAGCCCGCCGTCGCGAGGAACCCCGCCATCTTGACCTAAGCCATCATCTCTATAAGGGCTCTCTTGGGCTCGACAATTCGCCTTCCGCCCGTAAGATCGTAGCAATCTTGATGGCTTTCAAAAATAGAAAGCAAGCCGAGGTAGACCAGAATCCCGCTCCTCCACAACGCCCATCAGCCCAACCGCGCACTTTCCTAAAGTTCATGGAGCTCCCAGTAGAGCTGCGAGGACGAGTGTACGAGTTCGTTGTCGGCTTTGATGAACCGATCCGCCCACACGCATGTGATGCGCACAAGAGCGGGGGGCCGAAGACTTGGCGCTTCCATGACGATGTGAAGCATGGAGCTGAAGGAGAGCACAATGAAATATCACAGCTACTAGCCATCACTCGCACTAGCAAGAAAGTTCGAGAAGAGAGCCTGCCCATATTCTACAGCGTCAATACTTTCGCCGATGGCTACGACACTCTCCAGTACTTCCAAGCTTTGGAAGCCCGAGGCCGCTTGAATCTGGTGCGCAACGTCCAATTCCACGCGCACTTCCGCTATGCCAACAGCACGCTCGTGGTCCAGGACGTGTTCAGTGCTCTCATGAAGATCAACACCGCAACCACCGTGGCCAGCCTGCCGTTCTTGGATGTATCCTGGGACGCCAATATGTTCCTCGCGATGAGTATGCTGGCGAAGACTTTCAACGACGGCCATAAGACGATCACGCTCAGGGTACCGGCTCCTGATTGGTTCAAGGACCCTGAGGAGTACCCTAAGCTGGAATGGTTCCTCAAGGTCACCAATAAACTTGGGCTCGATGTGAAGCTTGTGCCGTCTGGTCGGCTCTACGGATGCGAGAGCACTACTGTTGTCTGCGATTGGGTTCACAGGCTCCAGAAGGACGATGGTATTGCCAAGGTGGCTACTAAGGAGACTAGGAAGCTGATGGAGAATGTCACCAAAGCGGTTCCTGGGGTCGCAAACTTCTCGAAAACGAAAGTCTCGTTCTATAGGAAGGACTGCGCCGGCAATGTAGTCTGGTTTGAGGAGGTTTAGAAGCGTCTAGGACAATCTGCGCGAAGTTATCGATTACGACGGCAGCCTTACACCAACTCGCTATACATCACGCAATCAATCGACCAAGCTATCAGCCCGCAGAACTCGACAGATCCGGCATAACACAATGCAATCAGCGGCTTGAGATACAACCGCTTCTTGTCATGAGTATCATATCGTACGATGAGCCTTTCATGGCGCTCATGGTCAGCGGTTTCTTGGGGTCTTGAGTAGCACCACACCCTTCTGGGTAGGAGTCACTGGCTTTTGAGTAGCAAGTTTGAGATGGGAACGACAACGGAAGTCATATTCCAAACGCTACAAACTATGCCCTGGGCTTCTTTCATCGTCTACCCTCCTTCCCTGCACTTGCGGGTTTCTAAAAGTTGACTTTCTTTCCACGATACTTTGCACTTTCCCCTAACACCTTGATCTTTCTTTTCCAATACTCGACCACGGTTCTACTTCCTAGTTCTCTAAGATAATTTGCCCTTTCCCCCGATACTTTGACCTTCTTTTCCACTACCCGACACTGATTTCATGTTTTATGTCCTTTCTTTCTTTTTGCGCTTTAGTGCATGGGTGCTTGCGTGGCTACGTGGGCTGGAGAACAAAGACAAAACACGCCAGGATCTGGCAGGCTGATTTTATTTTCTTTCCTTCTATATGGACTCATGTAGTCGCCGCCCCTTTTGTGGCCAAGTTCCCCTTTACGGGTTGAACGGACGCAGCATGTGGGGCGGGTGAGAGCAGAGCTTTGCAGGCGGGATTTGCAAGTAACTATCAAAGGTGCTGAAAATGTCAACGATGATGCCTCGGGCATGTCTATGAACCTGTGCTTCTCAGTCAAAGAGTGTGATGTTGAGTGATGAGACCCGAGCGGGCGGAGAATACTGCCGTACCCATATGAGAGCCGCCCGTTCTTTGGTAAGCGTTCAAGCCACGGCGGGAGTCTAAAAGCAGCTTGGACGGATCAACAACAAGCGGGTGCGACGATGGAGGATGATGAGCATGATGAGGAGGATGGGTAACGTAGGCTCAACGGCATATAATGTGAATTGCTGTGACCTATCTCATAACAATGCTTACGCGAAGAGACATCCGAAAGCAAGAAAGCAACCTGAGCAGCCCCGCACGGCATTTCCAGACAAGCGACTGTGCCCTGCCTCTCTTTACGATATGACGAGAAACATGCATCCATTCTTAAGACGAGAATCAACGCAAAATTTAAGTGCGAAACGTGCCCTGCAGTAGTGTACGCGCGGCGTCACGAACTACCTAGTAGGACTCCTCCAGTAATTCTTCATCCCCAACGTGCCAATAATATATAAGTTCTTATATATTGCAAGTTATATATTTATTCTCAAGGGTTTTAACGCTAGTAATACCGGTGTTGACTTCTACAACACTGGCCGCTGCTGTCTGCACCCCTCTTCAGCTTAGATACCCGATATAGACTAAACACAAACCTATGCTGGCCTAGGCTGATCAGCTCGCTCGACCCTGTAAAAACAATTTTCTGCACAGAGTGTAAGTAAATCAGCTCGCTTGCAATTCCGCTTCTTAGGTCTTCTGTCGACGTGCATCAAAACTAATCGATAACAGGAGCGAGACGCCATGCAACTATTAATGGCACGGCACCCTCAAATTCGCTCTGCGCAGAAACTACTTCTCCGCCCGCCTGATCTTCTTACCATGTGTCCTGCGGCCCGGAGGCCTCTCTTGTCCTGAATCTTCGCCCTGATAGCTGCACAAGGTTAGACCATGGCAGAGCCTGACGACAATCCCGACGTCGGCACATCGACTCCGGCGACAAACCCACTGCCAGGACCGGATGTGCACAGCAGCGTCCCACAACCGACGGAACAGCCTTTGCCAGTGGAACCGACAGATGTCAGCGAAGCCCTGTACGACGCTGCCGAAGATGGCCTTCTTGAGAGAGTTCAAGCTCTACTCCTGGCTTCACCACGCGCAGATCTCGAGTCCAAGCATGGTGGCTTCCAAGAAGAAACTGCTCTGTGTGCAGCGGCCAGAAACAACCATCTAGACGTCGTCAAGTGTCTTGTTTCAGCTGGCGCGTTGCTGGATTGCACAAACTACTGGCACGAAACTCCTCTACACGTATCGGCACACGAAGGCCACTTCGATATCGTTCAGTACTTGGTTCAAAACATTATCGACCGCGAAGACGATGTCAACCTAGTCGATTATGTCAACTTAGTCGATGACGGAGACGAGACAGCTCTTCACAGAGCCGCCGAGGGGAGTAATGTTGAGCTTGTGGAATGCTTGATTGAGGCGGGTGCGCGCATCGAGGTCTTCAATTGTGACGGAAGAAATCCAGCAATGTGTGCCAGCGAATCAGACAAATCCTCGGCTGTGTTGCAATTACTTCTCAGCCGATGCCCTCAAATAGTCAATGCCACTCAGAAGAATGTGGTGGGATATACCTGCCTGCACATCGCCGCGAACAGCGACGCCGGCAACAATGTCGAATTACTATTGGGCCAGGGAGCGGATCCCACGATACAGGACACCGACCCGCTGTGGGAACAGACTCCCTGGGAGCTGGCATGCGTTAGAAACCGTCTTGATGCAATGAGCGCCTTTGCATTTGTGGAGATGAGAGAGAAACAAGCGCACCCGCGAGAACACGAATTGGATAACATTGGGAATTCGCCAGGCGCTGAATATTGGAAGGATCTTTATGACGGCCCCTTCCCTCATTACGACCCATTTCCATTTCTGCACATTCCAAGTAACACTGTAAGACCCAGTCCATTGCGCTGCAGCGAGAGCGAGTAATACTGACATCGACGAAACACAGTTCCTGTGGGCACTCGTAAGGAACTGCGGACTTTGTTTTTGGCAGCTGGCGTAGGAAGGGCAAAGGATCAGTGAGGAAAGCATGAGTTGTATTGAGGTGCTAATGAGTGGCTATATAGTGAAGAGAGACCAGGGGTTGCAGGCAGCAACGGTGACAAAACAACAGGTGAACCCTGTCCAGCTGAGAAGTGAACCCTGTACAGCTGAGACGCGTAGACAGACGTGCGTAGGAGCATTCTAACTGGCTGCCAGTTTTCGCTGACCGCAAAAAGCTAATGGGTTAAGTGCAGGCTTTCATACGAGACGTATCGAAACATCCGACTCAAAAAGCGGCCAAGCGGTACCTTCGCCACGAGCACATGCGACGAAACTTCGTCGAGCGTTTGGAGCCAGGCAACTTTCTAAATGCCCGAGAACCATGCTGCGATAGTGTAGTTGAGGCCTCGGAATTTGATTCTCTCTCACTTTCGGTCAGTCACAGTCATAGACTAGTTGGGTGCTAGACGCTGCTAATAGTCCTAGATGCCTTACTTCTACTCTGAAGCCTTTGGTAAGTTCCAGAAGCGCAAAGCGATATACAAAAGCCTTTCCGAGGGCTGGAAATACTGTTGCAGTGCCACTCCCTTGCCCGGCATGACCATACACATGCCGCTCACGTTGAACGAGTACTGCAAGCCAGTCTTGGGTGCCAGGATTCTCGACGAGCGGAACAAGGATCAAGTAGTACAACGGTACGTCAGCCGAAAAGAGGAGAGCGCACGCAAAGACGGCAAGCTGCTAGACGAAAAGAATGAAGAAGGACCGGATCCGAGGAGAGTTAGAGTTCTCACGGTTCACCAGGCGTGGGTCTGGAAAATCGACAACCTTGTTCTAGCAGCTTTTTTCGACGAAAGCCAAGGGAGATTTGGGGCCCGCTGGGAGGAAGCGACAGAGCATGATGTGGGAGATCAACTTATAAGGGTAGGGAAATTGCTATCCTATCTGATCAATTTCTTGGATCGTCCCGTATCGGCGGGCTTGTCGGAGCCGCTTTTCAACACATTCGAAAAGTCTATCATTTTTCTTTCAGACGACGTCAACGACTACATCAGATCGTCCAAGATTGATGACTTCAGCTTGGACAAAGAGGTTCAATACTACCGCGAGATTGGAGACATCCGCGAAGAGCTCTCGATGATAAAATCAGTGCTTTTGCAACAGGAAGAAGTGTGGAAAGAGTTCATATCCACTGCCTGGCCCAACTACTGGGTGGATGGCCGGTTCACTCCTCCGTTCAATGATGGCTTTGGAGCCTGGCGAGACATTGCACGACCCCAAGTGCAGTTTCCAAAGTTCAAGCGCCGAATTGCTCAGCTCGATGAGGATGCGCAGCGCGTGGAAAACTCCATCTCCATCACACTAGATTTAAAGGCTAAACATGCGGGCCTGCGACAAACGCAAGCCAGCACCAAAGAAGCGCATTCGGCCGCCGTGATGAGCGCAGCCGTGTTTGGCTTCACCATCGTTACCATCATCTTCACACCGCTGTCTTTCATGCTCGCGCTCTTCGCGCTGCCGCTCCAGCGGCTCCAGGATAACCAGATTGCGTCGCGGTGGAGCAGCGATTCGGGCATGTACACGACGAACTATGTCGGCAAGTGGATGGGTGAGTCTCCTGGCTTCTTTCTCGTTAGGAATACGTTAGTTGCTGACTTTGTTTAGCCGCGGGGGAGCTTGTGTCGGTGTTTGTGACGGTCGTTTTCATGTGGGCTGCTATCGAGTGGGGCTTGGATGATCCCATTGCGAAGAGAGCCTGGCAACGGATCGAGTCGACGAGGTTGGGCCGATGGCTGAAAAACACGAAGACATGGCAATGGCTTAAGGGGCTCTGGCTATGGATCAGGACAACGACAAGATCTAAAAGCACGGCAAAGAAGCAGGGTCCGCCGACAGTGCCTGGAGCTGGCACGGCACAACCGCAGCCCGAGGATGCGCATCGGCGACCTAGACGCAGAGCTGCTCATCGAGACGACGTTGAGAAGGGCGAGCTAGAGCCCTGAGAGCTGTGTTTGGCGGCGGGTGGTTTTCTGCGTGGTATGCGGTTGCCGCTTTTGCAGTTTCATAGAGATTTTTTCTGGGATTCGGCTCTTGGTTGAGCTTAATGACATCGATTCCATGGCAAAGCCTTCTACAGTGCTATCGCCAGGAACTCCTGCGAGCTGGTCTCTCCTCGCGGCCTCTGTATAATGAGGATGTATTCCCAGTTATACGCCCACTAGAGCTAGTCATGACGGTGTAATTTACCCATGTCATCCAGTAAGCCAACCCTGTGGCTGTCAGACCTATGGCTGTGCAGATGCTCGGAATATCAAGATCCGACTCTGGAGTCAGCAATGACACTAATGACGGACACATCTCGAATCAAAGATGAGCTAAAGTCAGCCCTATGTATTATGATTAAGCAGACATAGAGGGCTAACTACCCAATGGCGGGAATCTTTGCTCTCAGCCTTGCCTCTCCACGGATGGCCACGTCACAAGGCAGAATCACAGCCCCAAAAGCAATATTCATCCGATTCTTTAGGCGTATGTCTCTTATTATCTATCATCAATTTTCGATCAACCTTTGAGACTAAGTTACGTTGTTCTACAATGAAAGTTGCTCGTAGTCTTCTAGAAAGCCCTCAAGTCAACTGCTTTAAGGGTACTATGACAAAGATTGCCTAAAAAACCACTTTTGGTGGAATCCGGGTGTTCACTTCAAGCCAGAGTTAGCCTGACCGGTTCTAGACCTCTAACATCTAGCCAGTCAAGACACGCCAACACACTCCTTAAAATTCGGTCTATCCGTATCTGGATATTGGTGCAGCAGCAGCATCAGTGTCAGCCTGACCCATTCAAAAAGATAAGGAGGAGGAATGGTGACGAATGCTGTAAAGATGCCCCTATTTTCCTAACTCCCAATATCTCAACCATCTCATGAAAACCGCCATGTTCGATTGTTAAACAGCACATGCGGGTGCTGCTGTTGAGGTTTCACCTTGTCGGGTCCCTCGATTAGAACTCTCTAACACTCTCAATTAGAAAAATCCAATTCGGCTCTACAGTCTTCCAAGGAGCCCAATAGCCATTCAGCGTTTCGTCTATTTGCTACTATATTCCTGCCTACTGTTGCCGCTGCCACCGCTCAACTCTCCCTCCCTCAACCAGTCTCGATGCTTCCAACGTTTCTATCAATTTGGTTCCATCATGGCCCGCAAGTTAGTGAAACCTGAAGAGCTCCAGCATTGGCAGTACACACCATTTCCATCGGCATCGTCCGTTCGAATTATTCATCTGCTACAAGCGAAGAATGTAAACGACCAGTTAGAGTGTCGCTTTATTGAAACCACGCTCGAGAGTAACCCACAATACATCGCCGCTTCATATGTTTGGGGTGATAAAGCGAACCCGTCGACAATTCTCTGTCATGGAACATATCTTCCAATCACTCGGAATCTTGATGCTGCTCTTAGAAGATTTCGGCGAGAGTCTGAGGATATACCTTTATGGGTTGATAGCATCTGCATCAATCAGCAAGATATGATGGAAGTAAACCACCAAGTCAGATTAATGGGAGACATCTATCGCAATGCATCACATGTGTATGTCTGGCTTGGTGGTGAAGACGAGGACGATAGCGAAGACGAGGACGATAAAGAAGACAAGAATGATGAAATATCCGCGGTAATTGAATACTTCGAAATATTAAAGGAAAAGGTGTCGCTAAGAATTCCTGATATCCAAAACTGGGTCTTTAATGGAAACAGCCGTGAATTTCACGAATCCTTCAATCTTCCAGACACCGACTCTCCACAATTCATGGCATTCTCGAACTATCTCTGTAAAAAGGCATGGTTTCGCCGCGCCTGGACATTTCAAGAAAGCATTCTAGCCCGTGCGAAGACTTATTTCTGTGGACGGTTTGAATTGCCAAACGAATCGATGACCATGACGATCGTAATGATGCATTTACTCCAGGACAAAACCAAGGAGATTAAATACAGAAAATTTATAGAGGAACCTATCGTGTCTATGATATTAGGTTACCGAGAAGGATTCGTGCAGAATCTCGACGATCTTCTTGTCCGTCGGCGCGGCTCGGGCTGTCAGAATCCAAGTGATCTGGTCTACTCCCTTCTTGGAGTGGTACCTAGTATCTGGACAAGACTTATTCAACCGGACTATCAGAAGCCATTTGAAGTTGTATTTGCAGAATCAGTGGCACATATAATTCAGGTTCGCGGTAATCTGAATATCTTTGCAGCGGTCGACTATGATAGAATATCCACTTCCGAGCTTCCAAGTTGGGCACCAGACTGGCGATACAAAGCATCTCACAGAGTACATTTCTCTGGAAAAGGCACAGATAAAAAGGGTCTGTATTATGCGTCAGGATCATCTCAGTCAACTTTCCAGCTTTCAGCCGATACTAAGCAGCTCACTCTTCGAGGGCTTGCTGTGGATACTATTGCATCGAGGTCACCAGAACCTACAGTTCCCGGGAAATGGGGGTGGGTTGAAGAACATTTCAGTTGCACAAAACAGCCGGGTACGATATACAGGTTTACCAAAGAACCTATCGAAGACGCCCTAATCAGAACTTTATGGGCCGATGAATCTTTGGACCGGACCAGATTTGATGCAAATTCCCTATCATCTTTCCGAAGCACCGTCGAAGCTTTCCAAAATATTCTCTCTCCCTTAAACCCCGAAATGGGGCACTATGGATTTCTGGACTGTGCGGCATTTCTGAATACAAAGTCAAAGCTGCAGGCAAATCTGCGAGAACATTTGCAGACAACAAAAGTCTCGGAGAGTTTGGCTGAGCTTCAGATTTCCATCTCAGGAATAACCAAATTATTCCTTATGCGTACACAAAAAGGAATATTAGGCATCGTGCCTGTGGTTGCCAACGCCGGGGACCTTGTCATCATACCCCTCGGCGGACAAGTTCCTATTGTCCTTCGTCCCTGCGGTAACAGATTCACCTTTGTTTGTGAATGTTACCTTCACGGATTCATGGATGGCGAGGCGTTTGTTCATGCGAGAAAGATGGAAGACCCAACTTACGACACTGTGGATAAGTCCTGGTTAGCGAAATTGCACGAGGAACCGCTTCCGTTCTCAACCCAGGAGTTTATGCTTGTGTAGATTCAAGACATATCTTTATGTCAGGATATCCTGATATTGGTCAAGAAAGGCTGAAATACTTGCTGGACTTAAAAGGTCTTATTCCCGGAATCTGCAAGCTCTTTAAATCCGGAAGGATAGTTAGTATGAGAACCAGCCGTGGGAGCTAGAACGGGCTGAGAGAGAGTTACAATTTGCAATAGTGTTGGCGAGAGTAGTTCGGATCTCTGTGGTCATCAGCAATCATCTGAAACCCCAGGTTTTATTTGCTATTTCCTATCCTGAAGATGCCATACAGTAGCTCCCAGTGTCCTACGCCAAGTGTCGCTCTTGTCTATTGTCAGAACGCTACGCTACTAGGAAAGCTACGAACATCAGCTGGAGTTAACTCAGCTGAACTTACTAGCGGGCCACCCGGGGGGTGGCCCCTCATGAGTTGGATGATCCAGCGCCACAGCTTCGCGGGCTACGATGGTTTCAGAGAGGTTGGACACTTCAAGAGCTCATTACGCCAAAGGAGGCGGTCTTCTTCACGGCAACTTGGAAGGCTGTTGGCACTAAAAAATCCCTATGTGGCGCTCTATCATCACTTACGGGAATCCCTTCCAGAGTTCTACTCCTTGAAGAAAGCCTTCACACTGCAAGTAACGCCCAAAAGATGTCCTGGGCTTCGACTCGATCGACTACGAGAGAAGAGGATATGGCATACTGCCTTCTCGGTCCTTTTGATGTTAGCATGCCAACTCTGTATGGGGAAGGAAGTCGGAACGGTTTTCGTCGCCTTCAAGAAGAAATCATTAAAGTTCCAACCAATGAGAGCATATTTGCGTGGCATGGAAAGAATGAACGTCCTGGGGCATTGGCCGAATCACCCGCTGATTTTCAGAATATGGGAAATGTGGAATTTCTCGGTGCCAGTTTCCTGGTTCTAAACGACGAGTATTATTTACCAATAGAGGGCTGAGAATGCAGCTGCCAGTCAAAGAAATCGAAAACGGCCAGTCCATTGGTCTCCTTGCTTGTACAACCTCGGATAGTACTGGTCATGGATACGTGGGAATCTATCTATACGAGGTTCCGAATACCAGACTCTACCTTCGAGCGCACAAATGCCCAAGGGTGATGTCCGGAAAACCAGAAGATATCAGGGGAGAGTTCAAAATGGAGAATGTCCTGATAGCAGGAGCTCGTTACAGGCAAAGCCTTGGATACCATGAGCCAAAGACAGAGAATCTGCCGTATATCAGTCTCTCATACGACTGGGCCGGTTTTCATGAATATCGGCAAGTTTTCATGACCGATGATAAGGAGACGGTTAGTGAAGAGACTGACAACGATGTAAATTCGGAAAGTTGGGACCGAAGGACAGTGGTGACATGAGGGTCACGTGAGCGCTCTGGCTCAAGCAGAGTACCGGGGCAGAGCACCCTGGAGGTTGCTCTGTGGGCCGTGCCAGGCAGAGCGCTGGAACAGAGCAGGACCAAATTGTAGGACGAAGGAAAGGGTATATGGTCTTGAGGATTTCTTGTCCTGTTTCCTTTGCCTCGTACTCAATTCATGTGTTGAACTTCAACCTATTGTCTCAACCAATACACCTTGTCTTGCACCCACCGGTCTTACTACTGAAGCCCCTACCATTGTTCTAACGCGCCACTTCCACACTACGATCCTCGTGTCTACAATTAGCCTACAGCGCAGTTAGCTGTTAATTATTGATGTTGAAGAAGATGGGCGATGTAGGCTCAACGGTCTATGATATAACTAGTTAAGTAAATTGATGCTTACGTGAAGAGGCGCCTGCAACATGAGAGCAAAAAGGCAGCGCGAGCAGCCTCGCACGGCATTTCGAGACAAGCGGCGGCGCCCTGTCTCTATTTAAGATTTGACGATAGACGTGCATGAAGTTGTGCAGCTTATGCACTCCACGGCCCAAAACGGCAGCTTGCATCTCTTCGGTTGTGCTCCCGAATCATGCAAGCGCTGGGCTCTGCAGCTGCCACCACTAGGCCTGGCGTGTTCTCTCGCTCGCGGCTTTTTGTGGTGTTGAGGCCGTTCGAATTGCGGCAGCTGTCCACCGCCCCAGCCGACTACGATGATGATGCACGGCCACGGCTCCGCGCGCTGGCCCCGGGAGAGCCAGGTGCCAGTTCAAACGCGCTTGGATGCCGACGATCATGGTGTTTGAGCAGAGCAAAGGGAAGGACAGGCCGCCGAAGAGGATTGCGGCCGGCCCGACTGCGCGTCCAATTTCCCATGAGCTGTTCCTGAATGAGCATCGGCTGGGATCATGGCGCTGCAGCCAATCGACGCGGCGCCTGGCGCTGAGGCCGGGCTTCTCATTTGTCTGAGGCTGCAGCTGCTGGGGTTTGACGGCTTGGGCGGCCGGGTTGGCTACGGCGCGCCTGGTGCCCGTTCGTGCCCTGAGTCGGACTGGGGCCGCTTCGTCTCTCTCTTGCTCGCTGCTCGTCTCTCTGCTCGCCGTGTGTTCGTCCCTTTCTCGTCGCCCATCTCGGACCAGCAGCGTCGCCCCTCACCCAGTCGCTCTTTCAATTGACGACCAACTGCTGCCCGTGAGACCCAGAGCCCCGTCCCGCCTGCCGCCCAACTGAACTCCCTCTTACCAGTGCCGTGGACGTGTCTCGGGTCGGATGGAGACGTGAGAAGACGGTTGTTGTGAAAGCAGGCCCATTCGCGAACCTCAACACCACGCCCGCCCGACGCCAATTATACCTGTATCGTATCCACGACACCGCGCAAACACCATGCACGCACCACGAGAGCATGCGGCGGCTTCGCCGTCGCCAGCAGACTGCCTTGGGCCCCGGAGACAGCCCCGTCGACAAAAGCAATCATCCTTCAGGAAATCAGCCCTCGTCCTATCCCTCCTCGCCGCGCCTGCTGCTATGGCCCAGGAGTGCATTTCTCTCGCCGGTTCCACTATGTGTCCGGCTTTTAATACGTCCTCGGTTTCTACCACCAAGGCTTTGACCGATCACTTGTACGTGGACCCTGAAATGGGCCCTATCTGTGCTATCAAAAGCTAACAAGCGCTACCCAGTTCTTTCCTCTCCTACGTATCAGATACCCAGTCTTTTGACGACCGGTTACGGACCTACATTGGCACCGAGTATGCGCAGCAAAAGTACGTTGAGGCAATAGGATATACATGATATGCAAGGGATGCTGACCGCGCCTACAGATACCAAGATAATCTGGGATGCTCGTCTGTAAACTTGACAAACACTACAGACCTCTACGCGCGGTACACAACGACGGTCATCTGCAACGCCATCGTCCAGCTCTCGATATCACCGTGTGGTTTATCTACAAACGATTCGGTACCGCTGTGTGCAGACAACTGTGTAAGTTGATGAATGGGCTTACACAAACTAATCTCAGATCGCTAATCATTTCTCAGGCGCAATTCGCTACTAGTGAACAGGAGATAATAGCAAGTCCTGAGATTTGCGGATCCTCTGGCAACAACGCGGTAGCCCAGATTCGATCCGACTTCACCATCTGTTCTCTCCCCAAAGGATCGTTAACCCAGGACTGTATAAACGCCGCTGAGAACGAGCCCCTGGACTGCGGCTATCAGTCAAACTTGCAGGGCTTGTGCTCGTACTGTTCTGCCAGTTCGCCAAACTCGACAGATTCGTGCTGTGTAAACTCGAACGTCAATTCGCGCTGTGTAGGCGTCCATCTACCAACAACGACATCGATGCCTCCTCTGTTTACTGGGACGACCTCGACTGCGACCTCCAGCCCAACTGGCACTACCGCGGCAGCGGCTGCTGGCGGTAGTTCCCATGGCCTCTCAGGAGGTGCTATTGCGGGCATTGTCATTGGATCGATACTCGGTGCTGCATTGATCCTCGCTGCTGTTATTTTCTTTTGTCTCCGCCTCCGCAAGAGACAAGACAGCCAGGCTGGCAGTGTCTTCAACCAGCCTTCGCCCTCACGAGCAGCTGCAGGACCTCCAATGACCTACAACACCGACGGTCCCCACGCGCCACCGCCTTCCATTGTCCCTGGTGCACGCGTTGCCCGCATGTCGGCGCTCGAAGGAACCTCCAGTTCATCCGGTAATCAGGCCGGTGGCGCTGCTGTTGCAGGCATTGGCGCCTTCCGCCAGGAACGCCAGCCCTCGCCTGACAGCTACAACCGCTCCCCCGACTCGAACCGCAGCCTCGCCGTCGGCAACATCTCCAAGCGCGACGGGTCCCTCTCCAGTCACTCCGCCCTCAGCGGCAGCAACGCCCACTCCTCACCAAACTCTGGCGGCGACCAGTTCTCCAGCCCGGAAGGCCCCACCTCTGGTCAATCCGAACAGCTCCAGTTCTTTAAAGACTACTACTCTCAAGACGAGATCCGGCCTAACGACACCGTTGCGACTCTCTGGGCTTACGCACCTCGCGCCAACGACGAGTTCGAGCTTGAGCGTGGCGACATGCTCAAGGTCGTTGGCATCTGGGACGATGGGTGGGCGACGGGCGTCAAGCTCACCGAGAACGCAGAGCAGTGGGAGGCGCGGCGCACCATCCAGCGCGACTCGGGCGTCAGCAACGGGAGCAGGAGGAGCGGCATCGCGGGCGAGAGCGAGATCAAGGCGTTCCCACTCGTTTGTGTGTGTCTGCCACAGCACTGGCGGAAGACTATCGAGGGGGATACGAGCGACTCTGGGGGCGCGGGCGGCCCGCCGCCGCAGCCGAGTCCGTAATCGCATCGCCCTGAGACGACTGATTCCTTCTGAAGAACCGAGGTTCTGATATTTATGCCGGCACGATGATGGCGATTACGCGGACTGAAAGCAAGCCGTTTTTTTTTCATACCTCTTTTTGTTTTCTAGAGGCGTTCAGCAAGGCGCCTGCTTTTGTTTTTGGAAAGAAGGAAAGACTACGCAAACCCCCGATTTGGATTGAGTGGGAGCGAACGAGCGAGCGGTACTGCATTTGCATCAACACGCGAAAGAAACCCCAGCTGACCAAAGCGGCTTAATCGAGTAACATCGTAATTCTTAATCCGAAATATCATATTCTACCTACCCACCCACCCACCGACCTGCCATCGAACCAACCGCTTCAATACTCGATCGAATAACTCTTCACACCTCGTCATAAACACCTTCTCAGACTCCGACCGAATTCTCTTTCCGACTTGTCGACCGACCTATTCTCTTTTCTTGTTCACGAAACACACACGCTTGGGCCGCACCACCGCTCACCTTTTCCCGTTCATACGCATCTACACTTACCTTATTCTCATTCTTGTCCTTTTTCCTTTTCTGTCATGGCGGAGAATGTGTAGATGTTGTTCTATACCCGCTCGGTTCCTTCCTCTCTACCTACTGGAGAATGAGGGACCGGCTTTTTCGGTTCTAAAGACGAGTGGGCTTTTTGAATTGGTGGACTTGTGGGTTTTTGGATGAGGGAGAGAGGAAGGAAGGAAGTGTATATAGGAGCCGATGAGGGGAAAGGGGTGGGGGCTAATACCGCTCGTGTGAAAGAGTCGAGGACGAACTAGGCGGACGGTAGATAGCACCCGCGAGCGTACCGCAGTTGATGGAATCAATGGTGCTGGATTGCCGCCTATTTCTTGTGGTGTGTGTGTGTGTGTGTGTGTGTTCGTGCAGCAGTCAGTCAGTCAGTCCGTCAGTCACTATGCTCAAGCTCCTTCAAGCAGCAGGCCTTCGTAAAAAAACCCCCGGCTTTCGTAAGTTACCGCCACCCGCGCCGCGCTTTTTCTCAGCCATCGCCCTGCCTCTGGCCTTCAACCCCTCCCTCCCTCCCTCCCTCCCTCCCTCCCTCCCTCAGAACACCCATATCCAACATCCATCGAAATGCAAACCTTCCTCAGCACAGACCCGGCTGCATCGACCGCTTGCTTGGTTCTACATCACCGCCATCACCGACGCGAAGCTCGTGCGTTCGTATGTCTAACCCGCATTTTAGCCAGACGAACTGGCCGAAATGACGGCCGAAGCGCCAGGCGATCGGTTCAAACGGCGCAGTCGGGTGATGGACGGACTGCCGGGATTGAGAGGGATATCGATGGTAGGATTCCTAGGGTGTGCCGATGTATGGGGAGAGCGAGGAGCGCAGGGGTGGGATAAGTGGTAGAGTCAGTGCTGCGGCTTTGAGATACGAGGGAGAGAGGGAGGGAGGGGAAGGGGAAGGGGAAGGGAGCGGATGGGTAGGGTGGGTGGGTGGGTAAGTCTCCCGCTTCCGCTCGCGCTCCCGCTCCCCTCTCAAAGGGGCGGCGGTGTGTGCTAAGAACGCGAGGGGGGGCGAGGCTGGCTGCGTGTGGGCATATCGCATCGTTGTGGAGCTGCGGTAGTGAGGGGGGGGGGGGGGGTTTCGATGCGTCTGCTGCCAGGGTGGCTCATTCATCGTACAAATTTATATACACTGTGCTTATCTCCAACATGCTTCATTTTCATTGGCCGCGTAGATTCCCCTTTTTCCCGACGTCTCACTGGGATCCAGAAACCCGACCACACATAGCCCCACGCTTCTCTTTGCGCATTCCTTTTTTCCCTATTACTCGTAGCTGCGGCCTACCTCACCGCCGACAGCTTCCGCGGGAACAACCTCCACCTCGACTTCGTCGCAACCGGCCGCTCCTCCGGCTTCTTCCCCCCTTCCTCCAACCCGCTTTCAAACTGCGCCAGCCTCTCATCCCTCCCCACATCCTCCCCCGACTTCTCCCTCTGAATTCTCCTTAGTGTCTCCTGCGCATTTGACACTGTCTGCTGCCGCTGCAGCAACACCCTCTGCAGCTGCAACCCCACCCGCACCTCCGCCGCCTCGTCCATAAACACGCGCTGCACCACATCAATCGCCGAGCACACGCGCGGTATGTCCTCCGAGATCTGGAAGAAGTCGCACTCGGCGTGCGGGTCCGCGCCGTGCGCGAGCAGCAGTTCTGCGATGTCGCTCGCACGCTTCGTGTGCGCTTTCGCAGTCGCTTGGTAGGAGTTCTCCATGAGGTAGCGGAGGAAGTCCTGCCAGGGGGACGAGTTATCGAAAGGGGCGTTGGGGTCGGCGCCGTGGGCGAGGAGGAGCGCGACGAGGGCGGGGTCGACGAGGAAGTTTCCCAGCACGGGGAAGAAGGTGTAGGAGAGGAGGGGGCGGCCGGGTTTCTGGGTGATGGCGGTGGCGACGGTGGCGGCGGCGGCGGCGCCGTGGGAGGCCAGTTTTGCGGCGGCGTAGTGGTGCAGGTTGTGCCGGATGGCGAGGGCGAGGAAGGTGTCGCGCCAGCGCAGCGAGCGCTGGAAGTCGGTGGGCCAGAATTCGGACCAGTGCGAGTCTGGGAAGAGGGGCCGGCCGTTGTAGCGGGGTTGGGGCTTTGCTTGTACTCGTTGGTGGAAATGCTCGGAGACGGATTTGTCGAGTTCGTCGAGGAGAGTGGTTTGCGCTCGGCCTAGTTTCTGCTCTGCGTACGAGGCGTATCGGAGCGTTGATAGGATTAGGTCCCATGGGCATCCTATTTCTCTGCGGCCGGCGGGAGAGGTCCAAGTCTTGATTTGAAGGACTAGTGATTTGAGGACTGCGTGCTCTACTGTGAAGTCCTCGTCTGTGTTCTTCTTCACAATTTCAGACCAAATTTCTAGCTTCGTCAGATACTGGAGAACAGAGTCGTGTGCATATTGGATCCTTCGGTTCCCGGAATTGACACTTTCAGGGGTGCCTACATCGTGACTATCTTTCTTGGTCAAGGTGAGATCCTCGCTGCAAAACTCGATGAGCCCTCCGCAGCAGTTTTCTAGCCAGCTCCCGACCTTGTCCCGCCTCTCGCAGATTTCGCTTGCTGATAACGGATTATTTGAAGCAATGAGATGATGGCTTTGGTCGTCCTCGAATGCGAATGAAAGGTTTGTTGAGCAGATATTTGGAAAGTATTCGCGCAACACGTCCCGTTTCTTCTGGTAAGACTGCCAATGTTGGAATACTTGGAAGATCTTGGAGCCTTGACAGCTAAGACGCGGTCCGACTTTGCCTAGGACGTGCGCGTAGAGAGCATCTAGGTCGATTGGCTGTTCTGGGGGGTTGCTCTTGGAGTTTGATGGTTGATCGCGAATGTCGCGTCCCCCAAGCGAAGCGGGAATAATGACATTTTCAACAGGTGCCGTCTTCATCGAGTGCATTACACTTTTGATCAATACGTGTTTACGCCAACGAGGGTAGCTAAAGAGATAGTTTCCGCGCCAGAGGTGCAATGTGTAGCGTGCGACACGGACTCCAAGTCCTGAGATCCCCGAGGCTTTCGAGAAGTGGGACCGGCTAGATGTGCCGACATTCCAGGAGCTACAGACAATAAGGAATGGACGTCTACAGCAACTCGGCTAGATATTGTAGGAAGAAAGAGACTCGGAGAATGGCACTTGATTCGAAGATGAAAAGCTGATGATTACGGTGGCCTGATGGCGAGAGAACATGGCGGAGCAGACGTAGCCATCGATGCCCAATACTGGCGCCAATCTCTCAGCAGGTGGATGATCAGGGATTGCCTCGTGATTTGGCAGGTGGTGGGTCTGACGCAATGATTGGCATCTGAGGCAGATCCTTATTCGACAAGGAAACGTATCTGTGTCATAATGAAGCGCAAGTCGCTCAGCATACCACCTGGAGCTCCGGGCAGTGTTCTGGTACGGTAGTGTAATGGCGAGGGCATGTTATTGAGGTGCTATGGGATGATTTTGCGACGACAACGACGGGTTGTTTACAAGAAAGTAGTGGAGAGGTGAAGTCCGTGTGGTCCGAATGCGAGGATCTCTGCGCTCGGACCATCATCGCCAAAATTAGATATCAGGATATGCGGTCCGTTGACTGTAGAGGATACAAAGCACGTACCAGAGGCCAGTTAGGTGAGCGCTGACTTCGTCATGCACTCGTGCTAATGGGAAATGGGATGAACCATAAAGTGAGGCATTGCACTTAATATAACATGTGAATTAGTCCTTCAAATTAGAACAAGCATTCAATGTATTAAAAGAGGGGTGTTGAATTTGACTGATAGCAGGACTAAAAGACGACACGCATCCCTTCCTATGGTAGACCATTACCAAAGCTAGTAATTCGCATAACAAGTCTTGCCCTATTAAGAGCTAAGATGCCTTCAGATTCTGCCTCCTAGACGGTTTCCTTCTCCTCAACCGTTTGCTCCTTTATCGGTTGCTCCTTGTTCCCCTTGGCACCAATCATAGCCAGCCTCTCTCGTTCAATCACTGAAGTGATGCTGACATTTCTTGCTCCCTTCTCTTGGGCCCGTCTGACCTCCGCAATCTCCGCATCCAGACGCGAGTTGCCCTTGCTAGTCTTCCATGCATGTGGTCCATCCTTGGAGAACAGCAGCTCGATCTCCTCGATTGTCTTTCCGCATGTCTCAGGATACGTCAAGTAGAACTGAGCAGCCGCGCCGAGGCAAAGCACGCCAAAGACGATGAACGACTTCCACAGAATGTTTCGAAATGCCGGCGGGATGAAGAGGCCGAGCGCAAAGTTGAAGAGCCAGTTGCCCACAGCTGAGATACCCATGCCTGTTGCGCGGGTTTCCAGAGACCAGACTTCGGCGGCGTAGATCCAGCAGATGGGCGCGAGGGTGAGGGCGTAGATGATGATGAGAATGTAGCAGAAAGCAATGACGGTGTACGATGCACTTCCCGTCACTCTCATTAAGACGTTCAGGTTGCCGTCCACTCCCCCTGCATACTGTTAGATCACGTTGGCAGAAGCGACGGAAGATATAAGATGAAATGACATACCAGGGACGTATTCGTAGTGGGCACCAAGGGTTCCGCCGACAACGAAATGGCAAATGCCCATACCGAGCGCGCCATACACGAGTAATGGCCGTCGGCCAATCTTATCAACCATAAAGAACATGATTGTGGTGAAAATGATGAAGAGTGCGTATTGGACACCCGACGAGATTAGGTTCACGTTACCCGTAAGATTGGCCATTTGAAACACGTAGACGATGTAATAGCTGAAGTACATGGTTAGCGTACTAGTTCGATTTGAAGAAGTCTTTGAGAGAACTCATACGTCATGACGTTGGCGCCGCTCAATTGCTGCCATGCTTGCACGGTGAAGCCAGCCATGGTCCTTCGCCACATGCCGTTGCGAAAGAATTTCTTCCAGCCTTTGCCAGCAAGCCTTTCGGCTGCAAGAACGGCGACGATTTCCTCGTATTCGGCAATGACCATGGGATCTTGTGTGTCCCCACCAGCCTGAATTTTCGCAAGTATATGGATCGCTTCGTCCGTGCGATCGACTTTGGCGAGCCAGCGAGGAGATCTGGGAAGGAATGGCAGTCCACACATGAGAAGCACGCATGGGACGAACTGGATGCCCCAAGCAGTTCTAAATGAGGCGTTGCCTGGGATAAAGGAGCATCCATAGCCGATGAAGTACATGATAAGGATGCCCCATTCGATGGCGAGTTGCTGGATGAGGATGATGGCGCCGCGCTTGTCGTGTCTTGCGATCTCGGCGAGATAGACTGGAACTTGGGACGAGGTAATGCCAACTGTGACGCCGTTGAGTACGCGTCCAGCAATGAGCATTCCGCGCCCATTGCAAGCCACTTGGATAGTGGTGCCGACGAGCCACCATAGACAGGCAAACATGACTGAGTCTCTCCGGCCAATCTTGTCTGATATAGGACCAGCGATAATGCTGCCAAATATCTAAAGTGTGTTAGCATTGTAGAGGTGTATCAGTCATTGAGATGAGCCTTACAGAGCCAGCGGCAAGAGCAGAGCCGATTGTACCTTGAATCACACCATGGGGATTGTCGAAATAATCACTAGCCTCATCGTTAGTCTTCTTGAATGGCAAGAGATACGACGAGGACCTTACATGTACTGCTTAGTCCCTATGATGGCGGACATAGACGAAATATCAAATCCGAAGAGCATCCCGCCCATAGTCTACGGTTTTGTTAGCATGAAAGTAAGGACCAGGGGAGTTGGAGTACGCTTACAGCAATCATGGCGAGAAAGTAGACATTGTATGTCTTTGGTGTGTTTAAGAGCTTCATGCTGGCAACTGTTTTCAGGATGGCACACGAGGTGTAAACATGTCCTACAGCACAGGTCGTCCAGTCGACGGTGAGCTAGCTCATATACACATCTCCGCAAAGCATAGAGCAAATCCTTCCCTACTGGAGCCATTTCCCCATCTAAGTGACGCAAGGATAGAGGCACAACATGGTGTCACAAACCACCTCAGATTCAGGGTATACGGTTGGTGAATGAACCCGCTTAACGAGTTTAGCGAGGGAAATAGGACAAATGAAACGTTTGCCGGTACACTAGCCGGTGGCAGCCATGCGTCCATGGCTTCAGTTTCGGGAAATGGTTGCACGAAGTTTAGGACGTGGTGATTGTGATTGGCGGATTAATATATTCGCGTAGAATTAGATCAGCGACACCAGGTGTCGTTGAAGTACCGAGACTCACCAAGCTCCAAACAGATGAGCTTACTTTCAGCCTCTCAAGCCGCCACTCACGCCAGCATGAAGGGTTAGTTGAGCTGCTCCGAGGAAGTGCCTCCACATGGGAAATCCGGCCAATATGGGGTCGTGATAGTGGTGATGGCGGAGAAAGTGGCGGGGAACCGTGGAATCTCCAAACAGGATGACCCCTGAAAGCGAGCACGTGACTGCATATTTATCTCTCAGTCCGCGACTTCTCCCGACACTTCCAGATTGTACCAGTTCTGTCACTTACATCTTCATCCATCTTAGTGCATTCCTGAGCTTGGCATTTTCGAATGGTAGTGCATATCACTTGTAACCACCGCAAAGATCAGTGCTCGGAAAGTGGATCCTGCATGAATCCATGGATATTTGCGAACTTGCAGCACATCATGAGAGCAAGCGTGCCAGCACACGTCAAAATAACGCTTGAGTCTTGAGAGACATGTTTTTGAGGCATTAAAAAGTTAAGAGCACGTATTGTGCAGCACTGATGGCAAGACTTCCTTACAAGAGGGATACTGAATTAATACAACGGATCGTCAGAGACTGCTCAGCCTGGACTACTTGAAACAAACTAGACCACGTTTAGCGATTTCTTAATTGACCTGTTTAGTTGCGGTACACCTTCCAGCGATAGGTACTCCAACTTTCGTGTTGTGCTTCAAGGTTGTGCACGGGCCTCCGCTCAAGAATTCTAACGATCCTACCTGTCTACAGATTCTTTGCACCCAGACCGCTCTTTACCACGTGGCACATACGTGCAGAGTGCCTCGTATGACGCTAACGGTATCTTACGGTTGACGCCGGCACCCGGCCACCGCTCTATTTACGTCCGAGCTCAACATTGAGGGCTTTCAGATGACGAACCAGTGTCGGACATACAACATCGATACACCACAATCCACGACACCAAGGAGCCCTTTGTGACCACCCTCTACACGAAACTAACCCGGCGATGTCACTATTCTTTTCTCAGCCCTATTTCGGGCCGCCAGTAACCCCCTATTGGGGTGCTCCAAATTCAAATGCAAAGTTCGTAATGAATATCCGACGCTTCCGATTCGCGTTTCCACGCGTCCAATTCCTAACATTTGTGTAGTTTTTGCGAAGAGGTACCTAGGAAACAAAGGACTCCCTTCTATGCCATTTGCTGTGTACTAAACTTAGCATAGGACTACATTGTTACCTCTTACATTGCTGAATTTGTGAATACTGTGACGAACATATCATACGGTATGCTTCAATTTACTCATGAGCCTTCTAACATTCGAGTCCTAATTCTATACCAGTCATATATGGAGCTCATGGACTTAGTCGTCTCCGAGGGAAACCTGACGGCCCCTTGTCGTTTCTTGGCTTTCCGTACTGGGGTCTCATTGGCGTTGGAGTCCTTTCAGCATACTTCCATGCGACTTTGAAATACCACAGCCAGATGTGTAAGCTTTTAATCTCTCGATATTCAGTCTCCAAAAACGATCGTAGTTGCAAAGCTTTCATCTTTCCTCTCGCGCACCGTTTCTTCTATCGCATAGTCTTACTTCTTTACTCATGAGCATGTGATTGCAACTAGAACTGCTCATTAGATTCAGTAAGCTAAGTTCGTATACACAGGCGACGATACAAGCATGCTTGTAGCAACTGGATTCGTTCTCAACCGCGCTTTTACCTTTGACGTTTCTCCATCCACGCGCCGTATCCGCTCTCTCGGACTTCTCGCAATACTTACGGCGGTCACGATATATCACTGCGCCGCAGATGAGATATTAGTGCACGTTGTGACTTTTGGAATCATGGTTGTTTTAGTTGGGATAAGGACGAAGCAGCTAGTCAACGCTCGCATCACCGACTTGGATGAGAAAAGACGGGTGAAGAAGCTGGTGAACTTTGGCACAGGTAAGACCCTCTTATTTGTGATTCTATATCTCCATTCGTCCAAAGAACAGCCCTTCTAACTTACCTAGCGATGTCTGGTATTGGTTACTTCCTTTGGAACATTGATATGCACTTGTGCCCGATGCTCCTATCTCTTCGGCACAAAGTCGGTCTACCTTTCGGCATTTTTTTGGAGCTACACGGCTGGTGGCACATGTAAGCGCCGCATCATGTTTAGACGTAGAGGAGACACTCGCTAATTCAAGTAGCCTGACCGCCATCGGCGCATACACCTTCATGATTTTGGTTGAGCATCTTACGACAGATAAGACAGACCGCGCGGAAGACTTCTTATGGCCACTCAAAGGCTCGTTGGATAATTCCAAAGATCAGGAGAAGAAGAACTAGACCGATATTGGATGTAGGATGTCCTCAGTGGAAGGACTGTCCACCAGGAAAGGTTGAGGAATACGGCCTGTAGACAACATACGTAATGCATATAGAGTGAGGTCGCTCTGTGGAAGTTGGCTCTTAGAGGAGCCAATAATATTCAGCTTTCACAGTATCAGATACCTACCAGAGCTAACTCCCGGAATATTTCCGCATCCATCGTACAATACATGCCCTGTCGAGAGAGCTCTCAAGGATCTCCTGATGACACATGCTCTTTACTCATGACCCTACTCTTGTGTGTGTGGAATCTCGCTCCGGTCGAGAAATGTCCCCACAACTCCGTGCTTCCTTGTACCTGCATGAATAAAAGCGGCGCAACCCGCACCCCGAGGATTCTTACCAGCCTACCTAGGCACTTTATTCTGAGCATTTTTACCAACCGCGAACCTTAACGTTAAACCCGGTGGCCTGTAACCGTGTTTTTGCGCGCTTAAACCTCGCCCCGGCCGAGAAACCTCTTCTCAACTCCGTATTACCCTGTACCTGCATGAACAGAGGATCTTCACGACCCGCAGCTAGCAACCCGAGACTTTTTGCAGACTTAAGCTGGACCCTTAGACGTCCCACTCAGATCGTTTATGCTATAACCGTCCAATCAAGGTCGACGCAGTGCCGGTGTGATGGTATTTGGGCGGCAGGCAGTCAGTCCGACGGTGTGGAGATAGGCGGTGTTAGCCAGAAAACAAATTCAAGAGGTGGGGGTGACGACATAATGCTTCGTACATCCAGCTGGACTCTAGAATATAAATCCACCTTGTGCTCCCACTTCAGTAACACTTTCAATTAGTAAGAAGTCTACACAAGCTGTACCAATCTCAACCCGAGTCTCCTCAGTATCACTTTGCCTCAGATCAGAAGTATCTCACAACACCACGTTCAAGATGAAGACAGTTCAGCTCGTCGGCAAGGAAGTAGGCCAGGTGGGCTATGGGCTCATGGGTAAGACTTCACATGGCAAACGCCAACTTTAACCAGGTCAAAATTGTGGTTTTAACTAGATACACCACAGGTCTAACATGGCGCCCCAGCCCACCCTCCCAGGCCCAGTCCTTCAAAGCCATGCGCGCCGCCCTCGCCCACGGCGCCAACTTCTGGAACGGCGGCGAAATCTACGGCTCCCCAGAGCGCAACTCGCTGCATCTCCTCAGCGAGTATTTCACGCAGTATCCCGACGACGCGGACAAGGTGGTGCTGTCGATCAAGGGCGCGCTGCTTCCCGGCCAGATGGTGCCGGATAGCAGCGCGAAGAATATAAAGCGCAGCATCGACGAGTGCTTGCGGTTTCTGGATGGGAAGAAGAGTCTGGACTTGTTCGAGTGTGCGCGATTGGACGGGAAGACGGATATCGAGGATGTGGTAGCGACGATTGGGGAGTACGTGAAGGCAGGCAAGGTCGGAGGCATCAGCTTGAGCGAAGTCAGTGCGAAGACGATTCGGAGGGCGGCGAAGGTGCAGAAAATCGCTGCCGTGGAGGTGGAGTTTTCGCTCTGGGCGACGGACTTGCTGGAGAATGGGGTCGCGGAGGCTTGCAAGGAGCACGATATCCCGATCATCGCTTATTCGCCACTGGGTAGAGGGTTCTTGGTATGCATTCTACTATTCGTCTATTATCTAGGAGAACACGCCGCTGACAAGCTTTTTAGACCGGGCAATACAAGTCCTTCGACGATCTTCCAGCAGACTCAATGCTCAGATCCTACCCTCGATTCCAGCCTGATGTCTTCGACGAGAACTTGAAGCTAGTCAGGGAGGTTGAGACTATTGCGAAGCAGAAGAGCGTCACGCCTGCTCAGATTGCGATCTCTTGGATTCTCGCGAAGAGCGGACAGGACGGCTATCCTGTCATCATCCCTATCCCCGGAGCTACTACCGAGGAGCGCATCAACGAGAACATGAACCCTATACCCCTAACTAAGAAGGATGTGGCCGCTATCGATGATGCCCTTAAGAGGGTCACGGTGAAGGGTAACAGGTACCCAGACGCTGGCATGCATCACGTCGACATGTAGGAGGGAGGAGAGTTTCACATTGTGTGATCATATCTACTGAATGCAATCGTATTAGCGCCTTGAACCGTGAATCTTGTGAGAAAAGCTGTGTGGGTGATTGGAATATCAGATCAAGTGTAGCTTTAGGTGTATCGGCATTCGGCTTCGCAGAAGCAAAACCGTTGGCATTGCAGAACTCTATTTTGTTCATCATAACAGAGTGGATAAGGAGTGAATGCATTGCTTACAATGTGTAGGGGTTAGTTGTAACTAGTGTCGGCGGGTGCTCGAGAGGAGAATTTGGATGGACAAACGAAAAGGCGTGGCGAAGGTTTGCGCTGACCGCCAAGCCACCGTCGGCGTCGTGGTTCTTCCGTGATTAGCAACGTGTTCTGATTGGAGTAGTGCAGCTACGCCCTCGGACTTCTTCATTCAGTGTTCTTACATATTACTATCGCGGATCGAACTGTTCGAGCCAATAGAACGGGGGCCAACGGTTATATCAAGTAATCATTAGCAACACAATAATTGACCTACAAAAGAACTCTGAAAAGCCCGGGCACGGACACTTTTTCGATTCGTGTGCAACCAATCTTGCTATCGCCGGACGAATAGTTCCGGTCAAGAGTACAAGGTCAATCAGCTATATTAAGCTCCATTAGACACACATTTATAGAGCTCCAGAACCTTGTGAAGAACTCGTATTCTTTCGCTATGAAAATCCTCATCACCGGCGCCACAGGTAAAATTGGACGGCAGTCCCTCCTACAATTTCTCCAGCATCCCAGTATCACCTCTGTCGTATCGCTATCTCGACGTCACATACCCAGCGAGTCGCTCCCCAATAGCGAGAAGTTCAAGAATGTGATCGTCAAGGACTTCAGCAACTGGAGCCAAGAAATCATGGAGATCATCAAAGATGCAGATGCGATGTTCTGGTAAGCCCCCACCCCCACCTCTCCAAAGGAACGCGAGAAAGGACTTATGGTTTCCTACAGGGCAATGGGCACCAACGATGCATCATCAGGGCCGAACTTCGACTGGCCAGTGGCATTCCAGGCCGCCATGTTGAAAGCCCGCGAAGCACAGTCCCGCACGACTCGGTTCAGATTTATTTTTTGCAGCGGGAAGTTCGTTGTCCAAAACCAGGACGCATGGCTTTTCTTTTTGCCTGGAGCAAGAAAGCTCAAAGTAAAACCCGCCTCTTTCACATTTGCGTTTCCAAAACTGGCTGACATCCACCCCAGGGCCGTACTGAAGTCGTTTGTCTTGAGTTCGCAATAGAGCATAAGGATGTTTGGCAGACGTTCGTTGTCAAACCTGGAGGGTTCATTACTCCGGACATGTTTGGAAGGCGGCTGTTGCCGATGCTAATGGGCGACTTGGTGATCGATTGTGATGAGTTCAGCGCATATATTGCCGAATTGATAGCGACGGGAAAAGAAGAGGAAGGGCTAATATACAATAAACGAATGGTTGGAAAGGGAAGAGAATTGCTACAGACGAAAACGGACAGAACTTGACTCGTTGGGGATTCCCTAAGCTTAGTTGGAAGAACTTCAGGTCGGTTGTAGGAATAGACGAAGAGGCGTAGTGCTAGTTTAGACATCCTAACATTGTTTACGAGGGAAAACTGACAGGAAGCCGAGAGCTTGTAAGTGACCAGGCTAGTATACAAGTCTAGATTATGCAATGTAGCTAGGACTCTCAATTTATGTAGCTCCTGTGCGTATTAGATGTTCTAGCTTTGTGAATTAGTTTCATCTGCCATCTGCCTCACTAAATACTTTGCCGAAAATATTGAATACAACGCATTGAACAGCCTGTAAGATTTGCGGGATCACCATCTCAGATGGTTGTTATACTGCATTGGGTTTGTGCACGCCAAGAGTTACTGCCAAGCTTTTATGAACGGGTACCAAATACCATCGCGTCTATCTCCACGCCCTCCTCACATCCCTCTCACCAGCTCACAATGGAGTCGCCCGGGTCAGTTCTGTCAGACTACGCATCCGACGACTTCCCTGAAGACGTCAAGGGCCGGCGACTGAGTTTCGATTCTCATGACCGCGAACGCAGCGGACCCCCGAAAAAGCGACAGCGAGTGACCAGACGCGCGACTTCAGATCCCCCAGCTGCGCACCACCCGGGATACGACGATGCCGACCTCTCAGAAGACACTGACGGCAGCGTGCCGGCATCGCCAACCCACCCAAGCCATATGATCGGCGAGGATGACTACGGCCAGGAGCAAATCACCTACTGCAAGTGGGAGGGCTGTGAAGCAGGAGACCTAGGCAATATGGATAGGCTGGTTGATCATCTTCACGAGGACCATATTGGCTTACGGCAGAAGAAGTACGCCTGCGAATGGTCTGACTGCAATAGGAAGGGGATTCCGCACGCCAGCGGATATGCTCTGAGGGCGCACATGAGGAGCCACACGCGGGAGAAGCCATTCTATTGCACTTTGCCCGGTAAGTAGATTGCACGTCGATCAGTTTGCGAGCTTGATATTCAAATGGAAGCCTCGCGGTTGACACCTGAGGATGGTTTCTAACTTATACGCAGAATGCGACCGATCGTTCACTCGCTCTGACGCTCTTGCGAAGCATATGCGCACCGTTCACGAGACCGAAGCGCTGCGACCCTCTGACCCTGTTCCGAAGCACCACTCCTCGAATCCCTCGAACCGCTTCCAGCGCCTCAAGCTTGTCTTGAATAAGGGCATGGGCAACGGCCCCGAAAAATCCTCTACGCCAACTCCAGCGTCGCCGTCATCTCACCCACCTCCTAGCGCAACCGCAGCGACGAATCCCGAATACGAGTATGTGCACAACAACATCATATACACGAATGACCCTGCGTCACCTAACGGGCCGCCGCTGGTGAACTTTCCACCCGACATTCAATTCACACCCTCTGAGCTTGCTCTCCCTGCGCCAGAGCTCTTCCGTCTACTTCGACGACAGCTGGTCTGGGCACAACAAGAAGCCGAAGAGCTGAAGGCTGAAGCCGAAATCCTAGAAAGGAAACGTAAGGATGAATGGATTGCGAAGGAGCTTCTCCTCGAGAACGCGATGGAAGCCGAAGTCGCGCGTGGTCTAAGAAAGGAGGAAGAAGCTGGAACAGAGGATCAAGAAAGGGTCAAGAAGATGATAATCGAGGACGTTGACCCCAGCTTGCTGCTTGAGATCGAAGGCAAGACGCCGTGGTGGCGAGAAGAGTCACTTCTACGGAAGCAGAGGGATGACGTCGCGGTGAAGCCGGAACCTTCGAATGCGTATCCTCCCGACGGCCCAAAGTGGCATGAGCATGAAGATGCGACTGTGGCCCAGGAGGGAGCTCTAGAGACGCCTCAGGAGGCACCTCTGTGATATTCGATATTGATTGACTGTGGGTAAAACACTGGCTATGGACATGCTCGATCGAAAAGGCGTATGGGCTTTTGGAAGCAATTATAGAAAAGGCATCTAAGTTCGGGATCAGCCGTCTGATACTTTAGGCATTCTCTTTTGCAACTGCATTATCGGTTCTTGTAAGATGATTATTAAAAGAAGTAATACCAATTCTTAGCTTTTCCTGCATACTATAAACATAGGGAGTCGAGAAGGACGGAGTCAAGACACAACTTCTTGCGTTTTAGACATTATTTTCTAATCATTTTGAGTCTACACTCATATGTACGTTTCTGAAGCACCAGACAGAGCAATCGAAAGTTATTCCGATGACGCCAACGGTAATGTGGAGACTCAAAAAGTGTCTCCACTCATCTACTACTGCTCGACGAGCGTTAACCATTTGAGAGACCTGCAAGGAACGTCATCGATGATTTTGGACATTCTCTAAGCTCCCCGGACCAGCTCAAATACCGTTTTCTTGAAAAGGAAAAAGTCGTAAAATGACTTGTGCTTGCTAAGCGTTGTCAGTCTTGCAACTCCCTACATAAATAATTGGTCCCCAAAGCTCACTTTCTTTGTCACAGCACTAAGAACCTCAAACAACGCCATGGATTTCCACAGACCAATTAACCCCTCCAACCTCTTCTCCGCAAACGGGCTTGTGGTCGCAATTACGGGCGGCGGCAGTGGTTCGTATTTTCATCTTCGCAGCTACCCCACCACCCCACCTTCGTAACCATTAAGTATGTACTAACCTCACGTCCAGGAATTGGCCTCGAAATCGCGGCCGCCCTCCACCAGAACGGTGCAAAGCGCATATACCTCCTCGGTCGCCGCCGCGAGGTTCTGGATAGCGCCGTCAAAACGCTCACAAGCTCCCCAGCCGCACCTCCAGCTGCTTCCGATGACGTCGCTACGATCGTGCCGGTGCCGTGCGATATCACGTCTCCCGATTCCATCAAAGCCGCAGTCGCAAAGGTAGAGACGACTGATGGATTTGTTGATGTGCTGGTCAACAGTGCCGGCGTGATTGGCCCCAAGCACTCAGACTTCTACGAACAAGACAGTGTTGAGGGCTTGCGAGACGTCATGCTGCGAGATTGGAACTTGTGGGAGACGACAATGGCGACTAATACGTCTTCTGTGATTGGGGTGTCGGCGGCCTTCCTCCCGCTCCTCGAGGCCGCCAATCGACGCCGAGGATGGGAAGCAGGGAAGCTCACTCGCGCGAGGACTCAGACGCTTCCAGAGAAGGAGGGTGATCCCCAAGCCAAGGTGGACGAAGATGATCAGAGATTGGCGCACATTATCACTATCGCGAGTGTGGGCAGTTTCATGAGGAAGCTTACGGCCGGGCTGGCCTACAATGCGAGCAAAGCGGCAGCTGCGCATCTGGGCAAGATGATGGCTACGATGTTCGCAGAGTGGGGCATTAGGAGCAATGTTGTTGCACCTGGGCGTGAGTGCTTTCGTCCCATCTTTTCTCTTGAGAGTGGATACTGATAGAGTGGTCGATTGCAGCATACCCTAGCGACATGACGACAAAGATGGCGAGAGCATTTCCTCCCAATGAGCTTCCCGCCGGAAGAATGGGCAACGAGCTAGACATAGCGAGCTTGATCCTCTTCTTAGTTGGTAAGGGCGGTGCGTACATCAATGGCACGGTCCAAGTGACGGATGGCGGTAGGCTGGGTGTGTTCCCTTCCACGTACTAGACGCTGTCACAGCTTGAGGTATGATAAACAGCGGCTCTGCTCATTAACAATCCTTCACTTTAAATGATGCTACTGATGCCGCTGTTTGAAATGGCCTAGCGAGTGGATTGACTAGCTGAAAATACTTCAACACTAAGACGTTCAGCGCTCCTTTTTACTTGTATGGGCATAAATCAAGAACCTTTGGGAATAGACGGTGGGACCTAAATCTACCTCGATTCATCATGCTGTTAACATCACTCACCGATCTCCTACGCTCCCTGCTTCAACTTTCCTACCTCCACTCCCTCTTCCACCATTCTCTTACGCCCCTACTCATATTCCAAATAGGCCGCCGCTCCTGGCCTCCACGCGCTCTGCTATCACGGCACCCTTCACAGCTTCATCGCCTGAGGTCTTCGTTTTCCGTGTGAGAGCATGGCGGCGCTTCAGGAGGTAAGCGAGCCGAGAAGAATTCCCCGTGCTCGGTGGCAAGGGGAAGGAACCAGGGGTGGCTCTGCTTGAATAGGTCGCAGGCGATGCGAGTGGTCCCAGTACTGCCGCAGTTGCGACAGGTTAGGGTGCTTTGGCAACGCATATCGGTTCTGGCAAGTTTGTTATATTTAAGGGCTTGATGTGAAGTTTAAAAATTTTGGTAAGGAAGTAGCAAAGAGGAGGGGATTTATCTGGGAAAGGTGTCATACTTGCCAGCGTAGAGTGATTTGGCGGTGTGCTAACTATCACGTGGAATGAAGAAGAAAGAGGTAACTATCGCCCGTAGTCCTATCCTGGAGTCGTCAATTCTTATTCGTTAAGCGGCTGATCTAGTCCTCAGACTCTGCTCCCTACTCCATCCGCATCAACACTATCGAGCATCAATATCCCATATCGCCCAACCTCTCTGACCTCCCCTCAAGACCCCATAATACCCCTAACACCCCTCTTCCTCCGCCTCCCGAGTCACTCTCCTTCTCTTTGTTTCTCTCCCGTCCCCAGTTTGGGATCCCGCCCCTGAGAAGCAAGCGCCACGCCTCGGTCATTACTGGGCTGCAACACTCCCGACATGGCTAAGGGCCGCAATAGCTGGAGTTATTTTGCTTGACTGGACACGGGGGCGCATTGTGAGGGAAAGGGGGTTAGCGGGAGGGAGGTAGACTTTGGAGATTGATGGTAACCGCCCTTAGTTCTAGTGCTAGGGGGGTGTAGGCGGTGCAGTAAAAGGCTCCGATGTGGTAAAAGGCTCTGGTGCTGCACTAGTGGACATAACTTTTTTTTTCTTTGTGTATTGGGGCTTAGAGTGGATGCTTAAGGTAAAATTTGGAAATTTCGTAGCGTAGCGGAGGAAGAGGAGGGAGTTTATGTATTCAGTCGAAGCCCTCGCAGTGGTAGCTTTTGGTGATGTGGTGAAAGGGTGATAGTAAGGTGTTACTCGGACAACGTAGTAGAGTTAAGATCAGCTTCGCAGAAGTATCATCACAGTATCATCATCACCCACAGTCAGAACGACTTTTGTTCATAAGTCAAGTTTCTTTCATTCTATCTAGTCCTACCCACTCTCTCGCTATTCCCAATCCAGAAAATGTGTAAAGTAACCAATCCTACCATGGATTTGACCTTCACCATCTTCTAGGTCTTCTCCGGGCCCTCGCCTGCCCCTAAAGCTTTGTCTTCCAACAAATCCTGGCCCTCCTCCAGAGCCTCGCTCGCCCCCAAAGCTTTGTCCTCCTTCATATCCTCGCCCGCCTCTAGATCCTTGCCCACTGCCGAAGCTTTGTCCTCCTTCATTGCCGCCGTTGTCTCCGCCTCCGCCTCCGCCTCCGCCTCCGCCTCCGCCTCCGCCTCCACCTCGGCTCGATTCGTAATTCAGCATACGCCTATTGAAGATGCATTGTCCACACGGCATTTGATGTTCCGAAACCCTATTTTCCCCAGCTGGACATGGAGGTGCGTTGGGAGGGAGAAAGTTGTCCAAGTCAAATTGGGGGTACATGTAAACCATGGGAACGCAGGCCTTTCTCCAGCTGCCAGACGTTGAGCAAATGGGGCAGGTAGTGAAACCGCGCTTGCACATTTTGATGGCTCTTTGTGGTGTATGGTTTTCGGTTTGGATTCCTAGTCGTGATGGTGTTTAATGTTTTAATTTTAGGATTTAAGGTTGATGAAAGAAGAGGAGTGAGTAAGATGAGGAAGGAATATATATTCGAGATTCTGGGAGACCGGCGCGTGGGACGTGATGTGGCTGCCAACACACTGGTGACCTTGGATTCGAACAACGTACGTACTGGAGAATTGAACTCGAGTAACGTGGCCGACCATGGTCAATACACCAACTTCACAATATCAATACACCAACCTCACATTATCAATAGTCACGGCTTTTAGGGTCAACTCTGTTAAGTGGAGTAAGCTACTCTCATTCTCCTAGCTCCAACCAAGGCTCCATGACTGCCACCCACTCTCTCGACAGTATTATTCTAAATAATCTATCTTCTTTATCAAAACTGACTTCCCCGGCCATGGCTTTGCCCTCCGCTATATCCTCGCCCACCTCTAGAACCTCGCCAAATTCCAGAGCCTTGCCGCCCCCCAAAGCTTTGCCCTCCCCCAAAGCCTCCTCCCCCAAAGCCTTGTCCTCCTCCAAAGCCTCCTCCCCCAAAACCTCCTTCCCCAGAACCTCCACCCCAAAAGCTCTGTTGTCCTCCATTGCCGGCGTTGTAACATAGTCGGACTCCACATAAACCTGCCTTTTCCACTACATTGTGCTGCCCGATTGGACATTGAGGCCCGTTAGGGGGGAAAGGGTGGTGCCTACTAATTTGGGGGTATGTGGAAAGCATGCTAATGCATGGCACTATGAAGCTCTTAACCGCTGAACATTCGCGGCAAGTAGAGGTAACGAATTGGCACATTTTGATGGTTCTTGGTGGTGTATGGTTCTCGTTTTGGATTTGCAGTCGTGATTATGCTTGGTTTCCAGGTTGTAAGTCTCAGGTTTGCGGGTTGACGAAGAAAAAGGGGGGAATTTATAGTCGAGGTTCTAGGAGGCTGGCGCATGGTAAGTGATGTGGCTGCCAACGTGCTGGTGACTTGGATTCGAACAACGTACTGGAGGATTGAAGTCGAGTAACGTGGCCGGGTATGGTCAACGTACCAACGTCACGTTATCAACATTCACAGCTTTGAGGGTCGATCCGAGAACTGAAGTAAGTTACCCTCATTCTCCCTAGCCCCAGCTAAGGCTCCGCTTCTACATCTCTCCAACTTTCCATAGTATCCAAAGCAGCGAGCCCCCATGCGGACTTTCGCTTCTCCAACTTGACAGATACATACATCCTCGACACACCTAAAAGCTCTCGATAAAAGAACCAGGCCAGTACACCAATACGTCACTGTCACCACTCACATCGTACTACACATCATAGTACACTCTTCTCACGCGTCAACTTCATCTCATTTCTATCTCTCCTCCCCCAACCCCCCTTCCGCAGTCCGCTATCTTCTTTCCCGCCTCAAACAACCTGCTTCCCACGCCGCGCCCTCGGGCCCTTCGCCTTCCCCCGACACTCCTGACAAATCCGCTGGAACGAATGCGCATGGCCCGGGTGCTCGCACTGCGGCGCGGTGGGGGGAACAGGATTAGTGAAGAGTGGGCGGATGCAGAGCTCGGGATAGAGGCTCAAGAACGCGCCGCAGGGGTAGCGCTTCGCGGTCGTGATGCCGCAGTGCGTGCAGGCTGTGTTGGTGGTGGTGCACATTTCGGTGATGGTGGGCGACGATGCAGGGAATGTTTGAGTCAGGGCTTGGAGGTTGGAGGTTAGAGTCTGAGGGTTGAAGTCTTAAGGTTGAGATCTTAGTGGTATGGAATAGAAGCAATACATTGAAGAAGAGCAGCGTTTTATATGAGCAGTCTGGGGTAGGGGGTGATTGCAAGTGAGGTGGCAGTCAGTGCAACGGGAAACGGCATTGTAAACGCACGATGGCTTCACAAGTTTGAGCAGTGAATTTCTATCGGTCAGGTTCGTGTTATTCTCGGTGGTCTGGCCATGATATTCACTTCATCGTCATCTGTTCTGCATACCTCATCGGCCCCCGTTAGTGTCCTCCGCCCATGGGACCCGCCGGCTTCCTTTACCCCCTAGAGACTCTCGGCATTCCCGGCACGGGGAGTCGTGGTTTATCACGTCAGAGAATGAGCATGGAGGAGCTTCGGGGGGGATATCGTCGTCAGCATGGTACTCGGGATGGGCAGATAGGTATAGATGGCATGGGCTGCGGCACGGGTATCTGTACTGGTTTTTGCACTCAGTACAAGTTTCGGTGATGTGGAAGCACATCTTGGTGCTTAGTTCTTAGTATTGCCAACTTAGCGGTCGATGCTTGATTGGTATCTGAGAATTGCAAGTCACGGGTTTGAGAGAGCAATGATAGAGGGGAAGCAGTAAGAAAAGGAGAGCTATGAGTTCGGGGAACATGAAGTGGCAGTGACAACACCAAATGAGTTGGCAAAGTAAAAATTGCTAAATCCGAACGACACGGTAACTATAGGTGAGGCTTCACACGAGGGCGTCAGCAAAACTCGTAGCACCGACGTCTGCGGTGGCATTTTGTACCCGTTGCCAGCGGAATAGGAAGTCCATCAGGGGCTCACGGAGCTGCGAATCAGCAATCTCGCCAATCGTACAGACGAGGCAATCTAGCGTAGACCGCCTGAGTGATGAACTTAGAAGAATAACTCGCTTCGCATCTGGACGTAACGGACGACGTGCTTGCGGGTTTGGCAGATGTAATTGGCCATGTATTTCAGCCAATCACTTATGACCTCCCATTCTTGACCACGTCGCCGACGGACGACTGATATCCACATGCGTATAGCACCTCCATGATATAGGTTTCACGTCTGAAATCGTGTACTAAGGTAACTGCATCGCTTTTATGATTGTGATGTGGTAGAGTTTTAATGACTTGGGAGTTGCTTCAAAACGAGTGGAAGTTAGTTTCACTTCCCACTCAATTCTGCCTCCATGCCATAGTCATAGTGATCCAACGTTGCACTCTGAAGTTCAGCTCCTCCGCCTAGTAAAATTACGAGGTAGCTGCCATCTTTTACTGCTCCACTAGGATACAGCCGGCGTCATATTGGAGAGGAAAAGCATACGAGGCCGTTGACTCATTGTTATATCCTAGGCGAACAAGGGTGTCTCCTACATTATTGTTAGCGTCACTTCTCAGAACTATATGCGCGACTTCAAATGACCTACCTAGAGGCTGGTATGTTGGCCATTCATATGGAGCAGCAGAAAGACCTCCAGAGGGGTTTTTTGCGAAAGCCGCCCAAGCGCCTTGAACGTATTTTATGATAGCGACTTCAGCAGGCGTATTCGGAGTTAGAGTTACTGACTCAGCTGTGCCAAAGACGATCGGCAGCTCGCTTCCATGCCATGCGCCGCTGCTTGGGTTGAGCGTGAGACGGGTATTGGGGAATTCGCCAAACCAACGATATCTCCAAACCGGGACACCGTTTGCAGCACGAGCCTTGGCAGCGCTGGCGGCAGGACAAGTGAAACTGGACAGATCGGCTATGTCCCATACGGCATCGGGAAGGTCGAGGCCAATTTTGAATACACCTGCTTCGTAGTCGGCGTTTCTGATCAAATACGGCTCCTTAGTAAACAGCCCAGCTGATGCCCTGCCGGGATAATCGCTGAAGATGACCTTTTCATCGATCGTTGCGGCAAACATGCCGGTGCTGCTTGCATTTAAGACATCCTGGAAGCTTTTCTTTCTTGCGCAGGCAACTGTTTTGTTGATGCCTGCCTCCGGTCCACCACATCCTAGCTTTGCTGTGGCGTTGTACCATTGCGCGGTGTTGTTGGTGGAAGAGCCCGAATAGCTCAAGAAGCTGGTAGCAGTGCCGGACTCCTCGATGAAGCCAGCAACGATTGGGTTACTGACCCACGCATACGAGTAGTAATCCACAGAGGCGCCACCGGCTGATTGCCCGAAAATCGTAATCCGTTTAGGGTCACCACCAAATGCAGCGATGTTCTTCTGAACCCACTCAATTGCCAGACGCTGGTCTAACAAGCCAAGGTTCTGATCAAGGCCTGGAAGACCGGGGAATCCAAAAATGTTAATGCGATAACTATGTCAGTTAGCTTTTTCTAGTAATAGAACGAGAACGCCTTTGATAGCAAGGAGTTGCAATGCTTACTTCGCACTGACAACGACAACATCTTCGTCCTCGGCCAAGAACTCTCCGTCGTATATGGGATTTGCCGTGTTGCCAGTGGAGAATGCTGTTGCTCTTTGTCAGTGTTTTTGCGCTCGAACCAGAATCGAAACTGACCTCCTCCATAAATCCAAAAAAGCACCGCCTTGGCCTTTTCTCCCGTCTGGGGCTTCGTCCAGATGTTGAGGGTCAGGCAATCCTCACTCTGCGTATCGCCAACCTGGCCAAGAGCAGCTGCAATACGAACGGCATTTGGTCCAACTAGTTCCGGAGAGTTGGCGAGTGCTGCTATCGCTCCGAGGTTGGCAGGGCAGTCACTTTGCTGGCCTTAGCGACCCTGCAATTTTAATCTGTGCCAATGGTGCACGTTATACATACGGTGACTAGATGATGTGTGAGCTAAAATGTTCGCAAGAATAGGTGAAAATTGCAAGATAAGGAAGCAGCTTACAAATTTCGTTGCTGTGATAACGCCGTTCCCGGTATACCCTGTGGGAGCTGTCCATCGCAAGCTGCCAACAGGGGGGACTGCGAACGGAATACCAAGGTACTGGGAGACCTGAGTCCTGTTTTGGGCAGCCCGGCCCACAACCCAGCCACTCGACATGGAAACTGGTCCGCCGGGCCCAAAGGGCCAGAAAGCAGTCGTAGCGAGCTGTAGGCAGCTGGTAACCAGCCACACTTTTGTAATGACGCCCATGGTTCGTAGTGAAGATGAAACGAATATGATGTGACAGCCAGAGACGAGACCTACGCCGCGCGACTTATAAAGATAAATGGGAATCAAAACATACAGGAAATCTCTCACTCCCAGTTGCTTTGAATTTCACGGTGCAGGGCCTCAAGCTCGCACTCACACAGCCAAGCCTAAAAGGCCATTAATCAAGGCAGGACTACTTAGGGGCACTCGAAAGTGTCTTACCAGGCTAGAACTTGTCTGCCTCACCGTGGCGCATGACCACGACGGGCCGAAGGGTCTCTGACTATGAATAATGCAATGCTCGATCCTACGCGTGCCCGCCGCCCCACAGCGCAGCCTTCAAAGTTAAGGGCGGCAGGCTGAGCCTTTGTTCGATGTCAGAGACGTCGGTCTTCGCATGCCCCGCAAAGTTTAGAGACCCTGGTTGAAGTTCCTTGCACGCATCACGGAGTCTAATAGGGTGAGAAAAGCGGGAGCTGGTGATGCAATCCGGTTCTGGGGGAAGCAGGCATAGCAACTAGCCTGTCGAATTGACTTAGAGACGCGAATTAGGTGCACGCACGGCCTAGATTATTCCTGGTGGAGGATTGAGCGCAAATGAGTGAAGAGATGCCGAGGCAGCTGGGACATGCTGGGATCAGAACTGTGGAACGATGCGAGAAGATATACCAAGACGTGGAAGAAAGATAGAACACGTCGCTGCGGGGAAACCTGGGATGCTCGGACCGACATCGTGGTTTAGTGCAGTGATGGGCTGGCAGTCATGCTTTCCTAACGTTTGATCACCACCAAGGAGATGAAGTGGTACCTACATGAAGCCAAAGCTTGGCCAGACAGGGGCCAAATGTCGGCAGTTGTGGCAGTCAGGCAAGTCAAATAGAACGGTAACTGGAAAGATACTTATTTCAAGGCCGCTGATATTGGCCTTCTAGTCAGTTACTTCTTCTCCTATGTTGTGGGGTCTTAGGATGCTGCTGTAATGATGGGAGTCTTGGCAGTGCCGTTGGTTTTGGTGTTTTGGGGCGCCACTAGTTCCATGCGCCGAAAGGCACTAGCGGGATGCCCCGCAGATCGGCTGCGGGCCGTGCCCGGTGAAATATCTGACTTTTCGAGACGTTGAATTGCCTCTTCGTGGAAGAAAAAGCGCGCTGATTTGGCGCTTATACTACAACCTGTGGACTCCTGAACATCGGCTAACCTTTCTCTGAACTCCTCTAAAAGCTATCAATCTGAAGTCTCACAGCAGTGGGTAAATGAGGTGATATTGGGGTGGATTGTCCCTTTGGCACCGTTGTGACCGGTGCCTTATTTATTCTCCTTGCTAGGATATCCTGGACCCTGACGATTAGGATCATATAACAGCGCACTAAGCCCAGCCCCTGCTTTTGCAACCCACATCAAATTTAGTAGATCTAGACGTGCGATCCGTCGTATTGGGCATTATTAAGCGCCACTTCTATGCTAGGGCCCTTCCTCGTTAGGACCGAATACCGCACGGCAGATATAATCGGTAATGGCGCTATTACTTGACCAGCACGCACTTTCTTGCTATTAGTATACAAATAAGAAGGTGCTGGTCATGAAAGCAAACTTTGGCTTCCATCGTCCCTTAGTCACGCAAAAACTACTTCTCGCATCACAATAATGCGACTTCAAGCCGCTAGCCTGACCGAGAGCTTGTTACTTCTCCTGGCATTGTCCAACGCGCCTCGCGCGTTGTGCTTGCCGACCGTCGATCTTGGATATAGTGTCAACCAAGCCACATTCAATGTATGCAACTCACTCCTTTACCGTTTGGACGTTCTTAAATACTCAACTTTTGCTTGATCAGGCGACTGGAGATTACTACACCTTCTCAAACATTCGTTTTGCTGAGCCGCCCATGGGAGATTTGCGTTTTGAAGCTCCCGTTCCACCCCGGACGACAAACCGAACTGTCAACGATGGATCTGCAGGTTTCATCTGTCCGCAAGCATACCCGGCATGGATCCTCGCAGCCGAAGGCCTCAGTGCTGCTCCTCCCCCATCTCCCAGTGAGAACGAAGACTGTCTTTTCTTAGATGTCGCTGTCCCGCAAGCCATTTTCAACGGTACCCAGAAAGGGGCGGCTGTCCTTGCTTGGGTCTATGGCGGAGGATATACGCTGGGCACGAAAGCTGGAAGCCCTGCTGGCCTAATTGCAAGGAGCGAGCAAGCCACGGGTCAGGGCATCATCTACGTTGCTATGAACTATCGTCTTGGTCTTTTCGTACGCCAATCTAACCCTTCCATAGCAAGCATTGCTGATTCTGGTATAGGGGTGGCTCTCTGGTTCCACATACCAGTCGCAAAACGGAACCGCTAATGCTGGACTCTATGACCAGCGTCTTGCTTTTGATTGGGTCCAGAAGTACATCCATCTTTTCGGAGGAGATCCAAACCGGGTGACTGTCATTGGGGAGTCTGCAGGTGCAGGGAGCATCGAACATCAAATTACAGCCTACGGCGGGTCCAAAGGGAAAGTGCCGTTTCAACAAGCTATCCTACAGAGTCCTGGATTTGCTCCCATTCCAAACAATGATCAGGAGGAGCGCCTTTTCCACGAGGTTTTGAACTCATCAGGTGTCTCTACGCTGCAAAAATTGAAGGGCTTGTCGACAACACAGCTGCAAGCGGTAAACAGAAACATTACCGAAGGGTCAGATTACGGCAGTTTCACGTTTGGTCAGTACGCTCCACTCACTCACACTTTGCACGCGCTCACGTCCTCAGGACCGACTGTTGACGGCGTGTTTTCACCCGCTCTACCCGGCATCCTCCTATCCCAAGGAAAATTCGACCAGAGCCTGAATCTCCTAATCGGCCACAACTCGAACGAGGGCGCTCTCTTCACCGCCCCCGTGCAGACCGACGCAACATTCGCCCAGAACGTCCGCAACCTTTTCCCCGACATCTCCCCCACCGTCTTCACCATCATCACGGAAGTACTGTACCCCCCCGACTACAGCGGCGCATACGGCTACACGACCGAATTCGGGCGCTCCTCCACCTTCTGGGCCGAAGTCGTCTTCGTGTGCAACACAAACTACCTCGCCCGGGCTTACAAGAACAAATCCTACAACTACGTCTTTAGTGTTCCGCCTGGAGTCCACGGCGAGGACGTTCCCTATACTTTTTACGACGGCCCGTCCCCGTCCGTCGTTAACGATACCGTCGCGGTAGTGTTGCAGGACTGGATCACTACGTTTGCGGTGGCTGGGGTTCCGAGTGCAGAGGGTTTGCCGTCTTTCCCGCAGTACGGGCTCTTTGGCACGGCGGAGGATCTTAATGTTACTGGTGTTGCGCCGTTCCATGATCCGGGGAGCAATTTGAGATGTTATTGGCTTCAGAACGCTTATTATGCGTAAGTATAGGTGGCGTGAAGAGGATGAGTAGAAACGGGGCAACGATTTTCATGTTCAATAATCTGTATACATATAAATTACCATGATAGGATTCATCGGGTTTGGTCGCTTTGTACAAGTGAATGTATGAAGAGTACACGCGGGAACAACATCTGCACAGCTAGCATTCCTCATAGTCAATACTATTAATTATGAATCCCATTAAGAACCTCAATCTTGCTGTATCATCTCCTCCAGATACCCCTTCATCTTCACTAGACCTCTGGCTCGTTCCACTTTCAGCCTTACACCACGGGCATAATTTCGGAGAATATTTGTCGTAGTGCTTACTACACACGGCGCTGCAAGGAGAATAAATGTTGCCTCCAGGGCGTGCGTTCGGGATAGGTAAGTACCAAAGGCGCCTAAGATATTTGCACGGGGCGTAATGGTTACGGTCGCATATTTTTGGTGGTTTGGTTGCTTAGGTGTTGACTATGGCTTAGTATTCTTGGATCCCTGGAGATGTGAGTTTGAAGATTGATAGAGCAGTATAAAAATTGCGGAGGCGGCGGTAGAAGAGGCTCATATCTACTCCTAGGGCACTCAATGTCAGCTTCGACCGATGTGGCATACTCGTGAAGTAGCTGACACGCCAACAGGCTGCTGTTGGACTCGATTAGCATGGCCGGTCGGAACCGCTGCATCCTTTGATGCCAAAATACCGCGAGTGATGTGGCGGCGGGTGAAGCAATTGACGATGTGCGGACTTCACCGTTGACATCGAAGGCGTAGCAAGCGCGGTCGTACCTTGGGAGACGAGCAAAATCTACACGGTGTAGTGCTTTCGTGTTTCACTATTCATCGCAGCCGATAATTTGTATTTTGTAAGTGAAGTCATTCTCATTCCCCTACGCCCATCTACATCATCTATTCCAGATACTCATACGCGATTCTTCCTCTTCCCCTTCTACTCGCCCCATCGCCTTGTTCCGCTCGACTGTTATGCTCGCAACCAGGGCATAGTTTCTCGCAATATACAAGATTGTGTTTGAAGTTAGGGCACGGGGGCGCGTCGCGAGGCAGCATTCTCTGGTCTATGCCCCCGAAGTCGGGATGCGCGTTGATGAAAGAGAGGCAGGAGGCACGCCTCGGATGACGGCAGCTAGTGTACATGAAGTTGATGCACATTTCGGCGGTATTTGTTGTTTGAGTTGGGGGTTTGGAGTGCTCTGGTAGGTGTAAGTTGAGTGTTGATAAATAAGTGAAAAGAAGAGGAGGGAGGCAGCTAAGTACGTTTATATCTACTCGAAAGGATATCAATGTCAGGGTCACATGGTGTGGCATACTTGTGAAGTGTCTTTGTGAGTGAAGCCATTCTCATTCTCCTACGTCCATCTCCGTCATCTATTCCAGAGACCTCATCCTTCCTCTTCCCCCATCGCTTTAGTCCGCTCCATCGTTACGCTCGTAAGCAGAGCATAACGTATCGCATAATACAGTTATGTGCTTGGAATCAGGGCACGAGGGGGGTTCGGGAGGCAAAAATCTCCAGTCAGGGTCCCGGGGTGCATTAGGAGGCAACATTCTCCGGTCAATGCCCCCGAACTCAGGACACGCGTTCACGAAGAAGAAGCATGAGGTACGCCTTTCATGTTGACAGGCAGTATATTTGGAGTATACGCACATTCCGGCGCTCGTCAGTGTTGGGGTCGCGGGTTTGAGGTGCTCTGATCGGTATTTGATGGGGTTGTCGGTTCTCGGAGGTATAAGTTGAGCGATCACGGAGAAGAATTAGAGAAGGAGGCGGCTGACATCCACCCTCGAAGGGCTTTCAATGCCAGCATCATCAATGCAGCAGCTGTACATTCGTGAAGTGTCTAACAGACAAGCACGTACTCGAATAACGTGGCAGGAACCGCTTCACTGTTTGATACTAACAAGCCACTTCATGAAGCCGCCACATCACTCTGCCACCTTCTTACCTATTCTGCTTGCAGTATAAAGCCGACTTTCTTTTCCCATTTTCTCTCCAAATCTCAACCCTCTGCTCACCATACTCACCGAAACATCAACACTAATCAGACTTCAAGCCGAAATATCCCACATCACCCCTTGAACCCAAAATGTGCAAAGCCACCAACGAAGTCTGCTCTCGCTGCGGCGGCTACTACCCCATCTACACCCCCTGCTTCGACTTCCGGCGGCAACACGCGTGGATGGACTTTGTGGGCTCTGGAAACCCGGCCTGTGCGCAATGCCCCTATTTCCATAGCACTGCGAAGAAGGTAGCTTCGTGTGAGAAGTGTCAGTAGTCAGAGTGCTTAAAAAGGAGTGAGATGAATGAAAGAGAGAGGGGCAGAGAGAGCTGGAGGGGAGTGGTAAGGTAGATAGCGAATCGAGCGGTTCACCAATCCCCACTCAGTATACTGATCACTGACGAAACAGTCGCTGCCACACTACCCAAGTCTGTTACCTTCACTAACGACCTTCACTAATTTGTTACGTCAGCAACATACCACTTCCCTTACTTCTTCTTACACTATTAATGCCCCTTCCTACTGCTATCCTCACTCCCTCACCAAATCCTTCAACCTCACGCTTGCGAACTCAACTTCCATTACCATCGGCTATCTAACATCCTCCTTCTAAACTCCAATTTCCAGAATGCGTGAAGCCACCAACCAAATCTGCAACCGCTGTGGAGGAGAAGATAGTGACGATAGGGATGTGAGAATCAAATCAAATGGATTAAGGATTCTGATAACCTACGATTGAGTGCCAAACTTAACTCATTCAAGTAAAATGCAAGGGAGCCGCATGGGTAGTAGTGATTTTGTGTGATGTTTTGGAACTGCGAAGTGTGGAGGATCCTGGATAGCGGCTCAATTGCTTCTTCCACGCAATCGTCAATATCTGCCTTTCACAGAAGTCCATACCGCCTAGGTTTCTTCGCACTCATCACTTCCCTCTCTCTCACAGTGATTCAACATCAGTGGTTTACATCGTTCAATTGCTGTCTCTAGTCCGCCGCATCTCCTTCACTCGCTCCCTATCCTTTCCCGAGCCCCCCTGGTACTCATAGTCACCGGAATGACTTTAGAATAACTGATTAGTGCAAGCAGAACAGTACGGGATTATATGGTAGTCCCGCGAGATCATGGTGCACTTCGAGCAATTCGGATTGCCGTCAGAGCCTATAGCGTCGGGGTCAACGCGGGGGTTGCGCCGGCGGTAATCAGAGCAGGAGGTGAAGGCTTCGTGCTTGGAGCCACATCTAGTGCAGGTGAGCTTATTGTGCTTGCACATTATGAAAGTGGTGGTGATGGTGGCTTGGTGGTGGGTTTAAAGCTTGTGGTTTGGGTTTCTGGTTGCTGATATTTGTGGCTGTGGTAATGGAGCAGGTTTGAGTATGGGAAAGGAAGAAGACGTAGGGAGTGTTTACATACCCTCGAATGACTTCCTTCGGTGAGCTGGCTTCAAGTGACGGTAGACTGGCTTCGAGCGATAACGAGGCACACCTTCACTTAAAGCTAACACATTCCTCATCACAATACCACCATGACAGCTGGCATGAACCTCAGCCTCAAAGTTTCGAATATAAGCTACGACGTATACCTATTGGCGCAGCATCAATAAGGACCCCTTCCATTTCCTATCCAACTTTCCCTAATACCTGAAGCGCCTACCACCGAGTTGTCGTCGAAAGCATTCGTCACACTCATCTGTCCGCTCATTGTACTGCCTGCGGTACTCGCACCCGGCCCATGCACGGGCGTCAAAGACGGTGCCTTTCGGGTTATTCATGCAGAAGGGTAGGCATCGGGAGTAGGTATCTTCGTTATCGTTGCAGTGGTTGCAGGTAGTTGCAGGTAGTTGTGGTTTTTTGGCACATTGCGAGAGATGTGTTGTGGTTTACTGGCGGGTTTCAAGTTTATGGCTGAGCGGGAGGACTGTGAATGCTGAAAGCTGTGGATTTGTTGATTCAGGAAGTTTGGTAATTGGGAAAGGAAAGAAGAGGGACGTAGGTTTATATATGCTAGAGAAACTTGCCTTAGTGAGTTGGCTTGCAAGGACAAGGAGGCTGAGCTTCACCCAATGCTAACACATTATTCCTCATCACACTCCTACTAAAGCTAAATCAAGGAAGTCAGTGACAATCGTACTCCTAGATATGAGCTCGATGAAGAGGATGATGCGGAGAAGAAAGGCCACTTTCATGGAATGCAGTGTCTTTGTTGACGCCCGAAGAGTCTTTGGCCAGCGTGACCATATCCAAGCGCGAATCCTTTTCCGACATCTCCCTCTCCAAAGTCCCGTTGATCTTGAAAACGATGCACTCCGTGGCCTTCTTCTTCTCAGAAGCTTCCTTGTCCGACTCATTTTTGTTCTCCTCGTCTGCTATCTTCAAATTATTCTCATCCTCATCTTCAAACGTCTTCGAAGACGAATGATTGAAACGTTCCCTCTCATTTCCATTCTTACTACATGCGCATGACAAATCCCATCAATCTCATCCCTAACAGCCGTATACCGCGTCGCCTCGTCGAACCCACAGGCGTTACAGTGCCTCCCCAATGGCTCGAATGCCATCTCCCCTCCGCAACGAACATGGCTCGGTACGGCCCCACAGATGCAGAACCTGATGACATCGTTGGATTCCAGGCCATTCTTTTTGAAGAGGAATAGCGGGCTCTTCGCCAAGCCCTTTCTAGCATTTACAAGGTATGTGACGCTAATGACGTATTATTCCACGCCGGTGACCGTACCGAGGCTGCAGGATTGGAGGTAGCTTGTGCGCATCGTGGCTTCGTTTGGGACGCGGGGAGGTCCTTGGAATCAGAGGATAGGTGGGAGTGGACTTTAGGACTTGAGGCGAGGTCTCTTACTATTTTCAGTGTCTTTGCGTCTCGATGACGGAGAAGAGGAAGTGGTGGTTCGATCATCCACATTCGATGCGGTGAGGAGGTCTTGCTGATGCGAAGAAGCTGCCCCAAACTCGTGGGGACCCGTTTGGTAGACCGTGATGGCGGAGATAGGAAGGCGCCGTGTGCGAGGTCCACTTGGAATGTACCAAGTTGATAGAATTGACGGCTTTTCAATTGCTTGGAAGCTGCTTGGAACACCACAAGCAGCGGTAGAGTCCGTACACATCTATCTGTGAGCGTCTGCGACTACAGACCAGAGTCGAATCGAGTGGCACCTGGAGACATCTTCCATTTAGCGCTTACACTGACTGTCTGCTCACATACCACTAACAATGCAGTGTTTACTTTATACGGAGTGGCCTACACATCTTGTTAAGGGCAACGCTGAAGTAGAAGAACATTGACGGCCATGCTGTCTAGGCACAGTAAATGAAGAAGAGCACAACTAGGAGTAGAAAGGAAGTCTCACATAATATCGAGGCAGTCATACATTCACAGGTCACGACAGAAGAGAGAGTTCAGAGTTCCGAAGCCGTCATTTCATTGATGCTAAGTTATAGAAGCGGCCCTGACCAGGCATAGCCGTGATATCGCCCATAATCCCTAGAATTGACTGATGAAGGTGAAGTGGTTGTCGAGCTTGGAGCATTTACTTCTTGGCCTGAGATGAGGTGTTAGCAGAATGGAGAGAAGTTGTTGGTGTCAGGACTGCTTACAGCGTGCTTCTCCTCAGAGGCCTTGTCCGAGAGAGCGTCCTTGCCAGCGGTGGCGCGGTCGGTGAGGGATGCATCAGAGTCCTTGGCGACCTGCTTGTTGGCCTCCTTGGAGGTGCCGGAGACACCCTGCTGGATGGTCTCGGAGGCAGAGGTGGCAGCGTTCCTGGGGCGAGGTGTTAGTGGCCATTGCTGAGGATCAAAGCAGGGTTGGAACGTACTTGATGGCGTCCATTGTGAAGTTGGTTGTTTGGGGATTGGTTGGTGGTTGGTGTTGTGTAGTTGTGATTGTGATTGTGGAGTTGGTGGTGGATGAGGGAGAAAGGAAGCGGGCAGGCGGTGGATTTATATATGCCCTCGTCTGCTGCTGCCTCGTAGATGACGCACCCAGCGGCCGGTGCAACTGCCTCACCCCATGACCCTCACTCAAACTGTCGTCGCGATGACGTCGGGAAGGAATGCCTCAAGTGGCACGCGGAAAGCTACGCTGGAAACGGCAAGGGCCATTCACTGCTTGGCATGACGGCACGGCGCGCGCGGCCAGTCATCATGGACAAGAGCTAGAGATCCGCACTATGGGCGATTCTGGCATAGAGGCATTCTGGCATCCAATTGTTGCTTTCGCATGCGGCAAGCCACAGTAGATTACCGACGTCATCGCTTCTGTCCCACCATCTCCTTGGCGGAAGCCGGGCCCAGACCCTAATGTGGCGGGGCAAGCCTGCCGTTCCTGGCCGCCCCGCCACCGATGTCAACCGCCGTGTGACCCTCTATATCCACTTGGATCGCGGTGGCCGCGTCTGCACCTCATCGTACCGAGGACGCACGGCATACGAGATGCAGCTCACCGTTGGGCTCCAACACACGGGAGGCCTCATGGATCGGGATCTCAAGGTCAGTCCGCTCTCGACGCGTGGATAACACATGCAGATGCCCCTCAATTGCAGACACGAGCCTCCCTTAGCTTGATACTAGGGAACCTCAACCCGGGAGAAGTCTGACAAGCAGCGAGAGGTAAAAGTAGCAAAAGCAATACCGGACCACGCAGTAATAGCACAGACAGTCACATTACAAGATACCAAGTCTATCATTAGAAGTCCAGCTGGAGCCTGGCCCCCCGTATCCACCGTTACCGGAGTCCAACATCATCAGCAGCAATCTAGACCTGGGAGAGTGATGTCAAGACCAAAGATCACGGGGGATAAGATAGCAACACCAGCCGCGAACTGCAGGAGGAACAGTGATCGTTACCACATCCAATAGCCCTCGGAGCAGCATCTAGCATCGCTCCCGGGAAAGCCCAAACACGCGAGGCCTCGTTGATAGATAAGACAGAATAGACCGGGTCACGACGGATCTCAATGAAAAGAAGCAGTGATTGATACTACATCTTTCAGTCCTCCAAACCACCGTCACTGAAGCCAATAGAGCAGATACCGCACACCCCTCGTAGAAATCTCCGCTGATGGTCGTTCGACCTTTGCCCGCAATAAGAGAGTTCGCTAGAGCCAACTTTGGCGGCTCCTCCACTCCTCCGATTCCGCCGCCTCCTTGCAACCCTCACACAGCTTCCTCTCCGTTTCAGCTGGCACCCAACCCCGCCCACCACCGTCATTTGCCATGGCTAGACAATCGAACTTCTCACACCATCGAAACTTGTATTTTCCTTCCCTCCCGCACACTGGGCACAGCGTTTGCGAGAAACCACACATCAGTGACCAAGTTGATTAGCTGGGTGTCAGTAATCTTCGAGCTTTAGTAGATGTTGTTTTCTGGAGTCAGATAGGTAGTTGGCATTACCCCGAGAACAAGCGAAGAAATACGTGATCCCCGTGGCCGCCGGTACGCGAAGCCGAAGACGTGGATGAGAGATAACGCATCACGATCCCTTACACTGACCCGCAGCTCGCAACAACTCGGCCTTCACTACAGCTACAGCTCATCAGCAACTCTTCACGGATCGCTCTCGAAGTCTTAGACCTACGTTGCAAGAGAGATATTGACTGCGTCTGCACTCTTGGATCTCCGGCGATCCTCACTAGCGCTCCTTTACGTCTTAATATATGTAAAACCTTCAATTTAGTCTCCGACTTTCCTCAAACCCTACCTCTCTAGAATACGAAGACTGATGCCCTTATTCGAACCCGCAATTCGGTCGGTAGACAATGATTGAAGCCACTGCCATCGGTCACGTGGTAGGTACAGTCACGTGATATAGTAGACCACACCTCAGCTCTATATTATGCACGATTCCTAAACAGCACCCAAGGTGATACAAATTAACCAACACGTCTGGAACGCAAATTCTCCATCGTCTCATACAACTCAATCATCGAAATTGATCATGGGGACGCCGCATCGGAGCCGCAATTCTTCTAACGTACGCACCATGCGGACCTTCGGACAGGGGTATATTGGCGTGCGGTCAGCATTGCCTTGTTGTACCTCCCAACACGAGTACTGCCAATTCCTTAGAGCTTCAGAATATATTGCTACTGCTCGTCATAGAAATACACATTTCATACAGCCGTAACAAGCTATTCTGTCTACACTCCCATCCCATCCAATCCAGCCGTCGATAGTCAATAGTCAATATCAATATAAATTACAGACCGATCCCCTCCAAAAAGAACATTCAAAAAGACAGAAGAAACCGCACATCTACACATTCCCCCTCCTCCACCCGTCCATCATCCCTCAACACCCCCCCACCAGCCCCCTCCCTCCCTCCTTTGCCACTGCCGTCTCACATCCTCCGACGCCCTCCCCAGCGCCATCTTCACCGTCTCCCGTACCCTCGTCCTCAACAGCGTCTCCAAGCTCCCATACACGCCCCCCACCCTACTACCCCCCTCCACCTCCTCCCTGGCAGCCGCTTTACAATACCGCTCACTAAACCCATCCACCAACTCCTCAACCCGCCTCAGCTCGCCCAGCACTACCTGCGCCCTCAACCGCGCCTCGCCCTCGCCGCCGCCTCGCTGAAACGCGCCTCGCGCGACGGGCGTCGCGGTGAACGCTGCGAGCGGCTCTTGATACTGCGCCCTCCCGCTCCCGTTGCCATTCCCGTCGACGGAAAGATCGGGCGCGCCCAGTCCCGCAACAGCCTGGTGCCACGCGAGGATCTTGATGATGGTAAACGCGACGGTGGTGCTGTAGTGCGGGTTCGCGGAGCAGGGGCAGCCGAGCAGCGTGGCGACTTTGTCCACGGCGTCCTTGGTGGTCGCGAGGACGGCGTCGAGCGACGGCAGGCCGGATGCGGTGCCGAAGTCGGCGGCGGAGGGCTGGTAGGCGGGCGGCGCGCAGAGGGCGCCGAGGGTGGCGAAGGCGACGTCGGTGCAGTCGTGGTGGTCGCGGGCGGCGAGCGGGGAGGAGGTGGGTGCGGCGGAGGGGGTGGGGAGGGGGCGGAGGGCGGCTGGCGTGGTGGTGGGGTCGGGTGTGTATTTTGGAGAAAAGTAGGATTGGGCGTCTGGGGGGTAGTAGTGGGTTGGTGCTTGGGAGGACATGGAGTAGTGCGTGTTTTGGGGCGCTGGGAAGGGTGTGGAGTGGCCTGGCATGGTGATGGGAGTGGAGAGCGCCCCGGTGTGGTAAGAGGAAGGGAAATGCGACAGAGGAGTGCTAAATAGCGGCTCTGACGACGGAGCAAGAAAGAGATCTTCGGTGTGGTATCCGGGCAGGCTAGGCCCGGTGGTGGACTCTGGCGAGTAGCGGCTATTGAATCCGGCCATGAACGCGTCTTGGTAGGGGTACTCTGGGGTATTGGGTCCGAAGAAGAATGGATCGATCGGCTCAGGCGAGCTCTCTGCTGTAGATGCTGTGGTCCGGGGTCTCATGTCGAGACGTGACCCGAAGGCCCCACATGAGCTTGCCGGAGATACGTCGCGCATCAGTGACATGTCCATGCTTCGATTCTTTCGAGGCTTGCCCAGCCTAGTTCATTTTAGCTATTGCGATTGTAGACGATTTGAATGACTTACCTCATTGATAGAGAGTAGTTGCAGCATATCCCCATATTCCCACATCGATGGCATGTAGGTCTGACCTTATCACACTTCACCTTAGCACGCGAGCATGCATCACAAGATGCCCTAAGCTTCCGCGGCTTCGTTTCTGCGGGTTTTGAGATAGGGCTGCGATTGTTGATGGACATTGTCTAGAACGAAGGTAGTGATTGGAGTTTGAGAGGGAAGGATAAAGCTTGTAGCATGGTTGAGAGCCCGAAGGGCAAGACATGCCATTATATATGTGTTGACGAACGAACGTCTGATTCTCAGGCGACTAAGATAAAGAGGGAAATGATCTGGAAGGATTCCTGTGACACCAAGTCAGCAACAAGAGGGTCTGTACCCGGATAGATTAACCACCTGCATGGTGGCTTACATGGATCTGCACTACAACACTTTCAGCCGATGGGCTGTGCCTTGGGGCTGCTAGGTGCTGAGCAACCATGTTGAATGGTGAAAATGGCTTCAGCAACCCTGCTCCTCGAACTCAAGATGCAAGTGCACGGGTCGAAATGGGCTCATTGACAGACCAAATGCAGAGACGAGCGTAGAAAATATGCAGGGCCCCAGCACTCACACGTTGGTTGCTAACATGCATGGGAGCCCAGAACTCCAGCAAGGTGGCCGCCCCTTGCTTTGAGCTTTCCCTTGTCACAGGCTGGAAATAATTTTGCTCCTGATGCGACAAGCTCCTGAGCGGCACAGTCGTTAGTCGATTCAAAATCAACACCGAAGGATTCGTGTGGAATGCTTCCAGGTCACAGTGCTGGTGGAACAAGTCACTAAGACTTGAATGGGAGTAGGGAAACACCATATGCATGGTGCCACGGGCCCGGTGCAACAGAATGAAGTGAATGCGTTGGAAAGATGATGACCACGAGGCATCCCGAAGCGGCGCCCAGACCCAAGGACGTGTTTCGCAATATGAAGCTCCACAAACGCGGGTCTTAAAGCTCGGTGTTAACGGTCGAGGAGGAGCCTTGTTTCGTTGCCTGGGTACCTTGAGAATGAACCCGATTGATGGGTTCTGCCCTCAAATCCCCTAGCATGTACGCGTCCCATGGCACCCATTCATGGTATAGGGACGCGCCTAGAACGTCGACGGCACTTTAAAGGTGCTGGTGTGTTGCTCGAAAGGCTACGAATTCGTATATTAGTGCTGAGAAGGGCTCGGCGAGGTGGCCTTCTGGGCGTTAGATGGCTGCCATTGATGTCATGAAGCGCTGTGTGCACCTGTCAACGGCGTGAGTAGCTCGGTGTTGGGTCGAGAGTAGGCAAGTGATACGAGGCCGACCGCTGCTCGAGCGGGGAAGATGGCGTTCTCAAGAAGGTTGCACAACAGCAGCGCTGTCTGGCGACAGGTACCGTTGGTTTGATAGCCGTCTGAACTGCCAGCAGGCCACTCTAATTGGAGAGGTTCATGGAACACGGGCCTTCGTGGCACGGGGAGATTCATAGAAGGCTCATGGAAGGTGTCAGGCTGCGGTACTCGTGAAGCGTGGGCGCCCAGCGGATACGGTGAGGGCAGCGAGGGTGGCGAAGAGGTGTACGACGTAAGGAGGCGGCGCAGGTTGGGGATACATGCAGCATGCGGGGAGGCGCCGCCGGGGAGTAAATTTAGGAATTGAGGTCAGAGAGCGAGCACTAGGTTGCCAGTGCCGTTTGCTGCGCCCGCCCCTGTTCCTCGACTTGTCATGCAGAACAGGTACAGGCCCAGGGGCTGCGACCCTCTCGGCTCCTGCTTCTGTGGCCATGGTTTTGGCCAACAATAACCCTGGCCAGCTCCTCCTCGGGCGGGACGATCCGTAGCTCGAGATCGCGCTGAGATGATAGTGGCCGCCATAGCACGACCCCATTCCACACATAGTTCTCCCCAGCCTCACCGGTCGCAGTCCTTGCTAGAATAGAGGAAGGTCATTTCTGCAACATGGAAGCTCACTGCGGCATCCTCGTTTGATTTGGAAACCTTGGGGCCTTGCTGGAATACCGTTTCTTCTTTTAGATATCCCAAATCCTCACGCAAAAACCAACAGAAGCCTGGTACTTGCAGCAAATGTGTTCAACACACTTCTCTGACTGAGACTGCAATGATCAACACACCAGCTCTGGAAAGGGCAATTGCCAACACGTGCCTTGAAATGCTAGGTTTAGAGGATGCACGCTGTTACCGACGACGGCAAGCCATTCCGACAACTTGCCAAGACTGTATCGCGAAGACTAATGACAGTATCTGTCGTTCGTTCCAAAGAAAGTAACGTTATTGCAGATCGCGAGAAAGGTCAAATTTGTCCTATCACCAGAGAGGTGAGGTCTGTTCATACTCTCTGGAGAGAGCTGCTGCTGTACGGAATACGTGCTCCAGATTCTCATGGAGTTGGATGCTATGAACCCAGCAGTAGACTGCCAGTGGACAAGCTTGCCTCTCATCCTCTCGGGCCAGATTCGCACCCCTGTCGTTCTGTATGAGACAATGTAAGACTTCTTGGATTGAACGTATGAATACACATCGAAATAAGACTCCAACGGTAGGCTTTGGCGGTCATGCAACCATTGATTCTTAGATAGTCTGTTCCAGATGGGTCGGTTGACTAGCCAAGACGAGTGAGTGTGTAGGGCATTTGCCGCTCGAGTTTGATCCTGGATTTGTCAAGAAAAGCTTGCTCTCATTGCAATTAGCAGTTGCCCTATACTATTACTAGAGTCTTAGAATTCCTTAGCTTTACTAGATTCTAAGTTGGTTCGAAGTTTCAACACCTTGTTCATTCGCCGACACCACCATAGTTTGATGCGCATACTGACAATCTGACATGTGCGGCGGCCCCCGCGACGCATCCTTGTAGAGCGGGACACCGGGTATTCCAGTCCAGAGGCAGCAATTTGTGTCAGGATAAGCGGGACGTCCCGCGACCAGGAACAATACAGCTTTCCAAGGGACTCTGGAGCGAGGACATTGTCCCAATTGGCAATTGGCCCGTTTATTTAGACGATGAAGAATTACTTTGAGTTCAATATCGTCGATCGTACCGGGTACGATGCCAGCATTGCTGTTGGATTTCGCAAAATCGTGGTATATATGCAACTGCTTTGGTGTCACGACTCAAGGCGTAATCCGGTCCTTGGCGTCATACTCTGTGGCCCATAGATGTGAATGCATCATGTCCATGACGTTGCGGTCTTGTTGATGCCATGGGGCCATTCGTAGACTGCCCACCCGTTCATTCTCTTTTGTCGAGCGGAAGACGCAGCTCCCGGACCCCAGCACATCTTTGCTGGCTCACAACTTTGAAAGGATAGGTTTGGAAATGGGGGCGAAATATTGATTAAATGCCGTAAGTCTCCCATATACCGAATATTGGCCGGACCAGGGTGCTGCAGGTGGGCGCCCAAAATGTCGGCCGATAGTTCCCAACAGTATGCGTTTGAACCACTGGAGCTGAACAGGGCGACATGTAGATTGGAGACGACTTGAACGGGATGAGTCTACCTGGGCCCGTGGATCGCGAAAGACAGGAAGGTGCTCCAACTTCTGTCCATCTCCAAAGAGCGTACCATGTACTGTGCTCTTCGTATTTTCCTAGTCAATTCCCCTGTAGTCACGCCGTCTTTCTGTCTTGTTTCAAAAAGCAGCACGCATCCGAGAGGAGACAAGTGAGAAAATACCGTTCCCAGGTCGAATGCTTGTTCCGTCGCCGGTTTAGTACATCGTCTCACCGCGCATGCCGATCGTTCTCGCTTCCGCCTGAAGCTACGAGACCATGATCTGCCGGGTGGGCGCTCGCGAACTCTTTCCGCAAACCCCGGCTTGCTGCACCACGCTGTCGGTTTCCGAAATGATTTTGAGAGATACCTGATACAGCCACTGATGGCACTGTCCCAGCACCCATTGTACCGTTCTAGGCCATCTACTTTCTTGGCTTTAGCCGGGGCCCAGGAACCGTTTCATCTTCCAGGAGCCATTCTCACGGGGAGTTGCAAACATGTGAAGCAGTCAGCAGAGTTGTTTCTCAGGTCTGCGCTAGGACCACCGCTACTATACCTTCGTGCAGGATGTATGTGGCATCACTGCTTCATCGGGTTTCAACGTCCTTCTAAAGGGAGGTTGAAGGACTGAATATCCCCTGAAACTACCAGCCCTCGGATTACACGGCTTGAGCAAGCTGGAAGTGCTCACATGGACATAGAAACCAGACGCTTTAGTGTGCGCACGCCATAAGAAGAGCGCATGCCAGTTCAAACTATATCTAACAAGACGCGTTGGAGTTGATTTTCGAATGTGCTAGCGTTGATAGGGGAGCTGGACGAGCGATAGGGGCTAGACGAGCAGGGAGCTTTCATCCTGCGAGGCAGTGGAAACGACGAAGTGGAAACAATTAACAGTTGGGAGAGGAGCATATCCATCGGGAAGAATATGTTGTCAGAAGGGTGTTCTTGAGAGGTTCTTCGTAGTAAAAAGGGTTATTCTCAAGTCGGGAAGGGCTGACGCGATGTGGGGCACGCTACTCCTGACTCCACAACTCTCTTCAACCTCATCTCCATCATCTGTGCTGGCAGAAACTTGAGCAATTCGGATTTTCGATCTTTGTAAGGATGGCGATTCTTCTTAGAAGACCCAAGCGCTTCATATGCTAGCTCGAGTACCTCACAAAAGCGTTACCCTCCAATACTACGGCAGATGGTCAGTGTCGCAGAGTCTCTCCAGATGCCTCTCGATGTCGTTCCAAGAAACGCATACTGTCATTCTCCTTGTGTTCCAAATGTCCAAGAAACTACTTGATTTGTTGCTGTCCCTTTCTATTTCTTACTGTCTGACCCCACCTTTCTAAATCAACTACAAGACGTCTTTCGAGATCTCGGACGACTCGCAAGGCTTGATGAAGAGTCGGCAATTGGCCTATGATGTGACTGTCTCTTCGAAAACGGTTGCTTGGAGAAGGATTTGACATTTGATGCTTAGAGACTCATCATCGCTGTCCTCTGGGATGGTGTTAATGCGCTGGGTAAGCATTACTCCGCATAACATGATATTCAACATCGAGTACATTGCTGTTACTCTCTCGCCCATAACTCACTCAGTACGCTACGATTATCACAAGTTCTCTTCCTTCGCAGACAGTAGATGATTGGTTGATAGAGAATTGGGCTTGCAGCGGGCCTGTGCACCTCGGAACCTGGGCAACTCGGCGCGCTGGTGCTCGTATCCTTTTATACCGTTTCTCTCGTCTTTCACGTCACGCTCTCCTCTATGCTTCTTTCTTTCCCTTTCCTGGGTTTGACGTTTCACCGTCTCTTGACACAAGACTCGAGGCGTTCGTCTCCAAAGCGTTAAGATTCTTGGTCACTGCAATTTTTGTAGAGGAACTCCCCGGCCGTGTTCTATGAGTTTTTCTCCCCCGCAATATTTGCCCAGCAACAGCCCGCAATTCTGTTTCGTTGTTTCGGTGTAGTTTAGAGAGCCAGAAGGTTACATAGCCTCCTTCATTTCCACATAGCCCCGCAAGCAACCTTGGAATTTGGTCCATTCCGTCTCATCACGTGCCCGGGCAGCGAGTTACCCAAATCAACACAAAACCTAGAGCAATTTGCAAGGTTATCGGAGTACGGCTTAGCATCATAAAATGGAGTTTCAACAAAACTCCCGTGGCGTCTTCATCGGCATGCCTTCGGGAATACCCCGTGAACACATCACGAGAGACATCGGATGTGAACTCGTTGAGGAAGCGCCCGAGACCTCCCGTCCGTCGACGGCCGTATGGAGCGAAAGCTTGGAGTCCGAATTACCAGGCATTTCGAGTACACTCGCATCGTTTCCACTCCCGAGCACCGCTAGGTCGTCATGTCATTCCGTTGGAGCACCCTCAATCGATGGTTCTTCGAACGCCGTGGGCTCCTCAACTAGGTGTACCCCATCTCCACCCCAAAGCGTCGCTGGGTCTGTTACCCGTTCTGATATCCGGCGCTTCATCCAAAGCTCCTTTCCTTCCAGCAAGAGGATTTTGCCTAGACTGGAAGTGAGTAGATCGACTTCGAAATGAAGAACGATAGCTGATGCATCTCTAGGGCACTTCTGATTCTCAATCTGTAGACAAAGTGCGGACATCGACCGCAGCTTGGATTGACTCGATCCTCGCATGGTCGGCGTCAACGTTGACGGCAGACCGCCTTGAACAACTTGATAGCCACCTTAAAAGTCTCGCCGACGACTGGCAATCCCAGGAACCAAGAATGCTGGAGATCGTACTGAGGTCTAAGAACAGCGATGTATATGACGTCGTTGCGTCCCTAGTATCTCTACTAGAACAGACTAATTCCGCCAAAGGCCCAACTGCGATGGACCGATTCGAAAGGGAGAGTGACATGGAAAGCCCATTCTCATTATTTACGACGCGCAGGTCCCGACCGGAGCTCAGAACCCCTATGGAACGGCTACTGAACGAAAGCTCCACGGACGTCTGGAATGCGGAGAATGGCAAGATTATCAAGGACACAACTCGTGCGAAGTGGAAGATGCATAACCATCAAATGAGCGTACTGAGCGTGCTCTATGTCGGACAATTCCTGAGTTACCCTACAAGAATATTGAGCAGCTATGAAGTTCTCCCTCAGGCATTTATGGCGCAACTCGGTTTTGAAAATTCGAAGCATGCACGTTTCGTTCAGTTTGACAGAGAACCTAGGATGATAGTCGTCGGCACTGTGAAAATGCCTTTGCGCCTTTCTGGATTCGTAAAGTTGAACAGCGCCAGCTCTATTCAATCAGTGGAAGCACGCCACGAGCAATCTCGGTCGGAAGCTTGGGAACATCCCCACTCCCATTCCAGGGCTGTATCGAATTCGGTGGTCAACGGCCCATCGGAGACTTCCGCCGCAGATTTGTTAAGGACGAAGGACTCAACTGTTGTCTCAGGTACATCACGCCTCGCGCTACCCGTTGCAGACCTGGTTATTTCACCGCCAATTCGGGAATGTACACAGGGAGCGGCATCTGCCAGCTCTTCCAATACTACAGGGCCGACTGCCGACTCAGCGAATTCAACCCAATCAAGAGGTACTACCAAGACTCAGCCATCTTGCACAAGCAGTGGTGACTCTAGCAACGATGCAGATGGCAGGCCCCCACCAGGGCCACCATCCACTTCGAGTGCCCATGGTAGTGCAAGATTCGCATGCCCACGGCAGATGCACTCTATGATGCATAATTTAAGCCTATGCTCCTACTCCGGTGTCGGATGGCCTAACATGTCGGAGGTCATGTAAGTTACTGATCACGTCTGAGACCCAATGCTGTTTTAGTAACTCAATTAGCAAACATCTCAAACGAGCGCATAGCATCAGCATTTGGCAATGCAAGCAGTGCCACGAGTACTTTCGTAATTTAGATGTATTCCAAGGTCACAACCAGGAACCTCGTCCGTGCCTTCGAACTCACAATCGCGGGGTTATGAATCAAGGCCGATTGTGGAGGCAGCTGTACCAGCTCTTGTTCCCTGGTGAAACGGTCGTACCAGACCCCTGTAGGTTGTCAGACGATCTCATTCCAGCTTTCCATAGACTGACAGCACGTAGACTACGAATCAGGGGCCATCATCTTGAAGAATTCGAACGTGGGTACGGACATAGGAGGTTTCTCGATTACTCCAGAACCACACCCTGGCTTTCCCGTAGACGGTGATCAAGATAGGGCCCTCGAGCAAACCGTGGAACGTCTACGTGATGACCTTGTCAACGTTCTTCGACCAAATATAAGTCGCACGCCAGAACGCCGAAGACAACATCTGGAGCAGACAGTCCTCGCCTTGCAGGTGCTTATTGCTCAAATAACATGCCCAGAATACTTGCAACCGCGTTCGGATGTTGGCGCGAGTGGGCTAGACGCAGCAATCGAGGCACCTGACACCGTACCTAGGCCAACGGGGCTGGAGTTTGACGCCGTAGACACCATGGATCTGGAATTTGACCCCTTACCAAATCTCTGGGGTGAGTATGGGGGTAATCTCGGGGAGGCGGACGATTCTGCGATGTATGGTCATGATCTCGAAGAAGGAGACCTCAATTATTAGCCTTCCCTCAAACCATTCCAGTTTTGAGCCCTGAGCGACGGCGCGACGCACAGACCTCCATATTTCTCGCTATCGATAGATAAAAGATTGCACGAATGAACGGTACTATTGAACTAACTAGACAAGACTGCTGGCTTATACAGCAGTGAACCGTGGCTCTAAAGATGTCCGGACCAAGGATCGTCTCTTTGATTTGATTGATGGCTGGAGTCAACCTGGGTACCCTGCTTCTTCACAATACCATAAAGATACCCTAGCGGTCTTTGTGATATCTGAGCTTTCAACTTTTATTCGTATCTGAGATTCCATTTATTTAGAACGTTGAAGCTACGAGGATAGCGGGACAGTGTCCGCTAAATACTTATTGACTCAAATGGGAGAGGAAGGGATATCAGGAGAGAATAGATGTGTGGTGCGACGAGCACACCAGACAGAACATGTTAGCTGCGCCGAGAACATTGCAAGATTGTAGAAGTCTCTACTCCGTAAAGTTCTCATCATTCCCTTTCAAGCTCCCTTCAACTCGTACAGGATGTAGTTGAGACATGTTTGCGAGTTTATGGAAGATCTAAGCTCTTCCTTATGCACACAATTCCCTGTTCGCAATCGTTTCTCCGACTCATCTTCCCGAGTCTTGACCATATGTACCTCATCGCTCTAACATCTGAGTTTTTTTCCATCAGCTTCTTCACTTGGTAAAGTATCACTAAAGAGATGTCAGTGAATCCACGATGAACGCATCTTTGTCGCATTCACTTGAGTTCCAGCATCAAGTAGTGCCATTTCCTTCTTCCCCGAGCCAGCAAACTCTCGGCCATTCACAAGATTGTCAGGCGTTTTCACAAAAACCGCCCTAAACACAGTCTTTCACCTCCAACACTACCCTATTTAACCCTATGACATCCCTTGCGGACTGTCAATCAACTACACAGCGCACCACAGCTACACCACTCTGTCACAAAGTTCCTACCACTCTTCCGAAACCGTCATCTCACCCCCAACCTCCGCCACTTCGCTCCACTGATCCTCCCTACACCTGGAAATCCAGTTTCCCACCCCAGCGCCACATTACTCTAGCAGCCATGGACAAGACCCCCGCAGACTCCGAAGCCTGCCCCATCTGCACCCTGCCCTTCGCAACCTCACTCGCAGACATAGCCAGCAACAACCCCGAGATCGAAACGCCGGTGAAGTTGCAGCGATGCGGCCATCTCATTGGGCTACGCTGCCTAGATCGGTGGTTGAAGACGGCCCCGACATGTCCATTTTGTAGAGCTACGTTGCGGTAAGGAGGGGATTATGAGGTGGGTGCTGAGGAGGCGAAGATGGAGGGTGTGGGAGAAAGCTGGAGCTTTTCTCCGAATGATCGTGGCAGTCACTAAAGAGCGGAGTTTGGTTGATTGAACGGCATCCGACGTATGTTTTTATTCTACGGGAGTAGGATGGTTTCGTCCCTGCGAAGTCAATGCGAAGATGGACGGAGAAGAGCGGAGACGGCAGCGGGTGTTCTTAGATGAGTTCTTTATCCTGCTGGCGCTGTGAGCTAGGGGCGACGGCAGAGATAGCCGTAGTCTTTGAATGAAAGAGTTAAGGCAGTAGCAAGAACTTCCGAGGTGAGGCGCGCGCAACGCATGATGGACGAGCGTTTGTAGGTATGATCTCGGATTTTCAGGGTCCAACATCAAACGATACCTCATATACCTATTATTTCAGAGCACCACTCAACTAACCAACAGAGAAGATGTAGCCACTCAGGGATCCCGTAAAAAATTGCGACTCTACTACGTAGTAGCGCAGTGGTAGCTGGGTGGTTTCGTTTTTGCCATTTTGTTTTGCTATCGAGGACGGAGTTCGATGCTCGCTGGGAACATGAAGTTTGCTGTTTTCGCCATTTTCTTCTGCTTTTTGTTGGGCGCGACTTGCGAGTTGAGCTTGCCTCCATAACAAAGAGAAGAAACGGCGTTGGTAATGGAGTGAAAGGTCGGGAGCCTGTACGTGCGTCTTCACTACTACTTGAAGTGGTATACCCCAGCCTCTTAGAGCGGTCCGACGAGGTAAAACTCCTGGCGAGAGCACTTCGCGGCGACATCGGCGTTGCGGGAGGAAGGAGAACGTCAGATCTGGGTATGAGACTGCTGAAACATAGCAGCGTCTCGACGACTGCGTGAGATTTCCTTTCTTGGCACGTGTTCTGTCAGACAACTTCGAAAGGGTGGTTTGTTGCGATAAAGTACAGCATCAACGCAACATAAACTCCACATCCTCCTCCTCTCCTTTCCAGTCCATTGCAAATGGGGTTTCCACATCTTCCAGCCAGCCTAGCATGATGAACAAAACGTCCCAACTACGTATAAATCTTACTGTCGATTGAATTAACCGTGGCAATATAGATGCCCGTCTTATCGGCTCCCGCAGTGTCTCAGTTGGGCTGATCAATTGCGTCAAGCCGTGGTCGCCACGAAGTATGAAGTAGTCACCAAGACCCGAAAGAAACACCAGACTGTCGCCGACGTGCACATTCGCGTTACACATGCCAAAGCCGTGCTTGTGATTTGTCTCTGAGCCTCTCATATCCGTTTTGTATAGAAAAAAACTTCGCTTTCTCGCAGCTAAGAGATTGCAAATAGTGATCTGAGTTTGCAGAATCTTGGCATTGCGAACCCAAACCTGGGTCAAGAATAAGAAGAAAACATAGGAAAATATTGATAATACGAAAACATGGGGGCGCTTGACACTTGAAAGTAGGTCTGGAGGTGTTTTTCGGCCTGCATGTCTGTGTAATACAGCCAACCAGGCCATCAACTTGAAATCTGAGCGTGTGTAGTGTACTGTTGCGGGCTGTTGCAGCTCTTCTTCCAACATATGCATGAGTATCTCCACAGCGTCTCGAGACAAGACACGCGCTTTGAGAACAGCTAGCATACTGTGGAGGTTTTCGCGATGTATAGCCGCTTCGCTGTCGAGATATTTATCGGATGTGGTCTTGAAATGGAAGCAAGAAATGATGCTGGCATATTGATAGCCGCGGACTATGAGAAGGTCGCTGTTGTTCGGATCCAACCTCCAGAATGGTATGGATTGGTTTCTCCTTTCTACTACGAATAGCGGAACGGCACTCCAGATGGCCGAATTGTTATTCGAAAAGTCAGGGACCCATGATGGAGTGCGTCTAGCTATGTCGCTGGAAGCTGCCGCATACAATAAATGAAGCGAATTAGTTGCGTGAAGCAACCGAACCGACAAATTCTTGTAGATCTGCTCCAACGGCATGCTATAGTCTGGCTCTGGGTGACTATGTGGCGCTAGCCTCTGTAGGACAGATTGTACCCCGAACGCCTTGTCCTTTGGATCGAAGGAGTTTCTTGAGATGATTCCATCAACTAGATCCTCGGCTGGTCTTTCTTGCCGACCATATCTGCGCCAATGGGGAATTCTGATTCTAGCTCTCCATACTAGATTCAGCGAGAGAATGAAGATGCAGAAAGCCAGTGCGAAAATGAAATCCCCCTTGAGAGCTGCTTGCTTACTCCGGTCCGAGATTGTACTTGTCTTCTCAATGTATGCAAGGACTGAAAAGACTACCACTACAAAGATTACCGTCCATATTACCTGCACTTTTTCCCACCAGTAGTGGAAATTACAGTACTTTTGCAGGACGCTTCGAAGAAACTCTTGGTACATCCGAAGCTCGTTTAGCTTAGATGTTTCCGGTCGTGGTGAGCGAGTGTTGCGCGGCCGTGACTTAGGCTCGGTAAGACGAGCCCTACTAAAGACAAGCTTTATCCAGGCCGGCAGTCTGGATGTGTCTCCACCCCTATGTCGTAGTAGATCTGTGTCAGGAGCGTGTGCAGGGTAAGCAAGAAATACGATGCTAAATGCGAATCGAGACCAAGTAAGATGGCGGTGGCCACAGACCAGGATAGGATTCGACGCAAGCAGTATTTCCTGGAAAGTCCATATTCGTGTAATCCATTCCCGACTCAGAACGTCATCGATGTCCTGGTACGTCGTGATGACTGCTCTTGGGATCCTTCTTAAGTATACCCGATTGAGCATTCGTAGGATGGTCGTAGGGCCTTGAGGAAATGTTAATGAACGCGTCAAACAGGAAAGGAGCGGCATTGAGATTTACCGCACGTGGGAAAAGGGTGGTCTCTGATTTTGAAAGCTGAGGTGATCAGATACCAAAACGCCGACCTCACTTTTTTCTTGACCTCCGTCGAATCGGCACCGGGAGAAAAGTATTCCAAGAACCCGCATCTTCCCAGAAAGTTCATGGCTCTGTCAGACTGGGGATTTCCTTCTCCTAACCAAAGGTACACAGTCTCGGCGCCCGTGTATATATCTCCCATCAGCGGTATCTGCTGTTCTTTCTCGCTCTTGTCCTCCTGATTTATACAAACGGAATCAACCCAGATCGTGAAGGCGCCAAGCTTCTTCCGTAGATGCCATAAGGCAGAATGACAGTTCACGGTGACATTGAGAGTGTAGGTCCCACAGATTATACTACGCGGCTCGACGTCCTTGCCCCAAACATATGACAAAGCAGCGAATGGAGGACCTTCCTCGAGGTTTGCAACGCGGAACTCAACAGCGATAGGGTCGCTGCCATCCAGATTTACAGCAGCCCGGACTTCGAGAAGGCGTACGCATCTCGATTGCACTGGAAGAGGAAGGGAGCGATACAGGTCAGAGAGTTCCGCTTTCTCCTGAACGGTGATTGCGGCAGCCATGTTACGAAGGCGAGAAGTTAAGTGGAGAGGGTTAGGGTGTCAGAGTATTGTGTGTGCTCTTGGAGAAGAAGGCTTGGAGCGGGGCTGTGCTTTCTCTGGTGTTCGGAGATGCGAGGCAAGGCTGAGAGAGCACCCTGGCCTGAGGCCGCGGCCTTTGCAAGCCAAGCTGCTTCCGCTCAACCATTGGTCCAATCCATGTTAGTCTTTCATATCCGCGGGTTGAATAGTTGCAAGGCTGCCGATGGGTTCAAAAGAGAATGATGGAAGGAGATCAGGACCGAAGAACGAAGTGGAGGCGCTTGGACAGGGAACAAACGAGAAACACGTGATCTAAAGCCTCGTCCATCCGCGTAGCCGTATGGAGGACTTTATACGAATTTGCCGTTACTTGTTACAGTCTTGGCTACTACTGTATAACGGTATCGATGGCAGATATCTTCCGTGATTCATCAAACCCTCAAAAGATAAGAGAAAGACAGAAATTTAATCCAACATCTTCTCTTCTCCCGATTCGATTACAGCACCACCTCGATCACCAATACATACAACATCCCATAAATCGAGCATCATAAACCCATAACTACAAATACACCAAGCCCCACGCGACTAACGCCCTTCCTTCCAACACCACCCAAACGCTCAAGCTCCCACCAGCCAAACCATACCTCTCACCCAACCTCCACTCAACCACCAAGTCCCCTCTCCAACCACACCCCTCCCCACCTACGCCATTTCCCCCACCCTCTCCACCGTCCCCAACTCCACAGGCCCCTGTCTCCCCTGCGTCCCCTCCGTCCAAACCCACTGCCCCTGCACCTGCCCCTGCCCCTGCCCCTGTCCCGGGCTCACAGGCGCCACGACCTGCGCTTCAAACGCCGGCTTCTGCTCATGCCTATAGTACGTCGGCGGCGCCCCGTTGAACGGCTGAGTCGAGCTCGACGTCCCAGGGCTCTTGTCCATCGGCAGCGCGATGGCTTGCGCGCGGGTGCGTCGGTTGCGGAGGTAGAAGAAGGCGCCGACGGCGAGGCCGAGGAGGGTGAGGGGGATGCAGATGCCGATGGCGATTTTAGCGGTGTTGGAGGAGGGCTGGGGGGTTGGTGAAGGGGATGGGGAGGTTGGGGGGTAGATGTGGGGGTGAGGGCTACGGGAGAGGTAGGCGCGGGAGTGGTGGTAGGTGTTTGGGTGGGAGAAGAGGAAGATGAGGGAGACGGGGTGAGGGTTGTAAAAACCGCTGTTGAAGATGGAGAGGGTGGGGGGGTTGCGGAGAGGGGCTGTGATGCTTTATAGGCACATGGTCAGTTATAACTCTTTCCCTCCAAAAGGTCCCTTTCATAGAAGCAACTTACTAGCAACAGCAACAGTCGTCGAGGCCTCCAACCGACAATAGCTCGCAAAGACGTCTTCTGCTAGATTAACAGCCTGGTTCGCGTTCGGGGTGCACTTCTTCTCAACGGCTGTCGAGCTTATAGAAGCGAATTGGCTAGAGCTGTCGGAACAGAAACAAGAGAAAGAGGTGATGGCTCCACCGTCGCCGCAGCCGGAGGCCATTCCACGCACAATGTTGCTGACGGGGACTTCAGCGCATACTGGTAAGTTTCAGTAGACGGGGACTTGGTTGATCCAGAGTTTGGTTTCCTGGGCGTAGCTCGAGGAGAAGAAGAGTAGGGAGAGGGTCAGGAGGCTCCATGATTTGAGAGGGCGTTGAGAAGGCATGGTATTGATAGACAGGAAGTAAAAAATGATCGAGTTCAAGATGGTAAACGAGTGTGTGATAGAGAGCTATGAGCGAATGAATAGTTCTCTGAGATTATGATGGAGCAGAAACGCACAGCCTAGGAGTAGTGGTGGGCATGTCCCCTTTATCAGTATCTCATGAGTCCGATTTGGAAAGGCTTCATCCCTGCCACTTCCTGTGAGTAGAGGTCTATCCGACCTCGGGACCGTCAAAACCATCCCGTTTGCGCGCGCCACCTCAGAGAGCATGGATCTAGGTATTCATTTTCGTTCATGCGTCAAGCCTGTGGTTCGTATATGTATGTTTCCGCCCCCAAACAGTGCAATTTGGGCTTGCAATGGGTCGACTGCCCCCTGGTTCCTACATGGTTGTCAAGCAAAAGTCATGAAGCTTTCAGGGACGATCAGAAGGAGAGATTCTCATTCGCCGAGAACGTTTATGAGCTGCACTCGGTGAGTCAACTCCGAACTCCACTGAGGCTTGTTGCTGGACTAGTGGGCATGGGTTATAAGGCTGAAACTTGCTCGTCAGCGACGAAGACCATTTTGGGGTGCTTCACCGAAATTATACAGTTGCCACTGGATGTATCGTTGTCGAGAGCTGAAAAATCTTGTGGGAGAGGGCTATTAAAGAGAAAAGAAAAGTCACGAAGGCTGGTGGTTGATCGCAACGTTCCTAAGCGAGAGACATTTTGGTGTCAGCTGCCCCCGACCACCTACATCTCGACAACAGGGAACAAGATGTTAGGCATCAAAAGAACATGAAACCGCCTGGGTTAAACTTGCCTTCAGTTTCCTGGCCCACCTAATAATGCTGCATGGCAGTGCAACTGATGTCAGACGGGTACCTGGCATGCGCCACGGCCTTGCAGCCTTGTGCGAGGCTGAGGCATCATGTCTAACGAAACAGTCGCACGAGGTACGCATCACAGGTCGACCAAGAAAGTGACCACGAGACCCGAGGAAACCGTATACCAGGCAACATCATCGCCGTTTTTGACGACACTGATGTCTTCGAAATACCCTCAGTTTTTCAGCTGCGATGGCCGGAACTCGCTTCCCGCCGTCATCGAAGGAAGCTCCGCTCCCAGAATATTACCTCGACCTATGTGACGAAGACATAGCACGAGGCATTCGCAACTTTGACGACGACGGGAACTTCGAGCAGTTCGATCGCGAAGTTCGAAACCCGCATAGCAGGATCTTCCTCGTCGATTTCGGCGACCATGAAGCATGGTGTGGGTTTGACCTGGAGGCCACTTCGATTACTAGACTTCTGAACGCGCCTCGACCGCCTGTTCTCAATACTAGGTGGATCAACATTTGGCTGCCGTACGATCAGAAAGAAGTGCTTCATGCTCTAGCTAAGCACTACGATTTCTCCCCGCGTCTGCTAGCTTTGATGTGCTCAGATCCGATTCAGCCCAAGTCAAAGCCGCTGAGCTCCCGAAAGAGCTCCTCGAGTCTATGGTCTCGCAAGTCGCATCGTCGCGGGGGATCGCAGAAGTCGTCAAAGCAGGAGTCACTGGACTCAGAGGAGAGCATTGGAATGTCCGAGATGATGCAGTCGACACAGATGGATCTAGTTCGCGATATGAGCCATTATCACATCGTGAATGAGGTTTGGCATTGGTCGTCTGTCGATTGGGGAAGGCGATGTAGGTTCTGGTCTATCCCCACAAGGCTTTCATGACTGCTGATCCTTTTTAGTCGTGTGTTTGGGATACAACTCTCTTCACAACGTTCGGACGAATCCCACCGATCGAGTCGAAGATCCGGATAGGAGCCACGACGTCCCTCATGGGAAGAGAGTATGGAATTGGTTGGTCCTTTGTGAAGATAGTAAGTATGATGCGGTGCTTCAGAAATGATCAAGAGCTTACACTACTACTCCAAAGAGACAGTTATTTCGATAGCCGAGGACCCTTTCCCGTTCAGTAATGGCAACCTTCGAGCGCACGAGCTAAGAACCCTGTTCGCTATACGACGTAACCTCATCAACGTATTCAGACAACTATCGAAATCCGAATGCGCCTCTCGAGACAGCTCCATTATCACATTGCCAATAAGAAAGCGTATTGGAGACAGCGAGGAAGAGACTGCTCACAGGCCAACCGACTCCCCCGGGCTGCTGTTCTACTATCTCTTTGAGGACTGGTACACAACGTACAGTCTAGTAGCTCGGAAGGAGCACCAATATGCTGCTGAGCTAGATAAGCTGGTGAGTCCATCATTCGCGTAAATGTGAGTGTCCTAACACGTAAAACAGCGCCAGGACATGCTGGTGAAGGCGGAGCTGAGCCACGTCGACCGACTGCACCACATCGGAAGGCAACTCGCAGTTCTTAAGCGCGTGTACGAAAGCTACGAGCTGATCATCGAACGGGTCCTCAAACAGCCAGAGCCAACTCTTGCGTCGTTGAAGAACTCGCATATAGTATCGGGTGCTGACTCTCTTGCTTCATCGATACCACATTTCTCGTCCGCCAATCAGATCGCTGAAGCCGACAGTCTACTAGGTGTATCGTTGAGCTCGGCCGCGAGAGTGAGATTCGAGAGGCTGCGAGATCGGATCAAGCTGTACGCTCTGAGTGAAATACGTGAATGCTTAGATCAGAAGGACTCTTTGGTCATGATGGTATGCCTTAACCTCAGCTCAAACAGTTGGTGATAGTTGTGCTGACCCTCTACATCAGAATTTCAATCTCATCGCCATTAAAGAATCCTTTGCCGTCGAAAGACTCACCAGAACCACCCTTCTCTTAGCTAAAGTCACCATCCTGTTCATCCCAATTAGCCTGCTGACCGCATACTTCTCGACGGAGCTTGAGGGTGTTGCCTTCTCGTTGAAAAGTTACTGGGTGTCGTTCGCTGTTACCCTGGCGCTCTCAGCCGTCGCTCTCATGATATTCAGCTTTGCAAGCGGGACAACAGAGGGAAAGCTGGTATATCGACCGCTGACTCGGATTTTCTTCGACATGTCCAAGAGCTTCCTAATTCACAGGAGGAGGAAACAGCTGTGAGGCGCTACTGGAAACTAGGCAGCATCGTTTGAGAGGACAGATCATCCGCCTGTCTTAATCACTGTCATAGCTTGCCTGGGATTTTGATATTCCGGACTTTGTGGTGTTTTCGGCATTCGTTAGCAACACGTATGGGCCCCGGCCGCTGCCAGGTGCCTGTGGAGTTGTGGCGAAGACTTATACGATGGGCAGGCTTCGGAATCAACACCGACACATTTAGAGACTCCGCGACATGGATCCAATAGGTCTTTCGCGAACGCAGCTTTTGATTGATGGCTCGTTATTGATATTTGCTTGTACTCGATAACCGTATGCTAGATGACGAGAGCCTTTTGCTGAACACGAGTGAGATTTCCTGTTCGATTAGCGCTGAAGACAGACTCAGAGGCCGGCAGACCGTGGTGTCTTAGATGGCCTCTGTGAATTGGTCGAACAATGCATTGTTGCTGCCTGTGATGGGGCTCTGAGGAAAAGAAAACGTGTCCCCCCGCTGCAGGTGGCAATCGGGGGGTTAAAGAGGACATCGCAATCGGCCATCAGGAGAGCAAAACACACCTTGGACGCTCCTCTCGTGCCCCCAGCTCCCCCCCTCGTCTGCATACTGCCTCTCGCCCCCAGTCACGCGCCGCCACACAGGAGACACTGTCGCCGCCCCAGGTCGAAGTCTTGGCGCTAGTCTGCTCAGCGCTTGTCGCCGCCCCAGCTTCTCGCTTGTTTCGACAACATTTCCTCACCCCAAGAGACGCCCTCAATTAGAGCAACATCCACACCCCCCCAAGAACCATCCTCGATCTCCCCTCTGCGCTCTGCAACGCCATCTGTGAGTCCTGCCCATCAGCCCTGGCTGCCTTTGTTCGTCCGTCTATCTCCGGCTGGGCGCCCGCTGGCCGGCCCTCTCAGCTTCCCCTCGAGTCTCTCGAGCACGACATCAGGTGTCTGCCAGCAGCGTCCTTCTGCCGTCGCGAGCCGCTCTCCCAATACATCCACCATCCTCTTGCGCGTTGTTATTATCCGCAGCTGACATCTGGCCACCGCCGCAGGTTCCAGAGCCTCATATCTCACCGCCTCCGCGCTTCACCCACCCCGTCTTCTCCACACTCAATAACCTCAGGTCGCAATCATGGGTCTCACATTCTCGAAGCTGTTCGATAAGCTATGGGGAAAGAAGGAGATGCGAATCCTGATGGTTGGCTTGGACGCCGCAGGAAAGACGACCATCCTCTACAAGCTCAAGCTGGGTGAGATCGTGACAACGATCCCCACCATTGGTAGGAGTGTCCCGGCCCGTTCATGCGCTTAGCCAGCATGCTTATCATGGTGTTCCACAGGCTTCAACGTCGAGACGGTCGAATACAAGAACATCCAGTTCACTGTGTGGGATGTCGGAGGACAGGACAAGATCCGCCCGCTTTGGAGGCATTACTTCCAGAACACGCAGGGCATCATCTTCGTCGTCGACAGCAACGATCGCGACCGTGTGAACGAGGCCCGCGAGGAGTTGCAGCGAATGCTGAACGAGGACGAGCTGAGGGATGCCCATCTCTTGGTCTTTGCCAACAAGCAGGATCTGCCCGTACGTTGCGCCCCACTCTTTCAGCATCAATAACATTGTACCCCAAATCATACATACTAACACTCCTACGAATAGAACGCCATGAACGCTGCCGAAATCACCGACAAGCTTGGTCTCCACAGCTTGAAACTCCGCGCCTGGGTAAGCACAACCAACCCCACTTTGCCCCCCCACAATACACCACAAAGTCTCTAACAAAACCCCCCACAGTACATCCAATCCACCTGTGCCACCTCTGGCGACGGTCTCTACGAGGGTCTCGAATGGCTGAGCAACTGCCTCCGCAAGTCAGGCCACGCCTAAGCGTCTACGCAGCGTCTCCGACCTCCCACCACGTCCTCACGCCAAGAATACAAATCGGCCACCGGAATTAAATCTTAAACTCCCCAATCCCACCCTCCCTTCTCCCACCAACCCATCATTCTCAGCCAAACTCCCCCGTGTGCTTTGCCCTTGGTTGTGCTCTCTTAAACTCAATATTGCGAAATCGGGGGGCGGGAGAAAACGCTGTTCCCTCTTTTCCGGAGTTAGCTTTTGCTGAACAAAGTTCATGGAATATTTGTTGGGTGCGGTTGCTTCGGAACAGTTTTTTCTCTCTTGCTACTGCTCTTTTTTGTTGCGGATCCCTTTGTTTAAACCAGCTCCCTTCTTCTAGTATTACGTCCACCGAAATTCCCGTCAATGCCAACATGTGAAAATGAAACTGTTGGGATAATTGTTTATTCGTAGAATCGAAGTGCGCTCACTTTTACCAGTTCCCTCGCACCAAATGACCGGGAGAGATCGTTTGTAAAGTGTCTAATATGCCAGGACTCCAGGTGATAACCTCAGCAACCCCGTGGATTAACTAGCTATCTATCAGCTCACCGATAACCCCATCTGACAGGATGCAGCAAGATCGCCTTCCGTCGAGAAGCATCAAACCGACTACCACAGCAACACAATAACGAAACCACTAGCGTGACATCCAAAGCAACACAAAACAGATCACGAAGGGAAAAACCAGGTGCGATATTAATCGAAGTAAGCCCGGGCGTTATCAGAATTGCGCGCGAATTTAGCAATTGGGGTCGTCAGCACCACGACCTCACTCCAAGAACCTCAAAACCCAACCTCATCAAGCGATAAATCAATCACTCACGACGCAAAGCGACTCTCAAAAGACCAGCATGCAGACAGACCTCTCGCGCCATCGACGCATTTCAATTTCCTAACCAGCATAGCCATCCGTCTAGTCCACCGTCCACCAAAGAAGCTATAGAGAAGAACGGATCGTGCCAGTCCCACGATACGATGCCGACTTTGTTGTGTGTGTCCGCCGTTCCCAACATCCATCATTCGCATACCCTTGTTTGAAAACGCCTGAAATGAAAAGAAAAAGGTATGCAAAGGGGGCCAAGACGAAATATGATCCACCGAATAAACACCGGTTCTCGTGTTCGTATGCTTTCAAGTTACCAGGACCCGCTTCCATTCTCGTGCCAACTCGCTGCATCTCGCTTACTCGCTCGCTAACAAACGCAATTTCGTGCTCTCTTACCTTTGCTCCTCATGTAGCCGTCCCGGGCGCGCTCTGCTGCGGCGGCGCGACGTTCTCTTGCTTCGCGGCTGGCGGCGGGGCCTGCCCCTGCGCCGGCGGTAGCAAGCCCTTCGCGAGCCAGAGGTCGATCAGCGGCTGCATGGGCTCGACCTCCTTGTCGCCGATGAGCTCGAACAGCTTGCCGACGTTCACGAAGTGAATGAAGCACGTGTTCAGCTCCTTGTACGCGTTGACGTTCCAGAAGGGGTCCAGCCAGTGGCCGTGGTACAGGTGGGCGTAGCAGCGCATCATCTGGCGGTAGATGCTTCTGATGTCCGAGTCGAAGCTCTCGGGGAAGCCGGACGACTTACCCAGCCAGTCGCGGCCGGCGAGGGTGCTGAGGGGCGCGTTGAGGTTGGTTGGGCCGAGGGGCTGCGGCGCCGACATGGGGGTGAGAGAGCCGGAAGCGTAGGTGGCCGCGGCAAAGGAGGTGGTGTCAGTAGGGAAGATGGACGAGTCGTTGATTTTGCCGACGATCCATTTTTGGACGAGGTTGATGTACTGGATGGCGGGGATCTTGATGGGTTTTTTATTGTTGTCGAGCCAGGTGTATGTGTGGCTGGTGGGTAGAGTTAGCCAGGTTTGGATGTTGTGCTCGAGCTCTTTCTGAGATGGGTTGCTGGGATAGATTTTGCGGTATTCTTGAAAGTCTTCCAGTTTCTGCTTGATATAGAATTAGAACGAGAATGAGATTGATGCACGAACCCGGAAGCAGACATGGTAGGGCAGACGTTAGGATTGCAGACGGGGGCGCCGGTTTTCTCGTCAATCACCTTGATTATGTCGATCATCTGCTCAAGCAGCCGGTACTGCTCGACCACTGCATAATGTCAACACAACCCCGCAAGGTTGGAAATAGAAAGACAAACCTTGATGAGCAAGCCACTCGCCCGTCTCGACAAGCTCAGGCTTGGCGGCCAGCGTCATGAAGTTGCCGCGCACAATGAGGCCGGCATACTCCTCGCGGAAGAAGAAGGGCGGCTTGCGGTTCGACTGCTGCGCCGCGTCGGCCGCTTGCTGCTGGCTCTCGAGCGACATCTGCGCGGGCAAAGCGGGCGAATGGGGGATCGCGGGAATTGACGGCGGCTGGGACGACGTGGGCGAGGGTTGATACGTGGACGAGGCAGGGGACGACTGGCCGCTGCCCTTGTTCTGGCCTGTGGTGTTGTTCTTGTTGCGGCCGCCGGTGATGCCTTGGCGCCTGGTAGAAAATTACGTGAGGACTGGGACAGGACGCGGGAAAAAGACCTTGGGACGGCGGGAACGGGACTCGATGAACAGGAAAAGGATGCAACGCGCTGAGCGGCATTCACCCGACCCTTGAAACGGTGACGGACACGAGGGGAGAGGCACGCATGACCCTGGGAAACATCGACAGCTCGCCTATGCCAAGGAATCGACTTACATGCTGGAGAAAAAGGACGCCATGGTCCGCAGAGGCCTAGGCTACAGAGACAGCGCAATTGCTCAAGGAATGGGGATCAAAAGGCGTCTTCCCCCGGCGATATCAGAGTGATGAGGGACGACGTTGAATAGAAGGGGCTGAAGTACGGCCCTAGTCGCGCTAGCCCGGTTGGGAAGCCGCCAAGCGTATTGTGCTATTGTTCGAGCTATTCTATCCAGTTCACCTCACTGGACATCTGCGCCCCTCCTCTGCTCGTCCTTTCTTCCTCTCTAAACCTCTCCACCTTTCATCACAGCTCTCAACAGCACCCACTTCCAATTCCATCAAATTCTCCGCCACCCGCAATCGCAGACGCGCTCGATTTTTCGAAATGGCCTCCGCCGTCGCAGTCGAAGCTGCCTCTGGCATCGCTACGCTGCCCGACAACCTCGACTCGGACGCCGAAACCACTGGTCATGTCGGCCCCATGGCCAGCGACGGCGACGACGATGAAGAAGACGTGCGACCGAGGCGGACTGTCGAGGACGAGGGCCTCGAAGACGAGGAGCAGATCGACGACGACGACGACCTTTTCGGGGATGGAGATGATGATGCGCAGTCACCGTATGTGGATCCAGGGCGCCTATATCAAGGACCACGCTGACAGTCCGCAGTCCAGAACGCAAGCTAGACGATGAGGACCTCGACTCGGGCGACGACGATGGCAGGACAGACCGCGTCGCGCAACGCGCTGCGGAAGCAACACCTGAGGAGGAGACGCTGAAGGTCATGGAAACAGATATATATAGGCATCCTATCCCTGAGCCGAGCGACAACGAGGTCAGTAATCCCAGCCTCATGCTAGTTGCACGGTACTAATCCATCCAAGGTCTACCTCCTCAGAGTCCCCAAGTTCTTCGGCATCGAGCCCACAGCATGGCACCACAAGACCTTCCAACCTCCTACTACAGACCACCACTCCAAAGGCCCGGCCTCCCAGACCTTCTCCGCCTACAACACAGCTCTCACCACCCTCCGCTGGCGACGATCACCCTCCAAGCCCTCCGAGCTCCAGTCCAACGCGCGAATCCTCCGCTGGTCTGACGGCTCATTGACCCTACAATTCGCCTCTGATCCGGTCAACCAGTACGACATCGACGGCAACGCGCTCGCTCCTCCCCAATACAACCCCAAGAAGCCCACTCCCACCAGCCAGCGCACAAAACCCGGCCGTCCCGTCCCTCACTACGACGCCGCACACGATGCCTTTACCTACCTCGCCGCCGCCAACAACGAAGTCCTCCTCGTCACCAACAAGTTCACTGCGAGCCTCGGTGTCAATCCTGTCGCCGATACCAACGACGAGGCTGTCGAGCAGCTCCAGAACGCCCTAGCCGAGGCCGCAAAGAAGAGGAACCCCCACACAGAGACCGGTGGCCTCAACGTCATGGACATCGACATCGATCCGGAGGCTGAGATCCTGAAAGCACAAGCAGCAGCTAAAGAAAAGGCGAAGCAGGCACGATCGCGCGAGAAGGCGCAAGAGCGGGAGCGAGACCGTGCGAACCGCACGCTGGGTGCGCGAGGCTTGCGCGCGGCTGGTGGATTGAGTGCTGGAGATCTCGAGGGTGGTAGTCGTGGACAAGGCGGAGCGAAGAAGCCAAGGGCCAAGACCGGTCTTCGGAGGGATTGGAGCGATGATGAGGACTATGGAGGACGGAGGCACAACCGCGAAGACGAGTACGATGAAGAGGATGACTTCATCGCTGCCAGCGACGAAGATGACATGGGCGAGGCGTCTGAGGAGGAAGAAGAAGAGCTTGAGGAGCCGGAAGAGAGACCAAGGAGAAAGGAGGCAGAGAGCCCAAAGCGGAACAGAGCTGCTGCCAACGACGATGGAGATGAGGAGGAGGTTGTGGCTAATGTCGCTCGCACGAAGCGCAGGAGGGTGATTGACGACGACGATGATGATGAGTAGATGGCTGGTGGCTATATGGTTGGAGAAAGCTCAGAGTCTAGCACATGGACATTGGATGAGCTTATGCATCTGGTAGGAGTTTGACTTGCATTTTGCGCAAGATACATGGTTATCCACGTATCCCCGTAGCTTTATACCAAAAATCTTGACATCTGATTACCTTGATATCTGACTTTGGGTGACGGATGCTTGAATACTCTCTGTGAGATCTGCGAGATTCGAGGTGAGCAGTTTCCTCCTCTATCAGGTTACTAGATTAAATAGTTCTATGCTAGGCCAACGTTTCATACTCAGCATGCTTCTCCTTTCCAGCTCCATATCTTGGACGAGGGTTCACAAACGAATCCCTGTTCAGATTGACCCCGCGCTTATTCTGCGGGGCTAGCCGCTTAAAATTGAAGGAGCAACGTCCGTCCGTCATGGAATCTTCTACACCTCCCTCCATCTAGCTTCTTTACCTCGCCCACACAAGCCCTCCGAACAAACACCAAGCTCAAACTTCCTCATAAAAAGCCCAAGCTACGCCTGTCCAGCCTGACCACAACCCAAAAGCCCTTCTACCACCCACCCAACTTGCCAAAATGGTCCGCAAACCCCCGGCCTCTAACTCTATAGACCCCCTAACAAAACAAAACCCAGGCAACCTCCACCTCCAAAAAACGCCTCGCCCTCGCCATCATCGACTTCCTCTCCACATCCGTCAAGGACGGCAGCGTGTCCGCCGACGAAGCCGAATCCCTCGACATCGCCTCCAACTGCATCGCCGAAGCCTTCAAGGTCGACCCCGCCGACACCACCGCCATGCACGACGCCGTCGGCGGCCAGAATCTGCTCGCCGTGTACTCCGTCTACGAGAAGCTGAAGGGCAAGAGCACGGCGTCCACGCAGGGCACGAGCTCCGCGTCGGAAGCGCGCCCCGCGACGCCCGCGACGTCGGTGCCCGCGGCGGCGGGCAGCAAGGAGGCGGCGGAGAAGCTGAAGGCGCAGGGCAACGCGGCGATGCAGAAGAAGGACTACGCGGGCGCCGTGGAGTGGTACACCAAGGCGCTGGAGCTGGTGCCGCTGAACCCGATCTATCTGAGCAACCGGGCCGCGGCGTACTCGGGCTTGCTGAAGCACGAGGAGGCGCGGCAGGATGCCGAGATGGCGACGGCGGCGGACCCGAAGTACACGAAGGCGTGGAGTCGGCTGGGCTTGGCGCGGTTCGCGCTGGGGGACGCGAAGGGGAGTATGGAGGCGTATAAGCAGGGGATGGATGCGGAGGGGGGTGGGAGCGAGGTTATGAAGAGGGGGTATGAGACGGCGAAGCGAAGGTATGAGGAGGAGACGGGAGATGTGGGAGCGCCGGATGTGGAGGAGGCTGGCAGGGGCGTCCCAGGAGGTGGTGCAGGAGGCATGCCGGATCTGTCGAGTCTGGCGGGTATGCTAGGTGGAGGAGGAGGTGGAGGCATGCCGGACTTCAGCCAGATGATGAATAATCCCATGCTCAGGCAGATGGCGGATCGGGTTATGCAGAACCCTGAGATGCTAAGTGGGCTGATGCAGAACCCACAGCTGCAGAGCATGTTGGGTGGTATGGGACGGGGTGGAGGAGGTGCCCCGGGTGCTGGTGGCGCTCCTGGAGGCGGTGGAGGCATGCCAGATCTGGCGAGCATGATGAATGATCCGAACATCGCGGAGATGTAAGTTCTGTCCTTCATATTGAAGAATTAGCGCTAATCATACGGCACAGGGCGAGGAACTTCATGGGTGGCGCCGGCGGTGCTGGACGAGGAGCTCCCCCTTCGTAGGTGGTTCTATCTTGTATACAGGTTTGTGCTCTCACGGGTCTACGACATTCTTCTCTACAGCTGCCCTGTTGTAGACGGTTGCACGATTTCTAGGAATAGACAGCAATGATACCAATTGTCACACTAAAACTTTCTGAGCCTCAAATAATTTCTTATTGCTTGCCAGTTCATAGCGGGTATCTCTTGAAGAATCCATGTGACCCGTCTTGACTTTCGCTGGTGAGTTTTGCTTCTCACCGCAAGCTCCTCGCTTCATCAAGAGCGAGCCCTTTGCCTTCAAGCTCTCTAAGACAGCTCTACCAGTCATCCCAGTATGCCTGTCTCCCACCCTGGAGAGCCACACCACCATGTCGCCAAGCCCTTCCCCATCCTTAACCATACCCAGGTACCCTTCAATCCAACTTCAACCCCCACAGCCCATCCCCCAAATAATGCCCACTCTCAAACGCCAGCCCCTTCCCCACCTTCCGCATCTCCTCAGTCCCCATCTTCAGCACGCCCACAAAACACGCATGCTCCTTCCCCTCGGCCTCGACCACGACCGCCTCGCCCGCCTCCAGCTCCTCGTCCCCCCACTTCCCCTCCTCCTCGTCGTCGTCCTCCTCATCCCCGGGTAGCCGGCCCCCCGCCGACGTCAGCCCGGGCACCATGAGCGTCGCGCCGCTCAGCACGAAGCGGATCGCGCCGCGGTCGCAGCGCACGCGCGCGAAGCACTGCGGGAACTTGTGCACGAGGGCCAGGTGCGGCAGCAGGGCGTCGTCCATGTGCTGGAAGAATAGGGGGGTGGCGCCGAGGGCGTAGAGGGCGCAGCGGTCGGGGCTGTTGCGCATATAAAAGCCATCATCAGTTATGCACGTTGGGAGGTAGCGATGGCGGAGGGCGTGAGCAAGGCGTGGGGAGGGAGGGAGGGAGGGGCGGCGTACAGTTTTATGTGGTCGAGTTGCCCTTTCTTGGGGATGATCTCGTCGATGTAGGGCTCGAGCAGCGGGTATTCTTCGACGACTTTGCTGCGGATGCCGCGTTGGACGGAGGACTTGACTTTGGATTTTGAGCCGGCGGTTATGCTGGGGGGGTGGCTCGGATTAGGGATCCAGATGTCTCTTTGCTTGGGTTAATTGCTTACTCTTTTTTGAACATCTTGCAGGAATGGTAGGAAAGGTATTCGTGGTGGTGTTATGGGTTTTGTGATGTGGTGGAGTTGGGATTGGGATTGTTCAAGTTGCCCCGCGGTTGAAGTTTGGAAGGATGGCGGGGCACCTCGCGGCGACGGACAGGGTTTCCTGGACTATTGAAATATCACGCCTGATTTGCGAGCTGGAAGCTGTTACGTTCGGAATTTGACTGCGAATTGCGTGTCTTTTGATGAAACTCTTATATCAGACCCCCTCTGATTTCAGAGTGATAATAGCCCTTACATTCAACAACTTTCTTTGTCGCCAAGACTTCGTTCTATCAGACGGGGAGCAACCACACGTCTCTAACTATCACGTTCGAAGAACCTCTTAGACTTGTTCAGTAGCTCATAGAGAGCATCAATTCATTTCTTACTATCGCACGAAGTAGTTTTGAGGCAGGTATCTCATCACCACTTGGCCAACGAATTGGCATCTAAGCCTTCGCCGCTCCGGCTTTGATGAGCAGAATATCACCGTCCTCCACAACGTAGTCCTTGCCCTTGGTCAATACCTTGCCCTTCGCCTTCACCGTAGCTTCATCGCCCTCCTCCTTCAACACGTTAAAGTTGTAGACGATCACTTGAATGAAGGTCTTCTCGAAGTCTGTGGTTTTCTTAGCATGTATAGTGAAAGTTAATTTTATGACATAGTTTACCTCCGTGGATGACACCAGCAGCTTGAGGAGCCTTGGTCCCATTGCGTATTGTCCATTGTCTCACTTCATCCGTACCAGTCGTGAAGAAGCTGCCGAGATTGAGGGCCTTGCGCATAGTTACGATGACCTTGGGAAGACCGGATTTCGCACCAATGGTCTTGCACTCTTCGTCAACCTCGGCTTGGGTTTCGAACCGTGACAGACGCTCTTCGAAGCAGACAGAGATGGGGATGATTGGGTCGCCTGGTGCGTTCTCCTTGATCCATTGCGCGATCTTGGGAAGATGCTTGTTCTTCTGGCGGATGTAGTCCTTCTCGCTGAGGTTGATCAGGTATACAACGGGTTTAGCGGTAAGAAGGAAGAGAGGGTTGATGATCTCGACCTATATGATGCATTAGCGGAATGCTACTATCAATGAACGAGACAATGTTTGTATGAGTGAGTGCAGATCAGTGTTTGGACTTCTAATCAAGTGGCCTCTACGCGTACGTGAGGCCATTAGAGAGCTGGGATTATAGAGCAATCGCTCTTTGTCATCATATTGCAAGGGGTTCTGTGGGATGTGAAGATGGAACTATCAGTGCATACCTCTTTCGGAGTCCAGTTGCCTTTCCGAACGTCTTTGCCGTCCTTGAGCATCTCCAAGATTTTCTCAATGGTAGCTTGCTCCTCCTTAAGCTTCTTCATTTCCAAACTTTGGCCACCTCTCCGGGTCTGCTTGACAATTGCCTCGTGTGCCTTCTCCGTGAACTCGATATCCTTGATCCTGAGTTCGTCGCTGATGATCTCTAGGTCGCGGATGGGGTCTACGTCACCCTCAACGTGGATGATCTCGGCATCGTCGAAGCATCTCACGACCTGGAAGATGGCATCGACGGCGCGAATGTGCGACAAGAAAGCGTTGCCTAGACCAGCTCCCGTCGAAGCACCTCGCGTCAAACCGGCGATATCATAGACAGTCAAGTTGGCGGGTACGACGGATTTGGGCTTGTAGTGGTCAACTAGCCAGTCGAATCGGTCATCGGGGACGATGACACGAGCTTCTTCGGGGTCGATGGTAGCATAGGGAAAGTTCTGCGGCACCGGTCAGACGAATGCGCAAATCTTGCAAACAGTGAGGACTTACGGCAGGGTTACCAAGATGGCATTTCGTGATGGCTTGGAACAGCGTGGACTTTCCCACGTTTGCGAGGCCAACCTGAGATCACTGTCAGGGTAAGGACTTGCAGCATCAGCGGATGTGGTTTCCTACATACGATGCCACTCTTCAAGCTGTTGCCCGGCCTGCCAAGCAGAATCTTCTCCTCCTTCACGGCCTTCTTGGGAGCCATCTTACGACCGTGGCTGGCGTAGGAGCGAACTAGGACGGCCTGAAAAATGGGTTTGGGAGAGAAAGTCGAGCGGGTGAAGACGACTGCAGTACTTGCTGCAGATCGAGAAATATGGGGTATCAAAGAAGGGAATGTAAGGTGGAGAGCGCGGGGGGCGTTCGTAGTGAAGTTGTGGGGAGGAGACGACCTTGTGAGTCGTCTCTTCGATGGTGGGCGGGATGTTGGAGCAGGGCTTGCAGCCGGTCTAGGTACCACGGTACCTCTCTGTAGACTTCTCTTGGCGGGGCCAAGGGTGCGGGCGGGCTTCTGTCACTGCTCGAGCTCACACACGACTCATAAGTGCACCTTCTGGTCTTCTCCTCTTCTCTTTCTCGTCTTTCTTCATTGTACCGTTAGTCTTTACTGCTGTGGAGCTTCACTCGCGTAAAGACAGGCTGGACCTGTCTTTAACTGCTCGAACCCCCCAACCTTTTACTCGTACTCGATAAACACGTACACATGGCGTCCTCGACACGGCCAAAGCCCGCTCGGAAGAGCTCACAGCAGCACCGCTCTACTCTGTCTCTGCAAAAGACCGAGATCAAGATCAACGTATATGATCTTCTTCCTGTAAGAATACCTGAAAAGATGTCTGAAATGCGGACTGAAGCTCACGCGTAGTACTCCAGCCTGGCAAGGTATCCTCGGTATTATGGGCTCTTGGAGGGTCTCTTCTACACTCTGGAGTTGTCATAAGAGATAGGGAGTACGCCTATGGTGGCCACGATAAGCATGGTGTCAGTGGGGTGTATTGGACTCAGTAAGATACGAGCAAATAACTGGTCCTACCCAGATACTAACCTCCACTAGACCTCGACTAGAACCACCAGGTGGAACCTTCAGGATAGAAATACTGCAAGGACTATCATATCGAGACGACAGGGAGCTTGACGAAATCATACGAGAGGTGATTTAAGGTCCATTCAAGCTTCGAGGATTTGGCTAATCGTACGGCCCCAGGCTTCCCAAAAGTTTCTCGGCACTTCATACAACCTCCTCACCAACAACTGTAACCACTTCACATCATACCTCTGCGAAAAGCTCACATCTCGTCCCGCACCCGCCTGGCTCAACCGCGCTGCAAGCATCGGTGTTGCTCTACCATGCGTAGTACCACGGGAATGGATAGCTCCCCCTGATCACGACACGGCAGATGGAGAGTTGCTTGACGAGGACGATGACGATGACGAAACGACATTAATGCTACGGGCTGACCGAAGCCGGCGGAATCGTCCTTCATTGGATGACCAGGACAACTGGGACAGCGAAATGGACAGGATATCAAACAGCAGTAGTGGAGGTTCGAGAGCAACCAGCAGGAATAAAGCACCCAGACTCGTGTCCGTGAAGGATACCAGTGGTAGAGAAATGCCGCCTGCAGAAAGAGCACCAATGCCGAGACGGATAACATGATTCTTGTATGCTTTTATGCGCGGAGTTCTGGTTCGGAGCCACGATATAAGGAAATTGGAGAAATCGGAGTTAGAGGGATAGAGGGAACTTGTTTTGATATATCTACAGACAGTAGCCAAGCTCACATGAGCCAGACAACCGATGATTCCAGCGAAACGCTTCCACCAGAGTCAAACGTCCTTGATCGTACATGCCTGTAATAATACGCGTCTGAAGCTTCATATTGTACAGCTCGCCCAAAATGCATCATCTCTAAACCAACCCACCACACATTAACCCAACCGCCTCATCCTCGGACTCCTCAACCCTCCAAACTTCAACCTCGTCGCATCCGTCAGCTTCTTAATCTTAGTCCTCACATTCCTCCCCTCACTACTCATAATCACCTTTGAAACCGCCTCCCGCCCCGGCCCAAACCCCCGAAATATAACCTCCATATCCCTAATCTCCGTCAACAGCCCCTTATCCTGAATCCGACTCATCATGTACGCGGCCAATTGATACGCGCTATCGTACGTCCCCCGCGCCGCCTTCTTGAACCCGATATTCCCGCAGCTGACCGAGATGAGGGGCTCGCGGTTCGGCCGCGTCAGCGTGATGTGCGTGTTGTGTTTTGTGGCGTAGACGTGGAAGTGGTACATGGGGATCTCCTTTTGAAGCGACGCATTGATGTCGTCGAGGCCGTCGTCCTGGGCGTGGCGCGGGTCGATGAGGCTCTCGAAGCCCGACAAGGGCTTTTTGAAGTCTTCCATGGCGGTGGAGAGGGAGGCGAGTTTGGAGAGGCTGGCGAGCGGGTCTTGGAAGTCGCGTGCGAGGACGGCGGGCGTGCTGCTGAAGGGGCGGGTGGAGAGGAGCGGTTGGCGGGTGAGGGTGGTGCGGCAGGAGGAGCAGACGGTGGAAGAGAGGGGCTGGAGCAGCCGCGCGGCGAAGGGCTTGCTCATGGTGCCTAAGTGGGGGAGGGACAGGCCCAATTGCTTCGGGAATTGGAGTCGCGATGCTTTGATGATAGGGTCGTGAAGTTGAGTTCTGAGTTCTGCCGTCGAGAATCGGGAGTCGGGCCGGGCGTCGGCATCAGAAAAAACATCTCGGCTTGCTCCAGACCTCCATCACGACCCACCCGCTGACTTCACGCTCCTCATCTCTCTGGGCGAGACTATCCCGCTGCTCTCTCTCTCTCCCGAATTCTAATACAAGCATACCAGCATGAGAGTGCTGACCGCCAGCGCCTTCTCCGCGCGCGCGCGACTCCCTTCCGCCCTCCCATTCGCCTCGTCTCCCAGCTCCATACATGGCCGAACTGCTGCATATCGACGGATATCGACGTCTCCAGTATCGGCTCCGAGATATGCGACACGGCAACAGTCGCTAGTTACCCCGTCTATCCCATCATCACCTTTCATTCTCCTCCGGAGTGAGTTCCTACCGCACACTATCCTCGCCCGATCTACCACGTTATACGCTCGCCACTTCTCCGTCCGCTCCTCGTTACAACAAGAAGCCCAGAAGCAGACAGACGATGTAAAAGCCAAGCCCTTAGATCCCGAGTCTGGATCCCAGCCGCCGCCGGTTGAAGAGGCGGCCAAGGCCGGGGAAAAGGCAACCGGACAGCAAGGCAAAGAGGGCGAAGCGGACAAGAAGGCTGGAGAAGAGGAGTCATCCGGGGAGAAGAAGGAAGGCGAGGAAGAGAAAAAAGCCAAGGAAGAGCCGCCGCCACCACCTCCGCACGGCGACAAGACCCCCTGGCAAGTCTTCACCGAGACCTTGAAAACGGAATTCAGGGCGTCCAAGGAGTGGAATGAGTCTACCAAGGCGCTCTCTGCTGGTGTCAATGATTTCACGCAAAATCCGCAGGTTCAGAAAGCGAAGTCAACATATAATACGATTACCGACACCGCATCCACCAAGACTGCCGAGGCGTTGAAGACCACAGGGAAGGTTATTGGGACTAGTGCGGCATGGACGTGGGATACCCTCCCTGTGAAGGCTGTGCGGAAGGTTGCCAATGTGACCGGTCAAGGTGTTGCAGTGGCCACGAAGCCGATCCGAGACTCCAAGGCATTCAAGAGCGTGAAGGAGACCATAGATGATGGTAGCTCATCAAGATATGGTGGATGGACAGAAAAGGAGGAACGGCGGAAAAGGAGAGAGCTGAGGGAGCTCAATGAGCTTAAAAGGTCGGGTGGAAAGTCCACTGGGCCGATGGAGGAAGATCCAAAGTATGCCTCAAATTTGATACGTCCATAATTTATGTTGACTTAGACTAACATTGCTACAGTGCGGGCACAAACGTAACACTACATAAGGACGCCAAATACAAGGAAATCTGGCGCGACTTCCGCGACTCCTCCCGCCTCATGCAATCAGTCTTCTCCCTCAAATCGGCCTACAACGAGTCGGACAACCCCCTCATCTCAACAGCTAGAAGCATATCAGATCGCTTCACTGGCTTCTTCGCTGAAAACGAGACTGCTTTGGTCATCAAGAAATTCAGAGAAATGGACCCTAATTTCCAGCTCGAGCCCTTCTTGACGGAAATGCGCGAGTACATCCTACCGGAGGTCCTTGACGCCTACGTCAAAGGCGACGTCGAGACACTCAAGCTCTGGCTATCAGCTGCGCAATACCAGGTCTACGCAGCGCTAATGCAACAATACACAACAGCAGGATTGAAGTCAGACGGTCGAATCTTAGATATCCGGAACGTTGATATCCTCTCTGCGCGGATACTAGAGCCGGGCGAAATCCCAGTGTTCATCATCACTTGCCGGACGCAAGAGACCCACGTCTACAAGAACGCGAAGACGAATCAACTAGCTGCTGGTATGGACGATAAAGTCCAGCAGGTCACCTACGCTATTGGCGTCACACGCATTCCGGAAGACGTTAACAACCCCGAGACGAGGGGCTGGCGGTTGATTGAGTTGCAGAAGAGCGCGAGGGACTACATATGATTTCATCTACTCGCATGTTTTTTTACTCCGTCAACGATATCCCACAAATTCTACAACTCGTCGACCCACCTCGGATCACTCATATCGCAAACTTCTGGCATATTCCATGGCGCATCTCGAAAAAGTCCGGCCCTCACCCTTCTACTCTGTTTTTACCACCGTCTCACGTAGAGACCTGTTTTTATATGGTGCTGCTTTGGGAACGCAAACTCAACTTGCGAAGGTACGGCGTTCAATGAGTACAGCTTTACTTGACTTCCCCCCTCTTGTGTATTATATATTTTTGGTGGGTGTCTGAGTATAGCGGACATGGGGCTTCGGTTGGGCTACTACTACTGTAAGGATGGAGAAATGACTACTCTGGGAATGAGGAGACAGGGGATGAGGGGATGGCGATGGAGTGGACTTGTAGTTTGAGAACAATGTCGCTTCACACTCTCACTGATGGTTCGCTTCGTGATCTATGATGTGAGATTGTGTCTGGAAAGTGTTACGCGGTCTTACATTTACTCACTTACTAGCTCTTGCACTGCTATGAACAGGCAGCATACCTACTACGCACCCTTCGAATGGCGGAGAGTGAACGGTGGTTTCGGTTAAGTGGGCAGCCAATCACAGCACGATAACCTTCGACGCGATCAACCTCACCTCTTGGCAAGAAACGAAGAATAGGACTCCTGCAAGCCCGCTGAATTTGAGCCTTAGTCCTCGCTTGGAAAGACAATACAGCCACCCATCTTAAAAGGGTACACACCAAAAGATGCTGAGTCCTCGCGTAGAACCTGGTTCAGCATCACCATCCTTCATCAACCAGATGCATCAATTCGGCACCCAGATCGCCATGCATCAGACATCAGATTACGAACAAGATATGTAGTCGCCAAATTGTGTCAACTGAACCCTCGAACGAAGGGATTGCCCCGTCGCCGGATGTGGCAAAACTCTAGGCGTGGAGGCAGTGCTGTCCGATCAAGAAATCCAGCCTTTCTCCAGTCTCTCTTGGCCATGGCAATTACGACGTCAACTAGCGTGTAAATCTGAGGCCTAGGATCATCTCTTGAGAGCGAATCGGCTACGGCTTAGAGGACCTGGTGCGTAGGCTGTTTTCTAAGGAGGTGTACGAGGCGGTCCCGTGCTGCTGGTTCATGGGCAATGATGGAGTAGGTATATGAATAACGCAGTCTCACACTTCGCTATTAGAGGACAGGAACTCACGATGCAAACACCTTGAGTCTGTGTCATGATATTCACTTTCCGTCTTCTTTCACTGTCTAAACCATCTCCAATTCCACAGTCATCAACACCACAACCTCGCATTCAGCACTGGAAACTACCAACTCCCTTCAGCCCTTTTCCTCTCTATCCTTTGCCCTTTCTACAACCAAAACGCCCCTTCTCATCTCCCTCATCCACACCACCGACCCCCGCCGGCATGGCCCCCGCATCCTCACATCCATAACCCTCACCCTCCTCTAGCTCCTCGCCATCGCCCGAGTGGGCCGACTAGACGTCGCCAACTCCCGCTATGCCAAATGCTGGGCCGCACACCACACTGCGCACACCGGCTACTCGCTCTCCCTCCGCTGTTAGTCCGTCACGCGCTGCACCTTGTGGCCGCGCTCGTGTTCGCGACTACGGCACTGGGGGTGTGGATGTGGCAGGTTACGTTTGCGATGATTTGGTCATGGGGAGTTGAGAATGAGGTCGCGGTGGTGCGGAAGGGGCTGAATTGGACGATGGTGGGGGGAGGGTTGGTGGGTTTGGGGGGTTATGTCGCTTATATGGTGTTTGCAGGTTTGACAGTACATAGGTGGCGAGTTCGGGGAGCGCAGTGAGTTGGGGCATTTGAGGAAGGTTTGAAAAAGGGGGTTGAGATGAGAGGGAGAGTGGTGGACACGGTAGTGTTTAATGGTTGATATATCAGAGCTGATGATGGATGATTGGGGACTATGATGTTCGCGCAGGAAGAGATATATGCGAAATGGCTACGATAGTATCATCTTAATGTTCAATCAAGCAATATTCACAGCACTTCAAAAGACTAGGGCGGGGTAAGATATGAATTACTTTTAATATGATTCAAAGACATCTACCCAAGAAGATTCTCGGGTGGCGTGGGAAGCAAGATTCTTACTATTTAGAGGCTGGAAGAGTTCATTTTCGAGGCATAGATATGGTTTCCTTACACTACGGCTAGCGGGCATGGTTGGAAATTGTTAGGAGGTTTTCAGAAGGCGACCCATATGGAAATCTGAATGTTGCATTTTGCAGTCTTCAAAGGAAACCCAGAACAACAATATAGAGTCTCCCTGTAGATCGAAAATCTACAAATTTGGATCAAGGTCGTTCTTCCTGTATGCAGAATGAGCCTAAGGAATGTATCATAGCTGCTACTTCTATAGTAAATTTTACGAGTCCCCTTATCTTTCGTGACGTCCCGCATCAACGTCGTGCAAGTGATTCAACAGACCCGATTTTAGAAACTTCTAAATCTCTCGTCTTCTAAAGGTGCGGGATAAATGTACCTTGGAAGCTCTCACTGCGTATTGGACTATTTCGAGCCAGGCGGTAAACATCGTGACTTGCCCTAACCCAAGTCGATGAACTTGACTCCCTTAAAAAATAGAGTGCTCCTTTCCCTCCTAACTGCTACCTTCCGTTTGACCATCTGCTACTTTGCGTCTGAGAAGTTCTGGCCATCCAATCCTATGCTCTTCTTTCTCTGCCAGTAATATCAGTAGCGCTCCTATCTCTTAACAAGGGGAAGTCCACGCCCGACGCCTTCTATCTGACCATCTGCTGCTTCGCAATTAAGCTACCTCTGCTTTCTTGCCGCACACTATTACCACCCTAGCATCAACATCAGTAGTGCCGCCTGCTGTTCAAGCAATGATTGTATGGAATTCAGGAGCCGCAAGCGGTTTCATACAGCACTCGCCCGCGACAAAAAGCAGTAACGATTCTAATTTGTGGAAGCATCATGCGATACTCACCTCCTTCTTTACTCTAGCAACGATGCTTATCTGCCCAAATCTCCTAGGATATAAACAACTTTCCCTCCGCCCTTCTTCTCTTCTTTTCATCACATCTCATCGAGACAATTCCAACATCCACCCTTCGCCCTTCAACAGCATCATCCTTCAACAGCTTCTCGCTTCTTCTTCTTCATGATCACCTCGATCTACTCACATCCTGACATTATCTGGAGCTCCACCGTTTGGCTTCTCCCATCGACCTGTAAGTCATCCCCTCCGGTACTTAGCCACTTCAGTCTTGCTAACCGATGTCATTCAGAGCAACATCGACAGCGTTCTCCATGTTCCCCATATGTTCAGTCCCCATTCGACGTTCAGTCTACTCGATCATCAATCGACCTCCAATCCAGCAACATGTCTTCATACTCTCTATGGACGTCCCCTCCTATTATCACCAAGCCACAGCACCATCAGCTTTCATACAACCAATACCAGCTCAGCACTCACATACACCATTCTCAGCTCCAGCCTTCGATGGCGTTGGCTTGATTGCAAGGTCAGTCATACTCCTTGCCCATGCCGCTTTGAGGAAGAGCCCACGTGTGGTTTCGATTGATACATGCAAGTTTGCTAACTTGTCGTCCTCAACCACGCTTTGACGTGTTAGATTCGACGAGTGTGTCTGCTCGACCAAGCTCAGCTTCGGCCTATTGGCGCTTTCATCATTGCAAGTTCGGTCTACTTCTCTCTCCAACGCGGCAACGCGTACTCCACCAGACTTCCCTCCATGTCTGTGTGGGTACTAGGCCCGCGCAGAGCAAAATTCCCTTCCTCTAGAACGGTTTCCCTTCGGGCTTGATCCCGTGCCTGTAAGGGTCCTAAGAAGGGGACATGCGAGGTAAGAGATGACCGACTCGGCAGGCTGATGTGTCGTGCTTTCACACGCAATGCGTGCTAGGTCCGATTACCCACTTCGAGGCCTTTTCTCGACGAGCTCAGTACCCTCACCGCGATTCGATCAGCCAAAGCCTCACGAACTGCGAAACATCATCGCGAGTCGATCAGCCAAAGCGTAATGAGTTCGGAACGTATGCGTGTCCTTGGACCATCCCGTGGAAGCACGACAGTCACTACAGCGTCTTCTTTTCAGCACCGAGCTTAGCCCTGTCACCACAATGTAAGAGGCCAATATGTACCCACATCGACTCGGTACGTATTCCGGACAACTTTATCCCTCTTGACACACATGCTGATGCACCTTCTCTCAGGTCTCTCAATCAAGCTCAGCTGCCACCGCCCGGCGTCCTTCGACTACTTGAAGCAAGCGATAGCGTCGTTGCTTAATTTGGTGCGGTTGCAGTACAACTTTCGATACACCCTCAACGGACGAGCGACCTCAGACTCAAACTTATGGACTGCGCGCCAGGCATCGCGATTATGCCGCCGTTGCTTCCCTTCCGTCCTCTTAGATAGATCTTCGTGGAGAGCTCAGAGTCCTCTCGTTCCTCTATTACGTCTTGATCAGGTCGTCAGCTTGTGATTTCGGACGATCTCGCTGACTTCTCCGCGCGTTGCAGCTTATTGCCTCTGTCAAACTTCCGCCATGGGACGGAGATTCGAGAGCCGTACAGCTCGGTTTCGATCGCGCCGTTCGGTGTTCTCGTCATGCCGCGGGAGGATTGGCGGAGATAAGGTCTTTCGAAGGATGGAAGCCTGCAGATGAAGGTCAGCAAAGTCCAGATGCGTTCGGGAAAGTCAAATTGGGGGAAGGCAGTTCATTGCAAAGCGCAGACGCAGAATCATTTTTTTTCATCATCATCCTGCTGTATACTGAGTGACTCCGATGTTGCATCAGCTGTGGAAGGAGAAAGGGGTGACTGATGCGATATTTTGACTGGAAGTTGCGCTTTGAAGAGAAGAGGAAGATAGGAAGAATGAGAAAATATTATTTTATTTATACGAAATGTGCGGGCTAAATATTTGGATCCACGGAACTGTTCTATGATGACTCCGAGAATGAACCGCGGTTGAAGGTCTCGCATCCCAGCTCTGGCTCACATGATTATAAGCATGCCAAACCCGCCAAAACCTCACCTTATCATGGCTCCTCTGCATCGAGCCTGGCCCCCTAGCATTGCCGCCTGCACCTACTCCTCATACTAATCCACATACGCCTCAACCTCCCTCTCATATTGATACTCTGCAGGCCCCAGAACGTTCCTACGGCTCTCCGGCCGGCTTGATAACTCAGCAGTGCCTACAGCGATGAGACCTTATTAGACGTGCTTGTAGAGCTTCAATCTGTCGTAGGATGTCTGCACGGCCATCCTCTTGTTCCACTTGAGGTTGAGACTGAGCGCTATCTTGCCTCTGAGCTCGTGCCTTTTTCCATGGTACCTTATCCTTTGCACCAGGTGGCCGGCCGCGCTTCTTAGCTGCAGGTGCAGCCGTAGGTGTTGCTGTATGCGCTGCTGTATGCGCTGCTGTATGCGCTGCTGTA